TCACCTTCACCATCACCTTCACCATCACCTTCACCTTCAAGTTTTCCTTTTCCTTTCCCTTTTTTGGGGCCCGTTCGTCAACAGAGCTTGTCGTTGCTATCTGTCATCTGCCATCTGCCATCTGCCATCTGCCATCTGCCATCTGCCATCTGCCATCTGCCTGTGGACGGGCTGATGGTTCTTGCTTAACGAGAAGGAAGTCTCTCTAGGTATCGGGTCGTACTGCCTAGGTGCTTTATTGCCTAGGGGCTTGCTTGTGGGAAGGTGTGGCTGGATGTGGTGGTCGGTGGATAACGGTACAGCTGGGCAGTTGCGCGATGGTGTAATCGGACTTCACGTTCAATCTCCGAGTCCTCGGCATCGAGCTCCATGGTTCAGCATCATCAGACATTACAGACGAGAACGGGTTGTGACCAGGCAACAAGAGAGTGGAATCGAGCATCAACGGGTGGCGATCAGTGTGCAAGGGGGTGGGTGGAGTGGAATCGGGCATCAATGGGTCACGATCAGATATCAATGAATGGGCTGACTTGAATCAACGAGTGAATACGGAGTAAGCTGCCACCAGGTCGCTGTACCTTATCTCAGCAGCATCGTCGATTTGGTAGAATAGAATTGTTTCGCAGCAGGTTGCTGAACAGCTCTGCCATTTTATCATCCGTGTAAATCCACCTCATAAGTCGGAATCCCTCTTCTCCGCCCCTCTCGTAACAGCACGTAGACTGCCAAACGACAAGACATCACCTATCCTCTCCTTCCCGATGAAGAGCATGACTAGTCTGTCGATCCCACAGCCCCAGCCGCCTGTGGGTGGAAGACCCCATTCCAGGGCTTCCAAATAGTCTTGGTCGACTTTCATAGCTTCTTCATCGACGGTTTCGCGTGCGGGTCGATCACCACGACCCAGCGGAGCAGTCTGGTGCGCATAGCGCTGCTGCTCCTGGAATTTCCTGCGCTGCTCGAACGGGTCGTTCTCTTCCTCGTAGCAGTTGACAACTTCTTTGCCCTGGATGAACAATTCGGCGCGGGCGGCCACAGGCTGGTCGTGGGAAGCAGTGGGGTGGATGTACGATTTGGCAAGCGGCGAGAGACATTCGGGGATGTTGACTATCCAAGCAGGACGCTCTGCAGAGCGCGGCTCGACGTAGATGGACGAGAGCTTGTCGACGAGTCGAGGAACGGTGGGATTGCTCGGGAGGGGAAGATTCTTCGCTTCGAAAATGTCGAGCAGTCGGCCCTGGGCATCTGGAGAAGAGAGGTTGGGTAGATCAAGCTCCAGAGCCGAGCTCAGGGTCGGAATGAAATCGAATTCCTGGTAGGGTTCCTGCACGGCCCGAAGAAGCTTGGCTACCGCAGGTTTCTGTTGATGAAAGACGGCTCCAACAGCCAATGCCATGTCAGTGAGAAGCTGCTTGGTGTAGTCCATCAGTTGTGGCAGGTCGTGCCGGACAGCGTAGAACTCGCATGTGGTGAATTCGGGATTGTGTGTTTTGTCGAGCCCTTCGTTTCTGAAGCTCGGCCCGATCTCGAAAATCCGGTCCATCCCACCGACGACAAGTCTCTTCAGCCACAGCTCGGGGGCGATGCGCAAGCTCAGTTTCCGGTCGGCAAACTCGGTCGCAGTGGTCTCGAACGGTTTGGCTGTCGCTCCTCCGGCGAGGGCCGTTAGGATGGGAGTGTTCACTTCCACGAATGAGCGTGTCTCGAAGAAAGTGCGCAGTGTTCGGATAAGCGCCGATCGTGCCTTGAGCGTGTCGATGATGTCCGGGTCTGTGAGCATCTCGACATGTCGGGGATGGTAGTTCACTTCGGAGAGAGGACTGGTGGCAAAGCCGCGCTGTTCAACCGGGAACCGTTGGAGACATGGGGACTGGAGGACTGGCAAGCTCGACGCTTTGATGGAGAGTTGGCCATTTTTCGCTCGGTACGGTCGTCCTCCCTTCAACGCTTCGAGAAAGTAAGCGGACATACACATGCAGACGGGTGACGAGGATCGGAGTCTAGATGGGGGAATGCCTCAAGCTTACAGATATAGTCTCCTCGGCGGATTAGCCGAAAACCGTGCTTGAAATCATCGAGAGATACACCAGACGGCTCCAGCGCCGAGTATGATAGCACGACCTGAAGCCTCAGTTGGTCTTCGACAATGTCTACGAATGCCAATTTTGATCCGCTGGTGCGGATTGAAGCTATCCTTCCAAACACTGCGAATAGTTAGAAACTATACCGTCGTTTCCCAGGCTATCAATCTTGCCTTCGATGCATTGTGAATCCGTTATAGGAGGTTGTCCGCTTTCGTCGCTTTCAACCGCACCAAGGAGGGATCTTATGCTTCGTGCCTGATCGCTGCGTTTGTATCGTGGATAAAGTGTTGGGACAGTTGAGGATTTCAGCTCCTCCACTCGCTCTTGAACTTCTTTACTTGAATATTGCGAAGTTGTGCCTGAAACATCCGTGTCTCTAGCCCTTGGGGCTGCTGTTGCAAAGCCCGCTTGACTTCTCCATTGTATGGGAAATGTGACGCACTCGTGCTGGAAAACGCGACTCGAGAGAGTTTTACCGATCCAAGTGCGCAGGAGACTAATCGCAACATGTTAGTCAACGTTACGCATACAGAACCAGTTCTCGAAGCAGATGTATCACAGGCATGTTCAGATGTTATTTGAGTGGTAGTGATCATAGCCAGCCGGAGCCAGCATCACTCGCAGCGGTTCTTCTGAGTTGTTTCTTCATTTGCAGTGACTTGTAAAGGAGACATTCAGGGACTCACCGTCTGGGAGTTAGGAGATGGCTCGACCGCGGTATCTGCCATGTCACTCTACCGGACATGAAGACAGCAGCGACATGAGCAGACCGATTGTTACGTAGACGGCGCAGGAAAGAATGTTGCGTGGTCGTGCATGTCACGAAAATTGTTTCGAGTTCGCTTAAGCTTCGGTGAAATCTTTGGTGATGCGGATGCGCATGTCGCCGCGCCCGCAGGCTCCGCAGCTTTCTGACAGTCCTCCGTACATTTATGAGCCACAGCAAAAGCAGCCTTCTTTAACATTGTTTCGGATACGGATATAGAAATTCAACAATCTCGCACCTCAAGACACTGGCACCTACTCTAAAGTAGCACATTTCCCGCGCATCCTTTGAGCTTCAACTCCGTCATCTACATCTGTCACCATGTCGTTCCTCTTCGGTGGAGGGCGGCCTCAGCCATCGTCAGCAGAGAAGATCGCGGCCGCAGAGGCTGAGATCATGCTCGTCCAGGAGATGTTCCACAAGTAAGTTTGGCTCTTGTTGTGAATTTTCCGCCGCTCTCATATTGCGGGATGTATGAGGACAGCCATGCTAAGCCTTTGCTCTTGCAGGTCAGTAGCATCATGCAAGAAGAAATGCGTCCCCAACGACTACCGCGAGGCCGAACTCAACAAGGCCGAGAGCGTCTGCCTCGATCGTTGCATGGCCAAATTTATCGAAGTCAACATGCAGATCTCTGATAAGCTGAAACAGAACGCCCCCGGTGGTGGCGGCGGTGGAATGTTCGGCGTGTGAATGATGGTTCGAGAGTGCTTTCCCACGTTGGATGTGCTATCTGTATCATTGGGTCATGCGGGCCGGCTTGAATCGAATACGGGGTGGTCTTCTGTTGCTACGGAAAACCTGGGCTATCACATACTCCACGTTGAAGGTGGTCAAGCCAGTGTATATTATTTCGACCTGGGTCGGTGGAAAAGGCGGATAGTAATGGGCGCCAGACGCAACGCTGAGTGATGGCACGTCAACTCTCACTCAGTGAGGTCGATTAAATCTCCATTTCTCTCGAACTTGACCTTCTGGTCGATACCGAACAAGATATCAGGGATTCGCTGTCCAGGTTTAAAGATTCATAACAAGATGATAGCAGCTTGCATCCTGAAAACGCCTTGCTAAATTCAAAACTGCACACCACAAACAATCATGGCATGCGACTATTTCCGGGATTTTCTGAAACTGAATAGCCTCTGGATCCAGGGGACAGCATTCTGCTTTTCGCCACCGATCAGTTCCTTTACTCTGGTTTCAATGGCGACCACACTCCGCTCAAAGTCATCAACGCCGTCTTCAACCTCTTGTAGGCGAGACTGCAGCGAATCCAGCTCGTAGTCCATCTTCGCACCCAGCATTTCGATCCGGCGAAACCCCTCGGCCACTGCATTTTTTTCTTGTGAGACAAGGTCCGACGAAGTTGCCTGAAGGCTCTGGTATTCCTCCAACCGATGGTAATACATTTCATTGAGTTGCTCCAGGTGCTGATGTGCGTGTCCCTCAAGGCTCTCAACATGGGCAACGCTGTTTTCGGTGTAGGGGATTAGACCTTGCTGAATCCTCTGGATTCGATTTGCTTTCCTCTGAGCCGCAGCCACCAAAGTATCACGCTCGACGAGAGCGTTGGTGAGATCGCCTTCTAATTTCCCCTTTGCAATACCCTCCTCCATAAAATTTAACCCTGAATCCAGTACGGCATTCTCGACGATGCTGAAAGACAGCTGGCGCTTGATACGGGTCTGCCGACGGCTATTCGGGCCAAGATTGGCCAGTTGAACAGCACTCTGTGACCGACGAAGGGCTCGGCTCTCAAGTCCTTTGTATGGCATTCCAGCTGAAAATTTTCTGTAGGCATCGGAGGCAAATTCATTCCGCAGTTCGGCCATCTCAGCTTTCAGCTTCTTCCGTCCGGGAGAGTCGCCAGGTAGGACAGGCTTTAACTGCTCCCGATGAGAGGGAATCTCTTTCTCGGCGTTCTTTTGCACTTCTTGGAGAGGTTGGCCGCGTAAATTTTGCGGCGAAGTCACTTCTGCATTCGCCAGCGCCAGGTCGAATGCTGCCGGGGCCCTCTGCCGTGGCAGTCCTACCGGACGCATAGCGTGATCTGGTATGAGGGTATGATCTTTGGATGGTTTAGAAGCCATTGACGCGGATGTTTCAACAAGTTCAAGAGTCTCCTGGCCATCCCTAGAATGTCGCAAACTATGAGATTTGACACCACCTGCTGGTCCTCGAGGGCGGCTCCGGACGGCTTTGAGGTCATGTGTTTGGTTGCTGTACGCTGTGTCGGTACGTTCAAGGAGCCCTCCATCAGAAATTGAATCCTGGTGATTGCTCATCCAAAGAAAATTGCCTTGATCGTCAGTGCCGAATACCCTCCCACCGAGGTCCTCGGAAGGAGTAAGAAACGCATCCCCCGACTTCAGGGCTTTCCCATGCCACAGCCATTTCATCCGTGGACCTGTCACAAGTTGAGCAAACCGATCAATGTCCAGTGTTTCGGCATCAGAAATTCCAGCCTTGTCACGGGCTCCAACAATACCCATCATCATCTCCCCACCCTTGCCGCTGAGCTCGGCGACTGTAGATTTGACAGACTTAGGTACAGTCCAACCTTCGCCGCTGGCGTTCTTGGCTGTGGCTCTATGAAGACGGTCAAGTGTCTCGCGATCAAGGCGTCGTGTTTTTTCCATCTTCTGACCCTTTTGGAAATGGCCCACGGCTCTCTTCATTGATACCGTATCTAGTATGTCTTTTCCAACTGAAGATCCAAAGGCCTTCAATCTGTTGTATGCTCCAATCAGGAGGCCAAGTAGGGCTGCCACCGTGGTCGGTCCCAATATTCCATCACTGGGCTCCACATTGTAGAAGTAGGTTCCTATGTCAGTCCACCAATCGTTAATGGCTCTCTCTGTGACATCGCACAGGAGCCCATCCGCATAGGTCGGTTGGAGCTTATCGTACATTACCAGCGCCGTTTGACAGATACGCACAAGCTCCATGACCGATTGATAGAGAGGTATAGTCTCGCTAGTGCGGTATAGGTGATGGAATTTGGCAATGGTGCTCGGTTGAGGCGGCTGCAGGCTGATAGCCGCTCTTCCAGAGCAGCCCATTCGCTTGAGGTTTTCGTTAACAATAAAATCATCCCTGTGCTTCCTGACCTCACCATCCGGCACAGCGATGACCGTGAGGGCAGAGGGGAATCCGCTTAGGTTGGTGACCATCAGCGTCCCAAAAGGCGTCTCCTTCTCCTTGGCATGAAACTGCGAAACAGCTTGGAAGTAGATCTGGAGTCTAGGGGACCAATAACTCTCGTCACTCGGCACCGAGAGGACATTGACGACGATAGAATGTGAAGGGTCGCCAGTATAGGTACAGATGACAAAAGTCGGATGGGTTCTTGAGCATGCCCACTGCTCTATAAGGTACATTTCGTATCCTTGTAGTCGCCTCCATCTCTCTATAGCGTCGGTAGCGGGATCTTCTTCTAGATACCGAAACGCAATCGGATCCGCGAATACAAGCCGCTTCCTGCCTTGGCTTGGCCTGCTCTGGCGGGGACTGCGCATGATGGAATTCGATGCTCTCCGGCCCTGCGCTTCATGAGGCTCCATCTTGTCTTTCGGGCTAGCTTCTGTAGTTTTGTCTGAAGGCGGACCCATATGAGGTTGGTGATAGATGAATGGGGACAAAACACCCGGAGCGCCAAAGGACATGTCGGTAGTCTTGTCCTTGGGTGAGCACCGGGACTAGGACGGGACGTGCATAATGATTAGAGGTGTTTTAGGATGGCTAGCCTAGAACAAGCAGGACTTTTCGTTTGTCCGGTTCGGCGAGGTGAAGGGTACTGAAGGGAAATATGATGTTAATGAATGAGGTTCTAAGTCTTGGAGAAATGAGGCGTCATCCTTATCGTTATCAATACTCCGCAGTACCGGATCCCAACCGCAACTACTATTGTACAAAGCACCGCCGCATGGTCGCATGACATGCTCTGATGGCGCTTGGAGCACCACCGAGTTCAGCACCTGCCTATTTATCCAGTTTGCCATCAACAGGCCTTGCAGCCTGCGAGCCTGCGACTTACCTCCGTCAAAGACTCTCCCGTGAAAACTGATCGAGGATGACCCGCGCAAGACCCGAACTCAGTTGAAGCCTACATCTACGTGATCCATACTCCCCTCGCAATGGAGGCCATCCAAAAGGAGCACGACAAAGTGTGGAACAGTTGCAAGCAGTCAAAGACGACTCGCCATGTCGACGACATCATCGTCGCCCTTCAAAAGGCGCGGGACGCCATTGCCGAAGACCCTACCTCGAGACAAGTCACGCTCGCGAAGCTGCAGAACCCAGTGAAGACGATGTTTGATGGTATCTTTTCAGGCTTGAGGGATACACATGGACTGCACAACAAGTATACTAGAGCTCTGGATAAGGTGTTTAAAGACAAAGTGCCGAGCAACGAGATTGACACCCTCTCCTCACACCCGACCTTGATCAACCGAGCAATATATCTGCACTTGCTTCGAGAAGGGCTGTTTGACGTTGCATCGACTTTCCACTCGGAAGCTGTTGAGAAACAGCAGAGCCAACAAGAGACAGCTACCAATTTGGATTTGGACGTTCCTATGGAACACCCTTTGGGACTCGACAAAAGCTCAGAGGCCAACATGCAAGAGCAATTTTCCAACATGTATCATATCTTGAGCGAGCTGAAGGATAACCACAACCTGCAGCCTGCCATTGACTGGGCTCGGAAGAATGCAGCCGCATTGGAAGCTCGCGGCAGCAACCTGGAGTTTGAACTCTGCAGGTTACATTTTGTCAGTCTCTTCCTAGACCGCCGGGACGAAGATCAATCTGACTTTGACGCACCGATGCGCGCGCTCCAATATGCGCAAAGTGAATTCCAGTCATTTCGTGGTCGGTACTTGGTTGAGATACAACAACTGATGGGCGCTATTCCATTCTCCTCTAACCTTAGCGAGTCGCCGTACAATACACGATTCAACCACTCCACCGCATGGGAGGAAGTTGCCAGCTCTTTTATACGCGAGTTTTGCTCCTTGCTCGAATTGTCCGCAGACTCGCCTCTATATGTCGCTGCAACTGCGGGTGCGATCGCTTTACCTACACTTCTCAAACTTCAAACGATTCAGAAACAGAAGCGTACAGAATGGACTTCACAGAACGAGTTGCCGGTAGAGACGCCGCTCCCTCCTTCCTATCGATTCCACTCGATTTTCGTCTGCCCTGTTTCGAAAGAACAGACTACCGACCAGAACCCGCCGATGATGCTACCGTGTTGCCACGTCATTGCACAGGAATCTCTGCAAAGGCTCAGCAAAGGCGCCAAATTCAAGTGTCCGTACTGCCCAATAGAGAGTCACCCGAGAGAGGCAAAAAGAGTATTTATATGAAGGCGGCATACCCTCTAGCCTTTGCCCACGAGTTTACTGTTCCTACGGATAGCCATCTGCTACCCAGCCAGTACAAAAAGTCCCACCGGAGAAGGTTCTTTTTTGTATTGTTGGAGGGGGCTCAAACAGGCGGCTCTCGCCGGAGGACTAGAGGCAAGAACACACCGCGGACGCAATTTCTATCTTTGTTTTCCGACACATGTTGGGCATGGAGACAGGCGCGTCTATTATATAATGCCTGCTGCATCTAATGAAGTTATGCTATGATAAGACTGAACTGGCAAGCAGTGATTTTCAGAACGGCCCCGATATATTAGCCCAATGACAGAGAGGTTGGATTCCCTCTACTTAGCGAGCGATGGTGCAAGGATAGTGCTGGGTTTTCTGCCAGGCACAAGTCCTGGCAAGTGGCAACATAGCCTTTGCGATCCATTCCCATGCAGGTCCGTAGCACGGGGAATCCTTAGCTGCCTTGGGATCTGAACGACGGCTCGTGTTTCAGAGCTGTTTGCTATCCCCACTGATATGCATAGGCTGTACACCCTCTTCCTTCGAGATGAGTGCCTCTTTTCCGGGCGGCCACCATGTCATAGGCTTTGTAAAGGACTCGGGATTCGAGGCTTATAACACATAAGTAGATCTTCCTGCGTATGAGTCATTCAGCAGCCGAGAATGTGGTCAGAAACATGATCTCTGGTGCCTCGACGGTCGGTGATTTTCGAATGCGTCTGCAGCCGACGGCCACCCTTCTCCCATGGGGCAATGCCGCTTCGGGGCGAGGATACCCAGGTGGCAACAAGCGGAAGCCCAGTTTACTTCGGCTAGCACTAGGACACAGACCCCAACGACGAGGGAATTTGAAGCAGGGGGCTGAGATGGCCGAGTCACATCATTTTTGACTCATTGCGGACCAGTCACGGTTGATGGAGGCGGGCGGAGGTTCTGTGGTGCCAGTATAGTGCTTGCATGGTCACATGCTGACGCGGACGATTCGTGCCAGGCACAGGCGCGGCAGGACGCGTAGCTTCCGGGACTTCATCTAGCCCCAGTCCAGCAAAATGGATAGTTGATAAGCTCATGTCCCTACCTGGTACCCCCGGATGTGTCTCTTCGCAGGCACCGCAGGCCGCCGTCATGTTCCTCCCGCATAAGAAGCTTCTCCCTGCAGCCAGGAGAATCTCCTCAATTTCTTCTCGACCTGACCGTCCTGACCAATGTAGTGGAAGTCGGCAGCCTTACTTTCGTTGCACCCCAGATTCCAATGCGACTGTTTCTTGTACCCTCATTGCAGCTGACTTGATCCCTCCGAACCGAATTCTCCTTGTCGCCCTTGAACCCAGTGCCTCCCGTCACTTCTGATCTAACACCCAATCTGCCTGCGACTGCACACAAGCCACGACAAAATGTTCAGCAGCAGAAAGGGACGCCCATCTGATAGTTTCTCATCCCGATATGGGACCAGCAAATCCACCAAGCCTAAATCCTCCTACCGGGAGCACTCCATCACCAGAGGCCTCCAGAGGTCGGAGTCTATGAGCAGGACAACGAACAGGGAACCCAGTGTGCACACGAGCGCACCGGTTAGCAGGTCGGTTGAATTGGTCTTTCTTGATGGGAAATATCTACTGACTTGGATCTCAAAAGCACACTTACCTCTCCAATCATCACCCTCTGTGTTGGCCCTGAGCAGAGACTCTTTGCTGGGCACGAAGAAGTCCTTTGTCGATCGCCTTTCTTCAAAGCTGCCTGCAGGGGCCAATTCTTCGAAAGCAATGCAAGGAGAATCAACCTTCCTGATGAGCAGCCTGAAATTCTCTCTGCTGTTCTTGAATACCTCTACAGAGGGGACTACTATCCGAAGTTGATTCATAATAAGAGAAAGGACACTTGGGAACTGGAAGATGATGGCAATGGGAGTAACACCACAATCTTCTGTCATGCTGCCAAACAGGCTCTGATGAAAGATACTGTCATCTAGTAGGCTACCACCCATCTCTGGGGACCATTATCTGCTGACACTGCCACTCAAACAGTTGTTCGGCCGAGCGTTATGGACTCGATGAGCTCAAACGCCTTGCCTTTCGCAAGCAGGGCTTACGACAAGGCATGCAGATTTCCACCATCCTGGCCTCGGCACGCTATGCGTACAACAACACCCCCAACACTGACTCGAAGCTTCGAGCCCAGTACCTTACATTGATCATCCGCAATCGCGACAACTTCAAGAAGAGCGGCACTATGAAGGTCGAAATGGAGCAAGGCGGTACAGACCTGTTCTTCGATCTTTTCGTCGCCATGTGTAATCATATGGTAAGCTATATGGTTCTATTCTACCTTGTGCCCTGCTTGTTAACTGTCGAGCAGGATGATTTGAAGACCATTCGGTCCCCATTTTCGTCTCCATTTACTCGTTGAATCGAGTTCTGTGTACGCATATCAACTCAACGCATCAGATTGTCAACATCTGGATTCATGCACCAAGACTGCTCTTGTTTCATTAGGTGTACTGTTGGAGTTCCGGTTGTCCTACCTGTATCATTAGCCACGCAATTTCCACCAATGTCTTTTCCTCTGTCGAGCGGTGAACAAGTCTATTGTCACATTTACGACAGAGCAAAGAGTGTAGTTCGGATCGCAGAAAGGGGGAACACTGCACTGTTCAATTCTCAATGGCTCAAATCTTGCCATACTGCTAAGCAGAACTCGGACTTTTTAGGGTAGTACTATCAAGTCAATCAAACATGCTATCAATGTAGAGAGCTCCCTTCCTGACAAACCCCTGATTCCTGCTTGAGGGAGTATCGGCACAAAAAGCCGCCTTTTTGGGGTACACACGAGCCATTCTGATGAAGTCGGCTGAATTCGCTGGCGTTTTTGATTCGATTGGACTCGACTTCCTAGCGTGTTGTTGCAAGAGGCAACCAGCCGTGTCTTCCAGCCCGCCCTCCTTGCAGCGTCGCCAGGTTTTTCCTCAACTTCTGGCAGCTTCAGTTGAAACCGGCTGCGCTTTCAAGGCACATAAGGCAAGATCGAACCTGGATGCAAGTGGGGCCTCTGAAGCCGGGGGTGCGCAGATCGTGTGTGAGTCACTTTCTGGCCCGTCGCCGGCAGACCAATCTCGAAGAGGTATAGGTGACAGGAGAAGGTCGGCAGGTGTACAGAGTACATCCTACATTCTGACATGTGCCAGGCCACCTGCAGTATTGAGGTGTGCCAGAGAAGGGGTGTAACTTTTTACCTCTGAGGGATTGCCTAGGTAAGAATATCCCTACACGTACCCCGTACATCATTCTCAGTCGATATAGGTGGGTGGGGCAGAGAAGTTAGTTCCGTGGCTCCAGCTCTTCCCCGACCCGGTGTGACCAGGATGGTTGAGGTCGTGCCGTGTGCACTGTGCAGCACTGTCAACAAGATCCACCTAGAATCTGCTCAAGATATCACACAAAAGTGACCGGTCTCAACTAGGTCACTGTGCCATTTTGCATGGCATAGCGTTGGGGCTAATGCAAGCACTCAGCCGACACCACATGTGGAGATTATCTCGTTGCCTCAGGAGTGTTGATGGGCCAGTGGTTTCTGCGCCACATTTCCGGTAGAGTCCCCTGCTGACTCGCATCCTGCCAATAGCTGCAATGTATCGTGCCGCATCAAGCGGTGTGCCATAGCCTGGCGATGCATCGTAGCAAATTTTCAGGCCGTATTGAGATCACCGCTGGAGACTGAATGAGCCGTCACACAGAGGCTCCGGGCATATGCTGTGACCATGCTCATTCTCGGCTCCTGTTGCAGGGGTGAGTGCTCCAAGATGCTATTGGGCGGAAGCAGGAAAAGTGAGTGTGCGGCTGCCTACAGACGGCCAGACCAATGGCAGACGTTTTAACAACCTCAGCACATTCTCAGTCCTTGTCTTTTGATCCCCCAATGACATGGGAAGGCCGTTTCAGACACCTGTACCAGGGAAGGCGCCGGCCTTACTGAGGACAACAATGCCTCTGTCACGAGCGATGTAACCTTTCATCAAGTTCTGTGAGATGCACAATTTTCCGAGTCAGCATACGTTTCTTGTTGCCTTAGGTTCATGGTGGTGATGGTGTTCTGTCAGGCTTGGGCGCCTGTTCGTGCTAGGCATCCGTCCTCGCCTAGGCAGCCGTGTCTTACGAATTGGCGAGGTCCGTAGGCACAAAGAGCCATTTAAGCGAGGGACATGGGCAAGGAAATGAAGGCAAGCAAAAAAAGCACAACGCACCTTATAAACCATGTTGGCCAGGAAACACTCTACCTCGTCCCTCTCCATCATGACATCCGTGGCGCCTTTGTAGCCTACGCGCATTGCCGCTTCGAATTCCTCGATACGAATTCTCGTCCGGCGAATCTTGCCCGTTACTTCCCCAGTCGTCGAGTCTTTAGTTTCCTCCCAGCCTGCGGCCAAAAAGACCTTGCGGAATAGATTGCGCAGGCAGATGTCTCGGGTCCGCTCCAGGGTAAGATAGACGCGGCGCTTGACCAGTTCCGGTTCGGCGGACGTGAGAGCTTCATCGAAGGCTACTAGGGACCCAGCACGAACAGCGTTGAATAATGGTGTGAATAAACCGGAAAGGGTTGGATGCGGCGACAGCAAGGCGTGGCTAGGCAGCTGATGGTGGTTTACGACATGAGCCGGGATGAGATAGGTCAGGATCTGTTCCCTGTTTTTGAGTGAGTCTTTGTGGCATAGATTGAGTGCCTCGGTCAGGTGCTGCTCCGCTTCAGTGTAGTTCTCCTGCAGGAAGTCGATGACTCCTCTGTAGTATTTGAATGTGCACCGGTGAGACTTAGGGAAAAGCTCCAGGGGAGGCAGGTCGGCTGACGCAGCTTCCAGGGCACGGATGACATTCCTGGTCAGTGAAATGGAGTTGAGTCTGAAGTATGTCTTGAACAGAAGGTTGGTGGTGCTGTAGATGCCCCATTTGCGGGACTCGGCCAGTTCAGACCGGTCGCTCAAGCACACCGTGAACATGCGGTTGATGGTCCAGGCTGCCTGCTCGAGTTTCTCGTGCTTGTTCACATCGCCCATGATGTCGTCCGAAAAGCCATTTGTAAAGGCACTCCCGTTGGCGTCCTTGGGCTTGACCTCACTGTCCGCCTTCATAGCTATTATGCGGATATACTTGCCTGCAACGTATAGGCAGGGGACGGTCCATGACTGGAAGCCAAAATTGGTGTAGCCTCTGACCAGGAGGTTGCATAATTCCTTGTAGGAGTCAAAAGCCCGTACCCAATCCCCCGTACCGTTGCCTTGCCGTAGTCCGACGAGTTCCTTCACGGTTTTCCAGAGTGCGACGAAGATATCGACCCACGCATTAGCTTCAGCTTTCGATAATCCCACTGCATTAGGAGCCTGTATCAGATAATAGCGCACGTCCGAGGAAATCGTCTGATAATTCGATAGCTGGGCAAACGATATTAGTCGATGAGGGTCTTGAGCAGTGTCTATGGGAGCAAGGCAGGAGGCTAGGAGGCGGCCATTCCCGACCCTCTGGGCCTGCTGGAAGTCTGCAAAGATGCTGCCCATTAGACAATCATTCGTCAAGCCCAGTACTTAGGATAGAAACCGAAAAGACAAGAATGTCATTTGCATGAAGGTTGTTGTTGGTCACAAACCGACTTTACTCTCTCGGGGCGACGGACCAAGCAGACGAGAGCAGCTCAGGCTTGGCAATCAGCCGCCGACCCGCCGCTTTTAACGCACCGCACTCTGGCCATGACTGCACCACCGACCTCTCTGCTCCGCACGAAATAAATCCAATTCTTGGCGCACTTTCAATTTTGGTGACTCTGGAGGTAAAGCGCTCGTTCACCTGGGTTTCTGTCATCCTGCGATCAACCACATCGACGACGACCAGCACCAAACCAAGTCGGTCAAAATCAAGTCAAGGTATGTCAGATCGTGTTGGCGGATCATTTCGAATACTAATTCGCTGCAGATGGGTAAGTCCAGCCATTCTGCTTTTCCACACCAACCCCCATCGAGAGCGATGCGAGAGATTTCAATGAGACGCCGGCCGCACAGAAGGAGGGGCAAGGGTCAGAGTTGAAGGCATATCTACGATTACTTTACTGTGTGGGAATCTCTGAAGAGGAGGGTCTGGAATCGATTGATGGCAATTCGACACTCGCTCGACACTCGCGCACAACCGGCACTCAATATCGCACACCTGCGCTCAGATGCGCAGCTCTCAAATGCAAAGACTAACAAATCCTTTTCCCAGGTCGCCTGCAAGAATACCAAGTGATCGGGCGCCACCTGCCCACGGACTCGAACCCGACGCCGAAGCTGTACCGCATGCGCATCTTCGCACCCAACGCGGTGGTGGCCAAGTCTCGCTTCTGGTACTTCTTGATGAAGCTCCGCAAGGTGAAGAAGTCCAACGGTGAAGTCGTCGCGCTCAATGTCATCCACGAGAAACGCCCGTTGAAGGTCAAGAACTTTGGCATCTGGATCCGCTACGATTCTCGCTCCGGCACGCACAACATGTACAAGGAGTACCGCGAGCTGAGCCGCACCGCGGCCGTCGAGGCCCTGTACCAAGATATGGCTGCCCGCCACCGTGCCCGATTCAGGAGCATTCACGTACGTTTTCGCACTACTGGCCTCTCTGGGCCTCGTATACAGGGTTGGACCTTTTGTTTAAACTAACCCTTTATGCTTCACAGATCCTCAAGGTCGTCGAGCTCGCCCGCGCTGACGACGTCAAGCGACCATACATCAAGCAGCTCATCTCCAAGGGCCTCAAGTTCCCTCTACCCCACCGCAGCACCAAGTCCAAGAAGCTGTTCACCCCGAACCGACCCAGCACTTTTGCTTAAACCTCTCGGACGCACGTTTATTCTGGTCTGGTGGAGGATATTGCCAGTCACAAGGCTGCCGAATTCGATCATGTGGCGTTTGTGATGTGGCGGGTACTGCGGCGAATCGAAGTGGTGAAAAATTGACGATCGGTGTTCTGGCATTCTTGCCACTCGAACATGGAGGAATGCTGGCTCGGATGAAATGGAGCGGGGCAAGTTTACGCTATCTCGCGCAAAAAGATTCAAATAGAGTGAAGGCGGATAGGTCCAGGTCGGGCGCCGACTCTTCACGGTCCAGCCATGAGATGCAAACTGTGTATGTACGTGCCTTGGGTCGAGAAAGGGACGGCTCGTGCGCATTCGATGCATACGAGAAAGAAAAGACAATGAATGCAATTGCCTATTTTCAAACTTCACCACCAATCCCTGTAAAGGAGGAAAAGAAAGCGAAGAGAGGAGTTCACCATTGTGCCCTTGATCTAGCTTGTCGATCCAGACGATTGTTTCGTTGATCGGCCTCAAATGTCCCTACCATTGCACATTCTTCATGAAAACGATGCTTGGCCGTGGAAGCTTCTTATCTCGACCCAGAACTGTACGGAGTACCCAATTGATTCCAGCGTGAAGTTGATTGCGATTAAGTGCTACTCGTCTCGGTAAGTGTACGGAGTACTAAAATCAAGAGGACTAAACTCAATGTACTCCGTACTCCAGCAGCCTCTCATAAACCAGTAGAAATCAAAAAGACCAAACCAACTGTACTCCGTACTCCAGCACCCTCTCAAAACCAGTAGATCGTGTCTCAGTCTCCTATCATCCAATGCACCTCTCTCTCTCTCAGTCTCATATCATCCAACGCGCCTCTCTCTCTCTCTCTTTTGTCCTGCCCGGCTTGTGCCAACACTGCAGAGTTTTCCGCCCGACGCAGGCCGCTCCATGAGGCCTGTGGCGTCAGAGGGACGCGGCGCCGAATTGCTTGGACGAGCATTCTCAGGAAAATCCACCTTTCTGGCTATGTAGGAGACAGAATCCATGGAGCGGCAGCAAAGGCATGGTTTGCCGTAGAGGCAGGCGGGAGGGACAAGCCAAAAAGCAGAAGCCCTGCCAAATTGGTCGTTCTGTGATCCCAAAAAGAACCACATCATCAGTGGATGGCTTAGACTTCACCAATATCAGGAGCCCGCCCCCACCAGACATGGACGTTGTTGTAGCCGTGGCAGGCTGGGTTGGTAGCCTCCTCGACGACGGCCTGGCTGATGGCTTCGACATCAGGCACCGACCAGTTCTGGTGCTTGCACAAGGCAGCCAAAGTGAGGGCATCCATACCGTTGCCGCCATCGTTATTACGGCCACGAGACATAATCTGGGCCCACCACTGGCCTGCCTTCCACTCCTGCCTGTCGCTCGACCACATGTTGAATGGGACCTTGTAGACCATATGATGGACGTCCTTGAACCCAATCGCCCGGAGAATGTCGCCTGTGTTGGGGTCGTAGTGAATGGGTCGGTTGATGGATTGGAAAATATTCTTGAGGTAGGTTCCCCACAGCTCAGTAAATTTTCCTGGCTGCATGCTGCCGTCGTCACAGCGCGGCTCGAAGTCTATCTCCACAGATTCGAAACAGCCGGAGCCAGGGATTAGATGCTGGATGATCTTGGAGTACAAACTGGGCCAGTCAGACACACTCCCCAATCCCATTTGAAGGTGGATCATGTCCCAGGATCTCTCCCCAAGAGCCCAGGGTTGCTCGTAATCCCAGATTCGAGCGCTCACGTTGGGAGGCTGGCATTGGGACCACAGGCGGTGGATGTCGACACCGACGAATTCGGCCTGGGGGAACTCACGGGCCATTTCGTTCATCCAAATCCCGGTACCACAACCCAAGTCGAGGACCCTGGGCCTCATGCCCAGGGGCAACGGCGTTGTTAATTGACCGGCCTCTGACAAGGACAAGCGCTCGGTCGGGACGTTGGTCAGCCTACATGAGCCGAAAGGCCTGATCAACTTGAACACGGTGTGCGTCATATCCAGTTTCACTCGTTCCCTTTCGTCGTGGGGCAGCAGATACTGCCCACTACGGAAACCGTTAGCTATCATTTTCAACAGTGTTGGAGTATAGCCCTGAAGACTGACCGTCTGTACGTGCCATATTCTCTGCCAAGTTCATGGACAACTTGCCATCCGGGGACGTCTGTAGGTGGATGGAGTTCCGCGGCCATGGAGAGTAATCTATGATAGGCGAGAGGGATGTGAGGGACGGAATCTTGAAGCAGTTAAACCGATGTTCCAGCACAGCTCTGGCACCTCGCGTGGGAAACAGCAGCAATAAGACCAGAAGGGACACCTGCCCAAAGGACGTATGATCAAGCAAGACGACTGAAAGCCTAGGTATTCGGACGGTACCACGGTTGTTTGAAACGCTCTCAAGATCTGAAGGTGAAAAGCCAGGGAGGAAGTCGGTCTTTAAATAAGTAGAACTGCTAGCTACTAAAGGGGGGAGTGCGGCCAACTCAGCAGAGGGCGTCGGTCGGGTACAGCTTCATTGTTGGACCTGGTCTTGAAAACATTTGGAGAAATGTAAATGAGAGGGAGATTCCAATAGACGATAGTCGTGTGTTCCAGTACAAATGAAAGCACAGACTAGTCATTAGTCCATAAGGATTGGCAGTCGACAAGGATCGTGCAGAGCGGAAGGGCACTAGGGCTAAGGAGGCCTCCCTAGCCGCCGCCTAGATGTCACATCCACCCGTACGCTGGTACGTAGCTAGTGGGCCGATTCCAACAGGGTTGACCCAGAGGAGACACCCACTCCACGGAACAGGCCATGATTTGTTCGTCTTTCGGCTCCATTCGTGACAGATAGAAACCGAGTCCGGGAAAGAGTGTCTGGGGAGGACGGTAACTGTACGGGGTATGCCGAGACCTGATGGATGAATTTCGATACAGAATTCAAATGAATGGTGAATGGAGTCAACTGCCAACCCTGAGATGGGACGGACGATGGAAGCCAGCTTCAGGCAAAAGTGGCGAAATAATCGAGCAGGGACCCTTGTAAGGTTGTGGGAAGCAAAAAGCAGGCGAGGACATGAAGCGACAGCTGCGAGCGGGTTGAAGCTCAAAGGTGGCTGCTGAGACCTGAGACCCAGCCCAGTAGCTTAGTTGCAGGGCGCTGCTGTAGGAAGGATTCCGATGCATCTGACTGGATTGAGCTTCCATCCCATGGATTCAATCTCCTTTGTCCATGAGGTACAGAGTACTCCGAGTTCCGTACATAGTCGACTCAAGTGGGAGTCATCATGGTGAGAGGATGCAACAAGGCCAATTGATTCCTCTTCTTCCAATTGCTCCTTCATGCTCATTGTTCTCCAGTGGGTTCCCCGGGTTTTTCTGAAAATGTTGGGGTGGGGGTCCCTTGCCTTGGAGTCCAAGGGACCTGAGTTGACCGCCGCCTCAGAGGCAGTACGTATAGCCAGCTAGCCACTGTCGCCTGTCTCACAACAACCGAAACTCAAATTCAACTGGTGTTGTTTGGTCTTGGAAGAAACCTGTGGTTGATTAGTGGAATTGGAGTCAGGATCCTTGTCCAGGCGCCCCAAAGCGCGGGATGATGGGATCTTCACTGTCTGCCGCTGGGAGCTGGGGAGCTGGGGAGCTGGGTCCCTTAGGCGAGCCGAAGCGTCAAGTATCCGGAGCCATGGGCTGGCAAACTATAACACTTGTCATGTGTCAAGGCCGCAGCTGATTGTTGGTTCTCAAGGCACTTCTCGACCAGTGACCAGTTCCCGTCGCCTCAGATCGCCTCTTTTTTCACTTCACACGTCTCCATCCTCCCCGGTCGGTGCAGGTGCATTGCCGGATACAGATTGTGTTCTGCATCCCTTGTCCCCGGGGGTTTCAATGGCTATCCGTAGTCCGTAGTTCCTCTCCGAACTTCTAGCATACACTGCGTACGTGTGGCCGTCACTCTCGACAGCCTACATGTACCTCTACCTTTGTAACTTGCGTGGTAAAGCGGCCACTGACCACTCCGGAGATCCAGGTCGATTTCAAGTCCAACAAACGGCATCAAAACTAGATTTCTTTCATTCCACTGCACAGCAGCAAGTCCCGTCTGCCTGACCCGACTGTCTGGTTCAAGGAGACTTCAGGGCGTTTGGTGCTGATTGGCCCAGTCCCTGCGTAGTGCTTCGTGTCAGCCTGCGCTCGCTCCAACTGGCCAATAGACACTCGGGGATGGCTTGCTACCCCTCTCTTGGTGCCCACTCCACTGAACTTTTTCCTTCACCTCCCCTGCATCCGTACACCGCATTCTCACCAGCATCACCACCACCACCACAACGACACGCGTCTGGCTTTCGGCCTTTGCCTTTTGTGCCAGGTTCACCAGTCTGCTGCTTGTCACCATTCCGCCTTCTGCATTGTCCTTCAGGCCCGCGGGCCAGAAACTTGCACGTTAGGAGCAGGCTACTGTGCCCTTCACCCCCTTCTCCCCGTCAAGTTTCACCGCCCGTCCAATCTCGATGGAAAATCATCAAACGACTCCTGGCGGTTCCCAGGCCTCCCCCATTTATCGGACCTATCACGAGCTGGCCAGTTACGCACCATCCCAGCAGCAGGACGTGTACATCTATGTGATAGCACCACTTGTTGGAAACGCCCTTGCCGCAATCACCTCCGCAGACGAGTTGATCTTTCTGCCACGGGACACGCTGAATGCTTCAGGCGTTTCCAGGCTCAAGCATGTCCCCCAAGGCCTCACATCCTTGGTCACCGCGGATAGCGGGACAACTGCAATCTGTGCAGGAAACGACGGTGTGGTTGCGCTATTTGATGTCCGAATGCAATCGAGAGCGGCCCACTTCACAACAGGTGTCGTCAGCTCATCTATGCCATTGGCATCATGCTGCTCGCCGCTAATTCACCTACAGGCAAACCTATCAATGCAGTGGCTTGCACGGGGAGCGATGTAGCCGTAGGGAGTGAGGCCGTCGTATCTGTGTGGTCAGTTCAATCCGATCCCGGGTCCGCAGTGAGAGCTCTCTTGCTGACCCACCTACCTTCCTTGCAGGGACCGCAGACAGAACCGCCTTCGATGGCAGAACAGCGAGATCAACGACGAGATTACCGCATTGGCCTTTCATGCATCGCACCACAACTTGCTGCTCAGTGGAGGTGACGACGGCTTGGTCAGCATTTTTGACACTAACATCATTGAGGAGGACGACAGTCTCATCCAGGCTGTCAACCACGGACCAATCCACAAAGCAGGCTTCCTTGGACCATCCAATCTTTATGCCTTGAGTTCGGACCAGAACCTCGCTCTCCATTCTCTGACCCTACCAGACACCGATGCAGATGAACCGCCATCCGATCAATTCGGAGACCTAAGACCCATTATCCCTTGCGAATACGTGATTGACGTCTTCCAAACCGGATTGGACTACGTCGTCGCCTGCGGGTCTCATAGGTATGTGTCATCATCCGGCTCTTTGCCATATCACACTAATTCGGAGAATGTAGCCAGTCTCGTGTGGATCTTGTCAAAGTGGACAGGGCTTCGAAACTCGACCTTGACCAACGCATTGTCCTCGAAGGCGCTCATGGCGAGGAGGTTGTTCGCTCGATCTTTGCTGATGAAACGGTCAGACCAGATCCTTAGGCCTGCTCGGGGTGACACTGACGCGCTGTTTAGAATGGGATTATCTATACCGCGGCCGAGGATGGACTCATTGCCGCGTTTGGGCCCGCCGAGCAACCCGCTTCATCAGCTGATCGATCCAAAGGGTCTAAACTCAAGAAAGGAAATGTGACCGATACAAGATACAAGCCCTACTGAATATGGCAAGTGCGATGGCATCCTGCGTCCTCTTGTCTGGCGGTCACAACTACCTCACATCGATGCCCTTCAAGCAACAGAACCAAGGCAATACCTACCCTCCAGGAGGAGCAGGATTGCGTTCATGACTCTCGAAGAGAAGCGTCCTTCCTAGCACAAATTCTCTACATCTGTTACATCGGTACCATGCAGTTGCGCAACATATTAACCCTCGCCACTGTTTTCGTGTCCGATGCTCTTGGCGCCAGCTGTCCCTGTGGCTGGCGTCTAGGGGAGGACGGCGGTGCAGGAGTGTACACATATACACATCGGCTGCACGAGGATTTCAGCAAATACCCCGACATCAAGTTCATCCTCACCGATCCCAAGGCAGCTGATTTCAACAAGAACTGGATGATCTACGACTACTAGCAGCGCGCAGACGATCCGAGTGTCCGGCTCAATATGAAGTACGACTGGACAAATGTCGAACTCAAAGACAACCACCTTGTGCTCAAGCAACGTGGCTTCAGCCGAGACGACCTTTCCGCCTACCGGAATGTAAGCATAGCCGGAATTCAGTCTCGGACCCTAGATATGGTCCCTGGTACCTACCGGACGGTTTTCAGATTGGACGGTGCCAAGGGAGGAGCGTGTTCAGGGTTCTTCTGGTATCACGTAGGGTGTTCCCCCAACGCGTAGACTCCGCCCAAGAAACTCATGGCTGACGGCCTCCCACAGGACGACAAAGCCGAGATCGACATTGAAATCGTGACGCCCGGCGACTCCATGGTCAATGGCACAATCAATTACACACTGCATCCATCGTTGGCGCCAGATGGATCACCAATAGCCAACGCTACGCTTTCAGTCCCGTTGGACGACTCTCATCTCCGCCCCGACACTTTCCATGAATACCGCTTTGACTACCATGCACAACGAGGGGTGCAGTATTACCTGGATGGAGCCCTCGTCCACACCAATGCTCGTGACATTGCTACCTTAAGTGGCAATCTCCAATTCAAGTTGTGGGCGGACGGTAACAAATGGTGGAGCGGTACACCGAGTACGGCTGATGTATTGATGAATATCAAGAGCATTGATGCCTATTTCAACTCCTCGGGCACTGACACAGACACAGCATGGATGAGGGCGTGCAGTGCGGCCGGCGGTCCGAGCAGCCTGACTATCTGTACTATCCAGTAGTAATTGAATCCGATACGACTACATTTCTTTATTTTTTGATTGTCGTGAGACACCCGTCTATCTTCCTCTCTTCGTCAGGTTACGTGTTATCCGTGTATTCCGAGCACTAAGTTTGGTCAACTGATACCTTGTCCTGGCGGCTTTTCTTTATTCGTAGACCTGATTCAGGAGGCTGGCTCTCAGGCTGGCGCCGGCGCCCACCCAGAAGAAACCTCGTCGCTTTGAGCAGACGCATCCACACCTTCTCCACACAAAAAGAAAGGAGAAGGACAGAGGGCCTGTACGGAGTAAGGAACCTCGCGAGTTCTTCTCCGTAGTCGCAGTCGCTAATCGCACTATGGAATAGGGGATAGAGATAGGGATGGAGCATAGAGGATAGAGGATGGGGGGATCAGGATATAGGGATGATGGGACCGAGGCCTGAAAACAAAAACAATCGACAGCCAGGATTCTTGACTGGTCACCCACGTCAATACTAGCTGGCCGGCATGTGGTTTCAGTACGGCTGAGCGGACGGGAAGCCCTGTTTTCCGAATACATCCTATGGTCGATTGCGGGAGAAGATCGTGGGTTTGAAATATATATACTGTACCTGGTACCAATTTATTACCTATTGATACCTACCTAGGTGCCTATGAATACCTACCTATTGATACCTACCTATACCTACCTAAGAGTGTTGTGAGTGGAGTGGTTGTCGATTCAATCTCATATCTGTCAAAGGTTGAAATATTCCATGTGCGATATCAAAGGGGTAAGGGGGTATGGGGAGAGCCCAGACTATATAATATGCCTATACCAGCCCCTAGGCCTTCTGGTTAAAGAGTAAGGGCAAGGCTGGGAATGCCTAAGTTAGTGCCTCGGTTTGACAAGATCGAGTCTACGGAGTACAGATGCTTCGTGAGTTTCGTTGCATGACTGTACTTTTACTTTATTTCTCTAAAGTTGTGGACACCTCCCTACCTCCCTACCTACCTATACTAATAGCTTCTCGTCACAGTATATCTATCTCTCTAGTGATTGATGACTGATGGACTGTTCTCTCATCCTCTATATATGTACCAGTTCGCCCTCAAGGGAAAAGATCTCTCATCCTCATCCTCATGATTCGTACAGCTCTCTGATCATCCTCATGATTCGTACAACTCCCTGAACCGACTGTGCTGTTTGGTGAGCAGGACTTGTGGTTCTCCGACCTCGACGACGCGACCCTGACTCAGGACCACGACTCGGTCGCCGCCCTCGATGGTGTTGAGACGGTGGGCAACGGCGATGATAGTACTCTCGCGGAACTCGTCATGTATGATGCGCTGCATGAGCTCGTCGGTCTTGACGTCGACGCTGGCGCTGACCTCGTCCAACACCACGATCTTACTCTGCCGCACCAGCGCGCGCGCCAGGCAGAAGAGCTGCCGCTGGCCGTGGCTCAGGAAGTCCGACGTCATGGTCGCGTCCAGGCCGCCGTTGGCCTCGATGACCGGCCAGATTTGACACCGTGATAGAGCGGAGATGAAGGCGGCGTCGCGATCGGCCTGGTTGAGAGGACGAGGGTCGCGGCCAGTGCCCGAACTCCCGTCTGCTACTAGAGCTGCATTCCACGGATCCATGTTGAAGCGGACCGACTCGGTCGTCACCCACCAGGGTTCCTGGGGGATGACGTTCAGTCTGGCTCGCACCGTCTCCCGCGCGACTCGGGAGATGTCGACTCCGTCGATTCGGATGGACCCGGCGCGGAACTCGAGGAGGTGCAGCAGACTTGCCAGCATGGAGCTCTTGCCGCTCCCCGACCGGCCACAGACGCCCAGCTTCTCGCCAGGCCGAATCTGCAGGCTGATGTCTTGGAGCACCAGGTCCGACTCTGCACCATAACTGGCTCCGAAGCCGGCAAAGTCCACCTCGCCGTTCTCGGGCCAGCTGCTCCTCATCGGCTCCACTTCCCATTCCCGATGCTCAGACTCGGTGGTTCTGACGAAATCCCGGATTCGAGTGATGGCGCCAATACTCGTCTCCAGTCTGGTCCATTCCTTCACCAACCCGGCCAGATTGGTGTTTAAGTTGACCATGGCCAGCAAACCCAGTCCCACGAGTCCCGGCTCGATGGACTGCCGTTGGGCAACGACGATGACCATCAGGACGGTTGCTAGTGCAGCGACCAGCAGATCGAGAACTATGCCCAGCCACCTTTGGATACAAGACAGGAGATAGAACGGACGTTGGCTTTGATCCAGGAGTTCTAGACATCTCTCAGCGAATTGGTCCGTCCAACCGAACGCGCGGATGCTTGCCAGGCCAGCTGCAGTCTCGGTGAACATAGAGTATAGAGGGGCCTTCTCCTCCAGGTCCAGCAGTCTCAGCTGCCGACTCGTCCGCAGGTAGTACTTTTGAATTCCGTACAATGCGGCAATGACGAAGGGGAGCGTGACTGCAAAATACCCGGCGCCCGATGCGGAGATGAGGCCGAGTCCGATGAGGCAGGACACGACCAAAAGAATAAAGTCGGCGTAGGAAAAGGGCAAGTCGGAATCGACCAGAGTCATATCTTGGCTGAACCGGTTGATGATCGTGCCCGCGTCAGTGCGGGTGAAAAAGGAGAGCGGAGCGTTCAGAACGCTCTCTAGCAGATGGAGATGTAGACTTTTGGCGCTGCGCGGTTGCATGTTCAGCAAGACCTGATATCCCAAAAGCGCGTTGGCTGATACCGCAACCAAAGTGGTCGCGCCAAACGCGCCAACGAATGCCGTCGTCGATGACGATGAGAAGACCTTGACAAGCAGACCCGGTGTTTGCATCATAGAAGACATGAGCAAGGCCCAAATGACGGAAAGGAGGCTCGAGACATAGCCGCAAGACTGGAACCATTGCAGGTAAGTTCTGAGCTCGCCCGTCCGTCTCCTCAAGTTTTGTGCGCTCTCCTCGTCTTCGTCGACGACATCAGCGGTGGCAGGTGACTTCTCTTCGCTTGCGGCTTCAGCAGCGGGATGAATCTGCTCTTCAGGTTCTGTTTGATGCTCCTGCTTGAAACGAATGTCGAGGCTGTGCACGTATCCAGGATTGTTGATCAAGCTCGCGTAATCCCCCTGCTCGCATATCCGGCCATTCGCGTCTAGGCTGACAACAAGATCCGCGTAAGGCAGCCGGTGGACTGCATGAGTCACCACAATCACAGTCGTCTTCAGCCTTCTCAGTGGTCCAGACCGGCTGAAGAGTCGGCGGAAGATGAGCTCTTCCGTGCCATTGTCGAGCCCGGAGAACACATCATCCAGGATAAGTAACTGGGCTCTGCTGTAGACCGCCCGCGCCAGTGCCAGCCTTTGTTTTTGTCCGCCACTCAAAGAGATACCCTTCGATCCGATTATGGTCTTATCACCCTTTGGGAAGACCCTCAGATCTTCAGCCAATCCACAGCAGTCGACAACTTCCTGATACCATGGATCATGCCGCTCCGAGATGCCTCTTGAACTGGGTCCGCAGATTGTATCTCTGATTGTGCCATTTTGGATCCATGCTTCTTGGTCAGCAAAGGCGATAGATAGATTCCTAAGATAAACGAAGCCGCTGGAGACAAATGTTTCGCCGAGAATGCCCTTGAGTAGTGTGGATTTGCCACAGCCGACAGGCCCAATGATCATGGTGATTGAACCAGTTTGGACAGACAGGTCGATGTCTTTGATCGTAGGTTCCCCGGTGTCTTTCCACCCAAAACTACAGTTGTTGAGCGCGAGAGCTTCGTCTGCGGGACTGCGAGTGACGCTGCTCAATCTACCCATTTGAATCGACCCTCCGTGCGGAATGGGGGTTTCCCAGTAGCCGCGAGAATCATAGGCCTGGTTCAACAAAAGCCGGTTGTCACGCCGTGAATCTGAGAGCAGGTATTGCTGAATGCGGTCAAAACATGACATGGAGGACGCCAGTTGTGGGCAGGAGTAGAGGAGTATATTCAGGGGGCCGTCCACTAATCGGAGGATGGTGAGGACGCTGAAGGCGCTCGCCAGGTCCAGTTGATGGCCGGATGCCTTGGACCTCAGGTAGTAGGCGAGGAATGTAACAAAAGGCGCGATGGTAGTGGGTCCATTTTGGACCAATATCTGGAAGCAATAGATAGATCGAAAGCGTTTGTAATCGCGGATCTCTTCCTCTCGGAGGGCCTGGACCCGATCCTTGACGATTGCGGACAATCCCAGGAGTTTAACGTTCCGCATAGAGTGCAGCAGGGCTGCTGTAAATGATATCCGGACCTGTACGGCGTTGAGCCATCGTTTCTGAAACCTTGCAATAACCTTGATCACCCAGCTTGTGCAAAAGGCAAGCAGCACATACAGCACTGCTGGAGCATAGCAAACACTTCCCAGATTCCTATACAACAGGTACATGCCCAGCCCAACGTCAATGATACCACCCCAGGTGTCATGGATCATGGCTAGCGGCTCGACGATTCTTTGTACATCTGATGACATCAAAGTCAACGACGCGGTCACGTCACCCGTGACGATGTTGAGGTCGAGCGTCTTGTTGTAGAGGAGCGAAACCAGCCCTCCGCGGAGTTGAGTAATGCAACGGTTGAGAAGGTGGTTGGAAGCCGCTGTGAGGACAGCTTGGGCAAAGTACACCAGAGAGTAGGCGCCGACTAAACCCCAGCCGACAGAGGCTTTCTGGTTGTTGCGGTTGGCGACGTAGCTGATGGTTGCTTGGGTCAAGAATGGCTGTGCAAACCTGACTCCCGACAACAAGAGACGAGGAAGACAGGAGACCAGAAGCTGCCACTTGAGAACCTTCAGAGTGGTCAGCACAAGGCTGAGGCGATGGTGCTCCTTGATGGCAGTCCATTGTCGTGTGAAGCGATCTTGTACGTGGGCCGAGGCAAGTTTTTCGTCCAGATTGAATAAATCGTCGACCCGAAGCGTCCTGCCGAATCCAACCTTGAGCAGCGGATTGAGCCACCAGAAGATGGACTTGTTGTAAAGCCCACTAGTTGCTTCGGGGGGAAGATCTTGATACGGTTCGAGGAGGATGCCTCGCTTTTCAACGGCTTCCGTAACCAATACTGTCAACTTGATGGCCAGCGATAGAGATGACAAGTTGGCGATGTCTCTGCTGAAGTAGCCGCCGAGCAGATAGAAAGTGCGCAGCCGGACCGCGTCAAATGGAACAGAAAGAATCAAATATAGTGCGATAACCGTCGAAGGGGTGACAGAGCGCGAGTGCTCAAAGCACGATAGCACGAACAGTGCACAGGCGGCCGCGAAGTCAAGAGCAGCGGCGGAGATTGAAGCCCTGGTCCTAGCTTCCGAGTTGGTAGCCCGGGCTAGAAGTACAGTCAATTGTATCGTGGCAAAGGCGGAGAGGACGACCTGGAGGCATCAGTCAGGGCCACACGACGAATCAGTACAGAAGAACAGCTGACTAGTTTGGTCATTCGACTCAGAGATGAAGTTGCAACTTTCTTCGGCTTGCGGGCAAGCCATATTGCCCTCGGTCCCGCAGCGATGAGAAAGACAGCAGCGGGCACGATGGATAGGATCGTGTCCTCGAAGAACAGTGTGAAGTCAAAGTGCCTCAAAGGCCCGGTATAGACCGGCCCGAACTGGAAGTCGGAGCTATTGGAGAGTAGCAGATGGTCCATGGTGAGCGGAAAGTCCACACTGGCAATGGTGCCGGCTCTCCTAGAAGGAGAAGTAGGTGAGCTTCTAAGACCTCGTACTGTCTTCTTGTCTTGTTTAGGGTTGATATATGTCCAGAGGAGGCGGGAAAAGGTGCTGCCTAGCCATAGCAGGCCAGTGATGTTCCATTAGTCGCATCACACAATACTCGGGGCGGGCTCAGGGGCCATCTGCATGATGGCGTGCGTACGGTCACATCATCGCCTGGACCCAGCGGAACAGCCGCAAAGATCTGGACGTTCTAGGAGATCCGTAGTGAGGTGGTAGTGCTAATAGGCACCGACTATTGCTCAGCTGGAAGACTTGTGATTGGCCAGATGCACGTGGCAGTTAGGGTTAGGGTTAGGGTTAGGGTTATTTATCACGTGATGCTGTGTAGTCACGTGATCGCTCACCCACACGCGACTTGCTGGGTTCTCAGCATCCGATATCGGCGGTATTGAAGCAGTCTTTACCCATTCAGAACTTGCCTGATTCTAACCAACTCTTGTTCTTCGCCATTGACAATCCTTCCGATCAGACTACGAAGACTCTTGTATTGAGAGACAGGGCCTGACTGTATCGAAACAACCGGTCCAAAGAGTATAAATTTGTCCACAGAAAGAAGAAAAAGGAAGCCGCAAGTCCAGCGAACGAAGATGCCAACATTCAACATCGTCGTCTTTGCGGGCGACTACGCCGGACCAGAGGTTGGTGTCTCGTCCATGCCCATAAATCTGACTTGATCTCTGTTGAGGGCGTTGCTGACAATATTACCGGAGAGATAGGTCACGCAGGAAGCTGTCAAGGTATGTCCAGCCACATCCTTCATCTTTCTCGAAATCCCAGACCCCAGATCCTACCAATGTGACTGTATCACTTGACGGTGTGGGAGGGCGATTTGTTGGGACCAATTCGACTGCCAGGACCCAACTCTCGAACAACTATAAGACGCGATTTACTGATTGGAATTGCACCGACAGGTTCTCAAGGTGGTGGAGAAGTATTCGAAAGATGTCCAGTTCAACTTCCAGGACCATTTGCTAGGAGGGGTGAGTACTGTGTCCCTGTACCCAGAAGCCACATCCCTCTCCTCCATGGAGGTCCTACCCCTACGCCTTCCCTTCCCTTCCCTTCCCTCTTTTCTTCAAGACAGAATCATTGCTTGGGCCGACCGCTGACCGTGACGGTGCCGATCTACAGTGCTCCATCGATGCGCATGGTACCCCGCTCACAGACGAAGCCCTGGCGGCGGCCAAAGCAGCAGATGCAGTTCTGCTAGGAGCCATTGGCGGGCCCAAGTACGGGGTGGGCAAGGTGCGGCCTGAGCAAGGGCTGCTGAAGCTCCGCAAGGAGATGGGCACGTTCGGCAACCTACGACCGTGTTTCTTCGCGTCGCCGGCACTGGCGGCGCGGTCGCCACTCAAGGAGGAAGTGTGCCAAGGCACGGACTTCATGATCGTACGCGAGCTGACGGGCGGCATCTACTTTGGCGAGCGGGTCGAGGGCAACCCGGCGGACGGGGAGAACGAGTGGGCGGAGGACCGCGAGCCGTATTCGCGCAAGGAGATCGAGCGCATCACGCGGCTGGCGGCGCACCTGGCGCTGGCCAAGAACCCACCGTCGAAAGTCTGGAGTCTGGACAAGGCCAACGTGCTGGCGACGAGCCGGCTGTGGCGCCGCGTCTTCACCGAGACGATGCAGAACGAGTTCCCGCAGCTGCAGTTCGAGCACCAGCTGATCGACTCGGCCGCCATGATCATGGTCAAGAACCCGCGCGCCCTCAACGGCGTCATCGTCACCTCCAACCTGTTCGGCGACATCATCTCCGACGAAGCCTCCGTCATCCCCGGCAGTCTCGGCCTCCTGCCCAGCGCCAGTCTCACCGGCGTGCCCGACGGCAACGGCCCCTGCAGCGGCATCTACGAACCCATCCACGGCTCCGCCCCGGACATTGCCGGCCAGGGCGTCATCAACCCCGTCGCCGCCATCCTGAGCGTCGCCATGCTCCTGCTCTACAGCCTGAACCTGCCCCGGGAGAGTGGCCTGGTCGAGCAGGCCGTGAGGATCGTCATTGACAAGGGAATCACCACAAAGGACATTGGCGGCTCCAGCTCCACCGTCGAAGTGGGTGATGCAGTGGCCAAGGAGCTGGAGACGCTCTTCAGTCAATAGATAGTGGGTTTTGGCAGGCTCGCGTTCTGGCAGGCTCACGTTCTGGCAGGCTCACGTTCTGGCAGGCTCACGTTCTGGCAGGCTCACGTTCTGGTAGGGCTCACGTTCTGGTCTGGTGTGGTCTGATCTGGTCTGATCTGGTCTGGTCTGGTCTGGCTTTGCTTTGCTTCACCTCGTTTGGAAGGGACCACCATTGTTCAATATCGGGATCTAGGCTACGTATGTTGGAGCACAGCTTGTGATACCCAGCAAAGGCCTGAACCTCGACGACTGAACCGAGTGTACGGATGGACGGGTACGAAATATTTATATGAGATCGTGATAGAACCGCATCTCATCTCGATGAGGTCGAAGAGCAATCCAAAAGTTCATCGTTCATCGTTCATCAATGAATACTCCGTACGGATACTCAGGTCCGATCTCTAGCCTGCCTCTCAATGGAAAATCGTCCCATGATGTTGGCCATCATCATCATCATTATCAACCATACCTATGTATGTATGTATGTTGGTCAAAAAGTGCGTAACGTATATAAACCCGGTTCAGCTCAAGCTAAAAAGCCCATATACAATACCTATGAAGATGGTGTATCATATCATGGACAAGCGATGTCGGTGTCGGTACAAGGCATGTTCCTCGCGACAACCAAACAGTCCTAGAGCCCGTCCGTCATTTCCACCAGCCATTTCCCCCAGCCAATCCCCCCAGCCATTCCCCCCATGTCCGCCATTAAAAAGTGAAGTGTCATAAGTCCTGTCGTCGTTATTGTCATGCGGTCAGTCGTAGTCGTAGGCGAGGCTGAAAGGGGGCGTTCCCTGTCTACCCATTACAGTCTTTGAACGCGTCGCTGTGCCCGAATCTTCTCCCAACAGCTCCCGATTTAAATGCCGAGTCCTGTCCATAGCTCCCAGTAATGTCACCTGTCTTCGCCCCGCGCTGCGCCTGCAATTCCCGTCGTTCGTGGTCAGATGGTAGCATCATGCTGGGCCACGGTTGGCCCACTCTCGCAGCCTTCTCTCCGGGTCCGCGTCGTCGCCTTCTCCGGCGCCATCATGCTCGCCAGCCCGGTCCGGGGCCGGGGCGGCGGTTCTGCGTCTTCCAGCAGTTCTTCGGGCAGTTCGACGGCCAGCTTCTGGTCGGTGCCCTTCCTCTGCTGGATCCTGTACTCCACCGCCACCGCCACCGAGCATCCCGAGCATCTGCTCCATCTCCATAGGCATGCCTGGCAAGCGGTTCTCTCGGCCTGTAACCAGCCCATTTATCAGGTCGCGTGCGGCTTGTCCTGCTTGCGCATAATTGGCCGTCAAAGCCTCGCGCGCTTGTTGGATGAAATTCTGGTTCAGATGGTGGTTGGCTGCATTGCCGAGCCCGAAAGCGCCCTCCTGATTGTCGCCAGCGTTCACGAGACCCATTTGCTGCAGCCGGCGGGCGAGGGCCTCATCTCGATTGACCTGCTCTCTTCTCCGGTCCATCTCCACTTGATAGCGGACAGGATCTCCCAAGTGCACATCGACAGCTTGGTAGTTGAACCACGGACAATCGCATGATTTCCACTTCAGGCCGCATACCATGCAGAACTCGGCCGTGCAACGACACGTCATATGGTTGCAGCCTTCTTTAAGCTCAACCATGGCGGAACAATTGTAGCACCGCCGCCAACCTTCCTTCTTCGCCACTTCGATAAAGGCCGTCGTCTCCGGGTCCTTGGGGCAGTCGCGGCTGGTATGCATTTTCTGACAACAGGTCGCACAAACCCGAGTTTTGCATCGTTTGCATCGGCCTACTTTGCGACCGTGTTCTCTGGTGATGTAGTGTGGTTTGATCCAGGCGCCGCAGTTGCGGGCAGGACAATATATGCGGTTCTTCGTCTTGTACTCTTCAAACTTGCGATTCCACAGCACCTTGAACTTTTGATTAAACAGCTTCTCAACGTGGTAGAGGTCGATGTGTTTATCTGTGCAGCATCTTGGAGGCATGTGCGCTGGATCCTCTACGGACATTGTGAAGATGCGCGTCAGGCAGGAATGACACATTCGGTGAGTGCACGGTAGCCTGGCAGACTTGGCGATGGGGATGTCATCGTCGCCACAGGTCAAACATGAAACCTTTTTCTGTGGCACAGGCTTGGGCGGCAAGAGTCTGTCAAGAAAGCCGGGAGCTTTGCGAGATGGGCCAGCTGGCTGCAACGGCTTGATATTGCCCACTTCAGTCTTTGATCTTGTGGCTGTGGTCGTTGCGCTCCTCTTGATGGCGGGCCGCTGAGGTTTGTCGACGGATGCCGTACTACGACGAAGGGCGGTTTCAGGCTCATCTAGAGCCTTCGGTCGTCTAAGAAGGGGCGATTAGCGCAGGCATGGGGAGGAAACAGAAACGACTCACTCTTCCTGCTCATCATGCGCCTCTTGTCGCTGAGCGGGTCCCGGTTCGGTGCGGCTGCGCTCAGGAACTCGTCGTCCGGCCTCTACTCTTCTCGGTCCTGATTCCGTGGTCTTGCTCTTGTGCTTGGACGTCAGGGACTGTCCGTTGTGGTGCGCCGATTCTCTTTCTGGCCTCTGATAGACGTATTCGTCCTCGCTATCATCCCGTGATACTGGTCGGCGCCTGTGCTCTGTACGCCTGGGCGTGGTCGACGTTCGGGACGGTCTGGGGTTCGTCGGCTCTGCGATGTGGTCGTCTCTTGTCTTGCGGCGCCTCTCTTTCTCTTCGCCCACCAGCGACACCGTTCTCGTCCGTTTCACATATTCGTACTTCATTTCCTTTCGCCTTTCTTCAGGGGACGTGGCTAGATATGCAAGGCGTGCGTTTCGAAGAGCGTCTAGGTCTAGGTCGGCGGGGCGAGCAGTGGCAGGGACCGATTTCGATGTCGATGTCGCACCGCCATCCTCAGGGCTTTTGCGTGACCTGGAACCTCCGCCTCCAGTGTCACCATTCCTTCGATAAGTCTTCCTCCTTTTCACCTGTTCCCCAGCCATGAACTCTTCCACAACGGTCACGGCCTCGGCAGCGATAGTCTGAACGACCAGCAAGGAGGTTTAGCTTTGGGCCGCGATGTAACGGATGGTGGCCAATCACTGTATGGCGCACGCCACACTCCTGCGAATGGAGTGATGGGAGAACAGACGAGCTCTTGGTGAGGTCCGCTGCATGGCCAACATGCTAGGATTCGCCCGACAGACGCACACGCACACGCACACTTTATAGCGAGGCAACCAATGGTAGCAAGCCCCGTGGCCGTCAACCTGAGGCACCAAATTTCGAGTTTGGCTCTAAGCTCTGGCTGCGCTCACCGACCGAGAAGCAAGCGATATGAAGCCAGCCTTGGATTGGCGGGGTGAGATCCTGATTGGCTGGTCGGAGACGCTGTTCTTCCGCTCCGAGGCTCGACATCCGATCTTCCATGTCTAGCAGCACCAGCACCAGCTGGTCAAGACCTCACCAACCTCATCTGGGGACGTCGAAGGCAAGTTAACTAATTATATGTCTGGCGACCGTCTGTCTAGAGCATCCTGGCTCTCCGCACATCATGTCCAACTCGGAAATCTACCACAACCCGGAAGCAAGAGCCTGGAAATACACATACGACACCGACATCAGGCTTGCTCAGGCTTTCCACCGACGCCTGCCGGGATACCAGGAGAGTCCCCTTGTTCCTCTGCCCGAGCTTGCAGAGCAGCTCGGCATTCGAGCTGTTTTCGTGAAAGACGAAAGCAGCAGACTAGGATTGCCCGCATTCAAGATCCTAGGCGCTTCATGGGGCACATTCCGTGCCGTTGCGGAACAGACCATTCTACCTCTGGACTCGAGCCTTGAAGAACTGGCTTCCGCAGCTCATCGAGTGAACACTGTTCTGTTCGCCGCCACGGAAGGGAACCACGGCCGAGCTGTTGCACGCATGGGCAAGATCCTCGACGTGCCTGTCCACATCTTCATGTCGAGATTCGCCAGCCGCGAGACATGCCAGAAGATCGAAAGTGAGGGCGCCCACGTCACCGTCACTGTGGTTGCTGGCACCTACGATGATGCGGTGACGAAAGCATATGACGAGTCCCGAAGGGTTCCAAACGGACTGCTGATCCAGGACAATGCCTTCGAGGGGTATGAGCGAGTCCCGGCTTGGATTGTTGAAGGCTACTCCACCCTCCTGGTTGAGGTGGAACAGCAACTCCAGCACCAGGGGCTCGAAGCCTCGACCATTGTAACTCCAATCGGAGTCGGCTCGCTCGGCCATGCCGTTGTGGCGCATTGCAAATCCGGTGGGAAGCACATAAATGTGTTGACGGTCGAACCGGAGAATGCCGCGTGTCTGCACCACAATCTCAAAGCACACAAGTGGTTCACAATCGAGACGTCGGCTACGATAATGAACGGCTTGAATTGCGGCACCGTCTCTCCCATCTCCTGGCCGGTCTTTGTCAAGGGAGTCGACGCTAGCATCACGATATCGGAGGTGGAGTGCCACAATGCAATCCAGTATCTGAACGCTCATGGTGTGAATTCCGGCCCTTGTGGTGCTGCATCTCTTGCTGCGGTGAGGAAAGGGGCTACAATCGATCCCAAAGCCACGGGACTTGCCGAAGACGCTGTCGTTGTCTTGTTGAGCACAGAAGGGGCAAGAAACTATCCCATTCCCCGGAGCTGTGCGGATCTGATCAAGCGACGACCATAAAGAACCAGACGGACCACTCTCATTCTTCTGTCCGGTATCCAGCCTGGTTTAATACTGTGCCAAACTTGAAGGGAGTTTGGTGTTTGTTCGGATCAACCTCCAAACATGAACCCGGCCATATACCGCATCAGATTCCGAAGGGCGTCAGTATCCTCCTCCAAGCCGTCATCCAGCAAATCGTTCAAATCACATTCCTCCTTGATAATCAATTCTGCCAACTGCAACATCAGACCCTCCCAGAGGCTTGAACACTGGTGGCCCGATGACTTCAACCGGCCTAGATGCTTCCACTTGACCCATTCCGTGTCAGGATACTGTTGTCGCCTGACAACGTCAACGACGGCATCGGTCATCTCGTCCAGGAGGTATTTGTGGGCCAATATGAAATCAGCAATGAGCCCTTCGAGCAGGTCCTCCTTTTCCTGCAGGCCCCGGCATTGCCTCCAGTTCTCCTGGAAGACCCGATTGTAGCTGCGCACCGGCTCTGGCGAATACACCCACTGCAGGATCTTAGCCATGTTGTCGGGCTGTTCGTCCGGCAGGTGGATCTCGTTCGTGACGCCCTCCCGGAACCCATCTTGCTGGAGACAAATGGCAAAGTACTTGCATGTCAACAGCGCGTCTTTGTGAGCCTTCAGCTCAAGTCGAGACGGTCCGACGAGGAGGGTGACAATAGCCGAGTTGAACCTCCGACTCTCGTTGGACATGTGAAGAGCGTCACTGGCAGTCGGACTGTTAGGGCTTTGTGCTTGAGGATCTCCTGGCAAGAGAGATCGGTTGGTTGGGCTTACGCTGGCAGAGGACTGAATAATTCAAGGGGACCAGATGGTTCAACAGGACCAGATGCCTCAGCAGCGCCGCCTTCATTGTCGTCACCGTCACCGTTGTCCGCCATTAAGAATGGAGGCTCCACGACGTCACGTCACGTCGCCGAGAACTAGGATCTGGAAAGAACACAGCACTTGCAACGCGACAAAACACCAGAGTCGTGGCGAAGTGATGTACCTGGATGAGTGTTTGTGACCGAGCAACCTTTGAAAATAATGCGGCTGTTGCGTTGTGTTTTGAGAAGCTATGCGATGAAAGAACCAAATCCCCACCAAACTCAAGACTTTATACTGCGATGTCAACGTATCCTGCATGGCATGCGTTGTCACCCACTCTTGTCACTCACTCGTGCTGGCATTCATATTTACATTCAGCTTCACCGACCGCAGTGACATGCTGGGATGCTGGGGTACTGGAATACTGGGTACTGGGATACTGGGTACTGGGATACTAGGATACGGCAGCCTCGCATGTATGCAGGCATGCCGATCTATGTGGACATGAGTGTGTCACCACACCAGGAAAGGAGCGAGATTGATCGTCTCTTTCTCTTTGTTCCAGTTGTTCTTTGGCAAGATCCAGAGATGTTACTGTATGTTGGTTGCCTCCTCCATAATAAGATAGGTTCCCTCCCGTCTGCATGGTCTTCTTCTCTGTGCTTAATTCCGGCTTGATTCCATTCGGCTTGAGCAGCATCCTTCCTCTTCTTATCAGAGCAGCTTTGCTTAGATGGTTCCAGTTCCACGCCCTAATATCCAGTTCCAAGTACTTTATATGACGAGAACGAGAAGACTAGAACGAGAAGACTAGAACGAGAAGTACGATCTATGATCTACGTTCCCCTTACTGGCAGAGACCTGATTAGACTTGCTGAGACTTGCTGAGACACACCTTTATGCTACAAGAAGTGAGGATTGTTCTCTCAGGCTCAGGATGAGGAAAGCTACAAGTTAGGCTTGACGGTAGAGGTCAACGGTAAAGAGAGGTCGACAGTAGAGCTAAACGGTAAAGCTTGATGAGGTCGACAGTTGACCTTGACGGCAGAGGTAAACGGTAGAGGTCGATAGTTGACCTTGACAGCAGAGGTCAACGGTTAAGGTCAATGAGCTTGACAATTAGGCTTGACGGTAAAGGTCGATAGTTAAGCTTGACAGTTAGGCTGGAATGCAGCATTGCTATTGCCATTGGCATTTCACCAAGGCATCTCGAGACTCAGGACCTTACAAGTAAACCCACTCACTCGGTTCTCTAGGCTTGTGTCCATGTGAATCCCTGATCCCTGATGCGTGAGCCCTTCCCTCTCGCTATCTTGATAAGCAATCCCTGATCCCTGATCCCTTCCCTCTCGCCATCTCGATGAAGCAACCAATTTGATTTCCCTGCCGCTGATTGCAAGCGAGCTGGGCCAGAGCTTCGCTTTCGCTTTCGGGATCAAGACACTACTCGTACGACGAGATGCCTCCAGCATGTTGAAGGTTGAAGAGCAGTGAGGTGAGGTCCAGCCAAGATCGGCATACCAGCCAGGCAGTGGCAGCAGTATGGCCCGCTAGCCACCCTTAGTTACCTTGGTCCGTGCTTGAGGACCAGTTTGGAGACTAGGCGGCAGAGTCTAATTGGACAGTTGTGTTGTAGTTGTAGTTGTAGTTGCAGTTGTCGATGTGACGAGGCTGCGATTCGCGGAGACTCGATCGAGACTATTTCAGTCCACCGGTGATCCAGACCAAACACATCACATGTTTCCCGGAAAGTTGGACCAGATCGTCTCTCAGAAAGTGTTGTTCGTCAAGAAAAAGATCGCACAGTACAATGAGGTGAAGCAACAAACTGTGAAGCAACAAACGGTGCAAGCCTAAGGGCGATATCGAAGTCTGGTCCAGACAGGTAAAGCGAGATACAGGAATGGTTTTTGTTCGAAGATTGAAATTCCAACATGCGAGCTCACCTCCGAGCGTTTCGGCCAGGCCAATTCCAACTTTTGACTATTGTCTCTCCTAAGAGGCTTCCAAATACCCATTCTAGACAGAATGATCATGTCGTCAAAGAAGTAGCAATTCTTGTTCTGAAATCCAGTTCGCCCAGAATATCGCTAATCAAACCCTGCCTATACGGTATACATGACAATTACCCGCTGACGGCACTACCCTAGGCAGCAGTGCTGCAAAGCTAGTGCTTCATCTGATCAACCGAGCCAGCGGTCAGTCCTTTTGGTCATCCCAGTCTGACCCCGGCCCAATCCTATCCCATCGTCATCATCCAAGAGGGGTTTTTATTGCCATCAATGGGCTGCAGTAGCCTCATCCTCGCTGTCGATCTGGTTGGGACTACCCCTGAACCGCGTCCTCTTGACAGCGTTCAAATCACCTTTAGATCCGCCAGCAAGTGGCCTCGGACCTGAAGGCTTTCGTCCCTGGCTCTGAGGCGATCGTAATGCGCCAATAGGAGACTACCTCGCCGTTAGTAGACGCCAACCACCTGAACTCCAACTTCATTGGTACATACCTTGTCAATTGCTGGACTTCCCGCCCGAGCAGCAGCCACATGATCGACGTATGTCGTCTGCCTCTGTGACAGAGGAGGGCTCATAAGAATCTTGGGAGGGCGCTGAGGCACCAACGGCTCGTCATCGAGGATCTTTGGCGGACGAGGTGGACCTTGAGAATTACCCGATCGAATGCTCCTAGTATCATGATACATCCGTGGTCCATTCGAGTACTCAGCGTCAGAGAGGGGACTGGGTTGTCCTCCATAGCTGGTGTCGGCGACATTTGTATGATGTAACCCTGAATTATTTTCCCACTGAGACGAGATTTGCGAAGTGGGCGATATCTGGTCATTGTAATTCTGGGCTTCCGACTCCAAACGAGACTGGAACCGGCCAGTTGGACCTTGTCTGGGTTGAGGATGCTGGAGATTGACGCTGTTCCGGTGAGCCTGATATTTTGGATTATCGGAGACCTGGCTGGGAATCAAGGGGGACGGCGGCCGCTCCTCTTCGCTTTGATACTGATCCTCTTGGAACGACGCATTCGATCGAATACCGTCGTCCAGTTGAGGATCGTGTTCGTGTTCGTGTTCGTATTCGTACTCGCCGAAATTGGAGCCCGAATAAGGTCGAAGACGCTGGGCACTGTTTCGGTAGTTATCGGCCGAGGATGCTGTAGTCTTGGACCATCGAGAAACCATCTTGGGGAACAATGAGGACGCAAATGACTTGTGCTTTCGCCCAGAGCCTTCACCGGTAGAGTGGTGAGGGGTGTTTTCATGGCTCAGCGAGCCCATATTCTGATCGTGCAATCGAGGCGGAGTGTTTAGTGGCACAGACCCACCCCGAACTTGTCGATGGTCATCGGCCCCCGGGGGGTTCGCCAGTGGCGTACGATTGGAGGCTTGGATGTTTCCTGGAGTCGCTCCCCCGAGATGTTGGGCATAATCATCATATTCTTCATCGCCCTCCATAACAGTGCTTACCCGGTTACCAGAATCTCGCTGGACACTATAGTTTCGGTAGTCTGCCTGGCGAGAAGAATTGTTGGAGAAGAATCCTGACCGGTCGCCCGTGGACGAAGTACCAGCTTGACCTTCGGGCTCATAGCCCGTGTCTGTAGGAGCACGCGTATTGTCTGCAGAAGTCAAGCTAGTCGCTCGAGGTTGCCCCTTTACACTGTCGGTAGATTGTAACGCTCGGAGGCCTTCGACTTCATCGAGCAGTCGTATCAGCATGCCTTCAATGTTCTGTAACTCCTGTGTATTCTTGGCACCAAGTCCTCGCAGAGCTCGTTGAAAGACATTGCGGCGTTTCGAAGGCAGGTCTTCCTCAGAATTGGCAGGCCGTGCCGGGCGTACCGTTGATACTGGTGGTTGTCGGGGTCCTCCGACAACCTCACGTGTTCTCTCGTGTTGCTTTTCAGTTGCGTCCAGAAAAGCCTCATCCTGTTGTACAATAAAATTCTTCATATCCTCCAAGGAATTGCGCATCTCAGCGGCGCTGCGTACCAAAGTCACTAATATTTCAGTGTCTCGGGCATTTCGCTGGGAGTCGCGCACAGTCAGATGGTCCATAAGGGCAACGATATCTTTCGACTGAATATGGTCGCGACCTCGGCCAGTGGCGCTGTCGTACATTGGTGACAGCCCGTGCGATAGACCACTTATGTACTGATCACGCTGGCCTGTGAACGGGTCGTCTCTCAGGGCAAGGGTATCGGGCGCTATGTCAGGAGTGAAGCGATCATTTTGCACCCCATGAGCCTGAGAGTAAAGACCGGGAGAACGAGCGTTGGCCCCCGTTTCGTAGCCTTCATCTTTGGCTCCTGGGGGTGTTGCTATAGGGTGTGTTTTGATGTACACATCTTGCTTCGGATGTAGATCGTGATCGCGATTGATCGACAAGGCTTCGGGTACCAGGTCAGCGCCAGCGGATCCAATATCGCGACTGACAGGAGGAAGTTTGAGATCTGCTTGCGAGCGCGGCGGTGTTGGATCATATGGCCAATGATCTGTATTGCCCTGAGTGAAGCCACCAATTGGGCCTCGTATGATGGATGGGTTGGTGGTGATATCCGATTCGGGCGAGTGTTCAGCCTGGTTATCGGCAACATCACCTGTAGGAATTTCTCCCGATTGAATAGACTTGGCAGATCTGTCGTTGGAATATTCTACTGAGCGAGCAAGAGGAGTTGGCGAAGAAGCCGTCGGCTGTAGTCCTCCAAGAACATGCCGCTTCCTTTGGCTTTCATTTGAGATCTGATGCTTGAGTGGACTGCCGCTGTGCCGGGATTCGTAGTCATGTTGAGAGAAACGGGGGCTTCGGGCGTCGCGGGCGCTTGTAGAGCCTGCCGGGCTCATACGTGGGGAGTCAATGCTTGGAATGTCGACCAGGGAGGCTACAGCAGATTCGATACCCGACGGAGCATTGACGTACTCTGCAGTAGCTCCGGATCCTCTAGCGACTTGTTGGCCTGCAGTGACTTTGTCAATGTACGGTGAACCACGGTAGCTTTCGTTTTCGAGGTGTTGCTCATCAAAGACTGATTGGGGGTCAATTTGACGGGGGGTGCTATCATGGGAGCCTCCATGGTGACCCAGAATCTCACTGCGGTTCTCTAGACTAAAGCCATGTGGTCTTCTCGCACGAGCCAAGTCCGTGGTTGGTGCTGATGAGACGGACGAAATTGAGACCTGGTCCTCCATCTGCGGCTGTTTCTTCAAGGAATTGATTGAATCTGAACTCCGTTGATGCATTATGGAGTTGCGGTTTGGCTCTGTTGTAGTATAACTCGCTACGCTTTGGATCGGACTGAGGCCCCTTCTGATAGGGTGCTGTTGATGTAGATTTCTTTCGTACGCTCGAGCGCGCTCTGGGTCTGTCAACGCTGCGAATCCATGGGTGGCAAAATCCACGTCTTCTTCATGCGGCTCCTCCCTGTCGTCCTCGTATGGGGATTCTTTCTTGGAGAGGTCATGCGCGGATAAATCATGTTCCGAGAAATTGCCATGGTGAGTACCAAGTCCGCGCTTAAGGTCAAACGAATTCCGCGTAGGTGTCTGGGATCCCGAGCGTGGTAGTTCAAGGGGAGATCCGCGTACCACTTCCCGTACCTCGTGCCGAGTAGGCGTCGTAGCACCTCCGTTGTTGGAAGACCGCAGTGAGCTTCGTGTCAAGTCGGTACCGATTTCGCTCACGAAGGGCATAGGAGGGACTTTATGCTTTGAAAAGACATCGTCCTTCTCCGCAATGCTTGTACCACGACTGCTACGACTCTTGCTCCTCCTTCTTCGACGGTGCTCGGAATACTCGAGACTTGAGCCTGATTCATGTGACTTCAAAGCGGCAGCGGTCAGAGCAGCGCCTCCGAGTGCTCCGGCGGCCACGTCCCTGGCACGATGACTTCGGGAATGTTTGCCGGATTTCTTCTCGTCACGAAAACTACTGCTTTCTGATTGCGGGTAGCTCTGCTCCGACGCCGAGTCGTAGTCGACTGTTTTGTGACGTCTATGCCGACGAGCTGAGCCTGAGCGCACCGCAGTGTCGGAGTCGTGGCTCACTCGACGCTTTGACTTGCTACCAGAAGACTTACGACGAGTTGTCTCATCACGAGAGACAGTACTGGAAGAGATGTCTGAAGGATCGCTCAACTTGTCATGCCGGGAACGGTGGGAGTGTCTCTGGTCTCGTTTTATCTCGTTGAGTTCGGGCAGGATCAGGCGTCGAATTGCATCCTCAACCGTCTGTAGCAATTTCGGATTGTTTGTGATTGAGACATTGGACGCTCCTGAACGGACAGAGCGTTGATCTGTCGGTCGCACGTCGGCGGACAAGTTAGAGCCACTGACCAGGCTGGAGGCGGTCGCGCTGGGCAGAGAATCGTCGTCCACAGCTTTGCGGGTACGTGACTCCAGGTGCGCCGGATCTGCTTCTCTGCCGGCACTGCTCCGACTTGCACTTGAACGCCTCCCACTGGTAGAAGTTCGAGGCTTGTTGCTCAGTTTCTCAATAACTTTCTGTGTAATTCGCTCATTGCTCCGGTTTCGGTCGACATTGATGATAGGAGGCTTCAACGTCGCGCCTTCGGAGGACAAGCCTCGACTAAAACTTCCATTCTGGGTAGATAGAGACATTGTCGCAGGTCGGTGGGGCCCCAATGAGCTCTCTGCTGGCATAGAAGAGATATCCGATTCTGCAACGATGGGTCTCAACTCCGGAGAGTCGCTGAGACCAGATAATTCACTGCCCTCGTTTGGCAGAACTTCAATCTCAACAGGAGCTGAAGCTCTAACAGCGTCGTCGGAACCCAACGAGCTGATGCTGCCTTCAATGACGTTTTGCGCGAGCGTCTCGTTCCCTCCCAGGGGTATACGATGTGTCAGGGACGGTCGCCTGGCCGACTTGGATTCAGTCACCAGTATGTGACCTTCGCCTTTGTCTTTAGTTTTTCGTGACTTGGAAGGGGTGACACGAACTCGCAGACTCGGCCGCCTATGACCAGCTTCAGGTTCCTTGCTCGCCTCAAAGTATTCAATCAGGAGAGATGTTTGCGACTGTTGGCTGGATTTGGTAAGTTTGCCCAGCTTCTTAGGCTTATGGGAGGTTGTGATGGTGATTGGGCTTCCGTCGTCGGGAATGGTCTCGGAGGTCTTATCACTCCTGCGAGATAGATCTGTTCCAATGTCGGTGCTGAGTCCAGTGTCGTCGGTCGACCCTAACAATGAGTCGGTCGGCGCAGGAAGAATAGGCCGTCGACTTGTAAATCCCATTCTGAAGCAGCCTCAAATGCGACAACTCATACAGAGCACGCGCGGATGCCTCGCGCGAGAACTCTGCTATGCTGTGATATTATCTCGTTGAAGGGTGTCTTGGATCCATCATGGTTATGATACAGCAGACGCCCCAGTCGGAAATGGTGGGTCGTAAACAAAGGCGGGAACCCTCTCGGCACTGCGGCGAGGTATTGTCTTCCGGTTATATTATGTTGTAGGATCGCTGGTGAGAAGGACGTAGTCAGACCGCGTCAGGGTTCGAGAGTGAAGGACGGATTGGTGTACGGATAGGCGGTGTATGGTTGAAGAATTCTGAGGCTGGGAATTCGTTGCAACCAAGCTTCGGTATGAGAGGCTGCGCGGGAAACAGGTTCGCGAGATCCGGAGGAATTAGAAAGGACAACGAACAACGCTCAAGGGTATCTCGGCTCGAGAAAGAACGCTCTCGGAAGCAAACACAGGCATTAAGGTAGAGCAGGAAAAGAAAACATGAGGCGAGGCGGGTTATGGTTATGGTTATGCGTCGGTTCGACGGTAGTGGTGAGATGGGGGGAGACACAGTTGGCAGCAGCCGGACCAAGCTGGCAGGGCGCAGGCGCAGGCGCAGGCACACGCTGAGGCTGGCTGCCAAACAGCTGTAGCTGGGTAGCTGGCAGCCCGCCAGTTCTCCCCTCTCAACCACCCTGCACGTCCTAATGTTCCATCAACCACTACTGCACCCCTGGCGTCCAGGTGCACTGGTTTGAAGTCCCCTCGATCAGCCAGGCTGTTTTTCTCTAGCCTCTAGGCCTTCGTTGGATTATGGTTATCATCAAGACAGCTGCAGCGGCAGTCCAAGCTCCATCTCGAGCACGTCCCTTACCGTGACCCCGTCTCCCACTCCCACATGAGATCTCTCCAGAGTTGGGAACACGGCACGCCACGAGCACAGATCCGCAAGGGTCTGCGCTTCCTGCATGGACGGTTGCGAAGAATATCAGGTTTCAGGTTTCCTCCCAATCTTTCGAGGCTCACGTCCTGACGTCGTTGCGTCTCTCATTGACCATTGGCTAGGCTTTGGAGCTACATGTCCGCGAAGTCACCTGTTAATCGAGAGGCACAGACCTACCCTCGCTTCGCCCTAGCCACAATTCTCTGGCTTGCATCCTTCTTGGCCGCTGACCGCCTGTGTTGACTGTTTTGTGCCCGACGTTCAAAAAATACTGTACTAATTATACGGATACCTACGAGCGCGATCAGTGGCACTAGCATGTCCGAGGAACTGGTTGGCTGGACAAATGGTCTCTAACCTACGGCCCTTTGCCGCCGTCCGCGAGTCTCCACTGTGATAATGGCGTCCAAGCTGGCAATCAGTTGGTGTTAAGACTTTGACAGGCGACCCCGGGTCCGGACGTTAGAGGCTCTACCAAGATATTCGTTGCACAGCGACCAGGATACTGTAGGCCTAAGGGCCATTATTACAGCATTTCAGCAGAGGCTCAGGAGGCCGAAGCCCCTACTTCGTCTGTGGGGAGCACCACGTTCTGCACTTGCCAACACATCAGCGATGGGACAGCAAATAGGCTGCCTCCATGTCGATCCCGTTAATATTTTATGGTTTAGGTATTGTGGTATTGTGCGCAGATGCTGTACTCCGTAGGAGTACATCTGCGGCATCCCTTGCAATGCAACTGTGCAGGCCCTATAACTCTAGTGCAGTCTTACTACTAGTAGTACGGAGTATGTACGGAGTACATGCATGCTCTGCAAGTGCTTGCTTGGTTGCGAATAATTCACCACCAATTCTCCCCGGCAACCAGGATATGACCAGGATACTAGAGGCTAGGCTGAGGCGTGTGTTCCTGTACTCAACCCGTTCCATTCAAGTTCGTGCCGCCACTTAGTACTGTCTGCTCGATTGACTAAAAGAGGCAGCCGGTTCGTTATTTGCTTTCTACGAACCCGTTCTCCAGTATGACTATCAGTTCGTCAAGCCTTCTTATAGTGAGGCCAGTATATTCATGCTCGACCAGGTGTTCGTTCTCATCATTGACCAACAGCACTGTGGCGGCACCAGCTCTGCGCCCGGCAGCCATATCGTCTATGCTATCTCCCACCATGATCAGTCCGGAGCCCCAGACAAGCTTTGCCAGTTCCAATGGATCTAGCTGTTCGCTATTAGCCAGCGAATCCAGAGCCTCGAGGTCATGGTCGTATTCTCGCTCCAGACCCCAAGCTTGAGCTATGGTCCAGAGACCTTCGGGACTCGGTTTGGGCTCGACACCTTCTGTCTCACGTGTGATGATGGGCTCGAAATGTTCGCCGGGTAAGTGGGTGTCCAGCAGATGATGCACCGGGGTCGGGAAGTTCCTCGTGCACAGAGCTTTGCGGATTCCACGGCGGGTGAGATAGGCCATCAGCTCCTGAAGCCCTGGCTGGGGCCGCTGAGACGTCATGGCGCGTCGTTCAATGCCTCGGATCTTGGCCACGGCACGAGCTTGCGGCGACGATGGCACAGGGTCAGGATCGGCCGTGCTATGGGACAAGATCTCTTCGGACGGTGGCTCCGAAGGGTTCACCGTCGAATGCGGCGGCTCATCTCCAGATGGCTGCGTTGCGGTTTCGTGTTCGTCAGGCTCGTTGGGAAGCGCTCGGATGTGGTCGAGAATGTCGACGGACCTGGGAATGCCCAGCGCCGCGCGCATTTCTTTGAACATATAGTTCTGTGGGAGACTGGATCCGAATCAGCATCTTGTTATTCAGCATTCAAGATGCGCCAGGGACTGACTAGTCAGGAGTGGCCAGGAAGAAAAATCAGTGGAAACGCTCGGTTCGCAACCATGGGTTGCTTATGTTCTTAGTTTCCTCCCACACGGGCACCATTCACCACTTCTAGCCAACTTGATGATCATACGTACCATAACGTCCCATCCATGTCGAAAATGATGCCCTTCACCCTAGGCGACTCCTGCCCATGCTGTGCACTGGGATCCAGTGGCGCGAACCGACGCGGTTTTCGCTTCGTGTCGTGCTGAGGCGGCGAAGCGGGAGTTCCTGCCGACATGGTTGAGGAGGTTGAAAATGCTCGTCGTAGCGGTAGCGGTAGCGATGGCGATGGCGGTAGTGATTGCGGCTGCGGTGGTAGTCGTAGCAGTGGTAGCGAGAGCGACGGCCGTGTTTCTCGCGCTGACAGCAGCGGCAGGCGAAACAGTCGTGGCAAGTGTCGTCCAGGACCGAGCTGGTGCGACGCCGTGGTTGAAAGCGATACGGGGATCGCGAGGCTACGGCTCCTATGAGCAGGCGTTGTACGGATACTGGTAACCTGAGTTTGAAGCCCTGTGATCGAGAAAAGCTTGGGCGAGGTTGTGTTTGCGATAGCGATGCCAATATTAATGTGTGGAGTTCTTGACCTCAGCGGTGTTGCTCGTAGCGCGAAAAGCAAAGACAAAACCATCATCTAATTCCAGCAATAGCTCTTGTAGAATGATAGACCTTGTAGAGGATCTGTCGCCGCATCACCACCACCACATGAGGTGTGGCTGAGCAAGATGCATGCTTTTCTCAGCCGTGCAGTGCCACTCTGGCTAGCCAGACTGGCAGTGGTTGGGTGAGGAGGCCACCAAGGCTGTAGTGATGATGACAACGTCCCCCTCAGTGTTCATTGAAGCATGTGCATCCAGGTGCAGCCTCGATTCTCCTACATGACGATTACTACTTGTGCTCATACTGTGCGAGATTGAAACTCTTCATTCAACAGCCTTGTCGGAAAGGATATCATCAGCCATGTGTCTCAGATCGCGTAACCATCTTTGTTCTCTTTTCTAGATATCGACGCCGTCCATCCCCTCATAAAAGTGCCCTCCTCCATGCAAGGAATGCCACACCATGCCAAGGGGGTATATATGCTATTAATACAGCTGAATGACATCCTCCTCGAATGCCTGCGTATTAAATGTGTGCTGCTGTCCATCCATAACCTGTGCGCCGCGCAGAATTGCAACGATTCAACAGAAACTGCGCCCCTGCACCTGCGAAAATGTAGACTTTCTTTCGAGGACCGAGACCGGTCTACAACTTCAACCGCGTCTCGTCCCCTGCGCCTCCTCAAAGGCTTCCTGTGCTTCTCTTTCTGCACGTTCTTCCTCGTCCTCAACGGGTGCGGTGAAAAACTCATGTTGCAATGCCTCCTTTGCGCTCAATCGCTTGCTCGCATCGAGTTCGAGGAGACCTTGAAGAAATGACACTGCTTGAGCCTCGCCTGCTCGGAGAGTGTCGTGTTCCTTCTCACGACAGCTGGCCCAGATGATGATCTTATCAAGGGTGAACCCACGCTCCCCAATGGTTTCGATGTTGGTTTCGAACAACTGACCGTGCATGGCTGCAACAGCCTGCATCTTCTTCCTACCGAAGATTGAGGCCATTTCAATCATGGCGTCAACATCGTCAGCGCTGTTGAAGAATGGGAAGCGCCTGGCTAGAAGCGTGAGAAGGATGACTCCGGCTGACCAAATGTCAATCTTTGTCGTTTGAGATGTGCATTTGAGTAGTACTTCTGGTGCTCGAAACCCGCGCGTCCCCGCTCGGTTTGCTCTTCGCGAAGTTCGACTGTCAGATTTTGGGTAGCCAGTGGATATCAGATCAGGCTGAGTTTGTAGGACCTGCACTGCAAACGAGTTGAGGAACTTATCTCGCCTTCTCTCTTTCGATTCGGTGCACAGACATGGCTGCCAGTCTGTGCCTTGCCGCTCGGCGAGACCAAAGTCGACCAAGACCCCTTCTCTTCTGGAATGGTCGTAGAGGAAATTTGTTGGCTTGATATCGCGATGCAGAATGCCAGCCTTGTGAACATGCCACAGGCCGTTGAACAGGCTTCGGAAATAATGCCGCATATCATTGACCAGGAAGTCTCGATAATACAGTCGAAAATCAAGGTGTCTGAAGTACGGCAATACTGCCACAACTTGGTCGAGGTGTCGAAACGCCGTGAGGAGAGGGCATATGTATGGTGAGTCCCGGAGCTCGTGGAGGAGTTCCAGCTCATTCAAGATGCGATGGGGTGAGGACGTCACGTAGATCTTCTTCAGAGCAACCATCTGCGGTTTCCGTCGTGACTTGGTAGACCGCCCAGCACCAGCATTTGTTTTTCGCCTCTTGGAAGGTGGCATGTCAGGATTGGACTCATCCGCAGGCTCGTCGTTTTCGTCATGGCCATTGATCTCGTTCGGTTGAGGGAGTTGCTCGGCTTTGTAGACGGTTGAAAAGGTACCTACAGAGTGTTAGCAGCCGGAACAGGGTTGGAAACGGGAAAGGAATGTATCACCTTCGCCAATGCGATTGATGAGTCGGTATCTCTGGGAAATACCCTTGAAATCCTCCTCCAGTTTGCGCATGTCCTCCACCACACTTTCGTCGATGTCATCATCACTCGCCTCCGACTCTTCTGAATAGCAGGAGCCGTCGATAGAGTCGCCGTCTTCAGACTGTGTCTGAGCCATGTCTTTGGTGGTGGTGGCAGTGGTGGGCTTGTCTAGACGACGTGTCTCGCGGAGGGAAACGTCTTCGTCCTCGTGGATGGCAATGGCAGGATGCCCCATGTCGTGTCTCGGCCTCTTGCCCAGGATGGCTGCAGACTTCCCTGTCACGGCCCGCAGTGCCTCCGCAGCACGACGCGCAGCAGCGGCAGCGGCGGCAGCAGCAGCTTCTCTCGGGAGTTTATCTGGGGCTGGGCGGCTTAGAAGGGCATGCCGCCGAGCGTGTGTAGTCTGTGAGGTCTCTGTTGTCGTCTTCTCGCTCTGTTTTGATCCAATGCCCTTGAGAAGGCATTTGGCCCTCTTTGCCAATTTCATGGCTCGAGTTGTTTGTTGGTGGGGCCAGTTGACTGCGTCTGGATTAGGAAACGTCAACAATCCCCCCGGCGGCTGGCCAATAAACACGCGTGCGGGTGCGGGCGCAGGCCAGGTCGCAGCCAGGTCAGAAGCAGGAGCAGAAGCAGAAGCATCAGTGCGTCGTTGTTCGTCGTCAACGAGACAATCGACCATTTCCTGTCCTGTCACTCGGTGTTGGGGTGGGTGTTGACGCAGTCGTAGTCATTTGTGAAAGCTGCACCGCACCGCACCGCGCCGCCTTTCTGCCGGTACTCGACACACACCGATCAAGATCAACGGATGAAGGTGAAGCACTGAAATCACAACGTCGCAAACATCAACAAGATGGAAGACCAGGTCGAGTTCGACATTAATGAGGCTCTGAAGCTGTACCTCAGCGACTCGGCAACCATCCCTACCCCCGATGCGAGCCCCGAACTCCAGGACTGCGAAAATGACCCAGAGAGCCTCACGGACTCTCTCGTCAGCCATGTGTTGGACCCAGTGGCGGATTTGATCTCAGAGAGCCCAGAGGGACTGATGAAAAGTTCAGCCTTTGATACCATACAATTCCTGTTAAAGTGCGCCCCCTCGCATCCCTTGTCTTCTACCCAGTGCTCCCAGGAGCCCCAAGCTGAACTATTTCTCCCCTCCAGACAGTCTTCCGTGCTTTCGACTCAATGCTTGAGTAAGATCCTACATTTGATTGTTTCCGGCTTAGCAACTGCTGCAGACGTCGCAAGCCATGATATCGAGAACGATGAGCAAGAGACCCTCTCACACCACAAGCGACTACTGGAGATGTACGCGTTCATCCTTCAGTGGTCCATCTCCTCCGTCGAAGCCAAGGCACTCGAGAAGTCAGCTACGGCGCCCGCGAGAAGAGGCGGAAAAGGCGCAAAGGCCAAATCCGCGGCGAAAGACGATGTTTGGGACTCTTCGAGTCAGATCCAGGGCGCCATGGACGTTATGTGTCGAGTCATGAAGCTCAAGTTGAATCGCATTTTCCAAACCACCTCCGACCGGGACACATTCATCAACCTCTTCACACGGTCTGTCTACCTCATCATGGAGAGTGAGGCACGGGTCAAGATCACTGCCGTACGCATGTTCTGCTTCAAGGTGCTTTGTGTGGCCGTCAAGCACCACGGCCATGCTCTCGGAGCTCAAACATCTATCGTCCAGAACCTGACATATTTTGAGCATCTGTCAGAGCCGATGGCGGAGTTCTTGCACATTCTGTCGGAGCAATACGACCATCATCAACTCTCTGCCGACATCCTCCGAGAGTTGGCAGCCAAAGAATTCAGTCAAAGTGATACCAAAGGGCCGAAGTCGGTCTCTACATTCATCGTCAAGCTCTCCGAACTAGTGCCTCGGCTTGTGATCAAAGAGATGGGCTTGCTGGCGAAATTCCTCGACAGCGAATCCCACACGCTACGATGCGCCGTGATAGAGGTCTGCGGGAATCTGCTCGCGGACCTCAGCAAGCAGGCAGAGAAGACGGAAACCACCAAGATCCAGATCAATGCATTCTTCGATACTCTGGAACAACGATTCCTCGATACAGCTCCGTTCTGCAGAGTCCGTGCCATCCAGGTCTTCACCAAGATTTGTGACCTGGAGCAGAAATTCCCTAAACGGAGGCAAAATGCTGCCGAACTTGCAATGCAGAGTCTGCAGGACAAAAGCAGCAACGTAAGACGCAATGCCATCAAGCTGCTCAAGAAGCTTGTATCTTCTCATCCCTTCAGTTTGATGCACGGCGGGACACTGTCGCATAAAGAGTGGGTTGAGAGACTGGAAGCGGTGGAAGCCCAGTTGGACGCACTGAACCCTCCTCCGGACTCGCCAGGCCTGGCCCAGACAGCCTCAGGAGAGGAGAGAGTTGACACAGAGTTGCTTGACGACGCCACCCAGTCTTTAGAGCCGCAAGAGATGTCCGAAGAAGAGAAGATTGCTGCTGTGAAGAAGGCTGAAGAAGAGGCGGCGACTTCTGAGGTGGTGGGCAAACTCCAACTGACCCGAAAATACTACCTGGAGGCCCTGAGATTCATCGAAGTGGTGCACGAGGCTTCTGAGATCGCGGTCCAGCTCTTGTCTTCGCCAAACAAGACCGAGGTTATTGACGTGATGGACTTTTTCGTCACCATTGACGCCTTCAAGGTGGAAACGGCTCGAAAGGGCATCAGACGCATGCTGCGACTGATCTGGACCAAAGGCAACAGTGATGAAGGGAAAGGAGTGCAGAACCACCTGATCGAAAATTACAAAGGTCTTTTCTTCGACGCCCCGGAAATTTTCAGCGCAAACGACGCCGCGAATTTCGTTGCCAGAAACATGATCAGCCTGACCTTTGGTGCTACTCCCGCGGAGCTGACCTCACTTGAACAACTTCTGAGTACTATGTTCAAATCCGGGCATATCTCTGAGATGGTGGTGGCGAAGCTGTGGCAAGTCTATGGCGTGAATAAGGAAATCTCAAGGGCCCAGCGAAGAGGAGCCATCATCGTACTGGGAATGATAGCCCTTGCCAGCCCGGAGGTCGTCGTCAAAGAGATCGACACAATGCTGCGAATAGGCCTGGGACATCTTGGAAGGCAAGATTCGGTTCTTGCCAAGTTCACTTGTGTCGCCCTGCGTCGCATGATCCCTACTACCAAAAAGGCACAAGATAAGAGTGTTTCAGCGGGGCTTTCCCGGATGTCGAACAATCACGAGGTGTTGCGAATGCTGGCATCCATCCTCTTGACCACCTCAGCCAGCAAGGATTGGTACGGCATGGCCGAGCAGGCCATTGGTGCCATTTATGTTCTTTCCGACCATCCTGATGAGTTGTGCTCCGAGGTCCTGAGACAGAAGACTCGGCTTGTGTTTCAGCAAACCAAACACCTGTCCTCGCTGTCACAGCCATCGTCACCCGAGCCTGATGCGATGGAGGTTGATGGAGGAGAAGAGGGGCCGAATTCAGAGACGTTGTCAGAACCAGAGGAACAGGCACCGGCGTCGGAGACAAGCGGAGAGAAGCCATCCATTGCTCTGTCTCAATTACTATTCACCGTGGGACACATCGCCATCAAGCAGATCGTGCACCTTGAACTATGTGAATTGGACTTCAAGCGACGGAAACACGACCAAGAAAAGAACAAGTCAGTTGGCAATGCTTCACTAGATACTTCGATGGGCCCTACACCGGCTCGAAGAAAGAGGACGGCCGCAGAAGAGGTATTGGCAGAGAAGCAGAAGGAAGAAGAAAAGGATGAACTGGACTTGATCGGCGGAACAACCGAAGACGATTTCACCGAGGCGATCGTACATATTCGAGAGCGAGAGCTCCTTTATGGACCAAACTCGTTGCTGGCGAATTTCGGCCCTCTCGTGACGGAAATCTGTGCCAACAACACAGCATATAAGGACCGAAACCTCCAGGCCCAGGCGACATTGTGTCTGGCCAAACTCATGTGCGTCAGCAGTGAATACTGTGAGAAGAACCTACCGCTTCTCATCACCATTCTCGAGAGATCCACCGATCCCATTGTGCGTTCCAATGCTGTCATCGCCTTGGGAGACATGGCAGTGTGCTTTAACCACTTGATCGATGAGAATACAGACTTTCTTTATCGACGACTCAACGACGGAGACGAAAGTGTCAAACGGACGTGTCTGATGACACTGACGTTCCTGATTCTGGCCGGTCAAGTCAAGGTGAAGGGTCAGCTAGGTGAAATGGCCAAATGTTTGGAGGATGCGGACAAGAAGATTGCCGACCTGGCGCGCATGTTCTTCACGGAACTGGCCACCAAGGACAATGCCGTGTACAACCAGTTTGTCGACATGTTTAGTGTCCTCACCCAGGAGGGTCCATTGGATGGTGGTGTCATGGAGGAAGAAGCGGTCAAGAGGATCCTCAAGTTCTTGTGCGGGTTTATCGAAAAGGTACGTTTTGCACTGTTTGACGCAACGCGGCGTAGCTCTGTTCCTACTCGACTTTGCCTTTCCCCAATCCGGCCGAGACGTAACGCTAATGGCAATTCTGTTTACAGGACAAGCATGCCAAAAACCTGGCCGAGAAACTTGCCGCTCGACTCGGACGATGTGTCAGTAAACGACAGTGGGATGATACGGCGTACGCGCTGTCCCTGCTGCAGCATAAGAACGAGGAGATCACGAAGAAACTGAGCGAAGGGTACCGAGTGGTGGAGACGGAGGCGTAGATGCGTGTCCTTTGGTAGAAACGGAGCGGAATGCGGCGACGGGAGTTTACGATCTGCATGACTTTTTCTTGACTGCGACTGCCAGCAGTATGCGGTTTGTTGGTTGGTATGTTGATGTGTCTGGGCTTGGAGTTGTAATGAATGCATTGGATCAAATAGGATAGGATAGGATGGACTATTCAGCATCAGCCACCTTGCCACTCAGATCCCCATCAGCCTGCTGCAGGACAGTAATATATCCGTACAGTTCCTACAGGTAATCACCAAACATCACATGTCAGTGTGAAGGGCGGGCACTCGAACATGTCAGTGTGAAGGGTGAAGGGCGGGCACTTCAGTGATCAAAGCACTTATAGTATATAGGTAGGTATATAGCGTCCGGGAACTCGTCATCGTCATAGTTATCCGTACTTCATTTCATGCTGCTGGCACCTAGGACACAAGGCCATCCCATCATATCGGTATCGGTGTCTGTCCAGCGTCGTGGAGGATGAATTAATTCACTCTCTCACTCTCTCACTTATTCACTCATTCACTCTCCCCCATCCATTACTCTGCCTCCCCCTATCACGAGACTTGGGGTAGGCATTACGGCGTCCATGGCGACGAGACTTAGGGCAGGGCATTACGGCGTCCATGGCGGCCACTCTAAACTCAAGACCTAGACCTCATCTTCGGATGCTCTGCTCTGCTGGTGCAGTCGAGGTCGGCCAGCTAGAGGTATTGTTTCTATCCTTGAATGGCGGGCATGACTGGTCGTCGTCAGTGGCAGGACTAGTGCCAGTATCAGTGCCAGTACCAATACTAAACGAATCCCGACCGGATCTCAAGCGAGCAGCCTCGCGCCGAGCAGCACGGCATTCCATACCTCACCGGCCAGGTCGAGGTCGAGGTCGAGGTCGAAGTCACGCACACGGTCGACGTTGACATTGACATTGACATTGAGGTTGGGATTCACATCAACATCAACGCCAATAGCAACAGCAAAAATGGAATCTGCTTCAGCTTCACATCAACATCAACATCAATGCCAACAGCAACAGTGGAGTTTGCTTCAGCTGTGGCTTCCGCTTCGGCTTGGGCCTCGTCTTCAAGGATCATCGATCCAGCTGGGCGATGGCCATAATGGCCGCGCAGAGCAGTGCGAGTGCGGTTGTGAGCTTGGCCCGTATGGAACTCAGTTGGCCGTCAGCAGCGTGGTCACGATCGTCAGTCGACTCGAATAGCGGAGGTACAGTCTATAGGGCTAAGGCTGGATGCCAAAATACTGTAGATGGCGGATTATACGGCGGGCCTCCTATCAAGTAGATAGCTGTATATATTGTCTCTGCTCTATAGACATAGAATTTCAATACTAGAAATAGGAGAGTTAACTCTAGGGAGGCCGTAGAGTAGATCTAATTAGCAACTTCTAAACTTAGTACTCGAAGTACATGGATATCTTAGAAAGATGATCATCCAGTAGAGCTGGAGGGGTCCCTAATCCTATCGAAGTAGTAGTTGGATAAACCGCCTTTAATTCCGGCACCCACCCTAAGCCTGTTGTCGTAGATTGCTATATTCGTGTTTTATCCTTGCAAGGGCTTGCTCACGAACCGTTGAGTTCCGCTCTATTCACCACGGCTGGCAACTTCACCACGGCTGGCAACTCAGACCGGTCATGTTCCCCCGCGCCAGCCAGTTCAGGCCTGCCAATGCCTCGACTTCCTCCAACCGGGAACTGCTCGTCCTGGTATCCCGACGGGTGCGATGACGTATAGGACGGCTGGCCCTTGTACTCATTTCCCGGAATCCCACTGTACAGGAGGCCTCCTGCATTGGCAGCAGCATTTCGCCGCCGACGACGACGAGACCATATGAGGAAAAAACAGAGAGCGCCGACGAGGACGGCGCCGGCCCCCAGTCCGGCCCCCAGTCCTGCCGCGAGACCCGAGTGGCTGGAGCCGCCGCCGCCGCTGGATGATGAAGGACTGGCTGGCGTCGCCGAGGCCGCAGCAGCGCCGGCTGTGCTAGATCCTTTGGACGACTGGGTGGATGGGGTAGATGTCGCTGCAAATTCACTGGTGATTGCGGCCCCAGTGCTGCTGCCTGTACTGGTGCCAACAGATACCAAAGGACTTGCGGTAAAGGGAGTGGTGGTGCTGGTGAAGCCTGGCCAGCTTGTGCTTCCGATCACGGTGATTGTGCTTGGTTGGTCGTCGCCGAGTTTGACCGCGTCTTTCCCGCTGCTGCAGCTGCAGTCCGGATCTCCCGGGCAGCAATACCAATCTTGCTCCGAATCACACTTGATCAGTGGGATGGAAGTGTTCGAGTTTTGCGCGAAACACCATCCTGGACACTGCTGGCTGTCCCAGGTGCGGTCTGTACATGTTCCTCGATAGTAAAACGACGAGCCTTCTTGTTCGATATAGCACACGCCGTCCGAGAGACACGTCCAGCCTGTACCGCAACAAGGCGAATTCTCTTGCTCTGGGAAGCACGCCGTGTCATCTGGCGCGATCGAGTATGGGTCATCAGGCGCAAGGGTGCTGTTTTGCCAGTAGCAGGTGGCCCCGGCCAGACGTGGTGTTAATAGAAGCAACAGGATTGAGAGCAGCGAGGTCAGATATCGAGTTCGAGTTTGAGTCTGCATGGTGTGTTGTGAGCCTCCTGATGGAGTGATTTGGGGAAGGCACCCAGGTGCAGGTGTACTCCGTATGTGCATGTCCGATTGTGAAGTACTCTTGAAGCTGAGGAAGAGACTTGAAGGGGACGGCGTCTCTGGCCAGCGGGGGGAAGGCCAAGTCCTGGAGCCGCCCCCTCAGGCGCTCGCAGCGCAGCGGTTTCATGCTGAAAAGGTTGCCAGGCAGTCATAGGCTAGACAGATTGCACCCTGGGGTCACACTAGGTCGAGAGGGTGGATGCTGGCGTTGTAGCACGCGGCTGTAGGTATCTGGTAGCAGCAGTAGTACGGAGTACGGAGGTAATTGATCAAACATGGGTTTAAGAACAGACTACTCTCACCAAGACTCTGAACTACTATTTTGTGATAATAGCGGCTTGGCGGGCGTATTATCAACCTTATAAGCGACTAACGTTACATTGAGTGTTGCCAGTCCCTTTTTTGACGCACGATTTGTCCCGCGCCTTCTCACGTGACTGCGGCTGTGCCTGGGCGCCTGACCAGGAGTAGCCCTAGCCATTTCATTGGTCAGACTCAGATAGACATTGACCAGCCTTTTGGAACATGTGTGTTCACGGTTCAGGCATCCCACGGGCGCAGGCCGTCACTGTCACTTTGTTAGGTACTAGGTACCTACCTTAGCTAACTGGGAGACACGTAATCAGGTATGAAAGATATATATATTATTGTTAGTAACTAGTAATGCTTGGCCATAATGATCATCATCATGAATAGGATGAGAAATCCATGCAGAAGTTAGAAGTCAGAAGTCAGAGCAATAATAGCTGTACGGATAGGTGGTGGACATTTTGATCGTGGCTGAGATGAGGCTGAGACTGAGGCCCAGGACTCAGGGGTGGATCTTCAAACCGATCTCCCATGTCCTAAATTAAGTATCCGTACGAGTACAGTCGCCATTACTTAATTACTCTGTATCCGTGTGCGTACATATGTCATATAGAACAGACTTGAGTTTGCGGGTGAGTAATAGCTAAATACTAGTGTCCATACTTATGTACGGATGGATACTCTATAGTCTTCCACTCCTCCCTTTAACTGGCCCTACAATGTACGGAGTACTCCGTATCCATTCAGAATATCCCTAGATAGTAGACACGAGTACTCCGTGTCCATTCATTCGGATCCGGCAGTGGTATAGCATGACTTGACTAGATGGGATCCTATATTGTGGGTAGAGTGGGTAAGCGTACATAAGCACTATATATTTTCCCGGTGGTAGTAATTAGGTAGTAGGTAGGTGCTAACGAGATTCCTCGCCTCTGCTTTCCCATTATTTGGTTGACGGGCTGCCGGTTGCAGGTTGCCGGATCATGTCGATTCGATCTCAATTTTGAATTGCCGATGTGACACTGTTATGCCCCGTGCAATGGCTCCTTTCCTTTATCACTCATCCTGTATGTATATGTGTAGCAGAGCAACCGGCTCAGCATCCAAGGCCTGTATGAGGCAAGAGGACGCACACAATAATGCGTTTATGCCAAAAAGTCAAACAGAACACACACAACAATGCGTTTAATGCCAAAAGGCAAACAAGAATTGCCCGTATCGTAGTCACTCGAACTCAAACCTGAACCCTTTCAATCTCGTCCTGTCGGTGATCGATCCTCGAACTCGACCTTGAACCCTTTCAATCTCGTCCTGTCGATGATCGATCCTCGAACTTCTTTTCATTGACCTCTCGCCCTATCCTGTGTGCTCAAGAACAACGGTGGTGGTGGTATCTAAAAGCCAAGAAAGAAAAAAAAGCAGATCAAACATACAGATAAAACATAGTCGTGAATCTTCGTGAACATGGCATCATAGTCGTGACACAGCCTCCGTAACTCCCAAGTCGACCTGAGCGACAGCAACAAACTCCTCCCCAAAAACAAAAGTCTGCAGATCCAAACCAGGCTCCCAAAAACCTCCAATTCTAAACTCTAGAAATGCGACAGCCGACTTCGTCCCTCCACTAGTCGATACAGGACCCGCTCGGCCTCGTTCATGAGGCCTCCTAGAAAATGCCCAATCTTGTTGAGCCGGACCGTCTCGAGGAGCCCCTGGATCTGCCCGAAGACTTCGGCATCCAGCCCGACAAGATCCTCGGCGGTGGTGACATCCGTGTTCTGCAAATATTCGCGCATCGAACAGACCGCTTCGTGGGGATCGAGAAGTGCCGGGTGTGCCGATGACACGCTCGAGCTCGAGCTGCGGGATAGGTTGGAGTTGGCCTCACTCGCAGTTGACGAAGCCGCTCCAGACACCTGGTCACCGGCACCAGCTTCCAGGCTGATGGACGCGCCCAGTCCATAGGCCCAACACACAAGTGTCGCCAGATACAGTCCCCATGGCTCGTGGAGCATGTACGTGTCAAGAAACGAAACGACGAGGTCGGTGTTCGTGGGGTCGGAAGAAGAAGAACAATTGAATTCGACACGGCTCCGGATCAGCTGAGTGGCGTGCCAGAGGGCAATGCGACTTTGGTGGTTTGCGTCAACCCAAGCTCGGAGATTGCGCTTGGCCGTCTGGAATTCCGCTTCGTTCTCCAGCTTCTTGCCCAAGATCCAGGATTCGCCGCTCACCACCAGTAGCTGCCGGATCGGAGTGTGCCCGGCTATTTCGCGCAGGTGATGGTTGAAAGTCAGCCGAGCACCAGCTTCGCCGGCCTGATCTTTCCGTGACAGAAGCTGGGTATAAGGAAGCTCGGGACTCGCGGCGATGCTGACTTGGATCTGAAACAAGTCAAGAGGCGGATTGGATGGCACATCGTCGTGGTCATCGTCCATCGCCTGTTGTTTAGGCGAGTCACTCTTGGAAGCCACCTCGACCCAGGCCTCAACTGGACTGGACTCCCAGAGCTCCTCCGAGCATGGAAGAGGGATCTTGCATCGAAGATCCAAATGTGGCCGTCGAGACCTCTCGTAAAGGACAATGGTGGCGGGCTGTTCAAAGAGGGTCTCTTGCTGGAGGTCCAAGACCATTGATGACTGAAGAATGCGCCGCCGCGTTTCATGTTCGAGCCAGAACTTGTGCGCCCGGGTGACATCGTCGCTGGTTCGGTCTTTCGGGAGGGCCCGAAACACTGCCAGAGCATCCGTACTCAGGAACCGGCGAGCTTGATCGAGGCTTGTAAACAACGAGCGAAACCTCGTCGACATCTCGACCTGGACTCTTCTGGCACAATATTTGCCGAGAACCTCGAGCAGGAAGACGGTCTGCAGATCAGCCAGCCTCGACCGGCTCGTAATGCGATCTCTCCTTCTCAAGAGCTTGGTTGCAACCTCCAGAAGTGTGAGCGAGTACAACTTGGCATCCGGCCGGTCGTCATACTGCGATCCAATGGCCGCCATCGCACTGACCAGGAGTGGGCTCGGCTGGGTGGGTAGGAATGTCGGTCGATGCACCACGGGGAATTGAGGGTGGAAGTGCTGCCAGTAGTAGTCCAGACAATGCCACCTTATAGTGTCTGGTATACCGGTTGAGCCATCTCTTGGCAGAAGTCCAGGGGCACTTGATAGTTCTCGTCGAATGACGGACCATTCGAATCCATCCAGGTCGGAGAGGGGTATTGGTAGGGAAGAGTCTGTGGGAGACTGATCAGCCTCAGTACAACATGTCAAAGCAAATGAAAAGGGGGCCATACAGGAAAATAAGCACCTTCATCAAGCATGTTGGATGGAAGCATGCTGGGAGGGGGTACAGAAGAGGGAGCCCATGGGCCTGGTAGGTTACCGCCGATCAAAGGAGACGCTCCATTGGGATCAAACGCAGCAATAGAAGAAGAGGAAGAAAGGCTCTGACGATGACCATATCTGCCATAGTACTCTGAGACGGGAGACTGGCTACTCTCGGGGGTGTAGAAGATCGAGTCATCGGATGAATTGAAGCCTGGGACGTAGTGCATCGACTGGTGCCCGAACCCATTGAAGGCCGGCGTCGCTATGCTGTACCGGTAGTCTGCCTGGGGGTTGACGAGGGAGCCGATCGAAAGTCCTCCCGAGGATGATTTGGGTGTACTCTGGCCAGCTTGGGGACTGTTCATCACTGGAGCCGGAATGACTGATGAGGGTGATTCTGAGGTAACCGACACCTGTGGTAACGGGCCCATGGTTGCTGAACTACCACCTGGGCTCTCGACATCACTAGTTCATTGTCAGGAGATCATCAATCCAGAGGGAATTCACCAAGGACTTACTGTCTTTCCTGGTGTCGTTGAAGGAGATCTATGCGGTGAAACGCCTTGCGGCATCCAGCACGGGTGCAAGGGAATAATGCCTCAGGGTTGTGATTGAGTTCGTGCCTCCTGTAGAAGAGTGTCAGCGGGGAGAGGTCGAGCGAATGCGGATACGGGCAGCCCATGTCAGACGGACCTTTTGTGCTCTGCCCGGGTGAAGACCTGGTTGCAACGTTAGCTTGGCGTGCACTTCTTAGGCCCCATTATCCTGCGGACCATGGGCTTGGGGCGTTCTGCGACAACACCTACCTTTCCGCAGCCAGGAAATTCACAAGCATGAACTCGCTTGCCTTTTCTTGCCTTGCTGACGCGCCCGGTGGGCGTGCAAGCGGGAGGGCCCTCGAGAGAGACGGATGAGGTTCTCATGGTGGAAGTGCTTTCGCGACGGGAGATGGGATCTGGAGTGTGGCCTTCGACAGGCGAGAGAGGCGACTCGGGTCCTATAGCTGAAGGGGTCAAGGCAACCGGGTCCTGAGCAGGCAACTGGGCTGATGATGAAGCTTGTATGTTCTCGCTTGGTGCGCGAGGATGGTCTCTGGCAAAAGGATCTGAAAGGAGAGTGGTGGTTTCGTGCACGGGCAGGATAGGCGACGACAATTCAGCGACGCCCAGGTGTCGAGAAGTCTGAAGGCGCTTTTTTGGGGCCATGAAGGAATGAGGGTGTTGTATAGAAGATATAACTGTATACGAAGCAACCAGAAGGTCTATGCCGAATGTTTCACGGTGGAGTCGCGGGAATGCTTGGAAGCCTCCGCCCCTTTCTGAGCCTCAAGGAAAGATTAAGCTTGTTTGAGCAGATGGAGACTCGGGCATGGGTATGAGGATGGTGAGTGTGTGCGATGAGGGAGATGACGACTTTGAGGGTGGAAGAAGGGGACGGCTAGGAAACTAGAGGCATTCCGGAACCCATTGGCAGGGCTGAGTCTTGGAGGAGGGAGGCCTGCGGCACGTGGCGGGGCGGCGACAGATAGGGTCGTGTGTGCGACGACCGCCAAAGTTATTCTTATCCACCATCTGATGGAGAAGGGTGAATTGACAGAACAGATGGGACTCTCACTCTCACGCAGGAGCCAGGGTGAAATTGGTTCCATGGAGGCCTCGCGAAATAGAGCAGACTGAGGCTATAGGGCCGGGGCCGGGGTGGACGAATGAACACGAGGCGGCTGTGTCGATGACATGAGCCTTTTTGGGCCAAGCAGGGCCGGTTCTGATCAAAATATAGTCTGCTCTTGTCCACTGTCTGGTCCAGCGATGATACAGAGATGATTGGACAAGCCAGGAAATCCGTCGGCTGATGCTCACTGCTTACGGGGGGAATCATTTCCACCAGGCCCCTTCATGTCGGCATCTCTTGCGTGAGCGGACTTGAGAACAGAGCGTGTCTTCGCAATGCAAAAGTCACAGCGAAAGACCCGAGGACGGGGTGAGTGGATGGAGAACAGGCCGGTTGCGTTGGGTTGCGATGGGGACCGGGGGTCCGACCATTCAGACGACGACTATCCCGTCACCCCCGTTTGGAATTGGTCCGCGTGCGATGCCTGTCTCGCTCGTGCAGGTGCTGGTGCAGGGTGACAGGGCAGATTGGGGCAGAGGGCATTGTCGGTCGGTAGGTGGTGAAATTGATAGGGATTGCGGCGCAGACCGATTAGACTATCCCGGCAGCTTGGGCGAATGCGGCATGGCGGCTGCTATTTGAGGATAAGGTTATGCCCTAACCGGTTAGGCGTGAAACGTAGGCGGCCAACCCACCTACCAAGCCGAACCAAGCCTCCCCCCGCCGGCTAAGGCTCTTTTTAGACTAATACCCTAACTTTGTGTTTTGTTTAGACGAAGGTGCACTTACCGAGTACAACTTCAAGTCTGCCTTACCTGAGCACTAATATCAGACTGACAGCAAACCAGCATCCAGCATCCAGTCCAGCCTCCTACCTCATACGTACCTCATACCCCGTCTTTCCCACCGTCTGAAGTCGATCGCAGATTCATCCTAAGGCCCCGTACCGGTACTCCGTGCAGAATAGTCCGGTCAGACCTCTGACGCCGTCGAGTCCGTCACCCTGCGTCTCTTGCCTCCTGCCTCTTGCCTCTTGCCTCTTGCGCTTCGTCACACCACTCAGGAGGAGCCTTCCACCGAAGCCATTGTGCACTTCTGAATGGCCAGCCAAGGTGTGTGATTCCAGAGCCGAAACAGCATAAACACTGTTGCGCGACACGGACAGGACCAGCCACAGGGGCGTCGTCAGAAATTGTTCCCAACATAGATACTACGTACTCCGTACTCCGTATATGTGTACATACGAATAGACGGATAGAAGAACAAGCCACAGTGAGACAGACAAAGATACCCATCCCAAGAACAGACGCACCACTGTGCATTGATATGAGTCGACTGCTATGGCGATCAATCATCGACAGATTCAGTCAGCACAAGGACCAGGATATCATGATCGCATCCAGCCGAGCAGATGGGACCTCGGCGCCGGCTTTGATTGCTGACCCTGGATCCCAGCAGCACTTACACATCCGCAGATCAAAGCGTGCCTTGTTTTCCACTCGGCCTCTCACGTCTGTTGACCCTACTACCTCTTTCGAACAAGTAGCAGCTCCTCCTCTCCACCGGTCCTTGCACCACTCGCCGCCACAATGGGCTGACTCCATGATGTGGCCTAAACAATCGCGGGATTTTCCCGACTCTGGGAGTAGTGGGAAGCGTGGTTTTTTCATCCACAGAAGGTCAACTACTAATTACGTGCTTAATGAAAGCTTACGGATTACTCCGTACTCAGATCGAAAAGCATACGGATACAGATCCCCTCATGTCTTCGAAGCAGTCATCGTTGCCGTCTAAAATTCGGGGAATCGCCCAGCACCCATCCTGCTCCTGCCATTCTCTGAACATACTCCGTACTCGGCAATAACAACGCAGCCGCCTTGAGGTGCTTCTTGCAGAAAGGAAATTAATAATGCACCTTCGTTTGCTCCCGCCCTTACCCTTACCTTGGCCCTGCTCGATCGAGGACAGCAACAGCACCACATGGTGACTACTAAGATATACGGAGTACTGGAGGAATTAGTGCGATAGATCAAGCGAGCGCAGCGTAGTAGCACTACGTACGGATACCAATTACTGTGCCGTGTACGGAGTATGGAGGACCCTGTAGATGCAGAAGTCCCTGGACAGCTTTCTGAGCCCTACCAGGCTGGCTCGGTAACGTAAGCGAGTGTAGTTGATCAACGCAGGGAGTGGTTCACACTCAATTTCATAAACCAGGAGCTGTTGGGCATCACCACCGTTTTGGTTGCCCCTATCTCCTGCATAAAGCATAAGAGAAGAAACTTCAACGCAGCACCTCATCTCACCTCGCCTCGAATTATGGCTCTGTATTGGTGGTTCCCAGACCAGTCTAATCAAATCCTACCAGAATTATAATTTCTTCTTTCTTTCCCGCGATTCCAGAAACCGTCAAGGAACAACCACGGGAACCGTTTAAGCGACCTCCAACCGCCTCCGGTGTTTCATATCGCGCCTCGCGGCCCTGGCCACCGTTTCATGGCAGGTGCCCTGCCCTTCCAGAGCGCTTTGCACCTAAATCTTCCGTACTCCGTACTCCGTGCACGTTATTGTTGTCACATACGTACAGAGTATCATCCGTACACTTACCGAGCACACCTGGCAAGCCACGTTCCAGCCAGGTTCCCACCTGCCTTGACATCTCTCGCGTCTTGACACTGCACGGCAGGAGTGCGGATACAGATGCCGGTGCCGATGCCGAACTCGAAGTCTCTTCCATCCTTCCACCCTTCCTTCCTTCCTGCAGATCCCGTAACGTCCTTGTCGCAGCCCGCGCGGGCTCGTGCCGCAGCATCCCGTCCAATCAGTCGGCCATTCAGATGTTCACTCCGTACTCCGTACATATACGTTGCCCCTCCCTGTACTTGGAGGAGGACACTGCACAATGCACAGCGCCTCTGTTTCGTACCCCTACCCCGACCCCGACTCCGACCCCGACCCCTACAAATGTACTCCATACATTGTCCGAACACGCATACTCCGTACGCCGGTCCGAATACCCCGTGCCAATACGGAGTACGGATACTCGTAGTACGTATGTATGTGCACATAATCGCAGATGCCGACCTCGGACGAGAATGGTGTCATGTCATGTCCCGTTTCTTCAAGTTGAAAAAAGCAGTCCCTCGTGGTTGCAAAGGCGCTCTAGATCGGCAGCGCCTCCCGCACGACGCACGGTTGGTATCCTTACTGGGGCAGGGGGAACAAGGTACGGATCCATACAGAAGTTACTTCCTAGTAGTATGTACGGCTATGCTTCCACAATATGTGTACAATCAGCCGGAGGGGCTTGTGCGCGCATAGGTACCTCATCATAAGGCTGTGTGCGTTGCAGAGCGCCCACGTTGGTTTCCCCTATCGACAATGTCTCGTGGCGAGACTGTCCGCGTGATCGAAAACTGACTGCCTAGCGACACAGGGTAGGCAGCGTAGTTGGCTCGGTAAAATCAAAATCAATATCAATATCAATATCAATATCAAAACCAAAATCAGTATCAAAATCACCCTATATTTCCCGCCAGGCTGAACCGCGGGTTCAAGCTGGTCGTGGAAAGACGGTCCTTACTTACAGTACACGCGTTGGTGGAAGTCGTTGCCCGACAACAGGAGCCATTGTCGCCCTCGAGAGCGTGTATACTTCCGGTATATGTGGCTGTATGATAGTAGATACAACTTATATACCGTTACCCCAGTCAGGAGTATTTAGTAGTCTATCATTCTGAACAAAGTCGAAGTGTCATTGCGCCACTTCCCCTGTGTGCAGATATATGCTCAATACCTTGCTTGATATTAGTAACCTGTGACTCTGACTCCTATTCCCAACCACCATGCCATCCTATAAGGTCAAAGGCCGCGAGACACTTCGTCGTCTATGCCGTGCCTCCTTCGTGTAGACAAGCGCAAAAAGCAAATGCAAGCAACCATCTTTGATAGACATGCCAATCTAAGTCGCCCGTCAATTTGTCGTTACCATACCGTGCCGCCCAAGCCGTGACCGGATGTGAATCTAATCAATTCGGTCTCCCTCGATCAGTCATGTTCATTGACTTGGCTATGCCTGAAATCTTGAGAAGTATTCGCAGCTCAGTCCAACTGACACCCGATGTTGACGATTTCCGTATAGCCTAGCTCCCACCTGCCCTTCGGTACAGGCATTCACCGGCAACCTAAACATCAATCCCAGCCTCGGGCTTATGTTCCAGCCGAAATTCTTTCTTGCTTAGGCCTTCAAGTGTCTCTTTACCGTATTGCGTCAACTCGGGCTTTCCAGAAGGTTCGGTGACGGAGGTGAAGAAGCGCGGCCTGAACTCGGTGTTGAGCTCCTTGCGTTTGGCCTCCTTGTCTCGCTGCGCCTGCTCGAGATCCTGCTTGATGCGCGTAGCGTCTCCATAGCGCTTCTCATTGATCGCCACTGTCACGTCCTTCCAGAACAGACGTGACTCGTGCGGCAGCTGGTGAGGAGAGGGAGGGCAGGTTTTAGGAACGGGCATCAGCGGCTGCAAGTCGATCAGCAACTGCTTCTCGGACGTTGGCTGGAGATCTGGCCTCTCTTTGACAGCCGCCGTGTTTGGAATCGTGTAGGTGATCTGTTCCTGCCAACAGCCTTCGATTTTGGAGAGAATGTCTTTGTCAGGTACGTCCTTGACCCGCGTGTACTTGTCGTCATTAGGATCATAGCGAAAGATCACCCCGTGGACACGGTTTTGAGCCTTGCCGAACCAACTTTCCTCCACGTACGTCAAAATGCATTTCAGTTTGGTCTTGGGGCACGTCACATAGCATGTGTCTGCCACGGAGATGTACAGGGACCCTCGGAGCAGGCCACCGAGCGATGCCGCCGGATGTATCAGCTGGTATTCCTCATTGTCTCGCTTGGTCAGCGTAATGAAGATTCCACGATTATACATGCCGGGAACGACGCGGACGGAGGTGCCAGTAAAGCGCGCGGAGATTTGGTCATAGCCTCGGGCATGAAGCCCTTTCTCAGGACAGTCGTACCAATATGCTGATACAGGTGGGTGGTGAGAGGTTTGTTCTGTCAAAAAAGATATCCGTACAGGATTCTCCTTGCCGTTAGGATTTTTGGGATCGGCGGGCGGCTGGGGTGGTGCCTTGGATGGATTCAATATGGGTGGCGCTGGGTCGTTGACTTCCCAGTTGCACTAGATAGAAAAGTAACCTGTCAGTGCCGTCGCATCGCCAGGAACATGTCAGTCGACATGGAAAGAAATGACTAACCCTGAAAAATTCTCCCAGCGTCGAATTATATGGTTTGCAAGGCTTGCCCTTGACATATTTCTGCACGAGCTCTTAGCATCGGACACCGTCAGACAGGCCTATCACGCAAACGAACCAAATCCTTTGTGAACCAAAATCTGAGCACTTCCAACATACGACCGAGGTCATCGTCCGAAGTACCAATGCTAAACGCGCGTCAGTAAAGCCCGGAGGACTAATCTTGTTCAACCTGAGATCGCCTCACCTTGCAAAAGTCTCTGGTCTGTCCAGATAATGCCAGTATTCTACATGCCATGCCGTCAACTAACAGCCCTTCCGCAGTGTCTGAGCACCACTACCTACCTAGGTTGGGTATAGGTTCCAGTAATTGAGAGGGTAAAGAAAACCGGACGTTGGCGATATCTGTCACCCCGATAAACCTGCCATTTCGCAACGTCCATATTAGCCCAGACACGTCGATATATTCCAACAGCTTTGTAAAACCTCCACATATGTTGCAGACTTCTTATCACGGTGACGTACTTTCTCAACAAGCTCAAGAACGTTCGTAGCTTGGATGTTTCATCTTGCAACGGAACCTCCCCCGAGGTGCTAGCAGGAGGAGAGGATTGGGTTGGAGTCTCTGGTCTTGAGCTCGGTAGGGAGGTAGCAGGCGTCGCAAAGGGTGTAGTCGAGGTCGATGTCATGTTATGGGGGAGTTCGTGCTTCTGGAGGCTTCGCAGGGAAATGCGGTGAAATCTGCTGGACAGGTGACTTGGGAGTGAAATAGAATTAGAATGGAGAGGTACCGCGAGGCGGAAGATCTCGGACGCGAGCGCAGGATAATCAGATAGATCTTCTGCAGCAGTCAGGGAACAAAAAAGAGGCAAGAATACTATATCCAACCAGAGGGAGTATCTTGGGATCGTGGTCGTACGTATCAGAAAGGCGGGCGTTGGACGAGGGTCTGCTCCGACCACTGATAGCAACCTTGGAAGAGTAAGGATAATGACGTGAACGCCCTCCTGTGGCTCAACATCCTGAGGCCAACTCCGCAGGTTACGTTGACTGTGGCTGATGCTTGAATAATGCCTGCTGCCTATCTGCGCCGAGGTTTCATAGTTCCCCCCAAAGCAAGTGGCACTGCCATCATGTCGATGGCTGCGCCCCGTTGAGTAGTCCGTAGTCAAGCCTTCGTGAATTCAAGGCATCGTGATTATTCTACTCCGTACAGTTCCAACCAGAGGCTAACAGTCGCTTGCTTGCTATACTACAACTATTTAGTATTCCTCATAGCACTGATTCATCTCGGGTCCTATTATTTCAATGCCTTCCATGCTCTACCTTCCATTAGTGCTCTCAGTGCCAGATAAACAGCAGCGACCAACACTGCTCGAAACGCACCTTTGGACGCACTTCCCGCCCCCAGAGTGATCAGGTACCACAGTAGCCCAATCCTCTGGTTTCCTTCTCTGTCGAAATCGGGTTTCAGAACCCCCATTGTGCGATACTGCGTGAGCTTGCTGGTGCCAGCAAAAGGCGGGTACCTGACCGCCAGCAACTTCTCCACCCAGTTGGGTGTCTTGGTGATTGACCGACCATGCGTAAAGCAGTCGAAAGATGCCTTTCCATGGTAAGCTCCAGTACCAGAGTCGCCCACGCCACCAAAGGGAAGGGTTGGGATAATGCCATGGTAGAAGCCATCGTTGACGCTGGCGCCGCCGGAACGGGTCTCGGCGAGTACTCTGTCAGTCTCGGCCTTCGTTCCAAAAGCATAGACTCCCAGTGGCGTTGCATGGATCTTGTTGGCGATGCTGATGGCTTGATCCAAATTGTCGACCGCCAGGATTGGGATGAGAGGTCCAAAAGATTCCTCTACCAGGAGAGAGTCTTTGGGATCTGAGACTTCAATTACGGTAGGCTCGATGAATAGTTGATCGGCATCCATGGTTCCTCCAATGACTATTTTCCCCGAAGTAGAATCCAGCATCTTCTTGATCCGGTTAAAGGCTCGAACGTTGACGATCCTAGAGTAGTCCAGGCTCTGCTTCGCACCGCTGGGGAAGAACTCTTTCAGGGCCACCTGGAGCTCCGCTATCAGGGAGGGAGCCACTTCCTTGTCAACTAGGATGTAGTTTTGACTCATGCACACCTGCCCTGCATTCATTGTCTTGGACCACAACAGGCGCCGAGCTGCCAAGTGGACGTCCGCGTTCCTGGTCACTATAGCAGGATTTTTCCCACCCAGTTCCAGAGCGACCGGGGTCAGATTCTTCGCCGCTGCCTGAGCAACAACCTTTGCCGTATTTACAGACCCGGTGAAGAAAATTTTATCCCATTTCTGCTCGAGCAAAGCCGAGGTTTCGGGTATGCCACCTTGGACACAGATATAGCACTCGGGATCTAATGCCTTTTCCATAATCGTCTGCATGACGGCGGCGCAGTTGGGACACTGTTCAGAAGGCTTCAGAACAACGGTGTTTCCTGCTGAAATGGCCCCGATCATAGGGCCAAAGGATAAATTCACCGGAAAATTGAAGGCACTGCACAGAGTCAATATCAGCCAGAGAGCGATACAGCTTTGTCAACTCACCCAATTACGAGTATCAGGCCCAGAGGATCCTTCCGTATTCTGGGGCTCACAATCCTGTGGCTCCATGGGATATCTGCCGGCTTCTCATCCTTCATCCATTGCTCCAAGTGTTGAGTCATGAATATTATATCATTCTTCACCCATTCAATTTCAGAGGTCATCACTTCAAAGTATCCCTTGCCCAGATCCTGTTTGAACGCTTCCAAGAGCTCTTTCTCATGGTCAACAATTGCCCAGTATAACTTGCGCAACTGTTTGAGTCGGAAGGCCGCCGGGCGAGTCTTTTGGGAGAAGAAGGTCTTGCGGATTCGGGAGACGATGGAAGGGATCTTTTCGATGGGAGTGGTTGTGAAAGTCGGCAACTGGACCGAAGCCATGATTGCGCTGTGGGTGAAGTTTGTAGTGCCTCTCAGTATGATATCAAACGAACTGCGGGCGCGGTTTTGGGATTTCTCAAGAGGTCCTCCGAATCTCGCGAAGGTAAACCGTCACTGGATGTCAAAGACGCTATTGATATCCTTTGCACAGGGTATTCGGTTGTTGGCGAGATGAGAACGGCGCAGCACTGTCGAATAGCAGATACAGAGCAATGTGCCTCGGCTCAAGGCCTTGCAACCACAAGGAACGTGTCAACAACAGCTCTTCGAGAGGGTGTTGTGAGCGCAGAAGGATTGGTTGTGCGGAGAAGATGGACACGGCTCGTTTGACTTGGAAGTCGGCAGCACCTGAGTCAGGCTTCTTGCAGGTCAGGGCCCTGTTCTTCTGCTATTCCCCATCAAAGAGATATTCAAGCGTCGGTGCGTTTCGCGGGGACGACGTCCGTCGCCAGTAGTACAGTAATTACATAGTCTCCAAGTTCGGTCGAGAGATGGGTACTGCTAATTGTAGTAACGTCCTCATGACGATGCCGCTAAGGCCGATCCAGTCGATCCAGCCCCTCTTAACCACCGCCTTCCAGCCCGCGTTTCTGCGTCTTCTTTCCTACGCATCACTACGATTTCTCATCTTTAGACATTGCATTCGTCGTATATTATTTAGCGACAAGATTCGGTGGCATCGAACCCGTCTCTCTGTCTGCCTCCAATGGCACCATGGCAGTGTTCGTTGACCTTGACGACGATGACTGCGCATCCCATCGTCCACCATGTGACGATGCGGGATCGACGCGGCCATCCATCTCAGCCCGTCATGATCAGCTAAAGGCTATCGACCAGGGCGTGTCAAATGAAGCCGACAGAACTTGCATGACGAGGGCTGTGCAGGTAGACTCGATGAGGACCAACAAATTGGCGGCCGCTCTGACATGCTATCCGTATGCGCTGGCAGTACCTGCTCAATGGCAGGCGATTTCCTATGCTAATATATCATGTCTAGTATCGCCTTCTCCTTGGCCTCCCACATCGACCTTAATGACCTAGATGCTCTGGCAGCAACCTGCCGAAGCGTCCATATGAGCCTGACGCAGTACGCTCCTCAGCTCAAAGCTCATTCCCTGCGATGCATCCTCGACGGGATGCCCACGCTGACTGAAATACTTGCAACGGCAAAGACTGCAGATCTATACACGGATGCGTCGTTCCATTATGATCAAGTAACAGGTGCATCTGCAGCGTGGCAGCCGAATATCCCAGTTGAGGACGCCGTGAGGCCATGGGTACGCTCGACACTTCCGGGATTTTGGTCATCAATGGGTGTGACCAGCAAGATCAGCTCCTGCGCTCGAGACCTTGTCGCTCCATGTCGCAGCTGCGGGTCAGTGGTCTGTCGCAACTGTGCAGCCAAGCCTCCCAGTAATGCCAGATTGAAAGATCGCTATCGACGATTGTGCAGCACCTGCCTGGACGCCCCAATAGAAGCGCATTTATACGCTCCGGCTGTGCCCCACAACTGGACTGATGGCGTCCTGGTGTCTAGTGCCAGTTCAGTGAAGTCGGACCACTCGGTCTCGAGCCAATCTACGTCGAGTTCGGGATCTGGTCTGGAGGATCGCGAGGTCGGACAACAGGATCTTCATTCTTTCACCTCGACGGCTTTTTTGCGCGGCCCTTGCACGTGCGACACTCGCGGTGTTTTCTTATGTGCCCCATGTGGACAGCACCTTGGAGTTTCCGACACCACCTATAAGCGCGTGTGGACGTGGCGATCTCGATACTCTACCCATATCGGCGGAGGATTGGGCACGGGTTTGGGAGCTGGCAACCAGGGCCAGAAATGTGGGCGTGGCCACGATTGTCTCGCGACTGGCGGCAATGCCGAATGCTGGGTTGAGATTGACTGTTACGGACGAAAGCCTCTTGATTACCATCGGGAGCACGATGGAGGTGAACCGAGCAGCATCGGCACCCCGGATCACAGCAGCAACAAGCCTGGGTATTTTCAGCAAGAAATAGAAGGCATCGGCGGAGTGGTCAAGAAAAAAATGAAGAAGCGGGTCAAGGTTGGTGCCACGGTTTGGGAATATGAAGACGAGAAGGCAAGTGGCAAGTATTTGGAAAGGGAGGCCAAAGGCGCGGTTCGTAGCTGGTGTGGTTGGTGTGGGCGGGTGTGCCTGGGGCCGAAGGATGCGGAGGAAGCATGTCTGAAGCTGGATGCGATAGTCATGTGAGGACACACAATGAACATGTAAGTGCGGTATTCAAGTTGATGGACGAATGCATCGGACAGGGGTCCGTCTTGAGTAATGGCCGCGGTGTGATGGCTGGAGCAGGCATGAAATGGAAAAGGGATCCAGCCGAGCAACAGCAAACCCGGGGAGAGTGAGAGGCGGTGGAACACCTGGCGGATTTCCCCCGGCACGAATACCTTATGCTAGCGGGATTTCTGTACTGCGGACGGTACGAGTACTCTGTAACCCTCTGCGAAGATATAGTCGGAGTTAAAATCACGAGCCCGGAGACATAGGTAGCTCGTATAGGTTGGAATCAAGGGCATTTGGCTGTCCCGGAGGGTCTATTCGTGGAATTTCGGTACCAGGTAGGCTCCGGCGATACCCCAGAGATCGATCTCGGATTGCATTTAGTGTCAGGTGGAATGACATGGACTGTTGTGCTAGGCAGGTCAATGGTTGGTTGTGGATGCGAGATGGGCAGATGGTGCCTTGCAGGCCCAGATGCGGGTGCGGATAGCGACATGGGGGGCACAAAAGCCTAGGCTTAGGGGCTAAGGAGGCCTGTGCCAGCGATTGCGGTATTGGCCGTTAACCGTCGTTCGGGGCGCCTTTTAGCCCAATGGAGGGGCAAGGCCGGGGAGGGGCTGAGATTTGGGGCTGACACAGAGGAGGCCGCATGCCTATTATAGTATCCCGAGTCCTTGTCATTGTTCAAGATGCAAGCGGGCTGGAGCACCGTTGACACCGCAGGCCGCTGGCACACAACAGCAAGGACAAGGACTGTTATGCTGAGGTAGGGACTGCGGGAATCCGTCAATCAAGGCACCCACTCTGCACTGGACAGAAGAAGAACGGTGGTGAAGACAAGCAGAATCAATCATGGTGACTGTGGCTGTGTTGGTGGTGGTGGTGGTGGTTGAAATTGAATCTGCCAGGCATCCCACACCACACGGACTCCGGCCAGCTGCACACCAGAGGCGGCACGATTTCCACATTCGAATATCGCACCCTGCCGGACTGCGATGCAATAGTGGTGACTGGCGACGAGCGCGGTTGGCTGCAGAGCACAGGCTGGACACCGGCCCTGCCTTGCTGCGCGTGGGCGAATTTTCACAGCCGAAACAGTCACAGTTGCAGTTGAATTGAAACTGCAATCACCTCTCTGTCCGCGTGACTCTTTTCTGCGAAAGTGTTTGCTTCTCACAGCTGTTCTTTCTTCAAGTTTGCTGGCTGCGGTGCTCCTTCTTTATCCCCTTGAGATACGGACGGATACTCACAACTCACCACCGACCACCCCCACGACATCTGCATCCAGAGTACATAATCAATCTCACCCTCACTTGCGATCGACACACCGCAATTCTGCAATCAAAGCCCACCGCTTCTTCTTTTCTTCTTCTTCTTCCTCCTCCTCCTCTTCGTCTGCTTACCTACCTACCACTGGCTCCCGCTCATCAGTAATTCGTCCTATCATCCTCATCTCAGCCGTCTCACAGTCTCACAGCCTCACATTTACTGTCAACCCGCCTTATCTATCCCTCTACTTCAGGTTCCCAATAATCATCCTCGGCAACACAACGCTGTTTTCTGCCTCGTGTCGAAGCTGCGTCAGGTGCAAAGGTTTTGGAGAGACTTTGCTCGTTGCCGGCGATCTAACTCTAAAGCCACGGGCAAGTCCAAACTTTCAGGCCGGCCCGCAACGACATCATTTGCCCTCGTGTCATCGATCCAAGACCGCGTCACGGACTCTCTGCTGTCACCCACTTCAACCTTCGGGCCACTTAATCTTATACACTCCTTCCACTTACTCTAGTGGTATATAACCTCATTTGGATCCTGCCTGGATTTGAGACATTTCTGTCGGTCATGAGCTTGCCACATGGGCACAACCGCCGCCGTAGCTCATCCTTAGACCGCCGCGACCCCTACTCTTCTCCCTCTGTCTACTATGACGAGGACGCAGTCAGACGCCAACTGCTAGGCGCACGCAATAGAGCAGTCTCTTCTGTACGTGCGCTGCCATCTTGTCTCCTCTACTGTCATTGCTGACCACGCTTAGTACATCAAACCTGCCCGCGAGGCTCTTCCCGGTTATAAAGGCAACTATCCTGCACGTCGGACCAGTCATGGTGCGTCCCTCTCGTCCCGATAGGGTCAAAAGATCTCAACTGACGTATAACTCCTTCAGACGAGCACTACCAACAACATCAAGAACTCTTGGTCGACGTGAATCGCACCCTGAAAGATCTCATTGAAAGAGAGGACATTGATGGAAATCAACAAATCACTATTGAAGACAATGGACCAAAAGTAAGCATAGCCTACAGTGCTATGACGTTTTCACACAAGACTGACCGGCTGTATAGCACATCAGTCTAGGCACTCTGGCATCTGCTGGATACCGATCTACCGAAGTCCGCGGAAACTACATGATCAGCAACCTCCTGCAAGAGTTGACATTAGCACAAGACTTGGGCAAGAGAGTCGTCAAGATACATCGTTCTCGCCTCAGTGAAAACCCCGTCGACCGCTTATCTCGTCGCATCAGGGATGAGTTCTGGACCAATCTCACCCGGAGCCTTGATGCCGACACTATTGAAAAGGCTGGTCGTGATCCTAAAGACTGGACGCCCGATCCCAGACCTCGCATCTACATCCCACGGGGCTGCCCTGAGCAGCATGAATACTACACCAAGGTTGCCCAAGATCGTCCCGAGATTAGGTTGGATGTCCGCTGGCTGCCAGAGGGTCCTATCACCGCCGAGTACGTCCGCAGTCTCAATGACGCGCCCGGGATTTTGGCCCTGGTCATGAAGAAAGAGGTGATCAATGGCAAAGAGACGCTCAAGGGCGAACCATTCGTAGTGCCTGGTGGACGCTTCAACGAGCTTTATGGATGGGATAGCTACATGGAATCAATTGGGCTCATCCAGAATGACAGGATTGATCTAGCCAAGTCGATGGTCAGACACTTCTGCTTCTGCATCCAGCATTATGGCAAGATCTTGAACGCCAACCGTTCTTACTACCTTACCAGGTCCCAGCCTCCCTTCTTGACCGACATGGCGCTCAAGGTCTATGACAAGATAAAGCACGAACCTGGTGCGCTCGACTTCCTGCGGGTGGCCATCACGGCCGCCATCAAGGAATACTACGATGTCTGGATGTCAGCCCCCCGTCATGACCCTGCCACTGGTCTCTCTCGCTACCGCCCGGACGGTCGCGGGGTGCCCCCAGAAACCGAAGCTTCCCACTTCGTGCACATCATCACCCCTTATGCTCAGAAGCACGGGATGGCCTTTGAGGAGTTCGTCAAGGCATACAACTCGGACGAGGTCAAAGAGCCGGAGTTGGACGAGTATTTCCTGCATGATCGTGCCGTGCGGGAGTCTGGTCATGATACGTCGTATCGACTGGAAAGCTGTGCGGCGAATCTGGCCACGGTTGATCTCAATTCACTGCTGTACAAGTATGAAATTGATATTTCTTGGTGTATCCGCCAATACTTCAAAGACCGGTTGGCCATTCCAGCCGACTTCCGATCCGAGGCCAACCGCAAGGAGGGATATGAGACGTCGGCCACGTGGGATCGGCGGGCCAGATTGCGCAAGGCTCGCATGGACAAATACATGTGGAACGAGGCGAAAGGCATGTATTTTGACTACGACACGGTGAACAAGAAGCGTACCGCATACGAAAGCGCAACGACATTCTGGGCCATGTGGGCAGGATGCGCGTCGCCACGCCAGGCCGCTGCCTTGGTGGCCAATGCACTTCCCAAGTTTGAATGCTTCGGAGGACTCGTGTCGGGAACCGAGGCATCTCGAGGTGAGGTCGGTCTGAATCGCCCCAATCGACAATGGGACTATCCTTTCGGCTGGGCTCCTCAGCAGATGCTGGCGTGGGGTGGACTCATCAAGTACGGGTACATTGAAGATGCGCAGCGGCTCGCCTACAAGTGGCTGTACATGGTGACCAAGGCATTTGTCGACTTCAACGGCGTGGTGGTGGAAAAGTACAATGTCACCCGTGAACTGGATCCCCACAAGGTGGAGGCGGAGTACGGCAATCAAGGGGCCGACTTCAAAGGCGTGCCGAGGGAAGGGTAAGTTGAGCGAGTCTTTTGTTTTGTTTTTGAGTCCGGTGGCTGACGGATCGGAACAGCTTTGGCTGGGTCAATGCAAGCTATGTGTATGGCCTGTCTTTCATTCCCATGCACATGAAACGAGCCCTAGGCACCATTACGCCGTACGATACGTTTGCCAAAGCCACCGAAATCAAGTTGGGCGGAACCATCGAGGAAGGCTCGGACGAATCGCGACCCGAGTCGGCCGACGAGGCTGAAGCAGTCATCAGCTCGAGCCCAGAGGAGTGATCAGTCCAAGACACTGAGCAGTGGACACTGGACAGTGATCTCGAGACGGGACTGATGGGGTGGAGACTTGGATTGTTCAAGAAGGCTGGGGAGGTATGATGACTTCTTCCCGTTCCCGTCACGGCGGAGGGAGGTTTTCGCGACGAGACGTTGATCCGAAGAAGGTCCGGGAGAGGAATGGCTACCGGGTATCCTCTATCCTCAGCAGGCAGTGGGTGGTTTCAGAATTCTTTTAGTTTATTGTTATTAGCTTTGCACTTATGGACATTGGACGGCGTTTGACAGGTTGCGCACATGCGTTGATGATGCAACCAGCACAGGGGGGATTCCTGCCAATCTGCACACAGTACATAGTGGTTCTGCGGTTAGCCTTTGCCCGTTATTGTTAGATACTTCGGTAGTGGATCATGAAGGTCATTCTCCTACAATGCAATACTCCGTACGGAAGTAGATCTCGAGGCCTGATTCCTGGAAGGCGGGCAAAGCCCCGGCCTGAACAGTCATCAGGCTCCGGTTCTTTTTCGCGGGAGCGACGTAGACAACCACCTAATTAGCAAGTCCGGAGCAGGTGCAGCCTGGTTGTTCCGGCGTAAGTGCACGTGACATGTGCCGAGGCATCGTGGGCGGCTGGAGGCGGCGTGATGCCAGCTGGAACAACAGACCACTACAGGGGTGCAGAGGCAGAGGCAGAGGCAGACACGGAAGGGGATAGGAGACCTCACGCATATACCGATCATGATATAGACCAGACGAACAGGCTGTTCTCGGCGGGATGTACGGCTGGTTATGTATCCTATCCGTACATCCTGCGGGCGAACGGAGAGCAAAGGCACCCAAGGCACAAGGGAACGTCGAATCTGGCGTCATTGCTTTATACCTAGGCTTGGGGCACATGCTGCCGTCACCAACGGCCAAATTCCTCTTCCTCTCTTGTGCCTCGCTCCCCATTCCCATTCCCATCCCCACCTAGCCGAGCCTCCACCGAAGGCTATCAGATGGCAAATGGCAAACGGCAAGCCCTCGAACGGCGATTTGCCTCTTTCAAGTTCTCGCCCTCCAGTCCGGCTTCTTCCCCAGGCCCGTCATCCAGCCGACCAATCTCTGCTCGCCGCTCTTCCTCCCAGACTCCTTCTCCCGCCCTTGACCCGGGTCCAAGTACCAGAGTCCAAGCTTGGCCAGAACCGGACGCCACGATCAAGCACGCTCTACGACCGTGCCCGCCGTCCTTAGTCCTACCTCTCTCAGCCCGTCGGAGATGGAGGGGACCGGCAATAACCAGTCCCTGCGCTCGGCCGGGTGTCCGTAATATTACTTAACTCTGGCGCATGCTCCTCTTTCGACTCTGACTCTGATGACTGTTTCGTCTCTCGGTCCACCCATTGTCCTCTTCAACTCTCCTCTCCCTTCGTGTCTTTTTGTTTGCGGGGTGTAGAACACCGACCGCACTGGGACAGCTACAATACACACGGACAGCCTCGGCCTTTGACGACAGCCACGCTGAACAAGATTCTCGCCGCCACCAAGATGGCTTCAATTGAACAAGAAGAGCAGCAATACCTGCAAGAGGTGGCCGCGGTCAAGAAGTGGTGGACTGACTCCCGATGGAGATACACCAAGCGACCCTATACCGCCGAGCAGATTGTTCAGAAGCGAGGCACCATCAAGATCGACTACCCCAGCAACATCCAGTCCAAAAAGCTGTGGAAATTGGTTGAGCACCGATTTGCTGTATGACCACGTCCTTTGCAGGTGCTGATGTCGTACACAAACTGACCATTTGATTACCAGACCAAAACTGCCTCGACCACGTATGGCTGTCTCGAACCAACCATGCTCACTCAGATGAACAAATATCTCGAGACTGTCTACGTGTCGGGCTGGCAAGCCTCATCTACCGCTTCCTCGACCGATGAGCCCTCTCCCGATCTGGCCGACTATCCTATGAACACCGTGCCCAACAAGGTGAACCAATTGTTCATGGCTCAGTTGTTCCACGACCGCAAGCAGAGAGAAGAGCGTCTCACCACTCCCAAGGAGAAGCGGGCGTCTCTACCCAAGGTGGACTACCTGCGGCCCATCATCGCCGATGCGGATACCGGCCATGGCGGTTTGACCGCGGTCATGAAACTCACCAAGCTGTTTGTTGAGAGGGGCGCCGCCGGTATCCACGTTGAAGATCAGGCGCCTGGGACCAAGAAGTGTGGGCATATGGCTGGCAAGGTCTTGGTCCCTATTTCTGAACATATCAACCGCCTCGTGGCCATCCGCGCTCAAGCCGATATCTTGGGCGTCGACTTGTTGGCGGTGGCCCGAACGGACGCCGAGGCGGCCACTTTGATTACCACCACGATCGACTACCGAGACCACGCATTTATACTTGGATCCACCAATGCCAATCTCCAACCTCTCAACGATCTCATGGTTGCGGCCGAACAAGCCGGCAAGACTGGCGCCGAGCTTGAAGCCATTGAAGACTCGTGGACCAGGCAAGCCGGCATCAAACTTTTCGACGACGCCGTCATTGACGCCATCAACGCGGGCGTGCATGTTGACAAACCGGCTTTGATTGCCAAGTACAAGCAGGCCTCCAAAGGAAAGTCAAACAGCGAGAGCCGCGCAATTGCCAAGGGGCTCACCGGAGTGGACATCTACTGGGACTGGGATGCCCCGAGGACACGTGAGGGCTTCTACCGACTCAAGGGAAGCTGTCAATGTGCCATCAACCGGGCCATTGCCTATGCTCCGTACGCCGACCTGATTTGGATGGAGAGCAAGCTGCCGGATTACGCTCAAGCGAAGGAATTCGCCGATGGCGTTCACGCTGTCTGGCCCGAGCAAAAGTAAGTGACACGAATCTCAACCTAGCGGCACGAATTCTATACTGATCATGGTGTGCGTCCAGACTTGCCTACAATCTTTCCCCATCGTTCAACTGGAAGACTGCCATGTCCGCCAAGGACCAAGAAACTTATATCCAACGCCTGGGAGAGTTGGGTTATGCCTGGCAGTTCATCACGCTGGCCGGTCTACATTCGACCGCCCTGATCTCCGACACGTTCGCCAAAGAATTTGCCAAGCGCGGCATGCGTGCCTATGGAGAGCTGATCCAGGAACCTGAGATGAATGCCAAGATTGACGTGGTCACGCACCAGAAGTGGTCCGGCGCCAACTATGTGGACAATCTACTCAAGATGGTCCAAGGTGGTACTAGCAGTACCGCGGCCATGGGTAAAGGGGTGACGGAAGACCAGTTCCATTAGATATGGCTGGCATTTTCGAGAGTGGGGAGGCGTGAGTGCATGACCAGATCTAGGATAGTCAGGCCAAAGAAGCGATTGATTTGGATTTGAAAATGAAGAGGAGGAGAAGAGGAGGAAGACGAGGAAGAGGAGGAAAACGTGCCATATGAATTAAGATGAATCGAATCGAGGAGAAATTCGAGTTGACTTGAACCCCAAAATGAGCCAACTGAGACTGACAGCGCCACGCTGGATTGCACGGCACTGGCATGTGGAACGACGGGTTGATAATCGAGTGTCATGTTTATATCCATGTTCATATATGACATAGTGAGTGATCTATACTGAACTATTGCCTACAATATGAGGATGATTGATTGGGATTTCTTGTTCTTCAAGAAGCACGGATAGTGGGTTGTAATATATTTATATCGACTAGGTCGGTGTCTGGGTGAATTTACTATACGAGACGAGACGAGTCCGGCCAGGCTTTTCAAAGGCCACTAACAAGCAGTCTGTGAGATCACTACGCATAACGAAACCAAACCAGACCAGACCAGACCAGACCAGACCAACTAGATCACGACGAAAGTCCCTTCTTTTCCTCTGTCGTGGCCGTCGCCGTCGTAGTCTAGATCACGATGAAAGTGCCTTCTTTTCCTCTGTCGTGGCTGTGGTCGTGGTCGTCGCCGTCGCCTTCTGCACTCCATCCCGTATCCAAATGGCCAGCCAGTCCGGCAGGCAGCGCAACAGGGGCCCAATGCACATCTTGGCCGGGACGTAGACGCTGCCGCTCCTACCGGAAAGGACCTGGTCGACGGCGCGGCCGGCCACGTCTTCGGCCGTCAGCACCGGCGTGCCGGACTGGGTGAGGGCGGATTCCCAGGAGCCGATGAGCGCGGTGCGGGCCCACATGGGGTGAATGATGCTGGCTTGGATGCTGTGGCCGGGGTTATCACCATTACCACCGGGAGTATCACCACCATTACCACCACCAGTACCACCGGGACCACCAGTACCACCAGGAAAATCACCACCATTGCCACCAGCGTTGCTGCCACCGGGAGTATCACCACCATTACCACCAGTACCACCAGCGTTGCTGCCACTACTACCGCCAGCGTTGCTCCCAGCGTTGCTCCCGACGTGGCTATAGCGATGCGTCAACTCCTGCACCAGCGACTCATGCAAGCCCAGCACGGCGGCCTTGGTGGCAGCGTAGTCGGCGAGACTAGCGAGGCCCGTGTAGCTGGCCATACTGGCCAGGGTGACAATGTGGCCCTTCCGCCGGGCCAGCATCTCGGGCAGAAGCAGTCGCAGCAGCGTAAAGTGCGAGAGCACGTTGACTCGGAAGATCTTGTCGAGGAAGGCGTCGCTCGTTTCGAGTAGCGTGTGGGCTTGGGCGATCCCCGCGTTGTTGATCAGCACCGTCGGCGGAGGCGTCACCGTCTCGAGAAGGCGTGTCGTGGTGGCGATGATGGATTCCGGCTTGGTCAGGTCGATGGGGAAGTAGTGCAGTCGTGGGACTGGATGGAAGTCAGTGAGATGTAGGGGATGGTGGTTCCTGTAGGAGGAGCTTGTAGGGGATCCCGGTCCCTGTAGAAAGAGCATGTAGGGGATACTGGTTCCTGTCGGAGCAAAATTGTAGGATTGATGGGATGGAATGGAATGGAAAAGTACAAAAGGAAAGGAATGGATACATAGTGGCTTAGTAGCCAAGGTCTTAATATGGGTTGAGAATGAGAATATCAAACAGAGACATCTTTGAAAAACAATTGGATGTTGGCGGATAGAGACACGGTAGCCCAGCTGGCTGGCTAGCTAGTTTCTGTTTCTCGTTTCTTCGAGAACAGTGACAAAAGAGGGCAAGCTTGGAGCGCGGAGAGACCATCTGTATAGGGCCAACCCCTCTTGAGGAGGAGAGACAGAGAGATGGAAATAGGGGCTTCTTTGGGCCAGTGGTGTGCAGTATAGTGCTAGGCCAGAACATAAGACAAGACAAGACAAGACAAGACACACGGGTAGGGTAATCGATAATCTAACGTACTGTTCTCCAGATCGGCCGGCAACTCCTGGATGTCCAAGACGACGAGATTCGCCTTTGTTGTGGCGGCGAACATTTTGACCATCGCTTTGCCGAAGCCGCTGCACCCGCCCGTCACCACGATCGTCTCCTTGCCTTCGGTCTGGAACTCCCACGGCGCACCCTGCTTCCGGAGATGCCAATGGTTCAGGGCCAGTCGGTTCAGGAACCGGTTGACCTGAGTCACCAAGCCGACAGTGAACAGGATCTTGAGTATTCTGACGGCTGCGATCGAGGGAACGATGCGGCTGCGGTTGTTGTGGTTGCGCCTGTTGGCAAGGAATAGTAATGCCCCTGTCACGACGGGTGAGAGGAGAGTATGATCGACCACGGTGCGGTACGAAGGGAGGAGTTGGTGGTGCAGGCTGCCCAGGGAGGGAGTACTGGTCGAAGTTGAGCGGGCTGCCATGATTGCTTGCGACGCCGGAGATCGAAGGCAGGGGAATATGTGTGGATGGGTAGTTTTGGTTGTATTGACGTCAATGTTGATGTCTTAATAAGGGCAGACCTCGTCGTCGTGGTCGAATATGTCCGGGTTGTGGGTGAACCTTTGTCGAGTCAACGTCGACTTTGTAAAGCCACGTCTGGTTGAGAACCCAATACACACTCCTGAAGGGCTGGTTTGGTGCAACGGAGAGTCTAGGTCGACGGGACCAGACGCTGAGCTCACACAACTAGTATTATAAGTACCTTAGTACTCAGATGGTAATGGTACAAACAAGAAGGAAGAGTGGAAGTGGGCGGACTTTCCGGCCTCCCCCACTCCAGTAGTCATGCAGATATATGAGCGGAGGCCAGCAGAAGCTTCTTCTCGGATGATGCCCGACGCAATAGCAGAGGCAGAGGCAGAGGCAGTGGTAATGACAGTGGTAGAGGCAGGACTTTCATATGCTTGATGCCGAAGGCTGCTTCAGACCTCGGTCAGCCTGGGCTGGTGGGGGACAAATGCCTCTTACAGTGCGGAGGTGGCGCCGGGGAAGCCAAGACTAAACTAGTATATTAGTGTTACTAGTATTAGAGCTAGTACACTAGTAGCTCACTAGTAATATTTGACCGATATCGGATATCAGGCCAGATCTTTACTGTCTGAGAAAAAGACACCATGGCTGCCACCCAAGTATCAGGTATTCGTACAACGGTATGTAGTCCCCCTGATGGGAGCTGAGTTCTCCGTATATCCTCTCGCATTGGCAATAGCCGCAAGGTATGGATACTATACCACAGATACCAGGTCAGTCAAGCGATCAAAGAAGCCGCAAGCATGACCAGCCCGCCAAACCCGTCCATTCCCGCGCACCACTCCTCCCAATGCGAAGAAGTTGAAGCCCTGGACAAAGTGGAAGGGGAAGTGGAAGTCATAAGGTCCAAAGGATGGTAGAGCAGCACCCCGCCACTGCCACAGAGGAGCTGGCCCTCGTCGAGTTTGACGAGCTCGCCGTTGGCAGCCAGTCCAAAGGCAGTCCGACTCCCAGGGTCTCTCTCGCTTGCTGCCGTCCACTCAGACTCGTCGCGTGCTTCCCACAGCTGTTTCTTTGCCGGGAGCGGGGCGAGAACAAGATCCGTCTGCAGAGTGCACATGGACGCCGGTTCGAAATAAACGAGCATGTTGACGACTCGATAGACCACGGCTAGCCTTGAGTTGGATCCAGGAAAGATTAGTATTTTTCACAACACATTCAGTTCGTGCCCAATGGGATTAGATTGAGACTGAGGATCGAGGATTGAGGTTGGGTGGGTAGGCTGGGAATTCTAGGTAGGATTCTCACCGTTGTCTTGACTCCTCATAAACCCAATCTCTCCACCTCTCGACAGCGGCGTTGCGTCGCGTAGTCTGCGGGACGAAGGAGCTGACGCGGCCGAGTTGTTGTGCGATTACCTGAGTACCATCATGCCATTAGACTTCAGACAGGGCAGGGAGAGAGGATAGAAAGAGAAAAGGGGAAAAGGGGAAAAAGGGAGAAGGGCAGAAAGCTAGAAAGGGAGAAAGGGAGCTGGCTCGACCTACGGTGACGGCGGCAACTAATTGGAAATCATAGTTGTTGTGGTCTGTCTCGCCTTCGTCCATGCGGATGAGAATGTAGATGGAGAGGGCTTGCATGGCAGCAAGCAGCTCCCATTTGTTCAACTCCAGATGCTAATCACACCGCCAATGTCAGCCTCTCGTGGGTATCCTTGTCCTTTTGGTGGTAGACGAGAGCCATGGCAGGAAATCGAGAGTCAACGGTTAACAGTTGACGGTCAACGTCAACGTCAACGTCAACAGTCAACAGTCAACAGTCAACATTCAACATTCAACAGTCAACAGTCAACAGTCAACAGTCAACAGTCAACCTCAACCTCAACCTCAACGTCGACATCAACGTACCTCGGCATACATCCGTTCACATTCCAGCCCGACATTCTTCCAGAACAACTTTCGACTCCCCCGGACGCCGCCGCTGATCATACGCACCAGATTGATGCAGTTGGTCAATGGCTCCATGTCGTTCCGGGTATGGTTACTCTCCACATCGTCGGAAGAGATCAAATGCGGATGGATGAAGGGCGGGAGAGTGTTGTCGCGCAGCATCATCAGAGGATAGGACTTCAGCGTGTGCAGGATGAGGTTGGCGATCCTCTGATGGCCAGTCTTGATTTTCGGGCGCTGGATGAATGACCGGAGAGCGTAATTGGACAGTGTCGAGATTGGTATTGGGATCGGTATCGACAAATTAGGAGAAGAGACGACCAGTTGTCCCTCAACGGACTTGGAGGAAAGACCCGTCGAAGAGGTCGACCGAGGGACCCAAGATGACGACTCCGATGAACGAGATTGGGATGGGGATTTGACACTTCCGTCGTGATGCAGAAAGTCGGCGAAATCGACACTTGGGTCGTTCCAGTCAAGATAGTCTGCTCCGAGATACGCGAACTCGGGGTCTGATGTGACAGGGGCATGGTTGAGAATCTCAGCATGGCCATGATTATGATCACGATCACCACCATTGCCTGTTGCTTGACCTCTTCCATTTGCGACCCCAGCAGGAGAAGGAGGAGCATCTGCCACCAACGACGGCGCTCTTGGCCCGAGCCCGGTGCTTTTGGGCGTGTGGGTTGGATAATGGCATTCGATGGCCTTGGAGATGCACCGCGAGCATTCGGGCCGCTGGTTATCGCAACGCGCCTTTCTTCTCGCACACGCGATACAAGATCGAGTCCGAGGCGTAGGCGTACTGCCTGCTCTCCGCGACCGACAGTAGTATCCGTGTCTCTTCAGCGTGGATTCTGTCCCACCATCCCGTCCGTTAGATCCGTACACACTCAGACTGGGCCTCATAGAAAGAGGGAAGGGCCCTAAGGCTACGGGGATGGGGGATGGCAACCTACGCTTGTCGAATGGTTTGTTGCACTGCCCGCACCGCAGGACTGATTGCACGTCTCCTCCGTACATTTCAGTTTCAAAATAGGCCGCCGTAAGTCTAAAGTCAGTCAGGGGAGCGGTGAAGTGTGAACGGTGAATGCAACAGTCTGGCTACACGGATGTCCGTACAGCATTGAAACTTGAGTCTTCGAACTTAGAACGTCGCCCCATTTGTCAGCGGGCGGGCGGAACATTTTGTAGAGAAGTCTTCGTGGTCCGGATTGGGAAGAATTTGTGGATCGGGTCGTGGTGTCCACTGTCAACGTCAACAATCTCCCTCTCAAGAGTACTGTACCAAGCACAGGATGCCTCATTTAAGATTTCGGAAACCTCATTCTCCGGCCATGTACGGATACTATACATGGGATTAGCAATCCATATAGGTTGTCGCAGACGTGATCCTCGCCCCCTGGTCCTCACAAATTGCACCACTCCGTACAGCACTGAACCGCAGTCGTAGACTCGGCCATAGATGTATATATAAAGATGGGTAAGTAGGGGTGGAAGACATAATTCCTCATCGGACAATCATCCATTCATCTACAGTTCCCAGTACAATCACCATGGCTTCCACGGTCCCGGCTCCTTTTCCATCCCCCACCGCAACGTGGCACAATACCACATATCCATCTCTATCTCCCACCAGGCCCGAGCTATCTGCCAAAGGCAAGACCGTGATAATCACAGGAGGCGGCACTGGCATCGGTGCAGAGACGGCTCGCTACTTTGCCCAAGCAGGCGCCTCTCGAATCGGGCTCCTTGGCCGTCGGGAACAGCCGCTCCTCGACACCAAAGCATCGATCGAGCAGAAATTCACGGGCGTCGACGTGTTTGTGGCCCCCACCGATATCACCAAGCAGGACCAAGTGGACGCGGCCTTCGCCAAGTTCGTGGACGACGGAAAGATCGACGTTGTGGTCAGCAATGCGGCCGTGGTTGGAACTCAGGATCCCGTGAGGGAGGTGGACGCCGACAAGTTTCTCGACGGCGTCCAGAAAAACCTCAGTGGAGCTTTATTGGTCGCGCAGGCCTTTCTTCGCTACGCGGCGCCTGGAGCCGTCGCCATCAACGTTTCTTCGAGCGTTGCACATGTGGATTTTACTCCCAGCTTTGCTTCGTATGGCGTCGCAAAGATGGCGGTGATTCGGCTCTGGGACTCGGTGGCCTTTGCGAACCCGGACCTCAGCGTCTTCCACATCCAGCCCGGCGTCGTGGACACGGACATGAATAAGGAAGCAGGAGGTGTCGCTGCCGTCGGCTTCTCAGATCACGGTAGGTGGAATTACCACTTGCCGAGCTTTGGCGAACACCATGAACTTGAACCTGAGCTGACCTCTAACTTAGTTTCTCTGCCGGCAAGCTTTAATGTTTGGCTGGCAAGCCCCGAAGCACGTTTCCTCAAGGGCAGGTTTCTGTGGACAAACTGGGATGTAGATGAACTCAAGGCTCAAGCCAAAGAGATTGAAGCGGGTACGCGGTTCAAGATTGGGCTTGTTGGATGGCCGTTTGAGGCTGCTTGGAGGAGCCCATGGAAAGAACAGTGACGCCGAGGACAGACACTCCTCACTGGCGTGACAAGGATCTCATCTAGACGTTGCCGCGAGAAATAACACATACACATCGAAAGACAGTTCGTCCTTGATCCTTTGGAGTGGCTAGTTGTGCTCGGCTGCGTTGCCTGACTCACACTGATCTTTCATCGGGAGGGATTAGGATACATCTTGAGGCCAGAGGCGATTCAGTCCGAGGATCCGTACAAGAGGAGCATCTGCTATCAAACAAGGGCTAAATAGTACACTGAAGTGGCCTTTGGCCTCAGAGAGCAGAGTAACAATGAGATGATCTTTGATCTGATTTCTTCTGCGCAGGAGGTCACACGATGCACCGTAGTATTGGTCACGGGACGAGGCTGGGCTTGGCCCCTCCCGCTGCGCAAGTGCCCGCTGCACCCCTCCCGGCGTCATAACATCCCGTGCTACTATTCTGTACTGGTGGGGTGACTGTTCGTTCTAGTACGAGTCACCTAGCCTAGACTTTGGCATCGACGGTAAGCAATGATGTCTGCGGGATCGAGAACTTCTGATGATAATGATCCCCAAGTGATGTGAAGTTCGTCTCCGGCTGGGCGAGTGACAAGCACGAGACCAACGATCCCTCGCCAACGGCTGATCTTCCCACCCAGTATCTCCAGAGTACCGTTGGAAGCACCACCACTTTCCATCCCCAACATCTTTAAGACAGCATTTCAGAACATCCGGTCTGGCGAGACTCAGACAGCGGATTCTCAGACTGCTCCGGGCCCCTCACGCCATCACATCACGCTCACCCACAACCGCAACCGCCACCGCAACCATGGCCTGGCGCTGTTCCGGCCGGACCAACGCCGAACTGGTGAGCAACCTGTTCTCCGCGGGGCTGATCACGTCTCCTCGCGTGCGCGATGCCATGTCGTCCGTAGACCGGGCGCATTACTGCCCATCGTCGCCGCTGGCCGCGTACGAAGACTCGCCGCAATCGATCGGCTTCAGCGCGACCATCTCCGCCCCGCACATGCACGCGTCGGCGTGCGAGAACCTGCTGGAATACTTGCCGGAGAACAAGGACGCGCGCGTGCTCGACATTGGAAGCGGCAGCGGATACCTCACGCACGTCCTGGCCAATCTGGTCTGTGGACCCGACGGCGGCGGGGCCGGCAAGGTGGTGGGCATCGATCATATCCAAGGCCTGGTCGACTTGGCTAGACAAAACATCCGCCGGAGCGAGGAAGGACGGCGGTTGCTGGACACGGGCAAGCTCGAGTTGGTCGTCGGTGACGGGCGCAAGGGCTACGCCGAGGCAGGGCCCTACGACGCCATTCACGTCGGAGCCGCCGCCCGCGAACTGCACCAGTCCCTCATCGACCAGCTCAAGAGCCCCGGCAGAATGTTCATTCCCGTCGAAGACCCTGATGGCTGGGGTAGCCAGTGGATCTGGGTCGTCGACAAGGATCACAACGGCAATGTGTCCAAGAAGAGAGACATGGGCGTGCGCTACGTCCCGCTGACCGATGCCCCCAAGTGACGGTCACATATGTGGCGGAGGTGGTGGAGCATTCTCCTCAACAGAAAACGACAAAACACTCGTCCTGATGGATAATCCGTCCACGACCTTGGTCAAATCTGATTTGCCACTGGGATACCCAGAGTTTACTTCTATCTTGTGTGTGTGGAATCCATGCTTGGAGCGAAATGGGCCTTTTTTTTTCCGGGGGAGTTGGGCATGGATGGTACTCCGCCTGGTCTTTGAGACGACAACAAAACACGAGCGGACATGCTGGGGCGTTGAAATCGCCGGGCTAGGTAACAAGTAAAAGTTTGTACGACCCGATCTGCACACACAAATCGGCCAGTACAAATCGTTGCCAGGGACTGACAATCGGACTATTTCTACTGATGAATTCTCGCACAAATCTAATATCTCATCCTCATATCCGTCCCTCACCACATTGCCTCATCGATCATAGCCGTGATTCATGAGTTCAGGCTTCCACGATGGGCTCTTCAGCAACGTAGTGCAAATAGGCGCCCAAGAGTTTGATGCCCTCGATGTAGTTCCGGCGATCGAGTTTCTCGTTGATACTGTGAGCGGCGTCGGTGCTGCTGCCCATGGGCAGCAACAAGACGTTCTTGCCCGTGGCCTGCTCGAAGGTAATAGTGACGGGAATGCTGCCACCCTCGCGAGTCATGTCCGGCTCGACGCCAAAGACCTCCTTGACCGCCTTGCTGGCGGCGGTGAAGTTCCAGTGCTTGGGGCTGGCCACCCACCATTTGCCGTCGTGCTGGCAGTAGATGTCGAGTTTGTTCTTGGAGCCGAGCTTCGCAAACTCTTCCTTGACGTACTTGTACACGGCCTCGTTGACCTTGGCCGAGTCCATGTCCGGCACGGTGCGGATGGAGAACTTGCCGATGACTTTGGCTGGAATGACGGTTTTGGCGCCGCCGGCCGAAAATGCGCCCTCAACTCCGTGGATCGAGAGGGATGGGTACCGCCAGCGTGCCATCAAGATGCGCTCCTTGTCGTCAAAGATGGCCGCCTTGCTACCCAACGACTCGTATAGGTTCTCAGTCGTGTACGCAATCGGCCCGTACAGCGCCTTTTCCTCCTCCGTCAGAGGCGCGACCATTTCGTTGATCCCCGGGATCAGGATCTTGCCCTTTGAGTCCACCAATTTGCTGAGAACGTTGACCAAGTCGGTCATGGGCTCGTGGGCAGTCCCGCCGAACACGCCCGAGTGAAGGTCCTGGCCTGGTCCCGAGATGGAGACCGAATAGTAGTTGCATCCGCGCAGACCGTACGTGAGACATGGCTTTTCGGTCCCTAGCCAGTAGTTGTCCGAGATGCAGACGGCATCGGCGTCTTTGAAGAACTTCTTCGCTTCTGCGTTGATGAAGTCGTCCAAGCCCTCGGAGCCGTACTCCTCCATACCCTCGAAGCAGCAGAGCAGGTTGACGGGGAACTCGACGCCGGCCTTTTGATGTGCTTCAATGGCGTTGAGCCACCCCAAAACGGGTCCTTTGTCGTCGGTGCTGCCACGCCCGTACATCCGGTCCTTGTCGTCGATGGTCAATTCGAACGGTTCGGTTGCCCAGCCATCTTCAAGCAGCGCAGGCTGCACGTCGTAGTGCCCGTAGACGAGGATGGTGCGTTTGTTCTTATCATTGCCGTAGCGCGCAATAACCACAGGCGGGAGGTCGAGATGCTCCTTGCCCGGTTGTTTCCCCAGCGGTCGCTGCTGAACCTCTGCGCCTAGAGCCTCGAGCTCAGAAGCGAGAAATTGTCCCATCTGCAAAGCTCTTCAGTCATCTTGCCTTAGTACGAATTTCTTCTGTTGTATCATACTCGCACCACATCCTTTCTCTTGTCATCGTCTGCGGACACTGACGGAATCGCAACCGCCTTCCTCAGGCCTGGTGGTTGTCGTCAGTAACTCCCGCTTTCGTTGGACATGGCCATGACAGGCTTACGGTCAATGAATGAATCGGCCAACTCGTCCACCCTACAATCAATCAGTAAAGATACACGGCACAGGACTTGAGTAATCGTACTTCTTGAAATACGGCTCTAATTGTGGTGCCATCTTGTCGTCGGAGATATAACCGTAGTAGGATCGGATTGGAACAGTCTTGAATGGGCGCAGATACGGAAAGCCTCGTGGAATTGCAGGGTTCGGCGCAGCAAACTGTTTGAACAAGGTGGTCAAGCCCTTGGAACTAAGGCGAGTGGTACAAGATGGCGGGAACATGCGTTATCAAGCGCTTATGTGCGGTAAGTCGTGCTTTGGAGCAAGTAAGTGGTTTAGTACCACGTACTGATATTATTATTGTATGATATCAACGGGCAAAATCCGACGACCGATCGAGTAGGTGGACCATCTCCGAACACAGGATTGTACTCCGTACGGAGTACAGATCGAACAGCTACTCAGCCACGACTAATCTGGCAGCGGATAGCTATAGCTAAAGCTGTACAGTTTCTAATACCTCTATATATCCTACAATGTTCTCCATGTTGGGCAGACATTACTCGTCTCTGTACCACCGCTCCTTTCTCAGTTCTCGATCCTCGCGTGCCTCTCTTCTCTTTGTGCCCCATCGTGACTTTACAATCTTCGTCACCAATTTCTGTTGTTCACCTTTCTCTTTTGCAAGTCCTTCGGTCACAAATATGGCAAATACCGGAGAGCAGTCAAACTTCTTGGCCAACCGATTCACCGTCCATTGCGTCGGGTCTGTTTTTCGGAGTTCTCTCATTTCTTCCACGTCCTTTTCTGTAAGGTGGTATCTCTTTTCTCTCTGCCCCTTCAATGCAGGAAGCTCATGGCTGAGCTGTAATTGTAGCTGTCTTGTCTCGGGATCTGGAATTACTTTTCTTCGATCATTGTTCGGGAGGAATATATTCGGCGTATGGTAGATGTTGGGCATACTCGGAGGAGGGTTGTAAATGATGTGGTCATGTTGTTCCGTCTTCGACGGCAAGAAAGAGGCGTCGGGTTTGATATTAAGCTTAGACCGTGCTCGCCGGTAGGATGATTGATGGCGGCGGAATGACGGCTGTAGGATTTGCGCGCAAAGCTTGTAGAAGCGTGAGGACGCCGTAGGCGGCGAAAGAAGGGTTGTAGACTGCATGTTGAGACAGTGCAGGCTTTGATCGCCGTGAATACAGTGCGGCTGGCAGTGGATGAAGGTCTGGTAGGTTGGACAATTGCAACGCCTGTCGCAAATTCGGACGGTCACAATTGCTCCTTTCCCAGGAAGACTGTAGGTGCGAGCAAGCTTGCTTCCAACGGTAGTACGTGACGGTACTATATTCCGCACAGAGCGCAGCTCTTTTCGAAAGGAACCGCAAGCTCCAAATCCAACAAAAAAGTAATTAGCTGCAACGGAATTGAAGTGACAGGATCAGCCAGAGCATAGAGGAATTGATCGCAGGGCCAGAACTCGGGCGCCAGTTGAATGGCAGCAGGCTTGTGGCTCGTCTTGGCATGGGAACATTGGTGCTAGTACTCCGTAGTACTAGTCGTACTCCCTACAGCAGAGCGTCGGGCAGGCATAAAATAATGCCTGCAGGCAGGTTCGGCAGAGTTGCCGGCTGGGAATTGGGCCTCGTCACCAGTCACAAGACCAGCAGGTGCCAGCACCAGAATAGCATCCAGTCTAGAATGCAATGCAACGCGTCCCTGAGACAGTCTCGGTAACATAATGGCACTGGTGCTTATTGGCCTCCTTCGCCCCTAAGCCCCTAAGCCCCTCGCTCGCCTCTATCGTGGGCGCAGCCTGTGCCGGCCCATTCTACTAGGTAACAGATAGCTGCAACACTTCCCTACACCTCTGACTGCGCCCTCCTCTGTTAGGTCACAGACAACGGCTCGCTGTCCTGGTTGATTTGCTGAATTGATTGATCCCTGGCCAGCACAGTCCAGCACAGTCCAGCACAGTCGTTGAACTACCACCTGCTCCTCCTGCACCCTCCTCCTTGTTCCCTTCACATATCACAGACCACCCGATCGACCTTCAATTCTGACATCCCCTTGGTTGCACAGGCCATCGACGTCGTTCTCTTGTTGTCACGAGAACGAAAAGAAGCTCTGTTCGTTGCGATCTGACAATTCGCATATATCCGCTTCTTCCACTGACGAGCCTCAAGAAGACCTCACCTGCTGCCTGCGCTGCGATCTCTGTGGCCGAGCGCATGTAGGAGGTTACCAATTTCGTTCAATCCGCGGTGGCTTTCTTGACACGTTCAACCATACACCTCACCACCTATATTGCCATCCTCTACGCTATGCCGTGCAGCCAGCTGTCCCTCTAACCCGAGCTTGTTGTCTCTGGTGCACCTTTTCAGCTTAACCCGCACGAGTGTTCCCGAGTTCATCAGATCTTGAAAGTGGAAAAAGGTCGGGCTAACAGCATGTCACTTGAAAACCCCTCCACCAACGACAAAGTCATTACCCCGAGCACCGCATCGAAAGACTCCGCTTCACCCCTGCTGAGAAATGCTCTGGGAAGTTCCAATGCAGGGCCAACATCCCAGCCGGTAGGCGATGAGACATCAACCAAGCCGCGAAAGCGAGATTTTTGGAAATTTGGCAAGAAGCAGGAAGAGGACACGAAGCAAGCAAAGGGCAAGGCTCCTATTTCTCCCAAAATCAGAGCTTCCACTGTCAGCCCATCAGTCGGGATCAGTCCAGCATCTCCCGGCGGATCAGCATCACCGCACCGAGGTTCCCTGGTTCACTCATATGGGCGGCCTGGGTCTCCCGGCTATGGAGTGCACAACACCTCTCCAAGACCCCAGTCACCGGCATCGTCCATGATCTTTGAACGGAATGTCCAGGAAGACGTCTTGCCTCCAGAGACTTCTCCGCATCTACCCTCTCATGTCATCATGGAGAATCACATTGCGCCAGCACTCGATGCGTCTGCAGAGGCCATTACCAACAACAAGCTAGATCCTGACTCTGTGGAGATCGTGACACATGCTACACATCAATCTGCGGCCGCCACCATTACAGGTCTAGGAGCCGAGCAATCGCTGGCATCTTCTGTAGTGGATGAGTCCCCTTCACCACCAGGACACCGACACGATCCGGACAATGTATCTACGTTTGGCTCCTTCGAATCGGGCGACGTCCGCCGATTGAGTTTTATTTCCTTTGCCGACGTTGTCCACGGCGAGCAGGAGTTGGGCGTGGCCGACCCTCGACGCGACTCGGCACACTTGTCAGGGCATCCGTCTCTTGCTCCCCCGCGGTCGCCATCGCCCATTCGATCCCCTACGTCCTCGGGGGCGTTTGGAACTTCTCCACCGACGAGCGTGACCGCGTCCTTGAAAGGATTGGAACAATCACCCAACCGTGGACCACGAGGAACTGGAAGTCCATTGCCAGGACAGAGCTCTCCATTGGCGCTTGGCAGTGAGGTCAACATCGAAACAATGAGTCAGGCGCTGCGAAGAACCGGCAGTGGAGATTTGAGTCATTTCCGCAGTGCGCCGGGCAGCGCGGTGGGCAACGATGATGGGACTTATCTTGATCGCCCGTTCCGATAAGGATTTCGACCATGACGGGGTAGATAGGGATTGACCTGTGAAGAAGAGGTTGGGGGAATTATCACAGGGCATATGGATGAGCGACATGATTTACGCAGGCGCATGTCATGAACAGTTGGGATGGCGTCCATTTTGAGCGAGAGTGATCTTGATTTCTTCCAGCGAATCCGGGTGAATCTTGGAGACGGCCTTGAAGTTGTCTGGTAAGGCTCTTGGCCTCAATATACTAGATACCATCGTTGCTGGCCTATGAGATTTTGTTTTCTATTGTCATGCTTACCTTTTTCGCTCTATACGGAGTACTTGGTGTCGCTTGTCTAACAGTTGCCTATGCCCGTGAATTAGCTGTTGCACTTGACAGGTAAAGACGAGCACAATTCCTACCGGCTCATCTATCTCACCCTGGCGCTCACCAGGCATCCGCCGCGGGTGAAAACCGTCCTCCTTCCGACTTTCGCCCTCGCCGTTCTCGCTGTCCTCGCCAGTTCTGAGCTCACAGTCTACTCTTTCCACTGCACGACTTCAGGCTGCCTCCGATCTCCATTGGATTGGAATGGTATCCTCTAAGAAGATTCTCCTCTTTTCGATCCGTTCCTCTGATATATCTCATCTGATCTCGCCTCGACAACCACTACCAAAAAAATACAGGATTCGGTCTCAGACGTATGTAGTCTCTCAACTGGAGAGCCAACATCTTCATGGGGGGCTTAGAACGCCTAGCGGGAGGGCAGAGAGAGAGGGGGGGAGATGGCAACGTCTTATACCTAGTGGTCAGTATTGATTGCTGCAGAATAGAAGCACCAGGTCGGGTACAGTATAGTACACTGCTGCAGTACGGAAAGGTAGATAGATCCTGGCTACGTCTCTAGCGCTCAAAAGGCAAAAGTCTTGACTCCTTTTCCTTTGACTCTTTGACTGATACGAAATTTGCAATATATACTACTTCGCCTCGCTCAGTAGGATCATACTACACGCTAGGATATCAATGAAACGAAATGAAAACTACACGCCAGGATATCAATGAAACGAAATGAAAACTACACGCCAGGATATCAATGAAACGAAATGAAAACTACACGCCAGGATATCAATGAAACGAAACGAAAACGAAATCAAATCATCTGTTTGCTTACACGCTAGGATATCAATGAAAGGAAATAAAATGATCTGTTGACTTGTTTGGTAGGCTGGGGGTAAGTCCGCTGAGTTGAACAGCAAAATTTCGACCCCGACCCACAGTCTCCTTTGAGTCTCCCTCCTCATTCTAGAGTCTTCTCTCTTCTAGGTGCCTAGACATCTGACTCATTCTAGGTGCCTACATCTGGCTCATCCTAGAGTCTCTTCTCTTCTAGGTGCCTAGACATCTGGATCTGAACAGGTGGGCTTTTCTCGTCAGGCGTCGAAGTCGTAGCGTAGTGTTCCTGGTGGCAATCCGAGCGCCCTTTCTGGGCGTCCTCAACAGCCTTCAAGGTCGACCGTCTTTTCAGATCTGCAGGGTAGGGTGCTCAACATGGTCTTTTCATTTCTCCGTCGACACTCTTTTCATATCTCCGTAGTAGGGTGCTCAACGTCGGCTTTTCATTTTTCATATCTCCGTAGTAACGTGCTCAACATGGTCTTTTCATTTCTCCATCAACCCTCTGTTTATATCTCCGTAGTACGGTGCTCAACATGGTCTTTCATTTCTCCACCAACGCCTTTTTATATACAGAGAGAGATATTTATTTATTTCTCTCCCTTGGCCAACTCAGCCGCCTTCAGAGCCCTCTCAATCCTCCCCGTCAGATCGTCGGGCTCTTCCAGGCCAACACTCAGTCGGACGATATCCGGGTCAATGCCCCAGCTGGCCACCCACGGCAGTTCGACATAATGGGCGAGCACGGCATAAGGACAGGCGAGGGTGAAGTTCGTGCCCAGACTCGGGCCCTTCTGGACCTCGAGGGCGTCGAAAAAGGCGACGGCCTGTTCCGGGTGTTGGAAGGCGACGGAGAGCAGGCCGCCGTAGCCGCCGTTCGGGGTGCGGCAGGCGTCGTAGTTGGGGCGCGACGGACTGTATTTGGGATAGTAGACCTCCTTGATCATAGGGCAGGCTTTCAGGGTGGCGGCGATGGCCTCGGTGGTGGAGTTGATGCGGGCGTTGCGCGAGATGAAGTCGCGCGAGTTGCGTTCCATAAACACCGCGTCCTCGGCCCAGTAGTTGTCCTCGTACTCGCGCGCCATGGTGGCCTTGAGCTCGGCGTACCACGGGCTCTGCGGGTTGAGCATGGCGCTGCCGCCCATGACGTTGCTGTCGCCGCTGAACACCTTGGTCAGGCTGCTGGCCACGATGTCGGCGTGGCTCAGCACGTCCGTGTTGATGTAGTTGCCCACCGTCTCGTCCACCACCACCGCGAACCCGTACTTGTCCGCCAGCCGCCGGATGCGCACCAGGTCCGGCGAGTTGAGCAGCGGGTTACTGGGGAATTCGGTGAACAGGGCTAGAAACCGCTCGCCGGATTCCAGTCGCCGTTCCAGGTCGTCCAAGCACGCCGCGCTGCCGAAGCCGTAGAACTCACACCCGGGCCCCCATTTCTGCAAAATCTTTAGCGTGTCGATGTACGGGAACCCAAAGCAGATGCTCCGCCGCGGCTCCTGGCCCTTGGCGGCCGCGTTGGCCAGCAGGATCCGGTGCGCGTTGAAGATCGACGACATGCCCGTCGGGTACAGGTACACGTCGTCCTCTGACAGACCGCGTTGCCGCCCGCTGCAGTCGCCGGGCGAGCTGGCCAGTGCTTGGTCGAGTTCCGAGTCGTCCGTCAGACAGCCGCTGATTCGGCGTCGGATGGCCAGCTTCGCCTGGGTCGCCAACTTGATGCTGAGATTCCGCCCAAACCGCTCCTCCACGAATTGAGCGTGATCCTTGTCCTCCACGTCGGCATCGGCCAGAATGCTGCTAGCCTGATGTGGGAAGCCCGTAGGCTCGGTCACCGTCGGACTGGATGCTGTCGTGGTCGTCGTGGAGGTAGTAGGGGAGTCATGGATGAGGCCGTTCCGCGACGCCGGCCGATTATGATATCGCCGCGGGCCCTTGATATAGAGATCGTCGTGTTTCGGTTTCGACGACAACGGGTTGGAGGTAGATGGCGTGGCGACGGGTCGTAGAATGCCGTCTCTCAACGCCTTCAGGCAGAACTCCCCACGCCGGCTGGAGATGCCGTCGCCGGAATGCTGCCAGACCTGTTTGGCGACGCTGAAGTGCTCCTTGGGGAAAAACACGCAGACCAGGCCAGACAGGGTCGTTTCCCGACTCGTGTTCTGCTTGACCACCGGCTGAAGTTGCAGGATCCGCACCAACCCACGGTCCAGCCCGTCAACCTTGTCGTAGAGGAATCTCTGGCATAGCGTCGCCGTTGCGACCGACGGGAACAGCATCACACTCTCTTCTGGCTGGCCGTACAGCTTTAAGATCTCCTTCTGCAGCTCCTGGATGATCAGGTGGATGAAGAACCGCGGGTAGCCCGTCTTCATCTTCGACACAACCCACTCCTCCCCTTCTTCATAGCCCACCGTGCTTCTCCATGACGGCAGCGACACGCTCACAGCGTGTTCTGTGTTGGGCACCGGCTGTCCGATTGCTGCGAGCATAATGGTGGTGGTGGTGATGATGGTGAGAAGACAGTACGTCCGACCAAATTGTAACCCCAAGAGTCTGTCAGTCTTGAGACCAATATCTGTACCGAGTCCTGTATATGGTATATCCACCCTTCATACGGATCACTCAAGGTGGTCGAAGTGGCTATGACAATTGGATCGAGAGTCATGGGTGAGAATTTTTCCGATCTCGGGGATGCCGCTTTATCGAGGTTGGGGTTGGGATTAGACCTCTTTTGCGCATTCACTATTTTAGATCATTCTCGAGAGGCTTCACACCCAGAGCACCTACATATGGTCATGCACTGGCCTACGGAACACGATACGGAGTATATGCAAGCTAGATCCTCTGAGAGTTCTAACCATCAAGCAGCTCGTCCACCAAGCTCCAGCATTCGGTCCTGGTGATGCCCCTGGTTGTGGTGCCAAAGTGGTTTAAAAATTTTGGGTCCGTAAGAGGAAACCCCGCCGGCTCCGAGATGATGGTCACGTGGTGTTGCTCACTCCTTGAAAGGGGCAACATTGAAGTCGTTCAAGATGTTGAGCTGCACACGCCTTTGGCCAAATAGAAGTGGCCACTGGCTATCGCACCCCGCAGTGAAGTACTGTACCCGCCTTCCCTCGAAGCTGCTAGCAGTCTCAAGTAGGTACAGCTTCAGGTGTTGTGCAAGTCATCGTTTCCTGTCACCGAGGGATGTAATGACACATGTAGGTATGGGGGTATCATTCTGTCTTTGCCAGCTTTGCCGTCCTTGCCGGGCTTGCAGCTGCTGTCTGTACACATCGAAAGAGCTCTTCCGTCGCAGCACATCCAGCAGTCCTCTTACAATCAATAGGGATCCCACTCAAGTCTTCGCTCCAACATGAACGACTCCACTGGTAGGCCCCTCCAAATCTTCTTGCCATCCACAATCTCAAAGAATTCAGGCTCGAAACTCACGCTGGCCCAGCCATGAATCAGCTTCCGCCAATAACACGCTTCGGCGGCAGGAGTCAGATACTGCTCCCGGAACAGGTGGACGCTATTTGAAGCAATTGCTTCAGCCTCCTCGTTGTGCGTCTCGAGCCAGGCAATCTTCTCTGCGAGGTCCATATAGTTGCGTTTAACTTCGACAAAGTTCTGCTGAGGTCCACTCGATCGCATGAGCGGGTGGTGGTGTTGGATCCAGTCCATTTTATGCGCGACCACGACGGACTGGCAGCTTTGGAGGTACTTGAGTCGTCCAGAGTAGGAATTCCCTTCGGTGTGAGCCAGATACTTGTACTGGCAGTGTTCAGGCATGGATTTAAGATCGTTGACCATGGAATCGTTGTCCTTCCATTTCAAGGCTTTCACATCCGCCCAAGGTTTATCCTTGGTGACTTCAAGGAATTTCTCTCGCAGTTCCAAGCCCATGGTCGCACCTCGCCAGAGGAGTTTTGGTAGCTTTGTCGACCACGACCACCCGTCGACTTGTTCGGTCAATGTAGCTTTCAGCTGAACTTCTCGCATAGTACCAACTTTGGTCTCAGGCCAGGACCAAAAGCCAAAATCAGGGATTAGCCAGATGTTCGTGTCCTCCTTGCGTCGGGCATAACCCCACAAGGGCACCGAGGGGATGCGATCGTCTGTGTTGAAAGCGAATTCTATGTTGGGAAGAGGTTCGGGTGAAGAGATGATGGCCCGGTGTAGAGCGTGGAGTGTCGCCAATTCACGGGAATAGATCCCACCTGTTGTTGCGATGACATAGAGCTATATCATTCGAAGTGTTAGATATGTCTAGCCACTCATACAGAAGGAATGGGTATTCCCCCTGAGGCTGTTCCGAGTTGAATTCATACCTGTTGATCAAAAATCATGGCGCGAACGTAGCCATTTCGTCTAGGAATGGAATCAATCTCGTCAACCGTAATATGTGACTTCGCCCTCCCTTTCATAGGTCGTTCGACTTCCTCAAACAGCCCTGGGAAGGCCTGTTCGCATTGTTCTGAATCCAGCAACAGGTTTCCAGCGTCTCTCGTGTAATTCCATTTCCCATCAAATCTGTCCTTATGGCCCACCACACCGACGCCATGCTGGAAGACGGACAGTGATCTCCCACGGACCGAGATGTTCCATGCAAAAAGAGCAAATACAACCAATCCAGAGACTGCCAATATGATGCCTCGGCGATTGAGCATCGTCGAACACAGATGGACAGTCCGGATCATAGAAGTGTCCATCCCGAACTTGAAACTGACATGTGTGCAACAGTTGGCATCTTGGAAGATGTGATAATAGCGCGTGTACGAAACGCGCCACCCTTCTGTCTTACGGGCTTGGCTGGCACAAGCTTCAGCGGGGGGAGATCTTACCTGCTGAGCTGGTGCTGAGTACTCCGTACTACCTACATGTAGTACCTAGAGTAAGTAGCTGGATAAACCTATTCCATATTAAGTCTAGCGTATTGCTATAAGTCCCCCATGACAGGGCGGCACGACTGCCTTCCTCATTGGGATGGGTCGAGAAGCAGTTTTTCCAGGCCTTGGCATCAAAAAAGTTCCGAGCTGCGAGCCTTGAACGTCTGTATCTCTTGTGTCGCTTTAACAAGGAGACGCTCGCTCAGAGCGCTGCAAAGTCGTCTTGATCTGGAATCGAAGTCGACGAAGCGAGCCATGACCTATCTGACGTGAAATCGATCCTCCTAGGACAACAACTACTCACAATGTCTGTCAAGGGAAATCATCCCAAGGAGCATTCTCCCAAGCGCCGAAAACTAAGCCACGGTACTAATGAAAGCGAAGTCAGCGGACCGGTGACCTCTCAGAATACCGAAGAATCTGCCGCAGCGGTTGGCCATGGTACTGGGTCTAACAGGCACCCTGTTGGTCGGGAGTCAAGGACGCGAGGCCCCTTGACCACCGGCACCACGGTTCTTCCCACAGGCGGAGTCAACAAATCATCCGTTATCGCTTTGCAAGTGGCCGAGCTGAATGATGAATTGACCCCTAACTATGCAAGACTTCGACCTAAGTGGACAGCGGTCGTGACCACACTGGAGGCCACCATCAAACATTCACCACCCCGTCTGCCCGTGACCGCTCTCGATGCTATAAAATCATTTAGCAAGCAAGGGATCAGAGTTCCGTTCCCTGAACCCCAGCCGTCGAAGAAAACCAACTACAAGTTCGAGTTCAAGGTGCCGACTCAGATCGTAATCGGTGGAGCGTTGCCTTTAGGGTCAAGTCTGAAACATCAACATGTCGTCGAACTGACGGCAATCATGCCGGAGGATCTCTTGCAAGAGAAAGACTATCTCAACTCTCGAGCTCCTCACAAAGCTGCCTTCTACCTCGCTTGCATTGCGTCGACGATCAAGGAAAAACAAGGGCCCGACTACGACATGTCCTTCGCATATCTGTGCGATGTGGATCTCTTACCTACAATCGAGCTTGTGCCGAAGGATAAGGCATTGTCGAAGTTTACATTTCGAGTCGCTGTCGGGTTCCCAGACGCATCGATACCCGTTGCAAAGACGTTGCCCACTAAGAACTGTCTCAGGCATGCAGTCTCCGGCGAAGCAACAACCGCCGACCAGCCTACTCCGTTTTACAACAGTGCTATCCGCAGTGCAGCATCGGTTTCATCCTTTGAGGATCTCGTCCAGAAGACGAGAAGCCCTGCTTTTGATGATGCATGTCGAATTGGCCAGCTCTGGCTGAGGCAAAGGGGCTTTTCCAGTTCGGCCAGATCGGGAGGTTTTGGCTGGCGGGAATGGTGTTATATGTGCGCCCTGTTTCTCCACTCTGGTGGTCACAGAGGCCATCCACTGTTCTCTAAGCAGTACAGCTGCCTCCAATTCTTCAAGGCCATGCTCCAAATCCTGGCTGGACGAGACTTGCGAGATCCCATGGTGCTCAATATCACAAACTTGACAATCCCACGGTCAGAATACCCGATTCTATTTGATGGAAACACCGGCGTGAATATACTGTATAAAATGACGCCATGGTCGTACCAGTCTCTTCGACACCACGCTCAAATCTCACTGGCTGCAGTCAATTCCCGGAACGAGGACAGCTTTGACTCAACATTCACCTTGAATGTGGCAGCACCGGTGTTGCAGTACGACGAGCTTTTCTCAATCAAGGTCCCTGCAGCGAGGTACAGAACAGCCGGGGAGGAGCGAGACTTTCTTCTGAGAATGCACACCACGTTGGTACGGGGTCTGGGAGATAGGGCCACTCTGGTCAATTTCAGGATACCACAACGGCCCAACTGGTCCCTCAACAAAAATCCAGTCCTCATCAACAAAGAAGACTACGAATTGGAGGTCGCTCTACTTACAACCCCAGACAATGTGGCTCGACTGGTAGACCACGGTCCGGCAGCAGAGGAACAAGATGAAGCCGCCGAGTTCCGCAGGCTCTGGGGCGAGAAAGCAGAATTGCGCCGCTTCAGGGATGGAAGTATATCTGAAAGCCTGGTGTGGGCGCCGGGGAGTCCGGTTACGTTGCAGATCATCTCTCATCTCGCAACGCTCCATTTCAAAATACCCCCCAGCTCTGTGAAGGTCAAAGGCCAGGATTTAGAGTCGAGTGCCTTGGGAACAGAGTCACCCGTGAGTGCAAAGGACGCATTCAGGATAATTGGATCGACATTCCAAACCTTGGCGTCGACACTGCACGGCCTGGAAGATCTTCCCTTGCCTATCCGATCGATATTTCCAGCAGATCCAGGTCTACGCTCCTCCTCTGTGGGCCATCCCCTGCTGCCGCAGACAACGCGCCCGCTGAATATGATCATCCAATTTGACTCGTCGACAAGATGGCCTGACTCTCTGCCTGCCATCCAGTATACGAAGATCGCATTCCTCCTCAAGCTTGCGGAACTTTTGACTGCGGCGAATACCAGCCTGGAGACTCGCGTGGGTTTGGAGAACACCGACTCCGCTGCCACTGGGCACTTCAACACTTCGTTCCTGGATATCATCTACCCGTCGCCGGCCCCGGGGCTGAGTTCGATTTGTTTCCGAGCCCGTATCCATCACGACCGAGAGGAACATCTTCTGCAGACAGCCCTGGCCGACAAATCGCTCCATGGCTCCCTGAGAGACTCTCTCACCACCGCACTTGCAACACATAGGCGGGATTTCCTCGCTCAACCAAACCACACCACGGCAATCCGCACCCTGTGCACACGCTTTCCGCCTCTTTCCGCCACGATTCGGTTGGTCAAGAAATGGGTTTCGTCGCACTTGCTGCTGCCGCACATTCCGGAAGAAGTCCTCGAGGTCGTCGCGGCACACGTCTTCCTCCACCCCGCGCCATGGTCGACACCTGGCTCCTCTACCACCGCGTTCCTGCGTTGTCTTCACCTCCTGTCTCGATGGGACTGGGCATCCGCGCCTCTGAGCGTCGACCTCAGCCTCTCGCAGGACATGACGGCCTCGCAGCTGTCTGACATCCAGACCCGGTTCCAAGCGTGGCGCAAACTCGACCCCAGCATGAACAACGTCGTCTGGTTCATCGGCACGAACCACGACGCCACAGGCATAGTCTGGACGCAGGGTGCACGGCCGCCGCGCGTGGTGGCCGGCCGTCTGACGGCTCTCGCCCGGGCTGCCGTCGACGTTGTCATCACCAAAGGTACTCAGATGGACGACTTGGATTGGACGGGCCTCTTCACCAGCCCGCTGGCAGACTTTGATTTCCAGATCCAACTCAAACCGTCGGTGCTGCGATCGAACAAGTCCAAAGCTGGATCTACATCGGCGCCGCAGCCCAACGGTGGGACCTCGGAGTTCAAGAATCTCCAGATCCACGAGGCTCTCGACACCGCCTCCATCGGGCACGACCCGGTCGAGCTGTTCCTCCGCGACCTCAATCATGTCTTTGGGTCTACTGCCCTCTTCTTCCACGACCAGCACGGCGGCCGCGTGATTGCTGGCTTGTGGAGGCCCGGTGTCCTCGGCCCCAAGGAGTGGCGCGTTAGGCTGGGGTGGTCGAGCGTGCCAGTACCAGTACCGGATGACCATCAGACAGATACTAAGGACATGTGTGTGTTGAACAGAGATGGCATCTTTGCCGAAATCGCCATGCTGGGCGAGGGAATGGTCAGAGAGATTACGGTTAAGGGCCAGTAGTAGCGGTGGGTAATAAATAGGACTTGGATTGTAGAGTGGTACAATGCTCGGGTATCACAAATATACAGTAGAAGACTCACGCCCGTACCGCTACTCGACGGGCATATGTCTAGCATCTGCATCTCTCTCTTTCTCACTGTCCATCTATCTCCGCCCAGTCCAAATGCTCGTGATGCCCTCGAGGATATTGGTTCGCCGAGTCTGAGAGGCCAATACAATGGTGTTTCGTGCAATAACATAACATGACTCTTTAAACAGTCCACTTTTCCGGCCTCGTCTGCCGATTCGATGTTTAGATGTACTTCCTGTCCGGGTCTACCAGGTCCAAAAGCTCAATAGTTTTCTCATACCTAGATGGTCGGTCAGCTCCTGTTATATAACAAGGATGTGATAGGGGTAGACTCACATTGTAAACACGATACCGCCGCTCAGGGTAAGCCGGCCGAGACGAGGCAGTGCGCCAGACCAGAAGGTCAATATGCCTTCGTTCTTGTAGATCTGCGCCGCACAGTGAAGGCTGTTCTTGTAGAGCTTCGTTGCTTCTAAACTCTGCATCCGTGTCTTGACCGTGTCTAGCGGCATGGTCGCATAGACCGTCACGATACCGGCAAGCCCGCCCAGCCCAAAGGTCGTAAGAGAGCCCAATTTTTCCCCAGGCGCCACATAGCCCTCGGCGAACTGTTTGAGGCTCGTGTACGTGCTGAAGCGGACGGCGCTGTTCGCAGCCTGGCGGGCCGTTGTGGGAATAAAGCCTTGCATGAAGCCTCGGAATCCCTTCTCCTTTGCAATGATTGTCGATCCGTGAATGAAGCCCCTCATACGTGGCTGCGGGCGCTTCGCATCGTCTACTAATTGGGTTTTAATCGACTCCGACGGCGTAACCGCCAACAGAGATTCTGTAATGCCTGCGCCGAACCCGGCGGCTACAGTCCGAGGCCCAGATATGTTTCCATCTGCGTCTGATAGGAGATGTTTGTACGTGTCGAACGAGAGGAACCGCACCCCAGCCTTGACTGCATTTCCGACAATCGCAGTCGTGCAACCTGTGTACCACTCTTTCGAGGGAAACCGGGGTAGTGGCACCCGCTTCGCATCTGGTAACCGGCGATTGAGTTGCGACCGTGTCTTGAGGAGATCGAATGGATACGTAATGGCTGTAAGGGGAAGCAGGCGTAAGCAAAGGGAACGCCATAGACCAGCAGTGCCTCATTGACACCAAGGGCAAGCAAAGCTGTTGTCCATCGCAAGGGAAAACTGACCGATTTCAACCGCTCCAGCTGTTGACCCTGCTATGATTGAGCGCAAGGCGCTGGGCTGCCCGCACGGTCAGTCGAAGCGTTACTTTCCCGGGGATTGAGGAGCATTCGAAGGTACCTTTGCCTTAGGCCTGCCCTCATTGGTATTGGCCGCGGCCGAGGCCATTCTTCCAAGAGCAGAGGCACTTTGGAATCGAGGCACAGTCCAGATCAGCTCTCTATCATTGGCGCCTCGGAGTTGGTAGGATCTTCACGGCCAGTGTCCTGCGTACTGATGTAGGACCTATGTGTGGTGTGTGGGTGTGGCCCTCTGTGACGCGGGCGAGCACAAAATCTGGCAGCCGGTTTAGTTCTAGAGCGTGCATCGGCTTTAAGGTTTAATTCCAGCGGCGGGTTTATCCAAGTCCCGCTCAACGCGTCAAAAACGCGCCTGCACTTTCAGGCCGCAGCCACCCTCGCATCCGATCCTACGATAAACAGACACTTGCTTCCCTTGACAGGAGAGAGTCTCGTCCAAACGGTCAACATGGCGCCGCCGAAGCGCTCGGCTCCGTTCGACGACGACGATGACGCCGACGACAGCGCCCATCATCTCGGCCAGAGCAGCCGAGCAACCTCCCCTCCTCAGAGCTCATCGGTAAGTGTAGGCGCAAGGAAAGTTGAAGAGCCAAGGTTGACAACGGGGTAGAACAAGAGACGACGAACAAGCGATGAGTCCTCAGTACAACGGGACGCCTCAAGCGACGTGGACGACCGCCAGAATGTGAGCACTCCGCCCTCCGAAATCGACTCTGAGGAGGATGGAGATGATGATGAAGAGGCCATGCTTGCAGCCACGCAGGCGGTGGAAGCAAGAAAGAATTCGAATCGCACAACCAATAATGAACCCGCAGCTCATGGCATTCTAGAAGCCGTGGAATTGGAAAATTTTATGTGCCATGACTACATGGAGTTTAAGTTGGGCCCCCTGATCAATTTTATTTGCGGCAAAAATGGCAGCGGGAAAAGTGCCATTCTTACCGGAATCGTCCTGTGTCTAGGAGGAAAGGCCTCCACCACAAATCGAGGTGCAAGGCTTCAAAATTTCATCAAGGAGGGCAAAGACCATGCCCGCATCCTCTGCAAGATCAAGAATCAGGGCGACCATGCGTACATGCCAGAGTTGTACGGGAATACCATTCAAGTTGAACGGTACTTTTCACGTACCGGTACTAGTGGTTTCAAGCTCAAGTCTGAGAAGGGACGAGTCGTTTCGACACGGAAGTTTGACCTCGAGGAAATATGTGACCACATGATGCTACAGATTGACAATCCCATGACGGTGCTTTCACAGGATCAGGCTCGACAATTTCTCGGCTCGTCCGGCCAGGGTGAGAAGTACAAGTTCTTCATGAAGGGTGTACAGCTTGAGCAGCTCGACCAAGATTACCGCGTCATTGAGGAGCAACAAGAGAACATTCGCGCAAAAATCGAAGACAAGCTTCCGGACCTGGATGATCTGAAGAAGAAATATGAGAGAGCCAAGAACAAGCAGGAAATATCCCAGAAGTATGACAGCATGTTGGACAAAGCTCGTGATTTACGGCGCGTCATGGCGTGGGCCCAAGTTGTCGAGCAAGAGAATATCCGAGATTCTTATGCAGCATTGGTTCAGGAAGAAGATGCGAAGATAGCACAGGCGGAGGCCCGATTGGCGGAGGTGGACGAAATCTTCCAGCAATCTGATCGGGCCGCTACAGCAGCCAGGGAAGCCTACGACGCTTCAAATGAGGTGGTCCGACAGCTACAAGAGGAGAGGAATGAAGCAAAGGCACAACAAGAAGACATCAAGAGGGAGACCCAGGAGGCGGTGGCTGAACAGCGCTCGATCCGTGCCGCTCTGAAGGATGCCGACAAGACAATTCAAACCAAGAAAGAAGCCATCCAGCTGGAGGAACAACGGTTGGCCGAGCTCAATGGAGGTGGTGCTGCCCAACGGATAGCTGCACTCGAGAACGCAAAGAGCACTTTGGAACAAGCGAAACAGGACTATACTCAGCACAAAAGGCAAAGAGAGCATCGCTTGAAAGACATTACGGATATGGAAACGGCTGAAAAAGAAGCCGAAGAAGCCAAGAAGGCACAGGAGCAAAGAGTGAAACAACAGGAGCAGAATCTCAAACAACTGACAGAGCATCGCAATTCCCAAGACTTGGCCTATCACCCGAACATGCCATCGTTACTGAAAGCCCTGCAACAAGAGAGAGGCTTTCACGATCGGCCCATCGGGCCACTGGGAAAGCACGTGAAGTTACTCAGGCCCGAATGGTCGTCAATCCTCGAGAAGTCGTTCGGCACTGGACTGAACGCATTTATTGTGTTTGGGAAGAGTGATGAGATTCTGCTGAGCAACATTATGCGCCGGGCAAAATGCTCTCTTCCTATATTCATTGCCAACCGACAGCCTCTCAACATCAGAGAGCCCGACTCTCGCTTCGACACCGTCTTAAGAGTATTGGAAATCGACAATGAGTCGGTCAAGAAGCAACTAGTCATAGCAAACGCCATCGAGCAGACTCTATTGATTCCTGACATGTCTGAAGCTTCGGACGCGTTATATTCTGGTGGTCGACCTCTGGAAAACGTCAAGAGGTGCTACTGTTTCAGCCCGACCAGTCGGTTGAGGGGAGCCGCGTTGTCCTACCGAAACGGCCAGGCCGCTCAAGACCCCATTCACGAGTTCCACGGTACACCAAGGATGCGAACAGATGTTGACGATACCATACGTCGGCAGCGGGAGGCTGTCCAGGAATCGAAAGATCAGTTGCGTCAAGCCGAGGAAGAATGGCGTAGTGCTCGAGATCGACACGAGAAGTCGAAACAAGCCTTGGTCCGGCATGACCGAATGGAGCGTGAAATGCAGATTGCAGTCCAAAAGGCAGAAGATGAACAGGAGCGCATAGTGGAAGCCATCAAAGAAGACGCCGTCGAGGGGGGGAACCGGGACGTCCTACTACAACAACTAGCAGATGCCAAAGAGCAGAAGACCGTCCATGAGAATTCCTACCTCGATTCTGTGGCAGCCCTGGATCAACTCAAGACAACACTGCGGGAGGCGACTCAGAAGCTGAATGAACTGGGTGCACGCATAGCAGAAGCTGAGGCCGCAGCTGCAGAGACACAGGCCGCTGCTCAAAAGGCTGGCAAGAAGAGAGCTTACGACTTGGGGGAAAAGAACAATGTCATCGCTCAAATCGACGACAGCAAACGAGACCGTGCTGAAATGCAACGTAATGTGGCTAACATGGACGAGAAGATTGCCAACTTTATTGGACAAGCTCGCGAGGTGTGTGAGCGGGTCAACATTCCCGAGGGGGAAAACCATGAAAGCTTGCAGAAAAAGTACAACCGGATCCAAGCAGATTATCGCAAATATCACGATCGTATCGGAGACCGGGAGCAGATTGCCGCTGAAGCTGCTAAGTGGTCGAAAGCATACGAGAGCGCGAAGCGCGAAGTCAAAGGCCTATCAGATCTGCGTGACAAGCTCACCGAGACCATGGTGCAGCGGCGATATCGATGGAAGCAGTTCCGAAACTTCATCTCACATAGGTCCAAGGCATCCTTTATGTATATGCTGAGCGAGAGAGGCTTCCGCGGAACCCTCACTCTGGATCACAAGCAGAAATTGATGGACATCAGAGTCGAGCCCGACATCACGAGACGGGATGGGACGGGACGTAGTGTGCGGACGCTGTCAGGCGGAGAGAAGTCGTTCGCGCAGATTTGTCTGCTTCTTGCGATTTGGGAGGCAATGGGCGCCCCCATAAGGTGTCTCGATGAGTTTGATGTGTTTATGGACGCAGTGAACCGATCCACCAGCGTCAATCTGTTGATTGAGGGAGCCAGGCAGAGTATTGGTGGACAATTCATACTCATCAGTCCTGGCACAAAATCCGACATCAAGAGAGCGCCTGATGTCAACCCTATTGAGTACGTGGAGATGATTTCTGCCAAAGTGTATGAGCTAACATGGAGCAGGATCGCTGCGCCAGAAAGAGGTCAAACAAGGCTTGTCCTTGCGACCGCCTGAAAGTGAAGACACGTAGTCGGGAATCGATGGCCAGGTGGGGATGCTCAAAGTATGAGTTGCCGTGACTCTCATCAGTCGAAAATCATCACCTACTTCCAAGGTAGACAGGCGGTACTAGCAACAACGGGGTGAGGATGGCGGCCCGTGTCACGGTTGAATCGCCAGAATGAGCTGTCCGCCTCAACAATGTCACCAAATCCATGTGGTTGGTCCTCCTTTCTCTTTTGCTGCACGAGCACACTTACGAGGCTCGATGTAAAGTGCACATGCAGAAGCCAGAGTTCGCTTGGCTGGTGGGTGACGGCTGCATCCCGAAGAATGTTGGACTTAACTGGCTTTGTGTAACAACATCTGTGTCTCGTCAGTCTCCACCGACATTCTCGTTGCAAATAGTCTCGACAACCATGTCGCATGTATGGACAGCATTGCTGCGGTGTCGGAATCCGTCGGTTGCGGAGAGAACACAGACACAAGCTGCGCTGGCTCCTGCCTGGCTCCGAGAAACGATGCGCCGAGAATGCCAGTGCTCGTGTAAGATCATTTTCTGTTGGGAAGTGACAATGCACCACAGGTTTAAGGTCCCGGGACCAGGCGGTATATAGTTCCCTCAGGATCTTGCCAGAGTGACGATTTCGGGAAACAACACATCCTTGGACCATCAGAGACTTGTCGACAGAAGACCACTCAACCTTGTTTGACCTCCAACGCGAGAGTTGTCGTCATGCGTCGAAACGAGGTTTACTCACAGACTAGTCTGTCATTCCGGCTTGCACCACAGCACAAATTCGACGAGCTCTTGGAGAGCAGTACACGTCTTATGGGGCTTTACTGTTCTGAAGGCGGCGAAAGGGCTCCCTTAGCTAGGAAAGACCGCGATAACAAACCAAGCAAGACGAGGAACTGTGGTTGTGTGCCGCCATGTGTCAGAGGCAGGTACGAATCGTCATCCAGCAAATTCGGAGTTCTGATATGCTGATCGCAACTAGCTGTCCATGCAAAGGCCCAAGAGGACCAGGAGCATGTCCCAGCAGTTGTGTCTGTCCCTGCAACTGATGTATATGGAGAGCTCAGCCCCTGCTGGAGAAAGCCTGGAGGAAAAGGCGTCCCTGATCAGGATTGTGAAATGCTATGAGACGAGCAGTGCTGTGTGTGAAAGGGCTCACGAATGAATTTGGCACCGCAGATCCTGGCGCATGATAGATAAAGGGTCCCCTTTGTCACTGGGTTGGGATATCGGACTCGGAGTAGTAGATGATGAAGGGATGAGAAAGACGTCGAACAGGCTGGAATATCAAATAGAAGCATATCCCGATATAGAACCCAAAGCGGAATAGACCAGATCGGGTCTTGGCGACGAATTCCCCTTGCGGCGGCGGAGGCACGTGACCCCTGGATTTCTTGTCATTGTGGGCGGGTTCGATCCCTTCACCGCAGTCGCCGAGCACAGCACAACGAAACCTTTGTACCTGTAACTCTCGTCGAGCAACAGCCTCATTCTCACTACCACCTCAGACTCACTGCCACACACTCAAAGACTCTCCCCAGTTTCTCTGCAAGGATTGCTCGCCTCTACCACCCTCTTGTTGAACTCTTTCAGCCCTCAAAGCAGCCACACCTACACATACACAAAAGCGAGCACTGCCGCCACCAATCACTCCTCCAGGCTAGCAACAACCCCACGACGTCGCTACTGTTCCTACCACAGTCTTGCTTGCCTGCGTCAAAGCGACCCTGAGTTCCTGTTTCTCCCTCGGAGAATCACGTCGAACTTATAAACCAGTCGGTTCTTTTAGTGCACAAGGCTGAATCTCACTGCCAGCGTCGAGTTGACCCCTCCGGCGTCCCACTTCTCTCCTCTCACACAAGTGTCGACATTGGATTTCCTCCAAAATGCCCGACGCGTTGGCAGCACAGCTGAATAAGGCCTCGTTAAATGATGGCGCAGAGGACCCCAACTGGAGAGACTCTCTCAAACTCCCCACCAAGGATACCCGACAACAAACAGAAGATGTTACTGCTACCAAGGGTCTCGAGTTTGAAGACTTCTACATCAAGCGGGAGTTGATGATGGGCATTTTTGAAGCTGGGTTCGAGAAGCCCTCTCCCATTCAAGAAGAGACTATTCCCGTTGCCCTCACCGGGCGAGACATCCTGGCCAGGGCAAAGAACGGCACTGGCAAGACTGCAGCCTTTGTTATTCCCACTCTCGAACGAATCAACCCAAAGAATCCCAAGACACAAGCTCTCATCCTCGTCCCTACTCGAGAACTCGCATTACAAACATCTCAAGTCTGCAAGATGCTTGGAAAACATCTGGGTATTAATGTCATGGTCACAACTGGTGGCACCGGCCTGAAAGACGACATCATCAGACTCGGCGAGCCTGTGCACATTATCGTAGGCACACCAGGAAGAATTCTCGATCTCGCAAGCAAAGGTGTCGCCGACCTGTCAGAATGCCCCATATTTGTAATGGACGAGGCAGACAAGCTCTTATCCCCCGAGTTCACCATTGTCATTGAGCAACTGCTTTCCTTCCTTCCCAAAGATCGCCAGGTGATGCTCTTCAGCGCAACATTTCCCATGATTGTCAAATCCTTCAAGGACAAACACATGCGCAACCCTTACGAAATCAATCTCATGGACGAACTCACCCTTCGTGGCATAACCCAGTACTACGCCTTCGTGGAAGAGAAGCAGAAAGTCCATTGCCTCAACACGCTCTTCTCCAAGCTCCAAATCAATCAGTCCATCATCTTCTGCAACTCGACCAACCGGGTTGAACTTCTTGCAAAGAAGATTACAGAGCTTGGGTACTCTTGCTTCTACTCTCACGCCAAGATGCTGCAGCAGAACCGAAACAAGGTCTTCCACGACTTCCGCGCCGGCGTCTGCCGAAACCTGGTGTGCTCGGATCTACTCACCCGTGGTATCGATATCCAAGCCGTCAATGTTGTCATCAACTTCGATTTCCCCAAGAACGCGGAGACATATCTTCACCGCATCGGTCGTTCCGGCCGGTTCGGCCATCTTGGTCTGGCAATCAACCTGATCAATTGGGAAGACCGTTTCAATCTCTACAAGATCGAACAGGAACTAGGCACTGAGATTCAGCCTATCCCGCCATCGATTGACAAAAGTCTGTATGTGTACGAAAATCCCGAGAATATTCCTCGTTCGATGCCTCCTCCATCTCAGACTACGAGATCACTCCCTTCCAATGCGCCGGCCAATGGGCAGAATCAGGCGCGCAGACCACAAAATCAATCCAACGGATATGGTCAACAGCCTAATAATCAAGGTCGAGGAGGATATCGAGGTCGAGGCCGTAGTCAGGGTCAAGGCCAAGGTCAAGGTCCTCGAGGGGGACGAGGAGGTTATCCTCATCAGACAGCGGCGCCTGTCGGGCAAACCGCTCAGTAGTCTCTGCCGAGCTCTGAGATGTGTCTTGCGATCTAGCACTGGGTTGTTTTTATTATTTCTTTTCACGGCGTCTTGTTTATTCTCTAGGCTCACGAAGGTCTATGACATGCGACATGCGCAAGCTCGGAGTTCGATCATGGTTACTATGATTTGCTTGCTATCCGATCTGTACAACAGTGTCGTACAGTTACGCTTTTCTTCTTTGGGTTGGGAGCTTTCTGGATGGATCGAAGGACAAGCAATGGACTTTTGCTGAGCAAACTTGGTCCACACTTGCGGGTTTATGGCATTGTTTGTCTTGAATAAACATGCTCTTGTGGGCATGTTTCGCAAACGGCGCAAAATGCGGAAGCTCGGGCAGCAGGCCTCTACAGGGACTGTAGATCTGCATGGCGTTCTGTGGGAATTTGCTGTTTTCATTCGGAGACTTTCCAGAGTATGCCAGCGGGTTTCACCAGCGTGCAAACCCCCAGGCAGAAAACTACCGATATGGATTTCAATTCGACTCTTCGCAATACGACTCCCAGACTTATGCACACCCAACGATATTCTCATCTACTATGGCGCCGGACAGAGCCTTGATGCACCCTCCTACGCCCTCCTTCGAGCTCTCTCCTGGCTGCCACTCCGAAAATATGAATCAACCCTCCCCAGCTCCACTGTTTCAGCAGTCATCAAAATTGCCACCATCGATATCCCTCACTTTAGCATCAACAAGTATGTCTGAAAATAGGATGTCACCCAATGGACTTCCAACCTGGGACCTGATATCCGACATCAAATTTCAAGGTTCTGGCATCCATCCCATTCCGCGTTCGCAGCAGGAAGGGGACGATAGCTCATGGATGCGAGCAGATCTCAAACCACCAAAAAACTTGGAAAATCCCTAAAAAAAATAATAGGAGGAAAGCCTACGGTCCGAAGCCAGATAAATGCCCACTGTTGCCAGTCAGAAGGCGCGAGTTTTGCGCAACTATCGACAAGATCGATTGGACTGGACGACGAACAAAAGCCACAGATTGTACGTGTACAAAGCAGATCGGTTCGAGTACATGAGCAAGACTCAGGCCCACGATCAGAACGAATGTGCGTTGGTGGACGGCTAGACAAGGTTGCGCCCGAGACGAGATCAGTTTGACCGATAACGAGCACTTCAAATAGCTGATCTAGGTCTGACAATCAAAACAAGCATACTTTCCTCTGAACCGTGTTTTGATGGTGTTGACACCCGCATTGAGCTCAGAGTTCGTGCTTTAGGCTTCTCGCATTCTCGCATTCTCGCTCTCGCCGCTGTCTTCTGGCTATAGTTCCCTCTTCTCCAGTGCCTGACGAGTGTTGAACAAAAAGAACACAATAACCTCGATTCAATCTTACGTCCAATACGTGCTGCTTCCCCAACCCGTTGTTCCATCTCTCCCTAAAGCGCCGATACGGTTCAACTCAATGCGGCTGGATTTCGCACCAGGCCTGATCGGTATGGAATCGCTTGCTTGCTTCTTCGTTCTCTGTCTTTGTCTTTCTAGCTCGATATTACAAGGTGTTGTACGCAACGCACAGTAACATACATAAATACATAGACACACATTTCTCACTTTTTCGTTCCCCAGAACCCGATTCCAGTCCATTCACTTCGGGGCGAGTCCACTCAGTCTATTGGCCGGTGGTCAACAGCATCAAGCACCAGATAGTCAGCCTTTTGACTTCGCGGTAGGAGACGGTACGACAAGTCAAGACAATATGGCCAAGCCTCTGGCGCAACCACTGCGTGACTGGTAGTAACATCAATGGCGCCAGCTCCAGTTCGAAATCAGAACACCATAGCATGGCGGAAAGACTGGTGTTCCAATCTCACCAAGTCAAAAGTCTCTGGCCGCCCGCTCCAGCCTGGCCGGTTTTATGACTGGGCTTGGTGTACGAGCAAAATCGGTCCTTGATAGACACCACTTCGTAGATACCTTCGTCGCTCGCGCGGATCATTTTGCTGAACTCGGTGGACGTGTCGTGGCGGGTTTCGAGAATCCGGGGTTGGCTGCGACCTTTCTTGACGGTCTCAGCACGGGTGTATCTGTATAATCATGCTGTATTAGCGATCTCTCTCTCAAAGTCTCTCTCTCTCTCTCTCTCTCACACACACACACACATGTCCCTCGGCCAGTAGCCCTCTCACTACGAAGGTAACGTAATCCCAATCTCGGGATGGAGTGTTTTCCATGATACTGTCGCAAAGAAAGGGAGGTCGGAACTTACGTGAATTCAAAAGGCGGTGTGCCAGTGAAAGAAAACAGAATATCAACCTCTCCGCCTTCGTGAATATCGCTGATAAGCGTCTTGCCGCGGCCCATCTCGACTGTCGGGTAGGGATGAATAGTCTTTTTGATTTCTTTCCGGGCACGGCATTTGCCATTGCCCATTGCATTGTCGCTAACGCCAGTAATGGTGAATTCGCCGGGCGACTCGGCAAGACGTCTGAATTCGCTACCTGTGACACGTGCTTTGCGTTCACGCTGTTGGAAGGTGTAGTATACGTCGAAAGGGGCCTGTCCGCTCAGAGAAAACGAGACGTGCTCGCCGACACAGTAGTCCTCCTGGGCTTCCAACGGGATGATGGTCGGCGGCGAAGATACGTACACACGCACGGACGATGGATCCGATTCAAGAATGCTCTCACAGCCTCGGCCATCCTTGACAGACCGGATCGAAATGCTGTGTGTGCCCAGCTCTAGTGAAGCTCGAGACAAGGGCCATGAGTAGGTGGTCGTGTAGATATCCTTGTGGCGGAAGACCTCTGGGCGTGCTGAGACGCCGTGGTGAGTGACCGCAATCTCAACACTGAACGGCGGAGTGCCGGTAAAGGTGATGGGGATGTTTTCAGTCTCTTCTTCAACGCTGGAGGTGAGACTCGGGTCATCCTTGCAGTAGCCGTATGTCTTTCCTGATTGAGTGAACTTGGCAGCAGGCAGTGCGTACACCTGCTGCCGGACAACCGTGGGAGCAAATCGCTGCTTGTCGTGAGCGTACCGGTCATCGGCAAGTTCGGTGAACACGTAGGTGTACTCTCCGGCTTTGGAGGCGTCAAGATTGATCAGAGCACTGCTTCCTGCAAAGCTGGCTGGCTTATTGCTGATCGCAGAAGGTCCTTTCAGAGGATCGAACTTTTGTTGGTACTTCAAGTGGAATGGGGGAGTGCCGCTCAAGTCCAGGGCCAGCGCCGACTCGTCACCTTGACACACGGCGGGTTTCCGGACCTCGTTCCTACTCACTGTCTCCACCGTTGTATCTTTGATAGATAGTGTCGGACGGGGAATCCAACTGACTTGGAATGTGTCTGCCTTGGGGTCGACCAATCCTGGACAAGTGTCCTGTACCGACTGGATCTGATACGTCCCAGGTCGCTCGACGGTGAGAACCGAGTTCGCATCTCTAAACACTTTGCCAAACGTAGGATATCCATCGTCCAGATTTTTTAGTGTCACAAGCCACGGCGCAATCCCCTTCAGCCGTAACGGCAACTTGATGGACTTGCCGTCCAATGCCAGGATGCTTCGCTTTCCTTCAATGTCGCCAAAAGCGGCTTGCGGCTGTTCTGGTCTCACCTCGATCTGTCGTTCTTCTTTCAGCCTGGTACGGCAGCGCGTGCTGTCTTGGACACCGGTCAAAACGACCGAATATGTTCCCCCCTCAGACGCTCCGGGTAGTTCGATTTGGAAGAGCTCTTCTTCAGAGGAGACGCTATGCTTCTTTCTTTTCCCGCCATGAACTACTTCGTAGTCCAGATCCCAGGGTCCTTGACCCAGGAGTCCAACTTCCATAGTAACAGGCTGGCCAAGACATGACTTTTCAGAAAGGTTGCTTCCAACAAACACCGCGGATGCAGGCGGTTTGATGTCTTGTTTCAGGACGAGGTTCTTAGCCTTCAGAGAAACCGGGCCGTAGACGGCGTCTTCGATCTCAAGGATGTTGTAGACGTAAGAGCCAGCTGATCTCTCGCGTAGCTCGATCTGCCCTCGCATCCCTGAGAAGTCTTGCACTTTAGGACGAGCTTTGCCTTGGTGTGTGACTGTATACCTGACCTTGAAGGGTGGGGTTCCGGTGAAATCCAAATTGACGTACATGCCGATAGGGTTGCCAGCACATTTATCGAAAATGTCCTCCGTTTCAATCGTCAGGCTAGGCTCGGGAGGGTTGAACAGGGAGCAAGATGACGGCTCCATCACCTCTCCATGACAGTATTGGCTGTCAATTGAGTCGATGGTGTACCGCCCTGCTGTACTAATCCGCGGTCCAGTCCGGTCGTTGGTCATCTCATGGACATGTTCTTCCGCCTGAGGAACTTCTCCTTCCGCTTCGGGGGTGAACGTGTACTTGAGTTTCAAAGGCCAGTCAGAGGGAGGCAGTCTGTCAGCGGGTCCAACGCGAACAGGCAGATTTATTGAGCTCTCTCTGGGAACTGCGATCAATCGGTCCGAACCGCAGCCGACCAGACGGACCTGAGGTCGGTTGTGTACGGTGAGACTCTGCACTTGGGGAGGGCGGGGATCTTTCGGGTTGTCCGCATCATACACGACCTTATTGCCCAGTCCGTCCTCCACCTCCTCAATCGTGTACGAATGGCTTCCATTTTGATGAAGAGCTTCATTGATCTCGAAAGACTCGGTGGTCGATTTCGTCCAACCCACGTGGGGTTTCCTAGGATCGACCACGGCTTCAGAAGCCTCGTCTGGAGACACATAACCAGAGTCGGGGCGTGGCTGAACATTTTGGACAATTGAACTGAATTGTTTGCGATTGACCATCTTGCTGTATTTCACCTTGAAAGGGGGAACACCTGCGACTTGCAATGACACGTTGCTCAGCTCTCCGGTGCATCTGTCCACAGTCCCGGTCGAGATGGAAGCCCTCGGACATTGCACGACAGCAACATCGAAACTTCGCTTCCGCACTTCCAGTTTCGTCGTGTCAATGACTCTTGTCAGCTGATACAGTCCTTTCTTGGATACGGCATATCGTAGAACTCGAGATGTGTTTGGGTCGGATGTCGAGGCGGCTTCATTCGCTTTTCTCAGCAGTTGTTTGGCCTGCTTGCTACCGATAACAATCGATTCGACTTCATCTGTGTCGAGGTCAAATCGTTGCAGTTCGATGGAAATGGGAATCGTTTGATTGATTTGAATCTGCAGGTCGACCGAAGGGATCGACGTGTCAAGACAAAAGGCCTCTTTCTCTGGGTTCAGGATTGCAGATCCCTCTGGCAGAATATGGATGATCTGCTTTCCCAGAATGATGGATGAATTGTGCAGGATTTTGGCAGGTTTGACCCGGTGTTCTGAAATTGAGAGCTCCCGGTCGTAGGCCACCTTGACAAGAGCCCCCAGCCAAGACAGTAGTGGGATGGGAATCTTGTACATCAAGAAGGCGTTGGCTATTGCGTGCAGCAGCCAAAATGTGAATGTTGTGGCAAAAGACCATCGCAGCCAGGGTATCCTGAAGGTGGGCAAAGCCACAAAAAAAGCAGCGTCGATGCCCACCCACTTAAGGAACAGCCAGGTCGAGTCGAGGTCATTTTCAACATTGTATGAGTTGTACAGTCTCCACGCGGTCAGCCCGACATAAAAGGCGAAGACATAGAACCGCTGGGAGGGAACGTCGACAATCTCGGTCGGTATCACCGGTGTGCTGCTGTACCTAGACGCAGCATCGACAGGGACGCGGACAGGCCTTGTTATCGGAGAGGGTTTGTGGGAAGGGGGGCTTTGGGGCGACCCAAAAGTCGGAGGACCATTGTTGTTGAATGTCCGCAGTCGAGGTTCGGTCCTAGGGGTGGTAGGGAAGGCCGACCGCAGTCGCGGCGTTTCATTCATTGCACCATGCGGCTGCAGGGCCTTCTCTTGTGAGTGGACTTTCTTCCAGCTGTGTGCTCGACCGAGTCTGCAGGTTCAACCAAATTCTTGAGCGAAGTGTGGGATAGCACAATTGGAATCGGAAGAGGGACGTGGCAGAGGCGTGGCAGGTGAGTACGGGGTACTATTTGTCAAATGGAGGCATCCATCAACACGACAGACAGTGACGGGACCAAGCTCAGAGCATGCATCCAGGAAAAGCGGCTCGCCAAAGAAGACTGATTGTCGACGTGTTGTGCACGCGTCTTGAGCAAGCGCAGGCACAGGCAGGCGTGAGCACCACAAGGCTGCGGCTTGCGGCGAAGCTTGGCGAAGATGACGTCCATTCACAGCCTTGCACGTGAGCTGTACATTCTTCGACCAGAATCCCAGGTCGACAGAGTCCAGATATATCTATCAATCGCTTTGTGTGATTCAATTAGGGCCGCCTTGTGCCTCAGCCAGTTATGAGCCGCCATTCCGCCGTACCCTTGCAACTGCGCTGTGAATACCAGCACCGATCTTAGAGAAGGTCATCAGGCTAAATGGAGGCCCCTTTCTTCCTTCCCTTTCGCCAGATCTTCAGCGAACAACACCTGCTGCTTCTACTCCTCTACGACTGAAGACAGATAGTGGACCACAGCCTCACGTCATCCAGGCCATCTCTATCTAGTCCATCCCTCTGCCTGAGGAGTCCTGTACACCGTCGTGCCTGCAGTAAGAGGCCTGTTCATCAGCGTTTGACCAACTCCGACCTCAACCTCAACCGATCTGTCCTCCAAAACAAAAACACGCCATGGTAGAGACACGAACTTCCAAAATGGCCTCCTTTCAAAACCAACCTAGTAAAGATGTTGCTGTGGACCCACCACCAGGCCGACTGTCGACGCAAGCGAGTTCGGTTGCCGCTTCGTCCTGTGAAGATACAGGGTCGATGAGCACCGACGACATCGTAGCGTCAAGCAACCAAGCTGGGTCGTGGAGAGGATGGGCCGAGTTGGAAAATGACCCGGTATCTCCTGTCGCGTCTGGTTCTTATTTACATCTGCCTAACAGCCTCCAGGTTATATTCACCACACTGCTACGAGAATGGGGCGTTCCAGATGTGCAGGTTCACGAAGTGGTCCCGCTCGACAGCGTGTTCGACCACCCCCCAGAGAGCGTGTACGGCCTGATCTTCCTATCACGATGGATGCCAGCGGATGTTGAGAACAGCGTCACAGAGGCTCCCCAGGGTGTATGGTTCGCCAATCAGGTAAGATTACTCGGCCCTTTTCCCACGGCATCAACTCACGACTACAGACTTCATCTTTTTCATGCGCAACAGTCGCCCTCATGAATATTGTCAACAACCGCCCAGACGTCGACTTAGGTCCACAGCTCAATGAGTTCCGCGCACACACCCTGGACATGACCCCCAGGGATCGTGGGATTGCTTTGGACGGGTTTGACCATGTCAGAGACGTTCACAATTCATTCGCAACCGACTTGGACAAGATGGCTGTCGACCTTCGCCTCAAACAAGAAATCGCTATCGCCGAGAAGAAGAGGAAGGCCGCCATGTCCAAGCGGCCTCGCAAGAGACTCAGAGACGAGGAGGACTTTGACGACGGCGAAAACGGCTTCCACTTTGTAGCCTATGTACCGGCTGGCGGGTCTGTCTGGAGGATGGACGGGATGGAGAAACTACCACGCAAGGTGGGGAGTCTCTCGGAAGGAGACAGCTGGGTGGCTATGGTGCTGCCTGAGCTGCAGGCCCAATGGGAAACGGCGGCGACGGGCGCCTTGGAATTTTCTCTGCTGGCTTTGACAGCCATGACGGCCGCCTCGAGCCTGGAGGAGGACCAGGTCAAGATGGAGCGGGCAAGGGAGGACTGGGGACCCTTCTTTGCGCAGTTGGTGCGCCTGGAGGCCGAGAAGGGGAGGCTGCGGGCAGATTTAGAATAGAACGAACGCGCTCCTCGAACACAGCGTTGGTGGGCACTGGCACTGGCACTCGCTTGATGTACTCCGTAGTCGTGAGAGCACACATATGCCGCATGTACGCGCCAGGGACAAGGGGTGATGGGTGTCCGTGCTGTGCAGTGTATCCGTACAGCCATAGCCCTGATAGTAGCACGGAGTACGGAGTACATGCCTTCCTAGGTGTGATAGTACTACTCTGTAGTACGGCGTACGTCGGGAGAAGTGTGACACTGGCAGTCGAACTCCGGGGAGACACCATCTCCAGGGGCCCCTGGGCACTGAGGCTGTGATTGGGCGGCCTCCTGCGCCTCACATAGGTAGCCTAAGGTGCCTTAGGACCCTGAGCCCCAGCCTCCTAAGCCCCTCCAACGCCCAGATTGACGCTTCTCTCTTCTCCTCTCTTCTCTTCTCCGCAGCTTCAAATCTCCGCCCGCTGGTCAACCTCGTGCCTCCTACAGAGTGCTCTGTGCGAAGTACTCCGTCCTCCGTACTCGGTAGGAATACACCAACTTGAACCTTGAAACCCCCTTCTCTTCGGCCTGGTCCCGCCGACGCAGTATTCCCACGCCTCTGCCGCGCCTGCGCCCGCGCCCGTCAATCGGGGAAGACCCGGGATCCAGCACCCAGCGCCCAGCGCCCAGCACGATGAGGTCGCTGATGACAGAGCTCCCGGACGAAGTAGTCCAGGCCATTCTGCACCACCTGCCTCCGCGAAGCACGGCGGCCTTGCAGCAAACATGCCGACGCTTTGTCAACATCGCCAATGAGCCTCTCCTCTGGAAGATCTACTGTCAGCGGGATTTTCGGTGGTGGGACGAGCGGCACGGCATCAAAAGCCTCCTTCAAGATGCCACTTTTACCGGATGGAGAGATCTGTACCATGATCGCCAATTCGGGGCTCGTACCACGCGGCGGGCCATCAACAAGATTGTCACCGAAGAGACCGGTCGCCTGGCCTCCCTGAAGACGATTCTAGATGTCGGTTACGATGCCAAAGACACTTTGCTCGATCTGTTTAGGACTGCCCCTTCCTCCGAAGACCAGCTAGCTCTAAAGTAAGTATCCTTTGAACAGACGGGTCCAGGTCCAGCATGATGATTGATTCGTTGTCTAGGTACTGGAGTCATGCAGCGCTTGGCTGTCTGCACCGACTACTCGCCGTGGGTGAATGGGTGAGGTTGAGTGCTGCCGAGGCTCCCATCCCAATTGACAGAGCTATTGCCGGCTTCGACCTATTCATCCTTGAAGAGCGAACCGAGGGCGACATGGACGATGTACGCTTCTCTTCTCGTCGTCGAGCGTGTCCAACCCCTTGCTGACTCACGACAGATCTTCGCTCGACTGGATTCCTACGCGGCTTCCGTTCGCTCCGCATATCCCAATATTGACGATATGACGCCTCGACAGAAAGCCATCGCCATCACCGCGCACCTTCAGGAGAACCAATGGGTCGGAATACAAGGGGATCGACACTACCATAGCCTCGACCACATGTTCCTAGGGGTGGCCCTGTTCAGCGAGAACCGAAACTCGATCCCGTTGATTTCGGCCATCATCTTCAGTCATGTTGCGTGCCATTTCGGTCTCCGCGCCGCGCCATGCAGCTTCCCTTTCCACGTGTATGCTGTGGTCAGTCCACCGGTCGGACAGGACTTGGACGGCAACCCCCTACCCGAATACATCAGGGACCACGACGGCCCCATAGCATCCGAAGAGACACTCATGTACATGGACCCATTCAGAAGCTTGGAGCCTCTATCGCCCGATGACCTCAGGGCCCAATTGAATTTCATTTCGCCGAGCACGTCAGCCGCCAGAGTCGAGGGATTTCTGACTCCTGCCAAACCGCGGAGCCTTATGATCCGGGCGGCGAATAACATCATGGCCTCAGGAACGCACTACCCGGGCGAACCAGCTTTCCCTGTCGACCGTAATCTCGCCACCTACGCCGCGCTGTTCTCGCTCGTGACCATGACCGATGCATCAGGCACCAGGCGCCATAACCTAACGTTCTTGGCTAAGCACTTCCTCGAATTCTTTGAGTTGGATGTCCATCTATTCGAGCGCCACATGCTTCCCATGACCGGCAACTACATGGAGAGCTATCGGTACCACGAAGTCATCCAAGAACGCAAGGACGCAGACCATGTATCCCCACCGCCCAAGCCCCGCTCCGACCCCAAGAACTCCTTGGTCCAGTTCAAGGTCGGCCAGGTATTCCGGCACCGCCGTCTCAGGTACGTGGCGGTGATATACGGCTGGGACCCAGACTGCCGCATGCAGGAGTATTGGATCACCACGAATCAAGTGGACCGGTTGCCGAACGGCCGACACCAGCCTTTCTACAATGCCATAGTGGACGATCAGTCGACGCGTTATGTGGCCGAGGAAAACGTGGTGGTGCTTCAGCCGAGTGAGATCACAGAAGACCTGTTGAATGCATTTCCCCTGAAGCTTGGCAAGTGGTTCAAGAGGTACGACCATGAGACCGGCACGTTTGTGAGCAACGTCCGGGCCGAGTACCCGGATGATTGATGGATGCAGATTGGAGTTGTACTGGAAGTATGGCAGATTTCTAGAGAGAAGGAGGTCTCCAATGGGCCGGTATTGGACAAGGGGATATACGGCAGGAAATCGACGCGCCTCTTCGGTTGAGATCAGCTGCTAGGAGAATTATGTGCCCATGGCCCAATCCGCCGGCTCACGGCGTCTTGAAATCCTGGTGGATTTGGTGCTCACAGGATGATGAATGATCAATGATAAGACATGAGCTGATGAGTTGAGGCTGGTCTATTCCAAAAGGCGAGATAGGTACAATTCTAAGGCGAGACGATTCCATAAGGCGAGACAGGTACAATTCCATTTACTATACCATTTACTATATCCATAGGTATCCATGGCTATATTTTTGCCCATTGAATGTCCCAAGGGATCTAGGTACGTTATGTAGGTATGTGCATACGAGGGCTGTCCGTAGTACGAGAAGGGGAAGCAGTATTCCCTTCAAGTTCTGGGCCCCCTTTCCACCGAATATTCACATTCACGCACGTCTCAGCAGAAAGGGACTCGACTCGACTCTGACTGTGTTCTTGTTCCGCCCGGAGGGGTGCAAGCCACTTCTTTCGCTTTCAGGCATAGCTAGCTGAGTGGTGATACCACTGCCACTGCTACTGCACTGGAATTATGTCTGCAGAGTCGGTCCCTTTCCCCCTTCCCCCTGCAGTCTGCAGTCTGTAGTCTGTAGTCTGTAGTCTGTAGTCTGTAGTCTGTAGTCTGTAGTCTGTAGTCTGTAGTCTGTAGTCTGCAGGCAGACGAGTCCACACGTTGCGAGCCACTGCACGGCTCGGCTCGTGCTGCCGTCATCGTCATCGTAGCGTGCAAGGGGGCAAGGGGACTAAGGACTAAACACCACTGGCTCGGCAAGCCCCTTTCTGTGTTTTTCTGTGGTGGGTTGAGCAATGAATAGACAGCCCAGCCTAGGTCGATGTCGATGTCGATATACCGTCCCGTCCGGGTGTAGTATGTCACCATCTGAGATGGTCGATCTGCTCTGATAGACAATAAGGTCTTAGGCCGTCGCAATAGGAGTGTGCTGCCGATATCGATGTCGATGTCGATGTGGTCTGAACAGGACAGGACAGGTCGGGCCCTTTAGTGGATATTCAACTGATCATGCATATCGATGTCGAGTCGAGTCGAAGGCGGCCTGCTTCGACGCCCCTGTCAGAGTGGCCTCCACGAACCTCGACCTCACCTCAGCCATCAGGTGTCTCAGAGATAAGCGAGGAAGCGGAATCGTCGCAGTGGCGTGGCGGCTCGGACCGGTGTCGACTCAACCGCTGACTGCTGTGCGTCGAACGTGGAATTCTGTCTTGACGAGCTTTGCCTTGTAGACCATATCTGGATCTTAGCGACGCCTTCTCTTGCCTCGTAGACCTGGTCTGGATCTTAGCAACGCCTTCTCTTTATCTTGTAGACTATATCTAAATCTTAGCGACGCCTTCGCTTTTCACGTGAACATAACACAGAGGTTGCCGTTCTCACACACGCCCCCGAGACTTTGTCTTCTGATGCTCGCTCCTGTATCCAGCAATGTCATGGCCGTCCCATCTGGCAGTGGCAGTAGCACCCCTTTCGACCATCTGCCGCACCGTCTCGACGTCAATGGTGGCGTCGTCCTTCTTCAATCCCACTCGGATCAGAAAGTCGTCAAAGTCGGCTCCCTCGAGACCGAAACTCTTGAGATGGCCCTCCTCCAGCTGGACGAGGATGGGCTTGCCGAGCAGGTTAGCCTCCCACGCATAGTTCCACGCCTGGCCCACAAACAGGACCAGGTTCTCCAAAAACACGGCCTGCGGGTGCTTCCTCGCCAGCCGGTCAAGCCGACGCAGCCGAGACGACACAGATGCATCGGCGTCGATGGAGAACTCGGACAGCCGGCGCAGGCGGAGCTGGGTCCATTGGGGGTTCTCGAGTTCGCGTTCGCGTTCGGGATCGGGATCCGATTCGGATTTCCGCCGGAAGAGATCGTTGACCAAGTCCCAATCCAGATCTACCAGGCTGGCGTCGGGGTCTTCGGCCACGTCGTGCGGATTGAGATCAAGGTGGCCCCAGGCAAAACAGTCCTGAAGTCGAGGCAGCAGATGCTCTGGCACCACTCCCGCTCCCGCCGCAGTGCCAGGCTGCCCAAGTCGAAGTCGAAGCTGCAAGGCCTCCAGGCTGGCTTGGAGCAGAAAGTCAGCTGCCAGTGTCATCCACGTCTCGTTGGCATCTTGCCCGATTACGGCGGCCACTTGGGCTGAAATGTCGATGAACCGCGGCATCAGATCGAACAATAGGGCCGGCGTATTGGCAAGCGGGAAGGGATCTGTCAAGGGACGCTGGTCGGCGGTGGTGGTGGTGGTGGCTCGCTCCCCCCAAGGCCGACGGTCCCATACGTCGTAGATCTGGGCCTCGTCGTCTTGAGAAGTCACGTCCACATCCTCGGCGGGCTGGGGCTGAGGCTGCTTGCCCCGGCGTCGAGTGTACCTCTCCCGCGCGGCCAGCCACCTCCGGCGATCTCGGAGATGCGTCATGCGCAAGTTGTCGAGCATGTCGTCGGCAAAGTGGGAGCCTCCCGCTCCCCGACTGCGACTACGACTGCGACTACGACTGCGACTGGCCAGCAGAACGAGAAACTCGAGAACGTCGAGGTTGAAGTTGAAGTCGCCGCGCAGCCTGTGCGACGGATGGTGGTGTTTGAAGAGCCGCAGAAGCGAGTCGAAGATGGAGAGCAGCCGCATCGATTCGCCGGCTGAGGTGTTGGTATCCTCCTCCCACTTGTATGCGTGTGCGTGTGCGTGTGCGTGTGCCAGAAGGTCCAAGTGTGCCTGGGTGGCCTGGTAGAGCGTGTACTCAAGCATCATCACGTCGACGTCGAGCTGGAGCGCGGGATTCGCGCAGCGAGTGTCGACCATGTTATGTTGCAGCAGGCCTCACTTGAAGTTTCGCAGACGGAGGTTGCAGCAGGCCTCACTTCAAGTCTCGCAGCCGGACGTTCCAACCGGGGGACTCGAGACAGGGAGGGGATCGGTCGGGTGCTACTGGGACAGGGACAGCGACAGCGACAGCATGACTGCCGTCTTGTTCTTCCGTCGATCTGGATGGCAGATGGCGCGTGTGGAGGCGAGTGTCGGCGTCGTGACGTTCAAGGTACGAGTAGGAGAGGATCGTTCTCTTTCACGGGCTTGAGCGCGTCACGGCAGCCATGAGAGAAAATCGACAGGGCGCAGGAGATGCAGATGCAGGACAGCGCATGGCATTCGTTCCCCGGCACGGATCCGTACACAAGGCCGGTGGATGATCGTACGTGTACAGACTCCAGGGTCCAGAGTACTCATACTCCGTACAAAGGATCGGTATTACTCCATATTAGATGGAAGCTGGCGAGGTCGCGGGGCCCAAGTAAGGAGTAATAAGGCATTCTCAACGGACCGCAGCACCTGATTCGCCGCCTACCATCTCCCCATCCCCCATCACAGATTCCGAAACAATCGGTCGAGTCCGCTTTAACAGTCAAGCACCGACTAGTAACTGTAGCGAAATGCTGTCTTGCACTAATCACCTCTGAGATTGCAGGCGAAAATCAGGAAGCATACAAATACGAGTAGGTATGCAGGTCGGTACGGAGTACGGGTATACGGGTATCCATCCATGGGATTCTATCGGCAGATCAGCGTCTCCTCTGTACGCTGCCAAACGCCGTTGCTATGCATCGCGAGATCTAGTCGAAATATTCGCAGACAAGGGACTATGTACCAAGGTAGGGACTCCTCGGCAAAGTATCATCGCTTCTTCTTCCCCTTTCCCGCTTTGGCACCTTTGATCTGGTTCAGAGGGGCGGCATGGTCCTTCTCCTTGATGTGGTTGAATAGTTTTGTTTTCGAGGCGAATTCAGCTCTGCAAACCGCACAGATGAATTCCGAGGCTGCACGATCGGATTGCTCTCCAGATTTCTGCGCCGCCTTCCTCGCTCGTTTCAGTTTCGCTTTGCCCACCTTGATCTGCGCTCCCTCTTCCGGTTCCGAGGTCACTGGAGTATCTCCCAGATTGCTCTCTTCGAGTGCTGCGGTGGCCCCGGCTAGCCGTTGTTCAATGTCGGTTCGAGGAGCATAGTCGTCTCCAGAAGTCTGGGACTCGTCTAGGTCATCATCAGGCTTTGCAGAACCGTTCACTGGAGGCGGCTGCTCATCATCCACAGACCCGTCATCGTCCGATTCTCCCGTTTCCGCGGTCTCACTCTCAACGCCTTCATGGATGTCCTCTTCGGGCATGTCCTCTTTGTGCATCTCTTCAGGTTTGGGGGTAAATCTCTCAGTGTCCAGATCGAGCTCGGCCCCTTCAGCACGCATCTCCTTCCGCAGCTGTTTCAACAGTTTCAGGTGCTTCTTGCTCTTTTCATGGGTCTTGAACTGTGCCTCGCTTTTGAACGTCTTGTCACAGACCACACAGTCGTATTCATGCTCTTCCACTTCCGACTCACTTGAAAACCCTCCCTCGTGGGCGTCCTCGACTCGGGACCTGGCCCAGTCAGGGATGGTATGGGCGTGCTCTTGCATCTTTGCCTGGCGAGCTTGCCTGGAGCGGGCTGCTTGCGCCGCGGCTGCCTCGCGCAGAGCTTTCTGTCGCTCGGCCTCCGACTTCTGGTTGTTCTGAACTCGAGGGTCTCGCTTTCGAACAAAGGCAACCAAGGACCGGACAGCTTCGTTGAATTCCTGGATGGCGTCCTCTCGCAGCTTCCGGTTCTCCTTCTCCATCAGACGCCTGACCCGTCTATCGGGGGCCTCAGACAGTTTGTATTGGTCCTTCCACGAGTAGCTCTTATGAGTAGCAAAGCCATTCCAGGCTGCGTAAAAAGGACGAACCACCTCCTCATAGTCGTCGGTGTCCAAGCCAAACTCGGGGTAGTCGATCGGCTCGTGTCCTTCCCACTGACCAGCAATGTCCTCCTCTTTCGCCAGCTGCTTAAAGATGTCGTTCAACCCACCAAAGAATCCGCTGGGGGCATTACTGTATTCCACCCGGCCATTGAATTGCATCATCAACTTCAACACGTCCTCCGCCGTGGTCATGCGAATGTTATAGGAGAACTGGTCGGCGCCCGGACCGGTCGCTTGGTTCTCTCGGAGGAGCACATCTCGGTGGGAGTCATACCAGGCTCGCTCTTGGGGGTCGGAGAGGACTTCGTAGGCCGACTGGATCTCGGCGAAGAGTGTGGTGGCATGTTCGACATTGCCATAATTGCGATCGGGGTGCAACTCGAGGGCTTTTCGGCGGTAGGCCTTTTTGATTTCATCATCGCTTGCCGTCCTGTCGACACCAAGCAGGTCGTAGTAGTCCGCTTTCGCGGGGGGCTCCTCTTGGGCGCCACCGTCGGTAGACTGCCGTTGACCCATGGCGATTGATGGGGTGACTGCCAAAATCTCCAGGGGGGTTCATGTCTGTGCCGGTGCTGTCATACCCAGGCCCGACCGACGGGGGCAACCACCAACGACTTTTGGAGCAGAATTGGATGGCGGGAGGCGAGATTGTACTGTAACTTGTGGCCAGAGTCTGCAGCCTCGAGTGCCGATCACGTGGCATAGCTCACGTGATATTGATATCTTACTCCTATCACGTGCACGGGCTGGGGAAATCTCTGATCTGATTCGCATCGCGATGCTGGTGCTGGACCGTCGAGCCGGAGCCCGTGGCGGACGGTGGCAATTTCATTCGCGGGTCCATGTTCGCCTCCAACTCAAAGACTGTCGGCACGGGCAGACAAATGGTCCTAGCAATCGCCCCAGGGCATGGATATAATACTCACCGTTGGATCTTCACCTCTCCCCCCTTCCCCAGAACCAAGAAGCCAGAACCCACAGCGTCAACCTACAACGTACTCCGTACTCTGTACAGCCTCATGAACTGGAGCGAAGTCTGCCGTCGCGCCCACCAAGCCTACCGAGCATGTGACTGATTGCCAGGTACCTTATCTATTACCGTCACTGAGATGCTCCACCATGAAATTCGGCCAGGACTATGAAGCGGCACTCGCTCGTGGCGAGTATCCTCCCAACTGGGTCGACTCGGCCATCTCGTATAAGAAGCTGAAGAAGTGCATCAAACGCGTGCAGAGAGAACTTCTCGGTCTGGGCCTTGATAAGGACACCCTTGACGCCCTCTGGCAGCATGTTGATTCAGGTGCTGGGAATCCGTTTGGAGAAGGTTTGTTGCACTACTCGCTGGACGGCAACGACTACAGCTTTACGCCCAGGTTGACCATCGTCGTCGATCCCCGCGACGGCTCTCCCATGGACGCCTGGTTGAGTCCGGAAACCCGGCGAAACTTATTGCGCCTTGCCCGGAATTCTCGGGCGAACGTCTCAACCGCCCGCGCTTGGCCAGAGTCCGTGGATGGACGAGCCAGAGACTGGGCTCCCGCAGAAACGAGGGGTTCCGAGCCAGAGGGTGACTCTGCGGCAGCGGACCCCGACCCGGACCAGGACCAAGACCAGGACCAGGTGCAGACCGTCGAAATCCCTTTGACCTCTGACTCGGAGTTCTTCCAAATCCTGCGGCGCGAGCTCTCCGACTTGGACCATCTGCAGGAGGCCGAGCAGACGCGACTACGAGAGGAGATTGTCAAGCTGGGGAATGAGCTGCGTGTGGTGAAAGCATCCAAATCTAAGCGATCCAAGGAGGAAGTAGACGCATGGCGGCAGATCCTTGAACTCTACTCGGACGCCGAAGTCTTCGCCTCGTCGCACGAAGTCGACGCCGGGGCGCGCGACGCCGCGCATGCACAGAAACAGTTTCAGGAGTTCAGTCAGGCGCTTTCGCTTCAACAACGTGCCGGCTTCAAGCTGGGCAAGGGGGCCACAATGGCCCTGGACCGCTTTCTACGCATTAATGTCAAACTGCTCCGGCTGCTCCGATTCCAAGAAATCAATCGCACCGCCCTTCACAAAATCATGAAGAAATTCGACAAACGCACCGCGTTGCACGCCCGGTCCCACGTTTCGACCGCATTGGTCAAATCGCCCTTTATTGCGCAGGATCTGGCCAAGGCCACCTGCTTCACCATCTCCGAAGAGATCCTGAAGATCATCCCCCAACTCAACGACTACCTCTGCCCAATCTGTTTCAGTATTTCCTACAAACCTGTCCGTCTGCGGTGCAAGCATGTCTTTTGCATCCGATGTCTGGTTGTCTTGCAGAGAGAGGGACGGGACCATTGCCCTCTCTGTCGAGAAGATGTGGTGCTGGAAGCCACCAGTGGTAAGCCCTGACTTCCGGTACTGTGGGGTTGCTTGTTGCTGACATTTGTTCCCTAGAAAACCTCGACCGGGAGTTGATGAAGTTCTTGAAAGCCAACTTCAAGGGCGCGGTCAAGCAGAAGCAGCGAGACAACGAGATCCAAGCTGCGATCGATCGCTGGGGGGCTCAGTACGAGAATGCGCAGAAATGCACGGTCATGTAATCTGGGTTCATGTAATCTGGGTTCATGTAATCTGGGTTCATGTAATCTGGGTTCATGTAATCTGGGTTCATGTAATCTGGGTTCATGTAATCTGGGTTCATGTAATCTGGGTTCATGTAATCTGGGTTCATGTAATCTGGGTTCATGTAATCTGGGTTCATGTAATCTGGGTTCAATGCCTAGACCTCCCTCTGCCTCCGTGCCTCCATAGATGTTTGATGACCTAATGATACGCAACGACAGCAGTTCCTCGTTCTGCAATTCATACTTGGTGACGTGACAGATGCCGTCATGACCAGAACGATACTTGAATACTCCGTGCCACGCCTTCCGCCTTCCTCCTTCCCCCAGTCCAGTGAGCCCAATTGCCGGCCCGGCCTCCCGCCGCAGCCACCGACCGTTCTTGGCATTCCGCCCCCACGCTTCAACTTCAACGTCAACGTCAACGTCAATTTCAACCTCGACAACTTCAACCACCCACCTCTTGTCGCCTATTCTCCCTCCCACTTCCAAGGGCCAGGCCTTGGAGGTAGGTAGTTCTTGCCATCATCCTGGCCGTCGTCGTCGTCGGTCAGGTCGAGGAAGATCTCAAAGTCATCCTATCCTGCCCTGAGCATGGTTCCGCTGTCGCCATCGTGTTTATGCGCACGGCAGTCATCCCAGGACAATCTTCTCCGTTGAGTAGGTACTAGTTGGGATCGAGGATATGGTAGCCATTCCAGGGATTCGGGATTCATCCCTCTTGTTTGACACCGTGTATGAGTGAACGGCTGGCAGCTCTTCCGGGAACGAGTCCTCTTGTTTGACACTGTTCAGAATGTGCCCGGAAAGTCCCTTGAGGCAGCTTGTACTAGGGATTCGTCCCTCTTGTCTGGCACCTCAAGGCCACCTTTTTCGTCTTTGGGTCGCCGGTTCGGCTTTGGAGTGCCACTTATTTTCACTCTTCTTCCTGCAGTGCCGCTTAGTTCTACTCTTCTTCCTGGATTGCCACTTATTGTTACTCTTCTTCCTGCAGGGCGGAGTTATTCATGTAAATCCAGTCAATGGAACTAACTACACAGTTCTTCACTGCAGGCAACACGTCACTCTGTTATTGAGGATTTGTATGTTACATACCAACGGCCGGCGCTAAACTTGATGCTCCAGGGGATGCGTTCTCCCGCGGCGAATCTGTCCATGATATTAGTGACCGGTACAACACACATTGTAGCCTTGCAGAAGCGCATTGGATGCCAACAACTCTCCGCTGGCAGTGGGTACCCATACTCTGCTTTTCTGTCACAAATGATCGCCTGGTTCGCTTGGAGTAATGGGTGGCTCACATCCAGACCGAGGTGGCAGCTTGTGCGAGCAGTTGATAAGCCGGCCCTGAGCGCCTGAATCTTGCCGTCCTTGTTCACGCCAACCTTCCATATTCCCGGAAAGGGTGCCTCTGGCGGCGGCCTCCTGCTTGGGACTGTCTATTGTTCGCCTTCCGGCGCGGGCTGTTGCGACGACTGTCTGGAATGTTCCTTAAGATTCTGGAAAGACCTCAAGGCAAACTAGTCCATCGCACAGAGGCTACTTCTACGGCTTCGGGTTCGAATAAGAGGCAGTTGACGAACGAAAAGATCAGGATATAAATCGTGCTTGCTGGAGGCGGATAGGACAAGACCATACTGTCAATGCTTCACCGCGGTAACTGTCAACCCCTTGGGCGAGCCGGTCTTCAATTCAAGCCCAGCTCTCTTCTCCCAATGCTTCAGGAGCTCCGTGTGGTCCGCCGTGGGCTCGAGCGTGGCCATTGAATCCTTGAAATACTTGAGAATCAGATCGGGCAACTCCGTGTCGAAGTCGAGCTTGTCAAAGACTTCCTTGGAAATGCCGACGTCCTTGATCAACAGGGCCAGCTGGAACCCCGACGCATACTTCCGGGGCAGCGCATCGGAGGCGTAACTGTCGGTGGTGGAGAAATTGCGCCCAGTTCCCACATTCAACACATCGATCATCTGCACGGGATCCAGGCCAAACTTCTGGCCACTGACCAGTGCATCGGACAAGGCCACGATGGACGCGGCGCTGACGTAGTTGTTGAGCGTCTTCATCGTGTGGCCGGCCCCGAGGTGGCCCATGTGGAACACGTATTTGGCCATCGCCCGCAGCACTGGCAGCACTCGGCCCACGGCATCCGGTGAGTTTGATCCGACCATCAGCGTGGCGTTGCCGTTGTCGGTGTCGTGCAGGTGCGCTTGTGTCACGGGCGAGTCGACCAGCACGAACCCCAGCGCGTGCAGGTCCTTGCCTAGGCTCTGCGTGTCGAATGGGGACGACGATGAGGTGTCGACTATGATGGTGCCTGGGAGAACCGGTCAGCCTTTAAGCAAGGACAGGAACCTGCTTTCCTTTCCCTCTCCAGACGATCGATCGGTGGGACATCCCATACCTGGCTTCAAGCCCCGGGCGATCCCGTCCTTCCCAAGTACCACCTCCCTGACCACTTTACCCTGGGGCAGCATGGTGACAACCACGTCGCATTCCTTGAAGCCGTCCACGCCGGGCTCGGCAACAAAGGTGTTGGCATTCTCTTGAGCAAACCTTTGCTCGCGCGCAGGGTCGGCGTCTCTCACGATAAGACGGAAACCTGCTCGTGGCAAGTTCGATGCCATGGACGCTCCAGCCTTGCCAAGGCCAATATAGCCGACGGTCTTGACCACCATGGTGTGTTGACTGTTGTGTGAAGTACGAGGTAAGCTTGGAGAAAGAGTGTGCAGACGTGCAGACAGATTGAAAGCCAAGAAAACCCTCTCACAGGTGGTGGGAGTTGATTCCGGTCCTGACCTGGTTGGTCTCCTTCTCCATTTACATTACAGGGCCACTGTCCACGGGACATGAGGGGAACCATGCATTTACCTCGCTTCCATGCTATGAACGGCCTCACAGTGGAGGAAGAGGTTGGACTGCAGTTCGGCAAAAAGACTTTCGCTTGCAGCTTGCAGGTGGTGTACGACAACACCTCACGACAGAAGCATGGCAATTCTTCGAGATTGAACGGAGATGTCCCAGATCAAGAATAGTGTCGGAGGCGCAGGCACTCATAGGCTTAAAGTGGCCTTGATTTGGGGCCCCTAAGCCCGCTGGATGTTCAGCTGCCTGACTAGCAACCGACAGCAATCGATCGACAGTCAAATGGGTTTCTCCGGAGAGGCTGCACACAGGCCAAGGCCCAGCTGAAGACCGATCGCATGCTTTGTCTTCGCCCGAACCTTGAATCGAGTGCTGCGGACTACCCCATGGTGGGAGTATTCCGAGCCGCGGGGCTGAGGCTAAGGGGCCTGACCTACGGAGTCGAGGCTGGCTGGCTGGCTTCGGGGCTGGACCACTGGACTTGTTCCTTCGCTTACAGTTTGACGAACTCCGGAGTCTGCCCCCCACAAAACCAAGGTAGAGCTTTACTCGGCAAGCTGGCATGTGTCCATGTGTCTTTTCGGCTGTTCTAAACCACCTTCCACTTTGGGACGAGGGCAAGTGGTTGCGCTGTTCAACGTGTGACCCTGGACCTCGCTGAGTTGGCAGATTGCCCCCGAAGCCTCGACTGGATGGATATATCCCTGGTGACCTTGGTTCGGTCTCAGATGCTGGCAGAACTCTTTTGACGGAAGGCTGCGGTGTAGCCATCGGATATCCAATTGAATAGAGAAACGCAAACACCATCAACCCTGTCCAGGATTCTACAGAATGGGGTCGCTGCCAACAGAACGTCCTTTGAAAGGTAGGAGGCAACCGTCACCGTCATCGTCCACCAAGGGTCCTGTATCCTGACTTGCTTGACAGTGATCATCGTGGGAGCAGGGTTGGGGGGATGTGCCACCGCTCTGGCCATGCACCATGCCGGGTTCGAAGTGGTCATGTTTGAAAAGGTAGGAGAGTTTCTGCGGCTGGGCGACTCGCTCGGCCTGGGCGAGAACGCGCTGAAACTGCTGGACCGGTGGTCGCCGACACTGCGAGCGCGGCTCGTCGACATCGGCAACAAGTCGGAGCTGATGCAAATCCGTCGCTGGCACGATGGCAAAGTGCTGGCCCGGCAGCCGTTGATGGACATGGCCGGCTTCATTGGCCACCGAGGAGACTACCATCGAGCGTTTCTGAACGCGGTGGCGGAACAGGGGGTGCCTCTTCACATGGGGAGCGAGGTGAGTTACAATTAGAGTCACAGTTCCAGTCACAGTCACCGTCGCCGCCACTACTCACTTCCCACGCTTGGCCGTGCCTGTCCACTGGCCTCTGTTCCCGCCTCGCGGCTGACCAGCCTGGTGTCAGGTGGTCGAGTACGACGACACCATGCCGTCGGTGACACTGAAGAACGGCGAGCGACATGTTGCGGACCTAATTGTCGCGGTGGACGGTACGTTTTTCCATGGTTGATGGTTGATCTGTGGTCTTGTGGGGTGGTTGAGAGTCCTATTGATACTGGACTACACACAGCCTCTAACTAACCAACGATCGGCTCGAGTGTCCTATTTACACATAGCATCTAACTAACGATTCACCGGGTTTAGGCATCAAATCCCGCGCGCGAGAACTCGTACTCGGGTTCGACGACCACCCCAAATCGTCGGGCTACGCGTGCTTCCGGGCGTTTTTCGAGGCGGCGCACCTGCGCGGTGACCCGCTGACGGCCGAGTTCGTGGAGCGCGAATGCGTCAACATCTGGATCGGACGCGACAAACACCTGGTGCAGAACACGCTGCGCAACGGCGCCGAGGTCAACTGGATCCTCACGCACAAGGACACGGCCGACATCCAAGAGTCGTGGTTCCAGCCGGGCAACATGCACGAGGTGCGCCGGCTGGTCGAGGACTGCGACCCGCGCATCGCCGCCGTGGTGCGCAAGACCGACGCCTGTCTGGACTGGAAGATCTGCTACCGCGACCCCATCCCGACTTGGGTCAGCAAGAACCATCGCGTCGTCTTGGTCGGGGACTGTTGTCATCCTCATCTGCCCACCAGTGCCCAGGGGGCCAGCCAGGCTACTGAGAGCGCGGCCGTGCTGGCGCAGTGTTTGCTGCTGGGGGGGAGGGAGAATATTCCATTGGCGGTATGTTCTTTCTCTTGACTCTTGACTCTTATTCTTGTCTTGATTTTTAATTCTTGAGTCTTGATCTTGAGTCTTGATCTTGAGTCTTGGTCTCAACGCTTCGAGTTACTGCCCAGAACTAGCACGGTCTTCTTCCTCTTCCTCTTGAGTCTTGATTCTTGTCTTGATTCTTGTCTTGATTCTTGATTCTTGATTCTTGATTCTTGATTCTTGATTCTTGATTCTTGATTCTTGATTCTTGATTCTTGATTCTTGATTCTTGATTCTTGATCTTCAACGTTCGAATTACTTCCCGTAACTAACACGAATGGAACTCAACAGACCCGAGTCTACGAAAAGATCCGCTTCCCTCGCGTCCGTCGAGCCCAGACCAACGGCGAAGACGTCCGAGACCGATGGCACAGCGCATTAGACAAAGTGCGCGACGGCCAGGAGATTGAGCGAGATAGTATTTTGATCAAGGTGAGTCTCGGGTCTGTAATTAGATTCAGTTGCCACGTCGGTGCTGGTGTTGCGATTCATGAAATTGTATACTCGACAAGCCTCCATGAATTCTGTATACTCGACTCGACTATATAGTACACATTACCCATACCCATTCCCATTACCCATTAACTATTCCCCATTCCCTATTCCCCATTCCCCATTCCCCCCATCCGATCCGATCCGCCCCAATTCCGACTTCTGACTTCTGACCATCTAACCCATCAGAACCACGTCCTGTACGACTACGACGCCGAAGCGGACACCAAGAAGCGTTGGCCTGAGTTGTCGGCCCTGGTGAGTGAGGAGCTCAGGACCGGCCAGATCACGCCGTTGTGTTGATGAGATCTCATTCATCACATCACATGCTGTGTCATGCTGCGCCATGCTGTGCCATGCTGTGCCATGCTGTGCCATGCACTGGAAGTGGTAGTGGCAGCAGCAGCGGCAGTTAGTGGTGGTGCTTTATTTAGTTAGTTGGTTAGATCATATATTATGCCATCCATCCATCCATTTGCGCACTCCCAGCCTTTTCCTTTGATCAGACGGCTGGTTTACCTAGGCATACTATATCTGTACACTATATAGCCTGGGCTTAGGCTCCCCCAATACATATCCCTTTGATGGCCAACAAGGAACACTTTGACGGCATTAATGACTACAGACAGACAGTACATACAAGGTTCAGAACTCTTGACTCTTGACTCTTGACTCTTCGCTGTCTATAGGATGTAGGTGTATAGGATCAGATGGATAGACCTAAATACCAAATACTAAATGACAGTCATCTAGATACACGTGGTACCAGTACATCTGAATCTGAATCCTGGTGTTTCACTTCGCTTCGTTTCGTTTCTTTTTTTCGTTGTCCAGTCTATAGATCCAGGCTTACTTACTTGTTGGCTGTCCTGCCCTGTCCCTCCCTCTCCTCTCCTGTCCTATCCTTTCCCAGCTCCTGTTTGATTCCTAGGCTCTACTGTTCTGTAGCAAGGACATAGGAAGACCGATAAGATTAGTCTATTTCTCTACCTCCTAGGAATAAAGAGAGACCGATGAGATTCGTTTGTTTCTCTACCAGGAATAAGAAGAGAGGATATGTGAAGACCGATGAGATTAGTCTGTTTCTCCACCATCAATAAGAGAGACACACAGAGAGAGACAGAGATCACAGTTTCGGTACCACCCCATCAATCAACAAATCCCGTCCATCGCCATCCAAGATCTCCCAGCCCTGACCTCTAAACCGACGGCCCCAGATCCCATTGCGGCCCGGCGCCAGGATGGAATTAGGATCGAGGGCGTCCTTGATAGACTCGTTGAACCGGCGCAACGCCCCGCCGTTCCAGCTGTACGACTGGGCGACCTGGTCGGCGAACAGCAGATGGGTGCGATACTCGCCGAAGCCGCGGGCGGCCGCGTGGCGGATCAGGTCGCGCATCAGGGCGATGGCGCGGCGCTTGGCGTCGCGGTCGGCCCGGTCGTAGACGATGTTGGCGATGTAGTGCATCTCACGGGCCGCCACGCACATGGTCGGGAACAGGTCGAAGCCGTGTTGGGCGTGCAGCTGCGCCACGAGGTTGTGGATTGCGCTGGCGGTCGTCCCTGCGCCTCCACCTCCGCCTCCACTTCCACCTCCTCCTCCACTTCCACCTCCTCCTCCTCCTCCTCTGCCTTCGCCTCTGCCTCCTCCTCCACCTGCACTTCCCCCTCCGCCCGCCGTCGGCACAATGGGCGAGAAGAACAGGTGCGCCGCGTTCGGCACCCAGTTCAGCCAGTCCAGCTCGCGCAGCCCCGGCTGGCCGCTGCACACCGCCACCCGCGAGTGCAGGTAGTGGTCTGCCGCCACGTCCGTCGGCAGCAGGAATCGGCTGTCTGGGATCTGGGCGAACGCCGCGCGCACCGTCGCCAGCTGCCCGGCGATGCTGGCCGCCGTGTCGCCGTACTGCGTGCCGTAAAACACCCACGACACGTCGCCTCCGCCTGGTGGGAAGAGCGTCGACGCCCTGGCGCGGATCACGTCGCGAGGCATTGGTTTCTGGTACTGCCTTGGTTGAGCTTGACCTTGAGCTTGACCTTGGTCTTTCGATTTCCGTTGAGCCGTCTGGCTGGTGCCGCCCTGCCCCCCCTCATCCTCGTCCCACCAGAATGACCGCGGCTTCCCCGTCACCGCCAGTTCCTGGATGACATGGCGCAGCTGCGGGATGTTGCCGAGGATGCGTTTCTGGGCCAGCGGCCGGATGATGTCGACGATGCGCGCCAGGTCGTCTTCGCGCGCAAAGGTGATCATGTACGACTGGTGGCCCGTCGCCGGCATCAGCCAGAACCCCATCTGCGTCACGATGCCGTAGTTGCTCTGGCTGAAGATGCCGTCGATGTACGGGCCGTATGCCGCCTGAAACGACTGCCACGTCGGGTTGGGGACGTCGGCCGCGCCGTCTCTGGCCTGGCTGTCTGTTGCGCCGGAGGAGTTCTGTGGCTGTGGCTCTGGCTGTGGCTCTGGTTGAGGCCCCGGCATCGCTCCCATCCCCGTCCTCAGCACTTCCCCCGACGGCAGCACCAACTCCATGCCGCAGTGGTTGGCGAAATGGTCGCCGTACGGCGTGTAGCCGACGCCGCGATCGATGGCGTTGCCCAGCACACTCCCGCCGCCGAGATCCGGACAGTCGATCCAGAGCGGCAAGCCTCGTCGCTGGATCTCCTCGTACAGGGCAAAGTACGACACTCCAGGCTCGACCACACACGACGCGTTGTCGCCGTCGATGTTGACGATGCGGTTCATGCGCCGGCCCAGGTCCACCACCACCGAGCCGGGCACGCGCGGCGCCGCCCCGCCGTAGCCGATATTGCGCCCCATGGAGATGGGATAGATGGGCACCTGGTGCTTGTTGGCCCAGCCCACAATCGTCTGCACTTCGCGCGTGTTGCCCGGGTACACCACCGCGCTGCAGACCAGCTCTTCTTGCTCGGCAATGTGGTATGCGTCATGGGTGTTTCTGGATCAGAGTCAAAGTCAGAGTTAGAGTCAGAGGGGAGGAAGTAGATACAGTTGATTGAGCGTCAGTTATGGAATGGTGGGTTGTGCTGTGTTTACTTACGGGTGTTCCATGTACCAGCCATCAACCAGCGGCCTGTCCGTGCCGTTGACCTCGACATTCTCGTGGCCCAGAGCATCTTTCAGTTCGGCAATCGCCCGATCGAATCCGGCCTCAGACACGCCCGGCGGCAGAGCCTTCTTCTTCCGCGGCACGCTGTCAGGCACCGTCTTCTGCGAGTACAGCCTCGCCTTGGCGTCGACGGCTTCTTGTTGCAGGCGAGCTGGGACGCCGCTGTATTTGGTGGTCAGGCTTGGGATGGGATTTTGACCTTGATCTTGCCCTTGCCCTTGCCCTTGCCCTTGACCACTCGACGCTGAGCCCGAAGTCGGCATCGTGCAGGTTAGGTTCGCTTCGGTTTTCCGTATGTCGACGCACCGTTTAGCACACTTTCGCTTGTTCCAAGGCACCGTTTGGTGGAGACTCAACCCCTCGAAATCGACACGATGATCGATCTCGTGAAATAAACAACAGATACGGATGATACACAGCAAGAAGAGGCGGTGTCGTCGCTCCCCTGCCCCGCAAAAGAGTCGAGCACTCACCCACTCGCCCTGAGACTGATTGCAGATTGCAGATTGCAGAGTGTTGATTGTTGATTGTTAATTGCCGGTCTCAGTTTCCAATGGATCCATTCCTTCATGATCGTCCATTCCATACATACCCAACCAAACCACTCATACTGGCTGGTCGGCGTAGGTACGGATGGATCTGCCCCCTCTCCCGAGCCACAGTGTACGTACTGTACGCCAGGGTCGGCACTGGTCTCCAGGTGGGTATTTTCCATCTCCATCTCCATATTGTTTGGGGTGAGGGGAGAATGTGGAGGGCTCAGGCGGCTCAGGTTCAGGCTTGGCCTAATGCAGTACAGCATACAGTATGTTCTGTGAGCCAACCACAAGATCCTGGGAGTATGGGTCCTTGTGGCTAGCTACAGGATAGTACTCCGTACAGCACAGTACTCCTGTATGCCTAGCTAGCTAGCTGTCTTGTCGGGTCAGTGGAGTCTGGGCCGGACTGGACTGGACCCAGCTGGCCTCGCTCAACAGGCTCCAGAACTGGAGCGGGCAGGATCAGAACCGAGGATATGACCTGTGACCTGTGTAACCCGTAAGCCGTGTCATGTACGTACTCCGTACCCCGTCCAGCGTTTGTGGTCGGAAAACCCCCCATCATTCGAGCAAGTGGGTGCGTGATCCGAAGCAATGCGCAATGAGACGGACAAGGTGGACAAGATGGACATGATGGACACGATGGACACGATGGACACGATGGACACGATGGACGCAATGGACGCTGCGTGATATAGACAAGTCATGCCGTATCTCCCCCGAGATCTTGGAAGTTGCCTGCCACCTCCATATATATAGGTATAGGTATATATATGCGTGTGTGCGTGTGTCAATCTGTGTTCATGACACTGATATCCCCCGCAAATATGCCCGACACATGTCGCGCAAAACAAAGTTGACCGGTCATTAACTATCTGCCGAGAATCCTCCTCAGATGCGCACCTTGACTGTCACAGTCTACTTGGAGGGGCATGAAGTCCAGGCCGACTCTCGACGTTCCGATGCCCCCTCCATACCCGGTCGACGCCATGATGGGAGGATCGCGGCCTTGGATGCCGCTGCCGCTGCCACCGCCACTGCCACTGTCGGTGCGAGACTCTGTCACATTCTCAGTTGCAGCTTCGAATTTCTGCACTATCAGCCTGGTAAGGGTCCAATAGCTATCGGCCGAGGTCTCGAACCCGATTTCTCGCACCGCGGACCGTGACAGGCTGGCACGCGCTTCGTCCCACAATGTCTTCCAGTTGGTTAGAGCCGTCTTCATCGGTTCAAACAGGTGGGATGGCACGCTGCCGAGGGTGGCGGGTGATAACCGGTTCAGGGGGGTTCCCAGGAGGTGCTGCCAGCAGTATGTAAATAGCACTGTGGATCGGGCATGAATCTTATTTAGCGAAAATCCAATTTCAACGCATCAGTGGCCCCCGACGTGAACATAGGAGATTGATCTTCGCAAACAGACATACCGTGAATCAAATAAAGCATGTCCCAACAACACAAGGTTTCGGGTTGATATGCAGACATGAGCTCGTCCGGCTGCGTGAAAAGCCGCTGAAAGGCATCGATCAATTTCATTCGAGGGTGGGGGCATAAAGATCGTTGCAGCATCTCCGCATAACTGGCCAGGTCAAAGTATTCCGGATGACAGGGTAGCTGCAGATCCAGTTCGCCAAAACTGACCCGCGGAGGTACGTTATGGAAGATTCCCATGCCTGAATCCAAGGCCAGGATGATATTCATCGTCCTGGACGTGGGTGGGTGGATAGTCAGGAACCAGACACGCAAACAGCGCAATCTTGACGGGTAGGGGCATGCTCACCGAATCCGGGTTTCGTTCCGCACCCAGCGTTGGAACGACGTCTCGTCTGAAATGACCCCAGCCCTGGCGTGCTGTGCAGTGGGAAGCCCGAAGGATCTAGCAATCTGAATCATAATCAGAATCAGGAAATGCCGTGCGTGCCATGCATCTCAAAAGTACCACATACACTCAAGATGGTGCAGAATCTTTGCCGCCTTGACCTCCTTCGGCCGGCCAAGTTCCCGGAGAAGAATTGCATGACCACCATCAGGTATGCTCCTTGGAAGACCTGGAATTGATAGTCGAGAGTCTCCTCGTCCGGCGCCTCTGTAAGCATGAAGCTGCCCGGGGCTTCATCCCTCAGGCCGGGCAAGCCGAAGATATATACCTCCATGACGTCGAACAAACTTTTCATCCACACCACCTTCCCCGGGTCTGGCGAGTACATGGCGCCCAGAGCGGCGGTCGTCAGGAGTAGAGGGATTGGAGCCACGGTGGGCCGGAAGGATGGCCGATGTAGTATAGGGCAATGAGGATGATAGTTGGTGAAATACAAGTTGATGCAATGGTCTATTTCCGTGTGGGTGAGTCGCTGGATGGCCGGGCCCAGATGCGGTGTGTTTGGATCTTCTGGGTATTCCATGGCATATCTGGACGCCGTCCCGATCAAGAGCTGCCGGATTTCGAATGCACGCGGCTCAAGGCTCAAGGCTGTCGGAGACGAGACTTCACCACCGCTAATCACCTGTGACAGGTCGTGTTGCAAAGGGAAGGAGCCGAAAGTCATGGTTTCGATTCCTCCCAGGAAGCTGTCGAAGGCCGTGTCAAAGTCGGGCATCTCGGCCCCGATGAAGACGTCGTTTGGTTCGTAGTCCTCGCTCCAATGCGAGGCTTCGGAAGAATCCTCTGCTTCACCCATCGTCGTCTCATCCTCTTCCCCGACCGGGCCTTCCGGATGATCGCGAATGGGAAACCGTTCGGTAAATCCGTCGCCCTCAGGAGCATTGAGGAGATGATGGATGGGTATCGCCTCTCGACCCTTCAGTCTCGCCGGCTCCTGTACCTGGTGGGGACTTGAAGCTAGACAGCTTCAGATATTACATCCTAGAAGCCCAGTTTGGCGGATACTCACATCTGATGCACTCCTTGCCCAGTTCTTGGCAACGGCTACAAGGCGTGAACTGATCGCATTTCGTCCTCAACTTGACGCACGAAAGGCACGAGGACCTTTTCCTGCCTTTGCTCTGACCCTTAGGGACCGGTGCTTCCCCCCGCTCTTTGCATCGGAACTGATGTGCTCGAAGGACGTCGCTACAAACAGGTCAGCGGGTGCTCGTCCCGTCGACATTGTGTGCTGTTGTTACCTTCGCTTGAAACATTTCGAACAGAAGGTGCAAATGAATGGTCTTTGTGCGACATCTAAGCCCGAACTTTAGAATGTGCAAGCTGGAAGTGGGAATAGACGTCACAGACGTTGCTGTTGATGCCGCATCATATGAGCTTTCCTCACAAAGGACTTGGGACATGATGGGCAGTGAAACCTCTCGTGCCACGGAAGGGGTTGGTCCATGATCCGGGCAGTCACGACAGGCCAAGGTTGGGAGTAGAGTCATGAGACCGACGTTGTGGGGTTGGGTGTCGTCGACAAGGAAATTGACGGCCCTGGACCTCGCTGTAGGCCTCATCCATGAGGCAGCAGAGGCGGCGACACACGGCTACTGGCTCTCCGTCATGGCGGCTGGAATGTTGGTCTGCATACGCATAAGATGAATGGCCTCGAACACGAAGAAGATGAGCGTGCCTCAGTGGGGTGTCGAAGAGGTGAGATGGCAAGTATGATGGAGAGATTCCCCGGAAAATCAACCGCGACGGTGCCCTAGTGGGCGAGCTACTCTCGGAGAGTTAGACCTAAGCAGACAAATCCGGGCGCATCTAGGCGGCAACCAATGCGAGTGAAAGGGCGGTTGAGACATGCACCAGCGCGCCATGGTACGTGACTGGATTAGTTTGGGGGCCGGACCAAGATCCAGGGAGTCGACATTCCAATTCCAGTTCCAGTTCCAGTTCCAGCGCTAGTGCCAGTTCCGAATGATGAAACCGTGAAGTTGAAGCGGGCGGCGGGGTGAGATGGTGAGATGATGAGATGGGGAACGCCAAACTTCCCCGTGGGCGCCTGCGGTTGCCGTTGATTTAGCCTCTACAGCTTGGGGCTAGTGCCTTGGCAAGTGGTTCTAGACTGCTCTAAGCCAGCACAGCTGGCCAATCTACACAGCGTTCTAGTCCGAACCCGCATTAGCCGCCGTTGGTTCCCGGACACTAATCCGCTGTCCGAAGTGATTTAACCCATTGTGGCTGGGCCAATTTCTGATCCCTTCAAGCTTCTTAATCATCAATTTCCCAACGTCGTGCGCTGATGCAGTGCTGCAATGCTTGGTAGACTCCCTTTAACCGACCCCATGCTCGCCTCTACAGCCCTTTGGTGTTGGCTATCTCTGGGCCGACTTTTGTCGTTTCTAGTTGCTCGCGCCGGTGCCATATTCCCTCCATGCTCTGCTCCGAGGATCGGTCGCTCGAGGAGAGAGAGACCGTTGCACGTATGTATCTTGCAGGCGACACGCTATAAATACCTTTAACACCAACGATGGTTTCGTCGTCCTCCCGCATCCAAGCGATGTGGTCCCGCCAGAGTGCATGGGTTTTAGGGGGCCGTTGGAGCTCGGTCGGCGGAAGGGTTTCTCTGCGATCATTTCGAGCCTACGGAGTACAGAGTATGTATATGTACGCCCTCGTGCTCCTCGTTGATTTTCTGTCCTGCTCGTCGGTATCAAAAGTCGGTAAACGAGAAGGTCAGGATGCATGGTCACGCCACCATCTCAACCTTCTCTGTGACATCGTACACTTTGCCGTGCATGGCAATCCAGCACGATGATCGTCGGGAATTGTGTTAGGCACCTTTAGGCTCTCCACCATAATAAACCTGGAAGTTGAGGGCGGAGTACGGCGTACAGCGTAGGCCAGACCATCTTCTTTTTCCATAGCCTCTGCCAGCTCCCGTCATCCCACGAAATAGTGGGGGTTGAGCCTGCTGTACCGCCCCCACCCCACCAAACGGTACCCAGCCACTATGGGTCGGGTTTGCGGCAATCTCCTTCGAGATACGGATACTCTGTACGGAGTACAGATTCTGCATTGAGGCGAGTCCCCAAGCGGAACTGATCAGGACAGGGCTGATCTTGTCCAAGGGCGCTGGGCTCGGCATCATACTCCGCACGCCAGACCCCTAAGCCGTGGAGTTGTAGAGGAGGCTGCCCGTCCCATATACTCACAATCTAAGCCTTTGTCACGAGGAGCAAAGAATTCTCAATATGGCTGAAGAGGTCAACGTGCTGCTATATGGGCTTGGGGCGTGAGTATTGTGATGGATCTGTGATCCATCTCCGGGTGTCATACTAACAACATCCACCGATAGGATTGGATCCTTCTACGCCTTCATCCTAGACCGATCCAAACGAGTGCGGTTGACCGTGGTGGCCCGGTCCAATTACGAAGCGGTCCAGAAGAATGTACATATATTTCGATCGAGGTACATCGAAGATGCCCATCCGGCTGACCGATGCTCCAGGGCCTGCACATCAAGAGCTTGAACCATGGAGATCATGTTGTCCGGCCTGCCAAAGGTACCTCATGCTCATTTTCTGTGTTCTCCAGCCAGGAAGTAAATTGATCCGTGTGATAAAGTCGTGAAAACGCCGGCCGAAGCGGGTGAGACTTACGACTATGTGGTCTGCGCGCACAAAGCTATCGACAACTCCTCAGTGCCGCAGCAACTCGCTCCCGCCGTCGACAGGAATAAGACTTGTATTGTGATCATCCAGAACGGCGTGGGAAATGAGGATCCGTTTCGGAAAGCATTCCCCAAGAATCCGATTCTGAGTTGCGTGGTATGTCCTCGGTTCCCGGTCGACAAACTCGCGAGCTGATACTGCGCGTTGAAGACATGGGTGGGTGCCATTCAGAGCGCTCCGGGTGTTGTAAACCACACCACGTCGGAGAACACTCAGATTGGCATCTTCCCCGCCGGCGACGCATTGGATCCGGCGGTGGAGAAATCAAGACTCGACGAGTTCTCCTATTTGCTGCGAGAGGGAGGGACGCCTTTTACCGTCGAGGATAATATTCAGGTGCAACGGTGGGAAAAGGTGGTCTGGAACGTTGCGTGGAACTCCCTGACCACGCTGACCATGCTTGACACTCATGCCTGGCTCAATTCATCGCCCGATTCGACGGCAATGACCCGGAGGCTGATGCGCGAAGTCATCGATGTGGCACAGAAGTGCAACGTGCCCATCAAGTATGAGCTCATTGACCAACTCGTCGACAAGATCTTGGCTATGCCACCCATTGGAAGCAGCATGCAGACCGACTGTAAGATGGGCAGACCAATGGAAGTGGATGTGATCTTAGGAACTCCCGTGCGAAAAGGAAGAGAGCTGGGTGTTGACATCCCAATACTAGAGGTTCTTCATACACTGTTGGTCGCCATCAACACTCGATTGAAGCCGAGTTGAGAGGGTCGAGTGTAATGGGCCGCCCACCAAATGCACGATATCCTAAGCCATGCCTGTAGCATCCGGTATGCAGTCATCTTCTCATGCGCTCCACATGTGTACAGCCCCCCTCTTGCCCAAGTTCTATGCGCAGCATGTGCCGATGGGTCTGTCTGATATCGAGGGCTCGTTACTTTGCATACTGTTAGATCAGGGGAGAAGCGGGGTATCCAGTGTACAACAGGGTAAGATAACCTCGCAGTCGGGACTGAGAGTTATATTATTGGTAAACACCTTGACGTCGAATCCAATGCAATGTGGTTGACGAGATCTGGAGGTCGACGGCGTTGTAGAAACCTCGGCGCAGTTGCCGTTGCGGTTACAGACGGACCACGTGATTAATGTACCTGGGAGGATGCTTAGGGGCGAGCCAGGAGTCCGGGATGCCTAAGGCGATCAACATAGCCGCCGTCTAGGGGTCGTGTGCGGCGAGGGTCCGAACTTGATACCTCACATGAACATAAGTATGAGGCAAAGGCGGCCTACTCACATCTACTGTACATGGTGTCCTAAAATCGGCACTGTACACACCTGGCTAGATACCTAGATACCTACCGGCCACCCCTCCTCTAAGTCTCGTTACCACTCCTGGATAGCCCCATCAGGCCCATAGAACTCTTTACACTGCCAGGGCTCGGTGGTCTTCGCAATCCGCCTGACGACATCTTCATCAATCTCAATCCCTAGACCCGGACCCGTTGGGGCCTTGACATAGCCGTCCTCGATGTCAAAGACGGACTGATCGACCAGGTACGTGTTGAGGTCTTCCTCACCCGCCTCGATGTTGTAGTGCATCCCAAGCGACATTTCCTGGATGACAAAGTTGGGAATGCTGAGCGCGACCTGGATGCATGCGGCCAGAGCGATCGGGCCCAAGGGACAATGCGGCGCGATGGCGACGTCGTAAGCCTCGGCCATGGTGGCGATGCGCTTGGTCTCGGAGATGCCGCCCGCATGCGCAATGTCGGGCTGCAGGATGTCGATGCTGGCATCCTCGAGGAACCGCTTGACGTCCCATCGCGTGTACAGCCGCTCTCCTAGAGCGATTGGGATCGTCGTACTGTCGGATAGCTGTTTGAGTCCTTCCGGGTGTTCGACCAGCAATGGTTCCTCGATGAATAACGGCCGGTACGGTTCCAGTGCCTTGGCCAGCTGTTTCGCCATGGGCTTGTGGAGGCGGCCGTGGAAGTCGAGCCCGGCGTCCAGACCCAGCGCTTTGACGGTCTTCAGTCGTTCCACCGTCGCGTCCAGCACGGAAGGGGAGTCGAGCCAGTTGATGCCTTCAGTTGCGTTCATCTTGACGCACTTCAGACCCTGTGCTATGCGGGCTTTGGCGGCAACCTCGATGTCCTTCGGCCGATCACCACCTATCCATGCGTACACTTGGACCTTGTTGCGGACTTTACCCCCGAGTAAGCGGTAGATGGGTACGTTCAGCCGTCGGGCTGAATCGAACATGTCAGCCAGATCGAGGGGTAGAAAATGCAGCTGGAGGGAGTCCTTACCCTTGAGATCCCACAGTGCAATGTCAATGCCAGACAGTGCGGACATGAAGACAGGGCCTCCACGATAGAATCCTAAGCGCCAGATCGTCTGCCAGATATGTTCAATGTCACTTGACCAGGGATGTTTGTTAGCTTTCTGGGAGTCGGTCTCAAATAGCTTTAACTCAAGAACAAGGCACGTTGAGCTACCAAGACAAAAACAGAGTGCGATCCGATACTTACTCAGCCTCATATCCAATGATCCGATCAATGATCTCGTCTAGTGCCCCTTCCACAGCCTTGGTGTGGCCTTCTAGCGTGGCCTCTCCCCAGCCATAGCCATCGTCATCATCTGTGATCTTGACAAACAACCATCGCGGCTTGACGCGGAAATACTCAATACTTTTGATTTTCGGAAGTGGCACTGCAGGGACTTTGGGGACCTGGCCCTTGGAAGTGCCGTTCAAGGCTTTGAGCTGGTCCGTTGCCATCTCGACCAACGTCAGTCAGATCAGTGCAGCAAGTGCTAGGAAGACAAGGGATGGATTGAGTGGGATAGCTGTCTTGTCATCAAGGATCAAATCCAGGTCTGGGTTGGAGACAGGATGCCAATAAAAGTTCCCGGCATCGTACCTGCTGAGAAGTGGCAACGTCGACGCTGGCGTGACCATCCACGGGCGGACCGACTTTGAACCGAAGCGCGAACAACGGCGCAGCCCCGAAGCCTGAGCCCCTCCATCAGCCATCAGCCATCAGCCATCAGCAATCAGTCCCCAACCCGGCGAAACCCCGATACTTAACCCCCACTCCTCCGCTCTAGGCTAAGGGACCTTAGAGCCCCTTAGCGCTTGAGCCTCGGGCCACAACGCCGGCTGAATCGATGTCGCGCGGGGGTTAGACAATGGCCTAGGAATCCTCGTCCGTAACTGGTGTCATCCGGCGTCGCTCCTGTCTGCGCAAACGGCCAGACTGCAACTTGACTGGCCTGCTCTTTTCCTGAAGCCACTGCTTGAAGGATCTCTTGCCCCGGATATCGTGGCCGCCCCCACCCCTGGAAATCGGCGGAACACGATAGAGGACGGCTGTAGGCTGACGCTTGTTCTGCTCGGGGAAGGGTGAGACATAATTAGTCCCGGTAGCAGAGCATCTCCTCAAGGGACAATGCCCGGTATCTGTCTGCTTCATGCCGACCATTTCAACGCCCACGTCGCCCGCGGTGGCATGAAATGCAACGTGAGAAACCCCCATCATGTCGATTTGGGCATGCTTGATCAGGTATATAACCCTTTTGCGAGCGAACCACCAAGGTCGGGAAATGAGCATTTGACTCCGTGGGATGGTGCAACTACGATCCAGCACAACCTCCTCACTCCCAGGCTCAGGCTGTCCACGGAATCTGCCGAGTCATGACCGACTGGCACCTCTCAACAACATGATCGCGTTGCGCAAGAGTTCGGCACCCTCATGCAACAATTCCCATCTCGAATCACGAAATGCGGCCTCCAGAATTACCAGCACTCCTACCACGTTGTTTCTTCCATCCTTGATCGAGTCCAGGTGTTGTGGAGTTTTGACTGCACCCACAGTCTGCAGGAAAGCTTGAGCGTCCTTGACGACGGCTTCTACAGGGAACTCACCGCCATCATGTGCCATGGTTAGCATGGAGTGGTTGGAACTGTGGGAAAGGACCGAAGCTGCGCTTGGAGATGCTGCAGGCTGAAGGAGGCTGGGGAATGGTTGGAGGACTCCATCCATTGCGAAGCCATATGACCAGACCACAAGGGCGGCGTAGTACAACGTCCATGGCCTCACCGTCAGATGGTCGTCACGAGCATTGTACAGCTTCCTCGAACCATCTTGACCGGGCAAAAGCACCGATCGCAAGAGCTGGAGTGCATGCCACACCCCTATCTTGGCACTGCCGCCTTTGGCCCAGTCAAAGACCTTGCACTTGACTCTTTCATAGTCGGCATTGGTGACGGTGCGCCCAAACAGGCGCTTGGTGCCAGCGAAAATTTGACAGTCCATAATATCAACATGCATGGCAATGTGGCTCAGGTGATGGAGCACATCAGCCGTCTCTGCCATGTCCCTATCCCCTGGGCGGCCGCTGTCATTCTTTTGCCAGGGAAGAGCCGCCCTTCGCATATGCTCAATGTTCTCGTCAACGTCCCTTTTCCAGAAGTCAAACGCCTTGGTAAGCGGGGTTCGCCAGCCATCGGGGACGCCCATTGTTTGCGAAACACCAAGGCTAGAGACCTGGAGGTCTCTCTGATGCATGTGCCAAGAGACGGAAAGCAAGCCCGCCATCAGGATTATCCTGCCAAAATTGTTCGTCCGGACTTTCCGACCAGTCAGTGTCTTCTTGAGGCCGTCCAGGAATGTGGTGGGTTTGATCCCGTTGGCATGTAAGCTAGCTTCTACCCGACCGACCTCGGCAGCAGATGTAGCTGACCAAAGGGCGTCATCACACGGCAAAGGCAACCGGATTTCGTGGACAACCATCATCGAGGCGTGGCCAAACATGGTGGCATGGACGGCGTCGAGATAGAACGCCGCGTAAGCGGCACGGCGGGTGGCTTCTGCGGTGATCCAACGACTCCACCATTCGTCCGGAGTAGAAGGGATGCGGGAGGCGTCTGGACTGACTGTCTCGATGAGGGCTGTCCCACGTCGCATCAAGTTGATGGTTGTGGCATAGTGGATGTGCGAGCGCTCGTGGAGCAGTCTGTTCGCCCTCGTCTTCTCGTAGATTTCTAATAGAAGCAGTGTCTGAAAGACCCACAATTTGGCCGGAGGGTGGAAATCGTTGTGCATGAAAACCTGCCAGCGCAAATGCCACGCAATGAAGGTGGCCAGGCGGGCAGCCGCATCCGTCACTGCTCGTCCATGGGCTTTGTTTAAATACGACGCGCCGATGGCCATTACTGCCAGAAGGAGGTATTCGTGGATAGCGTCCGCCGAAAAGGTTGGTTGATGCAGAATAGGCATCTGGGCGTGGAAATGATACCAGTAAGAGCCGATGTAATGTCGCATCGAGCGGATGCTGAGGACGTGTTCCTCTGCATCGACATTGCCCTGGAAGACCTCTTCCCGAAGCTGTCTGACGAATGAATTGTCTCCCTCGTTGAATCGAGATCCCATCAAGGTGATTAGGGACTTTCGCTTTGCGTGCGACAACAAATTGCTGTCTCCACTGAGCTCGGGGATGTTTCTTACTGATTCTGTCGACCGCGGCTGGGTCATCACCGGGTAGGCGTTCTCCAATGCAGGATCGGCAAAGTAGCTGGGATAGACAGCGCTACCGAAACTGTCGGCAGGGTCTGCAAAGCCGATCCCTCCTTGACCGGCCATCGAGAATGGTGCCGTGTGCAGACCCCCAGCATCTTCAAAGAGCCAGGCAGTGAATTCGTCCCTGATGGAAATTGGCGAATCATTGAAAGTCTGGTCGCCGAGACTAGGGATGGAATACGTTGTAGCAGGATTCTCTTGTGCCTGTTGCTCAGCTGTTGCGGGTGCTATGGTGCCATTCGAGCGTGTCGTTGTCGTGTTCAGGACTGTAGGGTTAGTATGGCCGAAGACACTTTCGGAAAGACTGTGCGACCTTTGCAGGGACAGTGAAACATCTGTTTGCATCTTGTGCAGAGAATAGTTGCCGTTCGGTGCGGAGGCCTGGAAAGCAGGATCAAGATTTTGTTGCGAGGCGGTCCGACGCGGCTGAGCAAAGCTCTGAGAAGTAACATGGCTATTTATTCCGTTCGAATCGGGCCTTGATGGCTGTATGATGGCTTGAATGTCTGTAGGCTTGAGCGGAGAGTGTGCTGAGAAGGAGGCTCGTCCGAAAGCCGGGGATTGCAGAGCATTGGAGGCCGGAGATCCAGTATCCATGGCTGCTTCATCGCTTACCGAGGACCTAGGAGATAGGGGACCATTCTGGCCTGACCATCTAGAGTTTGCCTTTGCTCGAATGCCGTGACGCTCTCTGTGGCGAGCGCAGAGGTCCTGTCGCACGAAGGTCCTGCTGCATCCGGCATAGTCGCACTTGTAGATCTCCTTCGGATTATCTGGGACACGGTTAATCGGGGCATTGGGCGATGAAATCTGGCTGAGATGGGCGAACATACGGTTTAGTTGGTGGCGGTAGAGGTGCTCTGCGCGTGAGTAGTGTCGCCCACAGCCGGGATATGTGCATTCAAAACGGCGTCGAGGCTCAGTTCTACTCGAGCGGCGTCTAGGCTCGGAGGAGGCACTGATATCCGTCTCGGATGGCTGGTTCATGTCTGGTGCGGCGACGGACTCATCTAGACGCAGGCGCTTGGGTTCAGACATGGTAGAGTCTCAAAGTTAGCGAATCAGCTTACATGGTCGAGGAGAAGCCATGCGCAGGAGCGGAGGGTCAATCGCAGCAGACGGGGGGAGCCATGGGGGTCGCAATTGCGAAGGAGCGGAAGAACAGCCCGGGAAATCGATATGAGTTGTAGATCTCGTCTGCAAGGAGGGAGCTGGTAGAGGGAGCTTGTTGGGCCGGTATTGCGGCCAAGATTGCCGGGTCGGAAGCTGTTCGGTTAAAGAGGGAAGCGATCAAAGAGTACAGTACTGATATACTATACGGAGTACACAGGCTAGTGGGAGGAAAGAGGACAAAGGGAGCTCGCCAGTTTCAGCCGTTGCAGCGCAGTGTGATGCGGACTCCGAGTTCTCCCAGATTTCCCCCGCAGTCCAAATCCGACGAGCGCCTGTGCCTGCGCCCGCACCTGCGCCTGCCTGCGTTGGGTGCTGGGACAGAAACTGCGGGGGCTGAGGCTGGGATTCCATACAATGCAATGTACACTGTACATACAGTAAGGTACATATCTGAGGTGAAGTACTAAGCTCGCTCATGGTCTTCTCAATACCTTGACATTTTCAAGACTACTCCATACACTACAAGCAGCACCTTCGACCAAACATCGCTGGAAATCCTAGGAGATACGTGGCAGTCGTCTGCCCCAATCATGAGACGGGAAACTCTCATCAGGCCAAGGTAAAGTGGTTTCGCTATCGTACAGTTTATTGATCTTGCCGAGTCTCATCTCGGTCTATCATGGCTCTAGCTCAACTTTGCCTATTTCAAAATGCCCGCTATCTAACGCTCAACGCTGCGAATTCGTCAACCCGTATTTGTCAAAAGCAACAAGAAGCGCCCCGATAGCGACAGCGACAGCGACAGCGACAGGGTTGGAGTACAGATTTCCCTTTATGAACATGTCGGCACCCCGATTGGTCCCTACACCAGCTTTCGAACATATTCCACAGGCCCGTCATACACATGTCGGGCTGTGATGAAGTAATGTAAAACAGCAAAGATCAGGACCGCTCCGAACATTAGGCAACTCCAGTTCATCTCCGCCGCTGTCGGCTTCGGATTACCCGGAAAGAAGGCGAAGATTTCCGCGAAAATGAGGAATAAGAGGCTGAATCCGTTCAAGAAGAGGCCGACTGGTCGAGAGAAGGTGAACTTGGCAGGAAGGAGTGGTTGGTTGGTTAATCGTCTCCAGAACATACAGCCAATGGAAACGATGTACGAGGCGAGAATGGCGACGAGGGACAGAGAGGTAATGTTGTTCAGTGCAATCGTCGAGCCGATATTGATGAGAGAGAGGAGACAAGACACCACGAAAGAAACCACAATACTATTCATGGGCACATCCCAGCCGGGTCGGACCTGTGAGAAATGGTTAGACGGGAACCCACCCACGACATAGCAAGGACACGTACATATGCAAACCATGCCGATCCAGGGACGCCCTGATCGCGGGCAAATGACCACAGCTGACGGGAGGCAGTTGCGGTGATCGACAAGTTGCAGAAGATCGCGTTGAAGATGACGAGCGCCGAAAGGACTGATGCCCCAGCATAAGACTGAGTTGCTGTGTAGAAGACGGCAATGTAGGGCTGCCCGGTAGGTGAATTGATGACGTCGTCGAGTTTGCCCAACGTGAAGCAAAAGGTGATGAGGATAATCCAACCCATTGCCCCGTTGAAGACAGTGGTGGCAATCATGCTTCGTGGCAGGACTTTGGAGGCGTCGCGAAGTTCTTCAGACATGTGAACGGCACCATCGGCCCCAAGCAGCGGGATCATAACGGCCAGAATGCCCACGATGGCAGAGAGACCATTCGACGACCACCCTCCATAGTTGTTGAATGTCGTGAAGACATCGTGGGAGGGGGCGCGTGGTCCCAGGACCCAGAGGGTGATCAGGACACCAAAAAACCCGAAGACGTGGACGATCAGCACAATTCCCTCCACTAAGGGGAGCTTCTTGACCAGAAATGTGTTGAACAAGACCGAAAATGAAGCGACGGCAAAGGTCAAGAGTGTCCCATGCCAACGTTCGGGCACATAATCCGGATAGTTCAAGATTGCCAACCCCTGGATTTGAGTACCGGCCAAGAACGCTATATGCTTCATCAGTCTCTGTCTTTCGAGGGGAATATGTGGCCATTGATTCGTCCATCAAATACGTAATGACCACCACCCGCTCCAGGACTGGAGTATGCTTACCTGTGTTGGCAGCACCAGTTTGCCATCCTAGAACGCAAAGCCATCCTGAACAGAGTTAGATATTGGCGGCTTGGTGTTTGGTTGCCTCTACTGACCGACGATAAAGCTCATGAACTTTTGGTGCTTCCTGGGCGCAAACTCGGAGACCCAATGGTACTGACCACCAGAAGTTGGAGCCCTGGATAGACGTCAGAAGATCTGGAGGCTGGGCGACACCGGCTACAATTTCTTACATGGAGCCCATTTCAGCCATGGAAGTGTTGACGGCCAAGAAGCCAATCCATGCAACCAAAAACATCCATATCATACCGGCAGTACCGCCATTGATCAAGCCAATAATGGATGTGCTGTGTCTAGATGTCAGCATTTGTGCTCCTCCCGAGTATCTTAAGGAATGGTGACTGACCCCAAGATGGTTTCCCAACTGGCCATGAGGATCATGGAAAAGCCGAAGATGGAAACAAAACGGAAATTGCGCTGATATTGTCAGCCAAGGTTCCACGACAGTCAGTAGGTGATAGAGCTCACACGCAGCTCCTGGGACTTGCCCAGACGATACATATCGCGCTGGTCATCAGCGGTGCCCTTCTTATCCGAGGGAACATTTTGACTTGATGTTTCTGGGTCGATCTGAGATGTGATGATCTCGCTCTGCTTTGGCTCCGCCATCTTGAAGATGGATGGGAATACTCACTCGCCCAAAGCGAGTTAACGGACAACAAAGAGAGGCTAGAGGTTCAAGTCTCGAAGAAATGTCAGTATACAAGAAAGCTCTCGTCGACGGCAAAAGACAGACTTCTGGTCGACAACTTGGAACTGCTGTACGTAGTACAGTGTAGAATGGAAATACTCGCGACAAGGGACCAGGGAGAATAGAAAAAGGAACGACTGTCCATGTGTCAAAGCCGCGCCCATGTGGTTGGTGCAGATCTTTACCCTTGGAAGAATGGCAGAAGCGAAAGGGCTCAATTTGGCCAAGGGCCTCCGGACGCTACACCAGACCAATGCATGCCCAGGAGGGCGGACGTCGCGGATAATGGAGAGGAACATTAACGTCAATCCAAGCCAGGGCCTCGAGTGGTGGTCGCCATTTGAGACGAGTGGTAGCCGATAGCATGTGGCGCTTTGGCCTCCTGGGCTTGAGCAAGCCAGGACGCTAGGACACGACCCCAAAGAAATCTCGATTCTCCCACGAGTCCTGGAGGTTCCTTCGATAACAAGAACAGCCTACTCCGTACAAAGCAAGCGGATCGGTTAATGGAGGGGAGTTCGTTGCAGGTTGGACTCTGTGACAGGAAGAGCTCCATCCACGCAAACCCACATCCCAGACTGCTTGATCATGCCACGGAAAGGCTAGCCATTTAGATCAATTTGGGTGTGACTTGCCATTGGGATTGACTAGCCATTGGCTGTGCTTGGATAGGTTGAGACGGGACAAGGCCGTCCAACTAGAGCAACCGTAACCTTCCACAATCCCATGATTGTGTGGCAATATCTCTCCGAACGTCCTGAGAGCAGCAGATCTTTCTCCAAATGTGCCATACTCCGTACGACAGAAAGCCAGGGTAGCATTTCTTTCGCTAGTGATTTTCGACCTCGTCCCCAAAGCTCCAGGGCCAGCACTCGAATGCCAGGCAGCGTTTCGGTAAACATTGTAGAGTTGCCACTAGTGACAGTCATCAATTGACGTAAAACCCCTGCTCAGGACATATCAAGGGGCTGTGGACAGAGCCAATAAAGAAGGGGGCTTCGGGGCTTCTGTGAAGCTGCCGGAGGAGAGGGCCTCACGGCCGTCGACACACAAAGAAATGGCGCAGAGGGGACATGGGTGCGTTGGCGAACTCATGTTGACGTTTGTGGCACTAATGTAAGGGCTAAGCGAGAGGTGGAAGCTTGCAACGAGAGAGAGGCCAGAAGTCGAAATGGACAGGGTATAGAGCCGAAAGAGTTGAGGCAAGGAGCTCACAACAGCTTGTCACTTGGAAGTTGGCAGTTGATAGTAGCAACGTCGGCTGGGGATTTGCACTTTGCAATGGTCCGGAGTTGGCATTACTAGCTCGGTAAGTGCCAGTACGGAAGACTAGTACCTAGCACTACGGGTATTATTGGGGCGCCACAGCGCGCCTCCGAGCTCCCGTGCCGGGCTGTAGGAGGCTAGGGAGGCTTCGAGGGAGCAGCCTAGCGCTAAGAGATCTGCCCCCCAGACTAGTAGTACATCCACCCCCACCACCCACTACCTCAGGTACCTAAACATGCCTAAACACACCTACCTAGAATCCTACAGAGTAGATAGTAGATACCCTGGAATGTCCTCACAGTTGCAGGTGGAAGTGCTTAGGAGGCTGGTCTCTGGCCGTGCAGTAGTATCAGCAGCCTAGCGCATCTTGGGGCATCTGCTGTAGCAAGTATGTGTACCACTGCACTGCACTGTCCTGTGATGGAAGTAGCCAACTGCACCTTTTCACACTGACATTGTGGATCTTTCCCTCTTCGGTAGCCGCTTTATGTCTCTTCCATGCGGCCTTCATGTTGGTGGACGTGTCAACAACCTGCTTCTCGCTGTTTCTCCCGTCTGCTGACCCCAACGACAAGGGTGTCTGTGTGGCTGACAAGCCACACTCACTACCGTGCTCCTCTTAGCCAGACTCGGGTCGCCCTGCCAGACCTAGGATTCCGCACATTCTTCGTCTCACCGAATGCACTGACGTCCCCCCTCCTCAAACGCGATACTGATGGATTGGATTGGATCTCGGGACAACTCACAGACAGTGAGCTTGGGATACCTCTTCGGGGATTATAGTCACCGTGGGAGGTCTAAATGTACACCATTTATGCCTTAACCAATTGTGCTGCAAGGGGACCTGAACCCAACAAGTAGGAGGAGATGATACTGTACAGAGTACACCCCAAAAGTCCCATGCCTCGATGTTGCTGCGGGTGGCTCATGGGAAGCGGCCAGTCAGTGTCGACGAGATAACCATCAGGTCAACCTCTCTCTTTTTTCTCAGAGTTGCTTCGAAAATTGACAGCTCTGGGAACCAATGGCAGGCACACCACCCTCCTAAAGCCTCGCTGGTTCTTCCGATTTGTGTACAGCTTGCGTCAGCGGCGCCCCTCTGACATTCAGGAGGTGCATCTTGTCCAATGTCCAGGCTCCTGATTCCCTGAACCTGGAAAGGTCGAGCTGATTGACAAAAGAAAAGCTGAACGGGAAGAATGTCGCGGCTTTCTCGCAACACCTGTTTTCAACGTCCGAGACTTTCCACTCATTTAGCTCTTGACACTAATGCAACATTGACACAGGATTAGCATCCGAGTGGCCGGCCGCCGTCGCTTTCGAACGCTCAAAATCAGCTTGAACCCTCTGTCACCCCGGGACCTACTCTGTAAGCGCTCAGACCGACCGCTAGGACCCCGTCAACCCGCCTTGTCTACTTGGCCACAACCGTTAGAAGTTTAGACTCAGGTGCGGAGCATCAAAAGCTGTCACTACACTCCTTGGCTCTTGGGCAGTCCATCCAACCCCATGCATGACATGCCCAGAGACGTCCGCAGTCCATATTTCTTGCGGAAAATGATCGGCACACCATTGTACTCAACTCCGCGCCACCTCATGATTTCCCGGAACGTTGCCTGACTTATCGGCATCGCTCCTGATCTCGTCGATCTCGTCCGAGAGCAAACTAACACATCGGTTCCTCAGATGGCGCCGGACTCTCATAGCTTTTGCAAATGGTCTGGTTCCTTTTTTAGGCTCCATCCGTGCCAAAGCGCATGTATGTAGAGACCGCCAGAGGCTACCAGGCTACCATGGTAGCAGGACTTCTGCTCCGGTAGGCAGGGGTCCCTGCACTTGGGATATCAGGGTTGGCTGTTGCTGCGGATAACGCACATCCTCGAGGTGGCTTAATCTTGACACCTCCGTCTTGAAGCCCGTGAAACGAACTCGACCCCCGGCCAGTTGGATTGTGTGGGAGGACGGAGTACGTACTTCCGCAATCAGCTGCAGACTGCAGGGACGTGGGGAGCCAGCATGTCGGAGTGCCTCTGGTCGTTCTAGCGTGCAACGACCAACGAGGTACAGGCAAGCCATCACACCTGCATCACAATCATATCATATTCATAGCCAGAGCCATACCTCGTCCCATTTCTCTTTGTTCATTCGATTCCAGCAAGCGTCAATATGGCAACTAACTTGGATCAACCCCGTTTCTCTCCCATCACTCCAGACGACCATGCTGGGTCGGTTTGGATTGCGGCGCTGCTATGTCTGGTCTATTCGGTCATCACGTTGTGCCTCAGAGGTCATCTGCGATGGAAGATGTATGGTGTGGACGATGGTCTCGCTCTGACTGCGACGGTCAGTCCAGCTCGTCGTGATCGATCTTTTGTTGAAGGCTGACCCTTGTCCAGGTTCTCCAGGTCGGAGAGGTGGTTGCGGTCATTGTCGGCCTCGACCATGGTCTAGGCAGGACCCAAGACCTCATTCGTGTCAGTGACCTAGAAGAGTCCAGCAGGGTAATGATTTCCAAGACAAAAATAAAAGGGCGATCGTTAACTTTGCGACAGGCAGCGTTTGCAGGCATCATACTCTTCATCCTCGCAGGCGCGCTAGCAAAGGCCTCGACACTTTGGTTGATGATGAGGCTCTTCAACTTGACTGGACCAAAGTCACAGACCGAAACGAGATCAAGAGCACTATACTGGACCGGCTTGACTCTGTTTGTCGGAATAGGCCTCTGGGGGCTCCTGTCCATTGTCGCAGTCTCAGTCGACTGTCGCACTTCGACCTTTATCCGAGGCGATCAGGGCCATTGTTCGCACCAGGTAATACAATTACAATCTGGAACCGCGCCGAGCGTTGAACTAATGGTGTACAGTTCTTGCGCTGGCAGCTCATCACCGCCTTCGACGTGGCGACGGAGTGCATTTTGGTGCTACTCTCCATCTTCACTGTCTGGCCGGTTCAGCTGGCGTTCTCCATGAAGTGCCAGGTCGTCCTCGCCTTTGCATTCCGCTTACCGTAAGTTGACCCCTAGGTTTTGGTCGCACCCTGGCTTATCGAGACCCAGGATTGTGGCGCTGTCGATTGTACACCTCAAATTCATCTCCGATTACACCAAATCCTCCAACCCGGGGCTTGCGCTGGTGACTCCGCTCGTGCTTCAACAGGTACAGCTATGCTGGTCCCTGATCGCGGCCACGGTGCCCAACCTCAAGGCTTTTGTCAAGAGCTTCAGCAGCGGGTTCGGCATTCGACTCGATCCTAATACTACGCGCATATACGGTTCCAGACGATACGGTCGAAGCAACGGCTATGAGCTGGGATCAGTACCTGGCCATGGCACCAACAAGTCCAAGTCGGATACGCGGTCGTACAACGATCTCGAAACACACTCCGCCCTCCCTCGACAAATGGACGACGGGAAGGCCAGGACAAGGGATCAAGAGTCAATAGACAGCGCTGGCAGCCAAGACCATATCATTCGCAAGGATGTGCAATGGAACATTCACTATGAGACCAACCAAGACCGAGTCTGACCGCTGTCAATGACGTCCATCCACGAGATTCATGTGATATAGCGTTTGGCGTGCTGGGGTTGGAGCAGGATTTTGGTGGTATGAATCAGTACTGGGGGTGCGGTCAATCAACTACATGGGCTTTCACGGAGTCTACGAGTTCTGGTGACGGGGAGATTGTGGTATATCTAGATACAGACAGGATCAAACAGGGTAAACGGGCTAGATGGGATGGTCATCTGCACAGAGTATGTACGGATACGTCGCCGGCGACCAGATTCGAGCAGCGACGAGAGTCGTGGCCAGGACTTGGCTTGACGGGGGACTGGTCCCGAGCTCAATCAATTCAACGTCGAACCTCGTTCTACGACTTGTTGACCACCTGCACGCCATGCTTGAAGTTGCCTCGTCTGTGTGTTCCTGCGTACTGCGTAGGGATATGGTGTGACCGACCCTCCCTGCTCAACCTAGATGGAAGCCTAAGGCTCGGCCATCTAGCGTGGGATGTGATGTTGGGGCGGTACCCGTGAATTTGCTTTTTGTGTGATGCCACCACCACCATGATCCGTCTATTTACTCGGTAATTAGGATCGCTTCCCCTGGTTTGACCGGGATTGAAAGAGTCTCGACTCTCGCCAGGTAAGAGTACCGAGTATCCTTAGTCTGTGAGTGTGCGTGCTACTAGTAGGATGTGATTACCAACACTCCCTACTCCGTACTAGTGACCAGGCCACCTTATCTCAGGAGGTTCGAGTCAGGGTCAGGGTCAGGGCCAGGAAAGCCTAAGTAAGCTGCTTCTCATGCAAGGGGAACTCGGTAACATGGGCTAAGGCCGTGTCGAGCTCGACCCCTTACAGAATACTTCCTCTGTGGCCCATCAGGACGGCTGCTGCAAGTCTAAGCTTAAGCCCAAGCCTTGTGGACTAGTATGGACTGGCGCAGGGACTGGGACTTGAACTGGGATTTGGACTGGGACTTGGACTGGGACTTGGACTTGGACTGGGATTTGGATGCTATCGAACACAGTTTCTGTCACAGGCCTTCAAACTCGCGCATGAAGAGATGCAATGTGTAGGACAGCACAGCACAGCACAGCACAACAGAGAAGTGTCACTGGCTGACTGACTGACTGTAGTAGACTACCTCAAGTGTAGCAGATGTATGTTCTCTGTTCTCTGTTCTCTGTTCTCTGTTCTCTGTTCTCTGTGCTGGTATCCGTACAGGTACGGTACAGAACACAGCACCAAGAGAGTTTGCTGCTCACAACCGACCATGTGGCTGGAGTGTAGATAGGTAGGTGTGTAGGAAGGTACAGTGAGTGGAAGTAACTTGAACCATCCACCCATCCACCCATCCACCCATCCACATTCGTTATTTAGCGACCTCGCTCGCCAACTTCCTCACTTACAAGGGTTGTGAGCGAGCACGGACTGCCAACTGGTGTCCTGGACATGTGGTATCGATTAGCATGATCTTTACATTGCACATGGCTCAGCTTGGTGTGGTTTCTTTATCTTCGTCTTTATCTTTATGACAAGGGTATGTGAGATGTCATGCGTGGGTCGGATCAGGCTCAGATCAGTGGGTGTGTCTCCGTACTGTATGGAGTACCTAGGTTGTCTATCAGATTCGAACGTTTGTCTGGACAGAGACAGAGACGGAGACATGGACATATACGGTAACAGCGCATCCCACTGGAATGTGCACTGACCGCGGAATACAGAGTATAAACTACAGAGAAGATACTCGTTAATATGTCTGCAGAGAACCGTGCAGTGCACAGCACATGGGAAGTGGTGACAGTAGAGCCTGAGCCTGAGCCTGAGTCTGAGCCCCTGTTGTCGCAGTCCAGTGTCTCTCGTAGCGACGTAGCGAACTACCTACCTAGCACTTATCGGCGGTAATTCATACAGTATCACATAGGTAGTAGATACCTACCTAGTAGTAGATACCTAGTAGATACCTAGTAGTAGATACCTAGTAGTCAGTAGTAGATAGTATGTACAGTATGTACAGTAGGTGAGTAGTATCCGACACTTCCCCGGCGCGGCACGCGGTTACGATTACGGGTACCGGTACGGCTTAAGGCCACGGCGACAAGCTACGCGAGACGAGACGAGACGAGACGTTCTAGGCACGGTTCGTCGAGCTGTGGCTCCTGTCGGTGTCGGTTCGTCAGATTGGAGGTTGGAGGTTGGTTGGGGGTTGAAACACACACACAGACACATGGGCCCTATCACACACCCCTATCACACTTACAGATAATTATAGACCATCGAGATAAGGTGGCTAAGGTGATTTAGGAACTAACTACATAGTAATGACAGTAGGTACATACTTCCTCCGTTAGGTACAGTACCTCGTACCTAGTACCTACCTTCCTAAGTACCTAGTACTTCAAGTTGGGACTGTCTTGTGTCCAGTGACCTGTAGAGTATGTATCAGGTACCGAAGCGAGCTGAACTATTCGACTGTAATGCAGGATACGGATAGGGGAGGTATGTACTACAGTACTGGGTACCTAGTAATTAACGGCTGGCAGTGACCGTGACCGCCCTTTCGTCGAAAACACCATCACCATCACCATCGATCCGTGCAGAGATGTGGATGGTGCACGGTGGATGAGGGACGGATCCCTTGACAGCTTTGACGGGTGTCTGTGCTGAGTGCGGACTGACTTTCGGCCAGCATGTCAGCATTGCGCAATGCCGTGCGCTCTGATCACTGATCACCACAGCTGAGTCTGACGGCGGGAGCTTCGTTTGAATTGCGTCGTGCAGTGTTGGCTCCCTGGGTAATTATCCGTGCTCTCCTCCGTACGGAGGTACATGGGTACTACCTACCTAGGTAGTAGGTAGTTACTAAGGTACCTAGGTACTGATGCTATGTGTCTTGTATGCCAAGTCACGGTGGCTTACAGTAATTAGGCCGACCGCTACTAGGACCACGGTTAGAAGACGAGGCGTTTTGGCCTCAAGCCCTCTGCAAGCCACAGGAGTTGAGCATGTTACACAATCCACCGTCCACATCACAGTCCACTCGCATCGCCACAGAACCGAGAACAGAAAACAGAAAACAGAAAACAGAAAAAAGAAAACACAGAACAGACAGCAGAAGACCGGGCCTGAGTCAGATCCGCACCGTACTGGATACTGTATCCGTACTCCGTACATACCCATCGAGCTTCACTCTTGGACAGTCGGGCTGCAAGGGCCAGTTGGTCGACGGTGCACCTATGATTGGAAGAAGCTTGGTTTGCTAGGTACGGATACTGTACCCCTACCTACCGTACCGACAGTCATCTTCGTCGTAGAGTCGGTCCGTTCCGAATACGAAGAGGCATCCCATCCCTGCATAAGGCACCTACTCAACTACGTATGCACATGCACATGCACATACGCATACGCATACGCATACGCATACGCATACGCATCTACCCACGTCAACAGCGATACCAATCAGCATACACCTGACCAGCAAGCCAAGTCTCTTCAATTCAGTCAGTCCTCAACCAATGATGGCACTTCCCTTGCAGACATCACTATCATCATCTCCATCCCCATCGGCGACCATGGCCACAGGAACAGGGAGCAAATCACTAGAACCAACACCGACGCCTCTCTTGACCACCGGGTCCAGCTCTACCACGACCATCTATACATCAAATCCAAACTCTGGGTTCACCCTCCGTCGTGCCAGGTTCGGCGACCTCAGCCCCGCGGCGCGCACGTGTTCGCTCGCCTTCTGGGACGACGTGCTCTTTGGCCGCGTGATCCATCCCCATCGCACCACGTATCCGGCTGATGTCGACAAGTACTGGTACCGCCGCTTTGTCGTCGACTGGTGGGACTGGAGTCATGTCTTCCTCGTCACCACCGAGACTGTGCTTGTGAGCGAGGATGAGAATGAGGGTGAGGACCAGGACGAGAAAACCGCCAAGGTCGGGCCCCAAGGACCTGAACAGCATCTAGGAGCGAGACCGACGCACAGGGCGAAGCAGAAGGAGATCGTCACCGGCTTTGCTCATTGGAGTCGTATCGCGCCCAGCTGGAGGAATAATTACCAGGCTGGTTGGGGCCTGGCGTGGTGGGATCCGAGTAAGTCGTCTCGCTGTATCTGTCTGCATCTGTCTCTGCATCTGTCTCTGCATCTGTCTCTGCATCTGTCTCTGCTCGCTGTTTGGTCTTGCATCCTATGCAGCCGTTTGGCCCTCCGCTCTGCCGTGCTTTGCTCCCCGTTGTCATTGCCCCGGCGGCCCACACATAGCGTCAGGACGCCTGGCGTGTCGTTGGAACAAAATGAGTGTAGGTCCAGTGTGACACCGCCGCCAGCGAAGAACATCCGGAGCTCGCAACCTCTAACCACTGCGGCTCGAAAAACAGATCCTTCTTGCATGGCGTAGCGCAACGGATGGTCGGCCCGTCCCTGGCTCTCCAGCGAGCGCTTGCTTTGGATGCTTTCCTCGCACTGATGAAGCGCGGGAGGCCTCCTCAAGCCCCGGCTCTCTTGTGTCGTTTCCTGCTAGCGTTCGAAAGCAAACGTTCCCAACAATGTCACGAAATCGCGAAGGAGCACAGCAGCTTGACACGCCGATGCGCCTCTGCCTCTAACCATTGTGACCCGACTGAGCGTGGCCCTAGGACGGGGCCGCCTTGGGCACACCACGCCCTGCTCAGATCCTATGGTGTTAATCCGCATTGTTTCGCCTCCGTTGCTGTAAGCCAAGAGACGGAGCAGTCCAATCCCAATGGCATCGTGAAGAACTCACGCCCAAGGCAGTGCTTTGTGTAGATGAAGTCTTACGTCGCTTCTGTTCTATAGCCCTCACCCAATCCCGACCATGTTTTGCGTCTCCTTGTCTTCCGTTCCGTGACCAGTGAAAACTAACTTTATGCTGGGACAGGACGCCTGCTCAAACCGCTAACATCCCTCATCACCCGGTTGCTCGGGTTCGTCTCGCCCAACCGCGCGGCGTCGACCGTGGACGAAGACATCATCGAACGATCCTACGACTTTCTCGATCACGTCTGGACCGGCGCCCGCGCTGAATCATGGTACCTCGAATGTCTGGCGGTTCACCCGTCCTTTCAGAACCGAGGACAAGGTCGCGCCTTGGTGGCATGGGGCCTGGAGCGGGCGAGCAAAGAACGCACCTCGGCCAGCGTCATCGCGGCCGATGGAAAGGAGAGGTTCTACCAGAATTGCGGGTTCAATGTCGGCCCTGTGGCGAGATCAGGCGAAGGTCATGGGAATCCGCTGCGCGACGTCCCGGGCGGCCTGGCTTTTTTTCGAGACAAGGATGGCGTTCAGATCCCGGAAAGAGAGCCGGGGACTTGGATGGCGGGCACGGGAGTGTTTGATTGGGTTGAGTGGAGGAAGAGTAAGATGTAGAGGCACATAAGCCTCGTGTTCCGGTTTCGTGTCATACTTTGCGATCAAGGATGACCGGGCGTTTAACGACTCCCTTCTCATGAGAGAGCTGTGTACCACCAACGTCTCTGCGCAGACACGGGAGAGAAAGAAGCCCGACGGGCAACTTCTGTGGTCTGGCAACAACTCGAATAACAGCGTAACTAACTGCCCTCGACCTTATGGCAGCTGTGAGTCAGAAAGAGAGACTCAACCTCGCGACTCTTATAGCGGCGTCCGCGTGGGATTCACAAGATGAAATGGAGAGGTTGGACAAGAATTATATTGTTTTCCTCCTGGCCGCGGCCCTTCATTCCTCGTTCGGAGGGTGTGTTATCTTCCATAACTCCTGCATGACCATCTTCACTCAGCCCAGCCGATTAGGGTATCTGTGACCCTTTTCCACCTATGGACTTTCTCGTATCATAGCCCTAACTATCCCCAAGGGCCCGGCAGGATCTGCTCGACGAAGAAAGACGATCGCGATGTGCAGGGCATGGTGAGAACACGACATCCCGTCGTTGGTCCGAGGATGCGACTACGGCAGTCATAAAGGTCGCGTCGGCGAGATATGGAATGGTCTGCTCTGTTCATGTCATCTTCCAGAAATCACCGAAGCTCAACTCAGCCTGCGCTGCGGGTGTGAGTAACACGGAAGAGGTTGCGGGTTTGACGCAGTCGGGTGTATCGTCATCCCCGTGGTCTGTCTCTGCATCTAGAACTGAGGTGCTCCTGATTCTGATTGTTTGGGACAGTCAAGGCAGGACAGCTTTGCAAATGCCGGGCACATAGTAGTGCTAAAGACCAGACCGGTGTGTGAAACTGACGGCCGGCGGAAATAGGCGGAGACGGCATTTGAACATGAGAACAGATGGCTGGAGACCTCCACGAGATATCAGGTTGTCGGGTCTGGAGTCAGTCCACAGCACAGCACCAGCCAGTGTCCACCGTCCAGTCCTGGAGCTTGCAGCAACTTGAATGAGTTGGGAGCAAGGGAAATGAAGCTCGGCTGGGGCGTGGGGGCGGGGTGTGGGAGCAGATTCAAACTGCGACTGCAACATCAGCCGCAGGACCCCCAACCTCCAAACCCCCAAACCCCCACTACCTCCTGTCGGTCAGGGTGGGGGCGGCAACCTGGCTTGGGCCGAGCAACTCCCGCTCCTACCTCCTCGTAGTAAGTAATCACCTACCTAGTACCTATACGGAGTCCATTACCACCCTTCTTACCAAATGCCAAACTTTTCAGCGCAGATTCCAGACGCCATTGGGTCGATCAGGCTCCTCCTGTTGGTTGTCGAGCATCTCGATACCCGCTGCTCGATACGGGGTGCAACCCTGGCCGGCTCTGCGGGGTTGATTGATCAAATGCCCGGCGACACCTTGCCCTCCAACTTCATTCGCCGCCCATGACAAAATTTCTGCTCTGACTTCATCCCGCTCGTGATCAGCCATGCGATATTCATTCAAGCTACTTCGCCGCCTCCCGCCACACGGCCTGGCCGGTGTCTATTGTTGTCTGGGCAGGCCGGGTTGAATGACACCCTGCTGTCATCCCGCACTCAGCAACTCTCTGCTCTAGCGTCAACCCCAATCCTTCTCCTCCGCCTTTTCATCATATCTACTACTACTCCCTTCTGAGGGCTGGCCCAATCCCCCCATTCGCTGGGCGCACATATATATAGCCATACCATATCAACCCCCCTGGCTTTCGTCTTCCATCCCACATCTGTGAAGACACGGCCGTTCACGACGGTGGAAGCACAACAGACACTCCCGACATATTTGGATACCTCGTACCCGATGGCTAGCCTGGACGAAAAGCCGATGCACATGGCGCACGATGAAGACATCGAGTCTGCCCGTCCTGCCCGTCTTTCCCAAGATGCCATCTTCCAGAACCGAAACGCGTCTCTAAAGCATGGCGATCGAGCACTTGCACTGGTCGGAGACGAACGAGTCGAACTCACCGAAGAAGATGTATGTGGACAATCGAACCCATCATGCTCCTCCCCACTGCCCGGATCTGACATTTTGCTTCCAGAACAAACGAATTCGTAGGAAGACCGACAAGGTCATCCTCTCCGTTCTCGCCTGGGTCTATTTCCTCCAGATCCTCGACAAGTCCGTCCTCGGATATGGCGCTCTCTTCGGGCTGCAGACAGACACCCATCTTACCGGCGACCAATATTCGCTTCTGGGCTCCATGGCCCCAATTGCCCAGCTGGCCTGGCAACCCTTCTCTTCCTTCTTGATCGTCAAGGTCCCGCATCGGATCTTGATGCCCACTCTCTGCCTGGGATGGGGCATTGCTCAGGCTTCCATGGCAGCATGCCACAACGCCAGCTCTTTGATGGCCACCCGTTTCTTCCTGGGACTCTTCGAAGCCGGCTGTCTGCCGCTGTTCAGTGTGATTACCAGCCAGTGGTATCGGCGAGCCGAGCAACCACTCCGGGTTGCCGTGTGGTACGGGACCAATGGGATGGGTACCATTGTGGCTGCAGCCCTCTCCTACGGCTTAGGACATATCCCATCCAGCAGTCTGCAGGAATGGCAAATCATCTTCCTGTTTGTCGGCTTGGTGACCATCGTTTCGGCCCCGGTGGTCTGGTGGTTTCTCGACAACGACATCCCCTCCGCGCGCTTTTTGACGGAGCAGGAGAAAGCGCAGGCGATCGAACGTCTTCGTGCCAACCAGACCGGCACCGGCTCCCGAGAGTTCAAGTGGGCGCACATTGCCGAGCTTGCCCTGGAGCCCAAGACGTACCTCTGGATCGGCATGTCGCTTTTGCTCAACGTGGGCGCCTCCGTCACCAACACTTTCGGGCCTCTCATCCTCCAGGGGGTTGGGTTTGACAAGTACAAGACCTCCTTACTGAATATGCCATTCGGGGCGATGCAGTTGCTGGTCATCCTTGCCTCCTCATACGCCGCACAAAAAGCCAAAGTCAAGTCGGCTGTACTCGCCGCACTCATGCTTCCAGTCATCGCAGGCCTGGCCGTTCTCTACGTCCTCCCCCGCGGCTCTAGTCACATGGCCGGGCTGCTCGTGGCTTACTACCTGCTGGCGTTCCTCTTTGGCGGCAACCCGCTGATCGTCTCGTGGATTGTGGGCAACACTGGTGGCAGCACCAAGAAGTCCGTCATCATGTCTCTGTACAACGCAGGTTCCTCGGCGGGCAACATCATCGGCCCCTTGCTGTTTAACAAGAAAGACGCTCCCGCCTATCACCCGGGTCTGAAGAAGGTTCTTGCCGTGTTCGTCACGCTGGTGGCGGTGGTCGGCATGCAGCTAGCGAACTTGATGTTCTTGAACAAGACCCACGCCCGAGCGCGAGTCAGGAATGGCAAGGCTGCCGTGATCAAAGATCATTCGATGGAGGACAAATACGTGGCGATGGACGAACAGGTGGACGAGAATGGCCATAAGTTGGGTGAGAAGGCTTTCTTGGATCTGACGGATCGCAAGAATGACGAGTTCATGTATATTTACTAATGGCTGATGATGACGAGCACGAGCAAACGAAAGGACGTGGAGCGGTATCTATCGGGTAGTTACGCAGACGAAGCCTGAGGTACACTTCATCCACACTTTATCCACAATACACTGTACAGTATGTTTTATATCAGGCGGCCTTGGCCTCATTGGACCCATTGAATACGATCACGAAGAGTGAGAGAATATACCCCTTATGTTAGTCACAGAGTGAGAAAGGCTATGTTGGGTCACGTGGGCGCAGTACCAGTTACCAGTAGGAGCCTAGCGAATATCCATACGGTATCCATACGGTACACTATTAATGAGATGTAGGTCCTTGGGTGCTTGGACTTCACGATCACGGCCAACCAGCTCTCCTCGGTTACAGGAATTATCCACAGACCAACCGGCCGCAGTCTATCAATTACTACATGCTTATTTACCACGTACTCCGCTCGACTCAAATTCGTATTCGTATTCGTACTCTAGAGTCTACCGAGTACATGGCTTCAACGCCCACCACCATATGGCCCTGTGCACCATACTAAGGTTGGTGGTATCCTGCGCCAGCCTGGCAGATCACCCTGAAACTAGGCTCTAGGCTTAGGCCAAGGCTCCAGGCTCCAGGCTCCAGGCTCCAGGCTCCATGACTTTCGCCCTCAATGATCCTCCTTTATACCGTCGATTCTCTCTTTCCTTCCTTCACGAACATGCGGTTTCTACATCCATGATGCCACCACGGTCCCACGGTCCTTCTCCAACACCCGGCACGAACACCGTCGTCGAGTAAGAACCCTCGTTCAATATGAGCACACCCGGTCAACCCCCGCCATCGGCGGAGGCCAAACCCGGGCCTCAAGAAGTGGCCGAAGAGACTGCCATCGAGGTTAAGGAAACTGCAGCAGAGGCAGAGAAGGCACCGCAGGCACCGCTGAGCAACTACTGGGTGCGCCTGACCCTCCTCTGCCTAGTAATTACCTGAACGCATGCTCACGCCCTACAGCGCATCCTCTCCTTCCGAACTACTACTGATAGCTGTGCCATGATTGCTGGCCTTCTGTGCGCCGTTGGGTCAGGGACAGTATGACCACCGTCTCATAGCATGCCGACGACCGTACTCTGACACCCACCCTAGGCTCTCCCCCTCATGAATATCGTGTTCGGACACTTGGTGCGAGACTTCAATGGCTACTTTCTTCCCAACACCACCGTCACCGAGGACAAGTTCAAGTCAGCCGTGAGCAAGAATGCGTATGCAGTTGGTCCAGAGCCTCTATGACCGAGGCTGACTGGAGACCGCAGGCTATACATCGTGTACCTATTCATCGGCAAGTTCGTCTTGACCTACGCCTCCATGGTGAGCCTAGGAGCCTTTCCTTTCGTCCGATGCTCGGCGGCGAATTAACAGGTTTAGTTTTGTTTTCGTACCACCGGACTTCGAATCTCCGCCAATATCAGACTTTCATACCTCGAGTCTCTCTTTGCGCAACCGATTCAAAGGCTCGATGAGGTGTCTTCGGGCACGGTGGCCAATACTATCACCACCTCGGCCAATACCATTCAAATGAGCATCTCCGACAAACTGCATGCTCTGTTCATGGCTCTTGCCCTGACAGTCACGGCTTATGCCATCGCTTTCCGATACTCGTGGGCTTTGACCCTGGTGACCAGTTCGACCTTGCTTTTCATTCTCGTGGTCTTCTGCATAAGTACCCCCATCGTCATCAAGCAGCTCCAAGGGGTGGAGGAGTCCAACGCAAAAGCTGCATCGATAGCAGGGGAGGTTTTCGGTTCTATCCGAGCCATCTTTTCCTTGAATGCGGAGAAAACGCTGACCGACAAGTATTTCGCCAGCGTGAACGAGTCTCAAACCCGCGGAGCGGCCATGTCGATGCAGCTAGGCATTCAACTGGGTCCCATGTTCTTCGCCATGTACTCGAGCTTTGCACTCGCTTTCTGGTTTGGACTGAAGCTTTTTCGCGAAGGGCAAATCTCGAACATTAGCGCTGTCATCACGTATGGCGATCTCTCTGTGCCCTCTCGTTCTTGCTAATGGTTTTTCCACAGGGTTGTCTTCTCAATCTTGATTGTGGTTGCAGTCTTAGGATCCCTAGCCGCCCCCGCCATGGCCATCACCAAGGCAGTCAGTGTTTCGCCCGAGTTTTTCTCCATGATTGACTCGAAGCCGGCAGCTCACGACGGCCTCACTGAGCCCGAAGTCTCTGCAAGTGACGATATAGAACTCGAAGATGTAGACTTCGCATACCCGACTAGGCCCACTGTGCAGGTACTCAGAGGATTCAATGCTCGATTTCTGAAGGGCAAAACCACCGCCCTAGTCGGACCTTCTGGGTCGGGGAAGAGCACAATTGTTGCCTTACTGGAGCGGTGGTACGAGTTGAAAACTGACGGTCTGGCCGATGAAGAAACGCCAAATGAGGCCAAACCCAACACCGATCCTGCTACGGAGAAAAGTGAGGCCCACCCGAGATCATCGATAACAAACCGTGGTGTCGTCTCGATTGGAGGGCGGAACATAAGGGAGGTGAATCTCAAGTGGTGGAGGTCGCGAATTGGCCTTGTGCAGCAGGAGCCTTTCATCTTCAACGATACCATCGTCAGCAATGTGGCGTTTGGATTGACCGGGACCAAATGGGAGCACGACAGCGACTCGTCCAAAAGGGAACGGGTTGAGAGGGCCTGCAAAGAGGCATTTGCCGACGAGTTCATCCAACAACTGCCAGATGTGAGAGGAGAAGTTCTGGTTGATGTGCAGTGTTCATGGCTGATACAGACAGGGTTACCTGACCAAGGTCGGCGAGAGCGGCCTCAAGCTCAGTGGCGGTCAACGCCAACGGCTGGCAATTGCTCGGAGTATCATTCGGGAGCCGGCGATTCTGATCTTGGACGAAGCAACGAGTTCCATCGACGTTCGGGGTGAGAAGATTGTGCAAAAGGCCCTCGATCGCGTCTCCCGAGATCGGACGACGATTGTCATCGCCCACCGACTGTCCACCATCCGCAAAGCAGACAATATCATTGTCATCCGCGAGGGACACAACGTAGAAGAAGGCACTCACGAGCATCTACTTTCCAATCCCGACGGGCTATACGCTAGCCTCGTACGCGCGCAGCAGCTCGAAGCAGAGTCGGCACCTGAGAAGCTAGAGGCGGACAAGGCTGCCTCCCTGGAAACCGTCGAAGGCAAAGAGTCACGCAGCTCCGTTAAGGAGCAAGCGGCTGACGCAACAATATCTACTTACAGGCCACAGGGCTTCTTCATGTCATTTGGCCGTTTTCTATACGAACAACGAAGATACTGGGTGTTATATCTACTGATACTGGCTGGAGCCATGGGTGCGGGATGTAAGAGCTGCCTACGTGAATTCCATCTTGGCAAGGCTCCGCTAACTCTTTGGTCTCAGCTGCATTCTCTCTCCAAAGCTGGATCTTCGCCCGATTGGTCGCGGTCTTTCAGCTCACGGGAGCAAGGTTGAAAGAGCGAGGAGATTTCTGGTCACTGATGTTTTTCGTCCTTGCTTTGGGCGTAGGTACTTGTTACTTCAGCCTCGGGTACAATTCCAACACTCTCTCCGTGGTAGGTCCGGCGTTCGTAGGAGGGCATCTCAGCATCTGACCGCTTGCAGTACATCTCATCTGCATATCGACGGAAGTACTTCCAAGACCTCTTGTGCAACCCCGTCTCCTTCTTTGACCTCGAGGCCAATGCTTCTGGTTCGATTATGTCTCGACTGTCGACCGATCCGAAGTTGATTCAGGAATTACTCGGCTTCAACGGGGTCTTTCCTCTCATATCAATGTTCAACATACTTGGCTGTGTCGCAATAGCCTTCTCCTTCGGGTGGAAATTGACCCTCGTCACTTTCTTTTCTGCCATGCCAGTCATCTTCATCGCCGCATTCGTCCGCATCGGGTTCGAGCTGAAGTTCGAGGAGTGGAACTCCAAGGTGTTTGCTGACAGCTCTCAATTTGCAACGGAGGCCATTGGCGCCGTTCGCACAGTCACCTCCTTAACCATGGAGGACTCGATCATCCAGAAGTATTCGGGTCTCTTACGAGATCAGGTTCGAAAGGCCACCATAAAGGCAACATATGCTTCGCTCGTTTTTGCCCTCTCGGACAGCCTGGAACTTTGCGCCATGGCCCTGACCTTCTGGTACGCTCATCCTGGTCCTTTTTGCGCTAGCGAAGGCGACCCATCCAAGCTGATTGATCTGACACAGGTATGGAGGACAGCTCTTGGCCACTCACGAATACAATACAGTGCAATTCTTCGTCATCTATGTGGCGATCGTGCAAGGGGCACAAGGGGCCGGACAGTTTTTCAGCTTTGCCCCGAACATTGCACAAGCGACCGCCGCCGCGAATCGCATCCTGAGCCTCCGCCACGAAGTCAGCGAAAGGCAGAAAGCTATGGGCACTCAGGGCAGGGCGTTACAAGCGGCAAATGTCCAAGCTGGAGGAGCTAGCATCAAATTCACAGACGTCGCCTTCGGATACCCCACGCGAGACGCTCTGATCTATCAGAATCTCAATCTAACGATCGCAGGCGGTCAGTTCGTCGCCTTTGTAGGGCCTTCGGGCTGTGGCAAGACCACGGTCATTTCACTGCTGGAGAGATTCTACGAACCGCTGTCCGGCACCATCACGTTCAACAACCAGGATGTCAGGGACTTGGAGATGTCGTCCTACCGTCGCACGCTGGCCCTGGTGGCACAGGAACCGAAACTCTTCGACGGGACCATCCGCGAGAACCTGCTTCTCGGTCTTGAGAGGGAGGTGTCGGACGAAACCATCACGCAGGCATGCAAGGATGCCGAGATCCACGACTTCATCATCTCCCTACCCGACGGCTACGCCACAGCCCTAGGTATCAACACCCAGACCTCACTCAGCGGTGGCCAGAAACAGCGGCTATGTCTCGCCCGGGCTTTGTTGCGCAGGCCCACGCTCTTGCTCCTTGACGAGGCCACCTCCAGCCTGGACTCGCAATCGGAGAAGCTGGTGCAGGGCGCCATCGAGCGGCTGGCCGCCCAGCGCAGCATGACCGTCGTAGCCGTGGCACACCGGCTTGCAACCATCCAAAAGGCAGATGTCATCTTCGTCTTCGGCGAGAGCGAGCTCAGTCCCGGCTCGAGCATCGTCGAACAGGGCACGCACCACGACTTGTTGAGGAGGAGGGGCGCCTACTGGCAGATGGTAAGTGAGAATCAAGACTCCCAGTTGTTGTTGCGGTTGCGGTCCGCCTTCTTTCTGTTTCTCTGCCTCATCAGTCCGACTAATCTCGCGGTCGACAGTGTCAGGAACAAGCACTCGATCGATAACCGGCAAAAGCAAAGGCAAACGCTGAACAGCACTCCAAGCGAGTAGGCATTCGACCCATGTACCTATAAACAATCCAGCCTCTAGACTAAACCCAACAACCCTCCCCAGACTCCGCCCAGGTCCACTCAGCTCAGCTCCACTCCAACTCCCACTCACTCTGTACCATTCATACGAACGACAACTTGAACGACGGCAGAGACTACCTTAGTATGTTGACGATTCGCCGCGTATAGCTATAAGTATATTTGTATCTATAGATCTAAAAGTGTATATATTATATACCTTCACTATTCTGCACGGAAGCAAGCAGAACATCCTATTCTCAGATTGGGGTTGAGAAGTTCATTCAATTCTATTCCAAGTAATAGAACCCATCAACCCCATCAACACGTTCAAACAGAAACCTAATCTGCCCCACCCCTGGACAGAGACAGGACATGAAGTCTGTCCGGCGCAACAGCATGCTCCGAAATGCTCATTGTTGGAACTTTTCCGTGGCCGCACCGCGCGGTCGTCAGTTCCCTCTACCCACTAGGGCTCGGACATGAAGTGGATGGCACGACTGATATTTGAACAGCTCGGTCGAGAGAAGGCCATGATCGATGGATGCGTAAATTCCAACTCCCGCCATGTGATACTCCTCTGGTGAACCGGCCACTTTGGGCCCGGCGCAAAACGATACTGTCGATATCTCCAGTACGTAAAAATACGAGTGGGAGAAGACCGAAGCAGGGCCCAACGCAATTGTGTGGCGTTGCCACTACTTTTAGCCGTGGACTGGGACTCCAGCGAAAAGTCGCAGACAAGCCTGGCTCCTTGCTCCCTCGCGACCGATCGTTGACACGTAAGCAGGCTTTCGTCTCGGCCTGGGATGGAAGAACATAATCCCGGGCGAGGGGCCGGGATGGCTGTGGTCTCAGGAGGCAGAAGTATCACGTCGAACTAAAGGCCAAACCCCATCGGCCATGCATGTCCACATTCAACATTAAGCAGATAGTGCCGGTGGTCGCAAGGCCACAGAGTCAGTCAGCTGCTGGTTCTTGGTAAGGCTGTTCGCACAAGTCTTGACCGTCGGGATTCAAAGGCCTTATTGAGCGCTGGTCGGTGCTGGTGCCTCCAACACTTCTAGTTTGGTGGTTCCTCCAGGTATTGCCAGCATCTCACGTCAAAGATCACAGCCATGTCGACTTCAGGCTTTGGAGACGATGAATCCTCAAAATCAATATTATGATTCCCCGTGGAACAATCCATTCACTCATCGGAAGTATGGTGGTGGTGGCGTTCTCGTTGACTGAGTCCGGATATGTCGCAGAGTCGTCATGTCATGGACGTCGCCCTCAACATCCGGGATGTTGTTGGCTTCGGAGATACTGACGATGGCTTCGTTCTTTTGCACCTCGCCCACTTTAGACTCATCGGCTGACACCGACAAAGGGATCTGTTTACACAAGCTGTACCTTGGAGTACCACGGAGACCGTGAAAATGCAGGGACAGCTGCAACATGTAGGTCCGCGTCAGGTGCTTCCAGCGAAGAGATGGCTGGGAGAGAGCATCGGGAACAGACAGATCGAGTTGGGATGTTGCCACATACGAGTTCAGGCGTCGGAATTTTTCGCCTGGACTGACTTGGTCATCGTAGAGTGGTAGCGGCCGGAACAAAATGATGTGTTTCTGGGTTGGAGCTGTGTTCATCTTGTAGATGGTGTCGCCCGGGGGCATTCTGTCTGCAGTCGATATGGCGACGGTTGAGAAGCGGGTGTGGACCTCCCATTTCGCTTCAACTGAGCATTTAAATGACTGTCGTGCGTCCAGGGAGTCGGCGCCTGAGGCTGGCGGTTGGATGTCCATTGTTACAGCGATGGGGAGGGTGATTTGTCGTTGGCCACTAGTTGCATCGTGCTCGATGATGATATCTGGCTCGTATAAAGCAACATCGAGGGCGGGACTTTTCTGGAGTCGACAGCGGGCGAGAAGGTCAGGCTTAGCCCGCATAGTGAGTGGTAGGCTTTTGGCCAGCGAGACTCGGAGGCGAGGGTAAAGTGACGAAATCTTGACGTGCTCGCAGAGGAATCCGACCTCGCGGCCGGCCTGGCGAAATTGGGCCTCAACCCAGTACGACACCTCGCAGTCACCTCGAATGACTTGATAGTCGTTCAGCCCACCCCTTGGTGATGCGCTGGTGACACCTCTAATAGTAGTCGAGAGAGGGAGAGAGCGCGACGTGCCGTCAGTTGCCGAAACATTGGTGGGCAGTTGGAAGTAGAAATCCACATGTCGGGCCTTCTCAGAGTCGGTCCGGCTCGAGTTCGAGGAAGAAGTCGTCGGTCGGAAGTCGGACAGGGCTTTGACGTCGGTCAGGGTGATGATGTCCTCAATGGCACTGTTGAACCCAACCGACGAGAGGATAATACCTGTAATCCCCCATATCTGATCAGCACTAACTCGGCAAGACACCATACCTTGCAAGACCAAGCATACCTCTAAAACGTAGTTGGACAGTGTCGAAGGCGGCTTGCTCTACGCTGGCGTCAAGAACGCTGAGCCGTCCGTTGAGTCGAGAAGATCCGTGGTGCTGGTGGTGCTGGTGTCCTTGTCCGTGGATCTGTTGCGGAGACGAAGGTATAGCCTCACCCTCACCCTGGGGAGGGCGGGCGATTTGTATACGAGCGTATACCATGACACATGTGTGGTGCCTGTGACCGAGAAATGGCCGGGCGACGGGAGAGAGAGGATGTGACTGAGCAGGCCGGGGTAGTGAGCCATAATAAAAGATTTCCCATCTGTGCCCGTGTCCTCCATATATGTATTACTATTCACGTTGGGCCGAACGGGAGGCGCGAATGCCTGGGCCCCGGAAAGATAGAGACAGTGGATAGTGGAGACCATGTACGGTATCTTGACTTCCATCTTGGTCTGTTGACTAATGTTTGTTGACTAATGGGAGTTGAGATCGGGTACGAATGGCTCCAGGATAATAATGGGCCTTTGGGCCTTATCAAGGACCGGCATGACTGCCAGGTGCCCACGCCGCCCACGCCGCCCTAAATCTGGACCCGAGATATGCAGAGCGTATGGACGCGGGAGTAGCACTCCGTTTGTAGATAACCAGTGTTCATTTTGAGTTTGGGGGATAAGAAATAAGAACTCGACACGGCTTCGCCAAGTGCGGCGGAGGAAGCCGCAGCCTAAGGATAAGGAAGCGTAGGGTGACACCGCCTCGGCGGCGTGGGTTGAGGAGATGGTGCTTTCCATTGTCGAGGTCGTGTCTTCGCGCGAGATCTTGCTACGGTCCAGAGGTGGCTGCACGCCTTCCGTCTTCCTCCCCTGCCAGAATGACTGCAGCTGCAGGAATCGACAAGGCTTCTCGGGCGCCTCATTTAGGAGGGGGAACGCCACGGGGGCTCGCATCTTGCGTGTAACTGGCCATTGGAGCGCACTGACGTTGGCAGAGTGGTGAGGCAGGCCAAGGCGATCGTGGAGGGTCGGAAGTCCTGCAGGCTAAGGCCTCAAACAGGTTGGGTCAGCCGGTCAGGGATCGGTCATCAGCCTTCTGAGGAAACCAGCATCAGCCGCAGCTTGAAATTCTACGAGGCCGTCAGCCAACACCTTCGTTAGTGTCTCGCTCAGTTGGCTCCAGTGGCTGTTGTGATGGAGATTCTAGTGACTGTGACTTGCCTGATTGTGGGCAAGAAATGCTCATACATGATGACCGGGCGATGATGGTGGGCGATGATATAGTAATGGTGGTGGTGGTGGTGAAGGTGAAGGTGAAGGGCTCGGGAGCCTATCCGTGCACTCCGAGCACTAACTACTCCATATTTAGTGCACCACACCAATATAACGATACACACCAATATAACGATACACACCAATATAACGATACACACCAATATAACGATACACACCAATATAATAACTTAGTAAGCGCTCCACGAGGTTTTATAATATTTATAGGCGCTATAGTACTAATATTCTATTATAAATAATATAAATCCTTAGTAAATTAGTACTATAATAGTATTAAGTCTAATTTTTAATTACTCGACGTATAGTAGTCAAGATAATTACGATCTTATATAGTATAACCGAGCGAGATTATTAAAGTACTTAAATCGTAATAGGTAGTATTAATATAATATTAATTAAGATCGACTATTAATAGTACCGTACGATAATATCGTACTATAGGTATATATATAAGCGCTTATAGCTATTTCTAAGGCGTCGTCGTCGCCCTATCGTCGTCGGTATCGCCGTCGACCCTCTTCTAGTAGAGTAGCCTTATAGTAACCTTCTAATTAAGTACCTCGAGCGCTTATCGACGTCGTTAACGCTTAATAGTATTACGTCGTCGCCGCTTTACCTTCTACGTAGTATCGTCGGCGGCCTCTAGAAGTATCTTCCGTACGATCTTTAGTATTCGACGCCTATAGTACTTAAGAGTCTCCGCCTCGTCGCGAGCGTTAAGGCGCTTACGAGCCGTCTTAATATATATAATACCTATTAAGGAGGTATTAACTCGACGACGACGAGTATTCTCTCGTATCGTACGTACTCGTTTAGTAGTCTTACTCTCGCTAAGTTATCGTATCGCCTCTAGACCTACTATAGCTATCTTATTTACGGCGCGAGTATACTTATTAATAAGTATAATCATCTCGAGGCTTATATTCTCTATATTTCTATATAAGTAGTCTTTATATAGTTATAGTAAAGTACCTTATATTCTTCCGCGACGTAACGTTAATATTAAGGTCTATATTATTAATTATAGCGTCGGCGTCGACGATAATCATCTTATCGTTAATAGCGATCTAATTAAATATCTCGTTCGAATTAAACGATACTAACTCTATCTTTCTAAATACCGATCGGATTATCGCCGTACTAAATACTTATATTCGTACGAAGTATAGACCTTATAGGAACTTCTAACGCTAAAACGTAAGATCTTCGTATCGTACGGCGTTATCTATTATCTTTATATAATAATACTTTAATAACTAAAAGACCTCTATATCGAGAGGCTATAGAAGATACGTTAAGTACAACGATAGATAGTACGGAATAATTCTCTCGTTCTAGTAGTACTTAATAAAGCTATACTCGAGATAAGAGTTAAAGCCGTCGCTAATTAAGAGACGATAGCGCTCTCTTGTACGCTTCTTAGTACGTCTATTAAAGTAGTATATCTACTTAAGAAGTATCTTATCGTTACTATAGTCTATCTTAGTCTAGACTATAGTATGCCTATTAGGAAGCTCTAGTAGAAAAGAGCGCTTAATTATCGTCTCGCCGACTATAATTACGTACGGATTAATAAAGTCGCCTATTAAGCTAACGACCTTAATAAGCGTATAATACTCGCGATTCTTAGAATTAAATAGATATAGACGCTTATACTTATTCTCTCGTCTAGTTACGACCTTATAGGCTTTATTAATACTAATCGAGAAGCCGATCTTATTTATATTCTATATATCGTCGTCGATAATCGCGTACTTCTTCTTAATCTTCTTAAAGCGATTAAAGTATACTATAATTAAGTAATAGTAGTTAGTTTTAAGAGATAAACGATACGTACTAATAGGCTTTCTCTTTCTAATAATAAACTTAGGATATCTAGCTAGAAAGCGTCTTATCTATTTATAAGAGAGTACTAGTAGACTATCGCTATTCTTATACTTATACGTCTATTATAGAATACGATTAGCTATCTAACCGACTATTCTAGAGTATACGAATAGGCCGAGGTCGTTATAGCGCTTAATAAGTATATAGAGAGTACGCTTCTACTTAACTAAGAGCCTCTTATTATATCTACTCTTTATAGGCGCGCCTAGAAGGCCTTAGAGCCTTCTTCGTACGCGCTAATAAGGAGTATCGAATACCTCTACGACAGCCTTTATATTACTATATTCGCTACGTTCGTACGCGTTATATACCTAGAGGACCCTCTCCTTAATTAATTAAGCGTTAGAAGGTATTATTAGTTAAGATATTACGCGTTTTATTAACAAGTTGTTAAGTTAACTACTAAGTTATTATATTGGTGTGCATCGTTATATTGGTGTGGTGCACTAACTATAGAGTAGTTAGGGCTCGGAGTGCACGGATAGTAGGGAAAGGACAGACCAAGACAGATTTAGTGACGGTACTGGTAGGGCAGTTAGTGGTGCCTGAGGCGCCCCAAGAAGTGTCCAGGCTCAAAGTTAGGGAGGTCCTGTAAGCCTAGGGCGCCTAAGGGCCTGTCTGTCAGCATCACCTGGCCGTACCTGCCTAACCCATCAACTCTTACATATACTGTAGAATTGTTCTATCCTTGAACCCTGTTCCTACATACCTATACCTAAGGTAGACAGCCACGGCTCCCTCCAGGCCTTAGGCCTCCTCTCAGCTACAGTACAGAGTAAATTGGTCTCTCCCAAGCACACCGGCTTGAACCTGCAGGGCCCGTGATGCCACCAATGAACTGCACGAGCTTCGAGTCCTCCGTCTTCTAACTCCCAACGAAATTCTCTAGCGCCACACCCGGAATTCCTAGCTGCATTATTCGCCATGTTATCGTGAGCTTGGGCAAAAGAAAAGACTGGACAAAGACGGGCTTGCCCGCGTGTTGTGCCCCTAGCCGGGCCTGGGGTGCATGCGTCGACCGTCTGTCTGGCTACACTCGAACACGACCTTCTCCACGGTCTGAATACTCAACTTCTAGGTTCACCTTACATAATAGACCCTGGCGAACACCCGAACGGCCTATAGACTATTATACCACAGTATCTGAAAGAGAAGATGGCAATATCCGGACAAGGAGAGCTTAGAGACGCAATCACGACAAGATCAGCCAGCGACTGAAGGCCTAAACCCTTCCAATCAACCTCCAGGATCTCGCCTTCAATTCAGCGACCGGCCACTGCAGCCTTGGCCTATGGCTGCTTGCGTTGGACTGGTCCGGTTAGTACAGTGTTAGTTTCTCGTCACGGACCCCAGGCTGCGGGAGATCTCGCCGAATTAACGGCGCTCAGGAATTACATAGAGGAGGAGCAGTCCGAGGTCCGCCTTTCTTTCGGAATGCTGCACTCCATGGCGCTGGTGTCCAAAACAACGGAACTCCGGCAAAGAGCAGCCGAAAGCTGCAGTATGTTCAATTCAGAGGAAGCTCAATACAGGCCTGAGGAGGCTTGGTCAAATAGTCTCATAGACTTGTGTCAGAAGATGAAGAAGGTAAGTGGCAGACCGGCTGGCCCATGCGTACTTGAGAAGATCGATTTACCCATGGCGGGACTACGATTAGACGACAACGACAGTGCTCTATGCTTTGGAACTGAGTCAAGGTCCTACCCCTTATTCTCCAATGCCTGTCAGCGGCCAGGTCCGCTTTCTCCCTCCCCTTGCCCTCGTGTTAACAGTCTCACACGAAAGTCGCACTATCATGGGATACGATAGGAGCCGAGACTTCAACGTGCCGGGAAATACTGTGAAGAAGAAAGTAAGCTGAATGATTATGGATGCCAATCGTGTCGAAAAACTCCCCGCACACCTATATGGCCCCGAGCTTGCTGATGCCAGATGATCACCGACCACTGTCGTCCGAGGAAGCCGTTTACACCATTTCCATCGAGTCATGTCGTCAACATGACATCCACCATCAGCCTTGCTCCGTCTGCAGTTGCAGATCATATTGGAGTAGAAACAGACAAATCAAACAATCACTACATCGTGACGACCTCGTTGTCTGGAGCCCCTTGTCCCTGTCTGTCCGTGTCTGGCTTGATAATCCCAAGCCTGACAGCAAAATCGCTCCTGCCCACCTCCTTGACCAGGTCTTCCGCCATCTCCAGCCGACGAGAATATTTCTTAACGCTCCCGGGCAGCTGTGAGACCTTTATTATTCGATCATTCATGGCCAGTTGCTCAGTCCGGGCATTCACCAGAGCCAAGGATGCGTGCCCCAGCAAGATAGATACGGCCAATCCCATCTTCCCTTGATCGCTCGCATTCGCCAGTACCACGATGGAAAAGTAGACGAGCAGCCGGGCAGTCCAGTCCATGGCGTCGGCCAGCCGTGGATTATGCGGCCGGCGGCTCAACCAACTGCCCGACGTCACGGCCTTGAGGTCGTCAACCGCGCCCTTGAGACGGATCCAGCCATCTTCAGCAAGAAGAACGAGCAGGTCTCCTTGCACACCAGGTTCTGAGGCGCCGTGCCATGACGGCGCCGTCCTAGCGCGAAGGCTTGCGATGGAAAGAAGGCGGGAGGATAGCAGGATGAGAATTGTTATGAGGACATATGGGTCGATCGTGCCATGGAATATGAGTGAACTCAGGAGTGCGCTTGCTGGAGCATACACTAGTGGCCGGTTCTCCCGTTGCGGCGAGCCATAGCCTACCTCAAGAGTGAGGAGGTGTCCTGTACGAGCCAGCCTCTGCAGATACATGACGGTTGCCTGATTCTCAACCCGAAAGACGTGGCCGTTGGTCAAGGCTGCGCAGGCCGGATACTCTCCCGCGTTCAGCGTGTTCGGCGACAGAGGAGTCTGCATGCCCAAACAGAATAGGAAACTGTCGAGATATCTCGGGCGACCGTTCAATGCGGTATAGATGTGAGTGGGTGGGATGGCGGACGGAGCTGCGAGGAGAAGGATGGGGAGGAGTCTCCAGTCCATTGCTACAGAGCACGGCGAAGGCATAGTGTGGTGTCTTGGGGGCCCCTAAGCCCTCAGTGAGCCCTCATCCCTGGGACCAGCGTTGTTACTTAAATGCCTCTCAGGAGACAGGATCAGCAGGAAGGATCGACACTGACCTTAATAATGCCTAACGCCGTACCTAGGTAGTAGTCATCAAAATAGATATTAGGGACCACTGAATCTCGAGGTGAGACTTGGCCAGGCGTCAGGGTCCCCGATCACTGTAGCTGTGCAGGTGGCCTTACGCCTGCCAAGTCTAATTCACGGCTGCCTGAGATTCCGATACAACTACTCCTTGTCTTTTCCGGTACGGAGACAGGATTGAATATCAAGGGCTTTGGAATGATACTGCAACCAACGGAAAAGGAAACCCTCACTACTATAACTCCGTATAAGGTACAGTACCAGGCGACCGCCATCCCCGTGACACCACCAGCCCGATTGCGGCCCCCAAGCCTTGGCTCCTAGGCCTGAAGTGGTGGAAGCACCCGCTAAGCCGCTTACGGACATGCCTATGTACTAGGCGTCTGCGCCGGGAAAGTCGACCTTTGACTGTGATGACTACCACCACTATTACCGTACATCGTACTGCGTACTGCCAGACAACGCCATTCGCCTTTAATGATTCGTTTCTCCTGCGCCACATCCTGGCGACGCCGCCCTCAGTGTCTTCAGCATGGCCAATGTGGGAGCCATCCAGCATGCCCAGCTGGAGCCGCGGCGAGCGTGTCAGGAGTGCAACCGCAAGAAAACCAGATGTGACATGCGCCGCCCGGTTTGCGGCCTCTGCGCTCGCACCGGAAACGCCTGCCATTTCCCCTCCAGGCGCAAAAGGCCGACTGCTCGCACCCCTCAGCCAACCTCCGAGTCTCGAACATTATCTGACAGCCTGTCCAAGTTGATCCAGGCTTTTGAGGCTGCCGCTCAGACCGGACAGCAGAGTGACCCGGTCGATGGCCAGAGCCGAGCTCCCCAGTCTCTGCTTCGGGAGACTCTGAAGGATCTCCTGGCGGAAGTCGGACAGTCCGCAGGCCAGAGCTTGGAAGAGCGCGCCGTCTCGAGTGGAAACGATGATCGCAGTGCGTCCATCGAAGGAGGCTCCGATGACGAGGCGCAGCTCTTCCGTCGGCCGAGCATTCCCAACGCCAATTCAGCACCATCACCCACCGCCTCGGGCGCCGAGGATGAGATACCTGGTCCCCTGGCCAATGAACTGGTCAACCTATTTTTTGAGAAGGTCCAACGGTGGCTTCCAATCCTCCACAGGCCGCGCTTTAAAACCCGCTACGAGGCCACAATCCGGGGCGAGGGCGATGTCATGAAGACACTGTCGCCGGAGGAGGGCCTCCTCTTCTACAGCATGTTTGCAATGGCGGCCAGGTTCTCCACTCACCCGAGACTTGCTAGAGTGGCCTCGGACAGCCGCGGCCAACAATTTGCGGAGCGGGCCAGGCAACTCTATACCCAGGGTCGCATGCATCGAACCCCGTCGTTGACCTATTTACAAGGTTGCATTCTACTCGCATTCTACTTCTACACTTCCGGCCCAACGCAGCAGGGGTGGGTTCTGATCGGAGTCTGCGTGCGCCTGGCATACGACCTGGGCCTCAATGAAATCGATGAGGAGGATTGGACACCCGCCACCCCCGTTGACCCGGTGTACAAGGAGGAGATGAGGCGAGCTTGGTGGTTGACTTGGGAGCTCGACACGTTCGCCTCCACCGTTTCCCGGAAGCCATATTCGATAGACCGGAAGCGGATGGCTGTCGCGTTGCCCATCTCCGACGAAGCCTGGTTTTCCGGAGTCCAGGTACCTTCAGCTCAGCTCCTAGTACATCCGGGCCAGTCCTGGCGGTCGCTACAAGGGAGTCCCAATCAAGATGAGAGAGCGTGGTTCTTGCTGGCCAACCACTTTATGGCCACAGTCCATGACCGGCTACAACAAAAACAGGACATATCAGCGGAGGAGAAGCTGACGTTGGAGAACGAAATATGTTGCTTTAGACTGGCCCTTCCACCCTCAGTTTCATTGGATTCCGAGACGCTCAACTTTTCTCCATCCACGTTTGCGCGGTGCAATTTCGCCATCGGCATCCATCTGATGTTGACGGCCACATCATACCTGGTGGCCGGCATTGCCCCTTCCGATTCCGATGGCCACGGCCTTTTGAGCCTCAGCACCACTACCACGTCCCCTCTGCGGCAACGTGCCATTAGCCTGTCTCGAATCATCAGTGTCTGGGATGCCAAGTATATCGAGGTGGCACATCCCTTCTACACATGCATGATGCTTCCGCCGCTCGCCGTGGAGGGAGTTTGCCTGAGATCGCAGCCTCTTGTTTCTTCTACTCACGATCTCGCAAAGCTAGTCTTGAAGCGCTTCGCCGACAAGTGGAAGTTGGGTTCTGTTGTTGCAGGTAAGGGAGTTTCTCAGGCAATGTCCGTCAGCTGACCCTCTCCAGAACTCTCAACGTGTATCGAAAGGGGCGGGCCGCTCACGACCGAGGAAAACCAATTGGTCAAGCGATACGCAACCTTCTTTCACATGCCTCGACTCAACACTAATAGCCCAGGCTCGATGGCCTTGGACGTTTTCCCGCGGGATAAAAACGGTCCCGAGACTAGCGACAATCCCAGGTATACCGGCTCTCTGGGTATACCACAAGTCTCGCCCGAAACCCAGGATGGGTATCCCGCGTCTTTCAGCGTCCCAGCCTTGTCCGATGCGGCAATCCACCAGACTGCCATGTTCGATCCTGAGAACGTCGCGGGGTTGCAGCCAAACATGTTTGACAGCGCCGGCGACATCGACTTTGGATTCGCCGACTTCTTTGGCGATTTTTCAGAGAGTGACCTTTTGCTCCCCTGAATCTGCCTGCGCTCAAGAGCCTGAGGAGCCTGACGATCCGCGACCCCCGCGGTGGTGGTTAGGGTTAGGGTTAGGGTTAGGGTTAGTGGCGGAGGTGGCGGAGGTGGACAACTGACGTTGCCGTGCTGCGTGCTGCGCGTCGCCCGACGTCATTGACCGTTGCACTGCCACGTTGCTGCCCGGATGCCCCCGCTGCCACCGCTGACAGTGTACAAGCATTTCATCCTCCCCATCATCATCTTGGCTTGGTTCTTGTCCTTCCTCTCGCTCTACCCCCTGCGCCCTGTGCCTGAAAGATAGAGTTTCACAGTCGTCCTCAACATAGCGAACCTTTCCTACTCGAGACGTCACAATGGTCAGCGCCAAGCTACCTGTCGACCTCTCCAAGTTCAAGAAGCTATCCTTCGACCCTCGGAATTCTCGGCTCAGTCCTCAACAGAAGCAGGATCTCCAGCATAACATTGACATCTTTCGCGATGCCATTGTTGCTTTCACTGCCACCGGTGCGGCCCGCGGTATAGCCGGTCATACGGGAGGTCCCTTTGACACTGCTCCCGAAGTATGCATCCTGATTGGTATGATCAATGGCAACCCCGATAGATTCGTCGACGCTCTCTTCGATGAAGCAGGCCACCGGGTGGCAACTCAATACCTTCTCGCAGCCATCGATGGGAAGATTAATCCTGATCAGCTGCTGAACTACCGCGATGCAAACTCCAAGCTCCCCGGACACCCGGAGCTGGGCCTGACCCCCGGTGTTAAGTTCAGCTCGGGTCGTCTTGGCCATATGTGGGGTATGGTGAACGGCGTCGCTATGAAGAACAAAGACAAGGCCGTCCTGCTCCTTGGCTCCGATGGTTCTCAACAGGAGGGAAACGATGCCGAGGCTGCCCGCATTGCGGTGGCTCGGAACCTGAACGTGAAGGTGTTTGTCGACAACAACGATGTCACGATCGCCGGCAAGCCATCCGAATATCTCAAGGGTTATGAAGTCGGTCGGACCCTTGCGGGACACGGCTTGTACGTGGTCCGCGCCGACGGAGAGGACCTTGATTCGCTCTACCCTAAAGTTTGTGAAGTTTTGACTCACCAGGGCCCTGCTGCTCTTATCGTTGACCGTAAGATGGCTCCGCACATTCAAGGTCTCGAGGGCACAGTCAAGGCGCATGATGTGGTCCCTGTCGACATTGCCCGCAAATACCTGACTGGCAGAGGCTATACGCCGGAGCAGCTGGCATTTTACGATGATATTAAACCAAGAAGCAACCCTTGGAAGTATAGAGGATCTTCCAAGGACAAGGGATCTAACCGTGTGATTTTTGGCGAGGCAGTCAACACGGTTCTTGACGGTCTGAGCAAGGACGAAGCTGCCCGCCGAGTCATGGTAATCGACTCTGATCTGGAGGGTTCCACGGGTCTGAAGGCCATACATCAGGAGCATCCCGAAGTGTTTGTCCCTTCTGGTGTTATGGAACGTGGTAACTTCTCGGCCGCGGCCGGCTTCGGCTTTGGCAGCGATGGGTCGGTCCAAGGCGTCTTCTCAACATTCTCAGCCTTCCTTGAGATGATCATTTCCGAGGTTACCATGGCTCGCTTGAACGACTGCTCCGTTCTATCACACTTTTCCCACAGTGGAGTGGATGAGATTGCCGACAACACTTGCCATTTCGGCCTGAACCACTTCTTCGCCGATAATGGACTCATGGACGCCGCGAGCACGGCATTGTATTTCCCGGCCGACGGCGAGCAGATGAAGGCGGTCGTGCGGAAAGTCTTCTTCCAGAAAGGGCTGAGATTCATCTTTTCGACTCGTTCGAAGCTGCCTTGTATTTACAAAGAAGGTACCGAGGATCTGTTGTACGGCGACGGTTATGAATTTGTTCCTGGCAAGGACGAATTCATCCGTAAGGGGTCTGCTGGATACGTCATCTCCTACGGGGACATGCTCTACCGGTCCCTGGACGCCGTCGAGCGGCTCCGCGAGGAAGGTCTAGATGTTGGTCTCGTCAACAAGCCCACTCTCAACGTGGTGGATGAGGATTCGATCAAGATCTACGGATCGACCGGCTTTGTGGTTGTGGTTGAATCCATCGCCCAAAAGACTGGTCTTGGCTCTCGTACGGGCACGCATTTGCTGGAACGCAAGCTTACTCCAAAGTATAAGACTATGGGCGCGAGGAATGAGGGCAGTGGCGGCTTGTACGAGCAGGTCAACGGGCAGGGTCTGGGTCCGGAAGATATCATGGCCGCTGTTCGAGAGGTTGCTGGGAGTTCATAAAAAGGCGACGCCTTGAGTTTTACCGCTAGACTATTTCCTCCTAATATCAAAAAACGTTAGAAGAATGTACATGTGCTGCGTACTTGGTCCCTCTTTGATCCGGTTTGGTTCAGGTTGTGATTATTGTCCATAGTGATCATACATGATCCTCGATTTATATTCACGTGTTCAGCTCCCCCACGTGATTAAAGCCTCGCCTTACCTGCCCTCTGTTAACCAACCCTGTAAAAGACCGTAGATGCGGCCTCCGGGCGAGGTGGGGAGATTATAGTATGTACTTCGTATTACTAAGGCCGAGGGGTTTGGGAGGGTGAGGCTTAGGCTGCCGCTGCCCCCGCGGGGTTCGCCCGCCCTAGACCCATGCCCCAATCCCCAATCCCTATTACTACTATTTAGTACCTAGGTAAAGTGTACAGTACACACTCCTCCGTTTCTTGAATCTCTCCTACATTACCTAGTCCTAGTCGTTCCTGCCTGGACCAGCCGCAGAACAGGCACAGGCAATTCGGTTTGTGACATAGTACACACCAGCCATGGATCCTGCGGATAGCCATGTGTCGGAAACGTTCCTTTCCCCGCGTCCTGAAACCACTCAACAACGCCCGCAAGCTCTCGAACGTACTGCCTCCGAGGCGGAAACCCACCCCAACCGTGCACGACAACCGAAGAGTGTCAAGCGACGAGCATCGCAAGCATGTCAAAGCTGTCGAGCGCGCAAGGTCCGCTGCAACGTAGCCAAGCATGGCGCGCCCTGCATTCACTGCAGATTGGATGAGATTGAGTGCATTATCGGCGAGAGCAAGCGCAAGAGGTAGGTCGGAGATGAAGTGCAGTTGGCCATTTGGCTGATTGCCTACTCCTAGGAAAAGGACCACAAATGGAACATCATCAGGCTCTACGAGCAACAATCTGCTGCCTTCAAGCGCACCCTATGAGCCTTTGCCACATCTGAGCCAGCATGTCGTCCCACAATCTTTGGGTAAGACCAACTTGAACTCAGGCAAAGCGTCGCTGGACATTACAGTATCTGATGCTCATACTCTGCAGAACAAAGGGAAACTTCTCCCAAGACCCCTCCGGCACCATCCTATATCTTCTACAATTTCCAGCCACTCGGTCAACAGACGGCGGCATTGCCCGAGAGCATGCCATTCCCCCACGGCCTAGCATCGCCGACAGCTGCGCCTCCACTGGCACTGCCAGCTTACATCAAGCCACTCCCAGATCGGTTCGGGCCTGACGATATCACATACCTCCAAAACAAAGGGGCGCTGGCGATTCCTGACCAAGAGCTTCGGAATGAGCTCCTGCGAAGCTACGCCGAGTATATGCATCCGTTTATGCCGCTTCTTGATTTCCACAAGTTTGTGCGGATCGTCGACCAGAACGATGGGATGCAGTCGGTCAGTCTACTGCTGTTCCAGGCGGTCATGTTCACTGGTATTGCTACGGTCGACATGCGTTTCCTCAAAGCCGCCGGGTACAGCACCCGACGCGAGGCGCGACGCGCCTTTTTCGACAAGACTCGACTGCTGTACGACCTTGACTACGAGGATGATTCGATAGCGTTGATCCAAGCGCTCCTGCTCATGACCTACTGGCGAGAAGATCCGAACGGCCGGAAAGAAACCCACTATTGGATTGGAATCGCCGTGTCACTTGCTCATAAGATTGGTCTGCAGCGCAATCCCGAGCAATCTACAGCATTGGAGCCCTGGCGGCAGAAGCTCTACAAGAGGATTTGGTGGTCGGCTTATATGCGCGATTCCCAGATCGCCCTAGGCACGCGGCGATCGACTCGCATGACCCGCATGAAGGATGTGGATTTCGACGTGCCAATGCTGCAGTTGGCAGATTTCGAGCTGGACACGTTACCCGATGGCCCTTGTTGCATCCCCGCCGACTGTAAAGTGGTGCGAGATATGGAGACGCAACGGCAGCTAGCGGTCATGTGCATCGAGATGGCGAAGCTAAGTATGTGCATTAGCCATATCCTCTCGGTGCAGTATGGAATCACAAACTCCAAGGCTAGTACGTGGACGGCCACGATGCTTTTCGCGGAGTCGCTCCAGCCTGGCGACGATCAGATACAAGCCAGTGCTAAAGCCTTGCAGGAATGGAAAGGGAAACTCCCAGAAGCAGCACAGTACATCACGCCTACCCGGCACGATGTGGACTCGGGCAACGGGTGTCTGGTACTCAACCGCGCATTCTTACACATGGTCTACTATACCGCTCTTTCGTCTCTGCACCGGTCTCAGTTGCCGCCTTGGACTGGAACGCTTCCGCGCCCGGCCCGTGCAACCGTCGTTGACGTATCCCACGAGGCTGTTCGACTCGCTGCGACCAAGATCACCGAGATCGTTGGCACGCTCGACAACCTGGACTTAGTACGCTACCTCCCATCGCCCAGCATTACCGTACTCCTTCACGCCATTGTCATCCATCTCCTCGACGTGCTGGCGCCAGAAGAGTTTCTGCGCCGCACAAGCCTACAAGACTTCTGCAAATGTATGCAAATCATGGCTGCGCTGCGTGACATGTACGCTGCGGCAGATTACTCGACCGCCTTTCTCCAGGCTGCGATCCAAAGAACCGAGATTGGCCCTGTGACGCCGCAAAAGGACGAAGACAGAGAAAACTGCACGAGTACGCAAGGTCTTACGGGCACTGGACTGCGGCTGCACCCCGCCGGTGCCGGTCCTGGTCCGGAGTCTGGCCAATTGGCCCGGCCGCCCACCGACCAGGTCATGGAGTTGACTGCCCAGCAGACCAACGGTCCTCTCGGTGCTCCGACGTCTGACGCCGTAGGAATTGATGGCAACATAGACCGCCGCCTGGACTTTTCGCTCATGTCTGCCAACCCTTTATCAGACCGGCATTTTCAGCAGCGGCAGCCCGCCAACCACGTCTCCCACTGCCCACCGGACTTGGTATTTGATGCAATGGATGTAGCAAACGACCCATCAGCCATGGTCCTGAATAGCTCCAACAGCGCCACAATGGTCGGCCACGGGAATGATTTCGAGCTCAATTTCGACAGTACAACGAATCTAGGCGCGGGGGGGAAGATGTTCAACGTTGACGAGGGCGATTTTGGCGCGGTCCAAGGCGACAGCGGTGGATTCTCCCTCGAGACGGATTGGTTGATGGAGATGGGTGCGGAGGGGTTGATGTTGGGTGGGAGGTGAAGTTGTTGTTAGAGACAACGAAGATGTTAAGTTGGTCATACTACTAGTTGCTCATGCTACTAGTTGCTCATGCTACTAGTATATATAGGTTGGTTGGTCGATCGCTCGCTCGCTCCTAGACCACTGAGATGAATGGTGGTAGTCTGAACCGATCGATACCAGGATGTGTAAGTCACAAGAAAGAGGACGCGACTATGCAAGACCAATACAGATCTACCGGACACCTAAGAAGCTGGAACGGAACAAGACAACTAACTGCAAAGGGGATTGGCTAAGTTATATATTGAGCCAAGGTACATACATACATATATATATACACAGTATGTCCCTTGCAGTATATGTACTATATATGTTCTATATACAACTCATATACACAGTATATCCCCTATAGTGGACGTACTATATACAATTCATATATATAGTATGTCCCTTATAGTATATATACTTTGTATATACTATGTACAATTAGGGTAGCCTTGAAGCACGGCACGCCGAAATACGCAAGCAGTGCAAGACATCAGTGATATCAATGCAATACTATGCTATTTAATGCCTCGAGAGAAGAGACCCAGACTTAGACTCAGGTGTGAGCGGTCGACATGCAATGACAGGTCAAGGTCATTGCTGGATATATACAGTATATAGTATAGTATATAGTATAGTATAGTAGGTAGGCGGCCGGCAGTGTCGGGCTGTCAGGCTGTGTCAGGCGGTGTCAGGCCTATCCTTCGCACCCCCTTTTTTTTTGTTTTTTGTTGTATCTGGATCTGGATCTGGGTTCCATTCCACTCCATTCATTCACATTCCATTCAGTGGAACTTGTTCTTATGGGCTTCGACGTCATTCTCCAAGAAGATCTCGATCTTCTGGTTCATCTTGGGCCCAATGTCTTCGATGAAGAAGCACGCAATAACGGCGACACATCCGAAGCCGGTTAGGGCCAGAGCGACGGTCCTAGAGAACAATCGAGCCAATGTTAGCGAGGGAACTCTGAAGATTCAGCTTAGGTAACAAACAAGAGACACAGACATATGGTCCAGACCGAGAAAGAAGACGTGGTCCAAGGTGGCTAAGCCCAGCCTATGACATGACAAGAAAGACAGTATGCATAGTGCAAGAGTGGGAAAGACATGAAGGGGCCACGACTTGGCAAAACATGGACCACAACTGGGAGAGACATGGTGCAAGACTAGGAAAGATGCGATGGGACCACGACTGGAAAGACATGGTGCCAGATAGGACAGACATGGAGGACCACGACTAGAGCTTTAGACTCTCTTAAACCGGCATGGCATGAATCGGAGGACGACAACTCACCTTAGACCATGCACAAAGCTCTCAAGCCAGGCGGCACTCGCGGCGGAGGCAATGGCGGCAGTCAGACCTGGAACCTTCTCCATCGCGGCGGCACCCAGTGGCAGAGCGGCGGCGACGGCGCGGGCGACAGCGGGCGAAGCACCGGCAGCCTCGGCGGCAGGGACGACATGGCGGGCGGCGTAGCGCGACTGGACGTTGACCAGGATGGTCTGGAAGGTGGTGACGGCGACGGCGCCGCCGGACTCGCGCGAGACGCCGGCAAGACCACCCGCGATGCCCAGTTCGACCTGGTCGGCGCCGAACTGGATGTAGGTGATGGACAGGTACTGGGCGTAGCCGAAGCCGGCGGCGGACAGGAAGGCGAAGGCGATGGCGGGACCTTCGCGGTCCGGGGTGACGTAGGCCAGCAGGCCGCCGAAGAGCGTCATCCACGCGATCGAGATGCCCATCTGCCACGGCCAGTGCTGGAAGCGGTTGCCGGCCACGGACAAGAAGACGCCGCCGACCAGGATGCCAAACCCTTGCACGGTCGCGAGCCAGTACACGACGTGCGGCGGCGTGGTCGGGGTCGTGAAGTACAGCGACACCATCTCGCCCCAGATGATGTTGGTGCCGTAGTAGAACATGGTGACGACGAAGCCGACGATGAACGGCGCCGTCATGGCCCGGCCCTTGTTCTTGGTGAACAGCCTCGTCGGCGTCAGCGGCTCTGCCAGTGGCACAAATGTCTCCCACACCCCGAAGAAGATCAGGCACGCGAACCCGGCCACCAGCAGTCCAATCACTCGTGGGTCGTTCGACGGCACCAGCTGCACATACACGATCCCCGACAGAATCATCGCCGCGCTCACCGTAAAGCTCACGATGCCCACGTAGTCCAGGTTTCGGAGTGCTTGGTCCCACGGGATCCCGCGCGGATGCTTGGGCGGGTAATAATACAAGAAGAGAATGGCGAACACTATGACCATCGTGATGACCATGGCCCAGTAACCCCAACGCCACTGTTGCGAGTCGTCAGTTCAGTTCAATTCAACCGGTGACCGTGGACTAGCTTCTCTATAGAAAGCTTCTAGAAATCCAGACAGACATGGAAAGGGGTCAATTCACTTACTGCGTCCCCGTGCCGGATGGCGATCCGGGCCGTGACCGGGCCGGCAATGACATTGAAGAAGGCCACACCGTCTGCAATGACCACGCCAATGTGCCGCCATTTGTTGGGCAGCAGCTCTGGGATGGCGAACGTGGTCAGTTGACAGTTGCCGGCTCCAAACCCGATCAGCACGTGAGCGGCAATGGATTGACTGATGTGATGCGACGTCGCTCCTACCAGGGCGCCGATAAAGACGAGCAGGTTGCCCATGAGAATGAACGACCGCCGCCCGAAGAGGTCGCTGTTGGCGCCACAGGTCATGAAGGCGATGGTTGCGGCCGCAATGTAGACCGAGGTGACCCTACACATGGACATATCAAAGGTCAGTACTCCGTACAATACCTGGTATCCATCCATAGTGTATATATATATGTGGCGCCAATAAGAGGAGTATGGGTAACATACCAAGTCCCGTAGGCCGGCGGAGATCCGAACGAAGCTGCAATCTCGGGCTGGATGGTGCTGAAGAACGGCACTGGCCAGAACGAGACGCCATAGGAGAAGGAGAGCGTCTTGAGCCAGACAAGATGGTAGATATTAGCTGGGAGGACAACTTCGAGAGGAGGTGGCTAGAGCTAGCAAGGCATAACACACCACGACAACTGCCCACGTCTTCACCGTCACATAACCTTCTTCTCCGTCTTCAACTTGAACGGCGCTCTTTTCCAGGTCGTGGTTGTGGCCGTGGCCGTGGTTGAGGTGTGTCGAGACATCCTCGCTGGCTGCCTCCAGATCCGGATGGACTTCAATCTGCTCATCGTGGTGATGGCTCGTTCCTTTTTCCTCACCTGCACCCTTCATGTGAGTCGTGTCGGTTGGGGTTGTCGCATCGGCCATCACTCAGCACTCAGATAGACGTGTCCAGCTATCACTGTACCATGTAACCAGGCGGATGATTGATGGCTCTGGCTCCTGGCTCCTGAGTCCGTGGGTAATACCACATTATCTACGGATATGTTTGTAACCAAGTCTCTATCGAATATCTATACACCCGAGGGCTAAGCAGGCCCCAGTTTCTCCCCCCACGGGGTTCTCCCCATATACCAAGGAGGCACGTCCAATGGGAGATGGGAGATATTCGCCCAGCCTCCATTAACCCCGGCTAACTCGGCGGTCTAGTGCTTGATTCGCATCTTCATCCCCGGCTAACTGCTCGATCGATCAGGCATGGCCTCGATCGTTATCCGCGGCTGTTCGACGGTAGTAATATCCTGGGATCAGATCGAGTATAGACCATCTTCATCCCCGGATGTTTGGTTCGGACCCTTGGAGTATATAGAGACAGCGGGGATGCGCTCTCTGCTATGGTATGTACTAATCGATCATCGGCGCATCAATCACCTTCAACCTTTAAAAAGCTTATTGTGAAGTCACTGGTACCTTGTACAACATGGCCACCGCAGTCCTACAGCCCCAAGCCGTCACCACCATCTTGAACTACCATCTCGAGCCTGAGCGAGGTGGAGCGGAGGTCTGGTGCCCCGGCACCGTTCGCGACAAGCGTCGACCGCACGAACACGCAGAAGTCACCGTCTACAACATTCGAGGACATGAGGCCGAATTCACGCTGGACAAGCAGGGTTTCGCCGTCGGCCCGTTTGCCACGTCCGTGGCCGATGTCGACGATGATTCGGAGTTCAGGGGACAATACTATCAAGACGTGATTGCACATTTGAAGAAAGTGTACGTACCTCCTGAGTCCCTCCTACCCTCTCTAGGGTCCTACAAGTACAGTACTACTTCACGGAAGAAAACATTATCATCCGCTGGATACATAAAGTACCTGCTAATTCTCTCTCTCTCTCAGGACTGGCGCAACCAAGATCCTGCCTGTGGTTCACATCGTCCGTCGACTACCATGGGACCAGGTGGCAGCCGCGGAGAAGGACCTGCCCGACAGTGCGCCGGTGACAGCACCCACGGCCAATCGATCTGGTAAGCACCATCCTGGACTCGGCTGAAGTCACTGCCTGCCTGCCTGCCTGTCTGACTGACTGACTGACTGACTGTAGTACACGTCGATCAATCCTACTTTGGCGCCGAACTGGTACGAGACAGCAAACTGGACGAATTGCCCGCGGCCGAGGCGGAGAAGCTCAAGAAAGTGCGCTGGGCCATCATCAACCTCTGGCGGCCGCTGAACCCGGTGACGCGCGACAACATGGCGCTCTGCGACGCCCGCACCGTCGACGAGAAGGACCTGACCGCCGTGTACGCCGACCTGCCCGAGGAACTGCGGAACGCAAAGACGGGCTACAACTTCGCCGCCAAATCGCGCTCCGAGGCCTGGGAGGTCAAGGCCAACCCGCGCGCCCACAAGTGGTACTATGCCGCCAACATGAAGCCCGACGAGGCCTTGTTGATCAAGCAGTTTGATTCCAAGCCCCACGGCGTCGCGAGGCGCACGCCCCATAGTGCCTTTGCCGCCAAGGAGGACTATGGTCCTACCAGGCAGAGTATCGAGGTCAGATGTCTTGTTTTCTGGGAGGACCAGCCGCAGGAGTGATTATATACTACATATAGTACTACTTACTATATTAGTAGTAGTAAGTACTACACATGTGGTGTATACATAGTTTTGTTTATATCCTACTACTACTATATAGTCGGGTTTGATCTAAGTTGGGATCGGATACGGTTTATATCATATAGATCCGATCCGCGATGATCTTATCAGCGTTTAGAACCGTATTAGAGCCGTGTTGAAGCCGTGTTGGAACAGTGTTGGAGCCGTGTTGGAGCCGTGTTGGAACCGTGTTGGATACCTAGTAGTAGTATTCGACTCTCTATAAAGCTATGGATCTTATGGACTCAATACGGGTCTAGCCTTAGTAGTTCTAACCCGGATCAAGGATTACTATGTACTAGGTAGTCGAGATCAGACCTAAATTAAACTTTAGTCAAAACCGGATTGAACCCAGATTAAACCCGGATCAAATATACCTATTATATTGATTAGTGTCTAAACACTGAGAGTATCACTTATTTAAAAGCCGTAATATACCTAGTATTGATAGTACCTAGTATAGTATGTAGGTAGCTCAATCCTCGAATGTATAGTAGTATATAGTAAAACCAAGCTCGACAGCAGGCCACAGAAAGTTCTCCTCCTTCTATCCTAGTTGCTTCCACTGGTTCGCTGACCGGCGGCCGGCTATTAGAGTCGCTGTTGAAGTCTTGAGGGCTGCAGAGCGTCGCGCGGGCGCTGTCCAGAATGGTTATATTGGGATCGGACTGCGCTGCAGGACGCATGTTGCGTTGAGATGTGTGGCTTGCGGGCCTCAGCGGATCAGTTTAAAGACTTCGCCGGGGCATGCATTCGCATTCGGGAGAGGTAGAGGCGTCGGGATGGTGTCGGGTAGTCACTGTGTGTGCTTGTTGGGGCGCAGCTGTGAGCCATGGTGGTACGCGCCCGTCTCTTGTTCTCAAACCTCATCCCAAGGGAACACTATAAGCCGCACAGAAGCATACAGATCCCAGCACAAATACAATTGCATTTGAGCGCGGTCATGTATGTTGCTGACGAGGAGACCGGGTGGAATTTGCTAGGAACTGTCACTGAAGTGTCTTGACACAAGCGATAGACTTCCCATGTTCGCCGCTCTGCTATTGAGATTGTTCGTGTTTGAGAGTACTATACTATTCACGCAGTGTACTAAAGGACAGAAATCGAACAAGTCTAGCAAAATGAGGACGGGGTTTTGGGTCCTCACATCATTTCTGGTGCTAAGTGTGCCGACCATGTGGAAGCCACGACGAAAAACTGATCATCAAAGCCGAAGTTGCCGCCGGACACCCTCTTGGAGACGACAAGTTCAAAGAAAATCATGGCGATGTAGTAGGCAGTTACAATAGGCATAGTAGTATGTTGTACTGGTGCTTGTAATAGATGGTAAGGTCGCATTTCAAAGTGTATCTCTTCGAGGAAACCGCACCCTCCTGATGGAAGCCGTCCGACCCACCCCTTCCGCCGCCATTTTGTCGCAGGAAGATATCTGGTCAAAGAAGTTCGCTGCTGGATTTGAGGAGGAGGTTGCCGCAGATTGACGTGTATGGCCTGAATACAGAATATGCCCAATGCTCATAGGGGGTTAGCCGTACAAACACAGGAAGAGAGGGACAAGATTGATATCAAGAGGAAACTGCAGTAATCAACCATTCGTGAATGCAATGCGAGAATGTTGCCAGAATGACCTAGCTGCGCTCCGAAAGGCCAATACGGATCATGCGGAAACTTACAAGGCGAGCATGCGCATCGACAGGACAAACTTGAAGTTGCCGGCTCTTATCTCTGCGTTCAGGAGGCATGTCCATTGACCCAGCTCGCGGGAGAAGTCCCTTGGGGCGGTCACCATGTCTACCGTTTCTGAGAATAAACAACTACTGTACATCGTAGGTCTCGCCGATGAGTATACTAGTAACAAGACTTTTTATACCGCCGCACACATACACTGAGACATCAGCCCAACATAACAGCAAAGTACTCCGTACATAGTATCATCTGAGACACATATAGTACATACTATGCATGTAGTATGCCGTAGAATATTCCTTCAATTGTTCTCACTCAAAACAAAAGTAAAGCCGACTCCGTCACTTGTTCCACCGACACAGGTACTGGTATAAGTGCCAGTCGGACAAACGGCATTCGCGGCCCTCACACAACCTTCCCATCTTCCCTTGCTCACATTGATCGTTGCTCCCTTGTCGGCATTGACAGCTGTAAGGGTGAATTTGGACGTGCCCGAGGCTCCAACCGTGGTTGATGGATCACCGCCGCAGAACTCAATGGCGCCTGCGATCCCACCACAGATGGACAAGATGGCCACGTTGGTGTCGTGTGTGACCAGTGAGACGGTTGGGTCATCACATGTGGTTCCCGTCACTGCCGCTGGGTTGACTGCAGTATTGGCTGGGTTTCGAGGTTGCACGGGGCTGCGGACGTCGAGGGCCTTCGTGTTGCTAAGGAAGAGTGGTGAGGCTGATGTTCCGATGAGCAGGAAATAAGATATTGAGAGGAAGTTATGGAAGGAAAACTGCATGGTTGCTGGTTGTTGGTTGCTGGTTGCTAGTGACTGGTTGCTGGTTGTTGGTTGCTGGTTGTTGGTTGCTGGTTGCTGATTGCGGTTTGAAAGTCTTCAGAAAAGCCCTTGTAAAGGAGAGTGGTGAAATGCAACAGAGGTTTCTTTGTACAACGAACGAATGGTGTGTATGTACCGAGTCTGCTGAGAGAAGTAGAGCAAACACATGGGGGGCAGGTACATTTAATCACCTTTTCTCTTACTCACCAGGCCTGAAGTGATCTTACTTTTCGCTCCTGACCTCCTTGGGACCGAACAAGAAACAAGCTAGAATTGGGACTGGGCGCATAGCAGCTCCTGCGGTGTAAATTTCTTGAACGCCTCGCAGCATTGTGAAGAGCGCGACGAAAGCTGTGGGTTGATGCGAGACAAACGTGAGTCTGCCACGACGTCTCGGATCCAATAGTTGAAGCGTTCTATGTTAGAAGCTAAGGAAGATTGTTTGAGGCTGGGCCTTGCATTATTTATATACGGCGGATCATATGGTCGTGTATGGGATATAGGGTGGAGTATGTACCCCGGCCAGGGTTAGGGTTAGGGTTAGGGTTATTTCGACTCGTCCTACTATGTACCCAATACTACTATATAGACAACTGTATATATAGTCTAGCCCGGATTAAACACGGATTAAATCTAAATGAAACCTATATAGTAGTGGTATATTACTATATAAGTAAAAATATATCTAGGTGTCTAGACGTGTTATCAGAAGCTAAGATGTACTGTGAAATATAATGTTGTTGTTGTTCAGTGGACAATGGTGCCAGACCACTCTGAACAATCAACCTGGGTGGCCGATCCAACTGCAAGACCAACACCACTGTTTCCAAAAAAGGCCTCGGAAGCACCACTGTCGCTGCAAAGATCAAAGTTCACGTTGGCTCCGTACTGGTTGGTGCCTGACAGACCGTCCTGGGCACAGAGCGGATTCCCATCAGCCGGGCACAAGTTGTTGACCATAACGACGATGCTGGTTCCGGCATTACTGAGCGCGTTCCCGGATGAGTCAGTTTCGCCCACAAGCTTCCAGCATGTACCGCATGCTGGACCCTGACCGGCACCGGGACCGACGCCATACAGGTTCTGGCTCACGGCTGCGCTGAAGCCTGGGTAGGTGTAGAAGAAACAGGCGGCAGTGTTGGTGTTGCAGTTGGGAGATCCGAAACTGTCGCCTGCGCCGTAGTGCGTCATGGATGCTTTGTAGGTCAGCCCTCCGCTCGACGCAGGGCTTGTGGATGTTGCTGCCTGGCTGGCACTGGTTGCGGTACTTGTTGCAGATGTCTCGGAAGTGACAGGCTCCACGACAGGAGCGACCGACGTCGAAGGTTCAGGGGTCGAGCTCTCGACCGGCTCAGAGATGGTGGTTGCTGACGTCGAACTCTCGACCGGCGCAGAGATGGTGGTTGCTGGCGTCGAGCTCTCGACTGCCGGAGGAGCACTAGTACTCTCGGATTGCAAACACTGATAATACCACGGATTTTGCACAACACAGGTCCAGCCTTGTGCACATGCTGTACCGCCGGTCCAGTTGATTCCCCCACCTATCAAACGTCAGTGATATGTCTTGGTTCACTGTAAACTGCTGGCTCGAGGCCCTTACATTGTTCCCATGGGCCCTGTGTCGAGGTCGAGGGAGCTGGGCATGCAAGAGCAGCCGAAGCAAGAAAGAGCAATCCAATTGACTTGTACATTATGTACAGGCGTGGTCGTTGAATGTTCGAACAGCAAGCAATCAACCAGAAATAGCGAATGACCCAGTAACGAAAGACAGAAGTTGGATAATCTCGATCGACGAGAAGAAAGGAATGGACGGTTGGTTGACTGAGGACATACTGTTGACGGACAGCTTTGTGGAATATATATGCTATTTCGGCTGACAGGGACCATGCATGTCTATTGCCTTGCATACGTCGGCCAGCTCTGCCGAAATCTGATGTTGCTTAGATGTCAGGGAGGACATGATGTTGAATCGACCCGCAAAGGGCTGGAATTGCCTGTCGCACCACCACGTTGCCAGCACCAACCGATGAGAGCAGGGTCCCTTGGAGCAAACTAAAATCAGTCCAACCAGCTTCGGACAGGGAGCTTGCGATTGAAGTGGTCCGGCTTCCAGCGTGAAGGTGGGCAGTCATGATATTGCCAGAGATCTCAGGCGTACTAGACAGGGGCGATATCCTTGTCCTGAAACGGCGACCAGATGATGGTGGCAGTCTTGGCCCAGGCGACAATAAGATCTCTCCACTCCCGCCAATCTCTGCACCGGAGTTTTGGCGATGCTCCAATCACGCTGGCGTCGGGTTGTTATTTATCCTCTCCCTGCACACCATCTCCCCTATACATGTGTGTATGTTTGCCGGGGGGCAGGCTAACATGGTTTGTGTTTTCGATGCATATCGATCAAGGTGGCGTACCAGCCACTAAGCCATCGATGGCCCACGTGCGACAAGGGAGACAGCTCCTGAAATCTTCCTGTTCGTCCGCCGAATAAAGGACATTATTACACCCCATACACTTCAAGGAGCTCATCCCTCCCATCAGACGTCAACACGTGATGGTTCTGTGTGCCTGTGGCAAGTTTTCCATCGGATGCAATTTCAAGTCACTTTGTGAGCGGATCTCTTGGTACTCTGTAGGCGTCGTCCCTGGTTTCAACGTTGCCGGGTTGTCCATGTACCTGCTCGGGCTCGCGCGGAAGCCAGACCAGTCCCAAACAACATGCTGCAATCTCCTGTGTCCCCGTCCGAATACTGGCTGGCCGTCTTGGACCGGGAATTCCTATCTACTGATGGATGATGATAAGAATGAGATGGCTTCCTCAATGGCATGTCCTGCACAGGACAAGTGTTGACACGGAAACCAGTGTGCAATGGTGTGTTGTCCAACTGGTGAAGGAGAGTCTGATGGTACTGTTGTCATGATTTGCTTCTTGTATTTGTTCTGGTTCCTTTCATGTTGTGAGTTCTGTGCCTGTCCATCCTTCTTGCAAGCAATATCTACCTCGGTCTCCATTATGCCTACAAAGCGCTTTTTTCACATGGGCTCGTAGTGTGACAGGACTTGTCGAGTTGCCGGGACACGTATGGTACGCCACAACAGAACTCCCACCAGCACAAGAGTCGTTGCTTGCAGTATTCTTATTTGCTAACATCAAAGAGAAAGTCACAGCTCTCGGCAGGCTCTTGGATTTCGTCGCGAGAGAATGATATCCAACCACTGGTGGTATCTTCGTAGCCGTCACCTTGCTGTCTTGGGTGTTGACTAGCGTTCCGCAGCGTCTTGCCTAGGCCGGTGTATTCAAGCATGATGCTAGTCCGGAGCTTTCACTCCAGACCTCGCGATTGCCGTATAATCCTCACCTGATTTCCAGCTGGCTGTGGTGTCACCCACGACTGACATAAAGGCCGACCTCCCCAAGTCTGGCTCGAGTGCAAAAGGTACTCCTCCAGTGTGGTAGACTATAACCTGTGTGTGTGTCTGGATGGGGATCCGCAACGCGCCTTGCTGTTACAAGCAACACATTGTTTTCTATACCGACTTCACGGGTCGCCCGGGGAGATACCATATCGGTTGAGGGAGACCTTCAGTCGTAATGCCTAGCTTTTCCGGAGTCATCTTGTCAGCTCACAGTAGAGACCATGTCCATAGCTGCCTCAACGGCAACCACCTCAGTGTCTGGCGACTATCCACCGGTGTGTGTCTTCTCTAGCGCTTTGGTGTCTCGGGAGTTGCGTGTGTAGAGGCATGAGGACGGGTGGGGAAATAGGAAGATGTGCTTGAGATGATGCAGTTGACAGCCATTCTCCTCGAAATGCATCATTGGGACGGCGGGTGGGATCTTGTACTCGGGGGAAATATTGTTTGCCTAGAATGCTTGAAGCCGTGAACTTGGTTCGACCGTATTAAGTGGGTGGCGGTAACCGCTTTGATGGGGGTTGCTGGCGTGGCGGGTTGGCACGAATATAATTTGGGAGATGGCAAAATTTAGTCGCACCTCTCAGCTTGTCCAAGCCACGTCCGACAGCAGGTGACGATATGCCATGCCACAACCATTTTCCAGTCTTGCAATTTCATCGAGCGTGTCAACGTGAGCGGCAAGTCAAGTTAAGTCAAGGAGACAGAAGAGTCATCTCTGAACTGGACTTGTGCTATTTTCCCTGTTTTCTATGGGATCCAACCTCCGAGAGCTACTCTGTACGTATCAATATGACTCGCACTTGATGCTATACACGACCCAACGCAGGGCAGACCTTGCAGCAACTGGAGGAAGGATGGGTTTAGCCCAGTCCGGCTCTGGTCGTCTTGACAACATGCTTGATCGCCTCAAGACCACCCTTGTTACCGACCGCTCCAATACCCATACCGCTTGTCCAGCCCATTTTCTCCAATATCGCCCGGCCTTTGTTGTCGGCACCAAGCTCTGGAGCAGACCCGCCGACCACCTCGCCATTCATGTAACTCGCACCGGAAATAGCACCGCCACCGCCTCTGTGAGCTCTCACAGCACCTGCACCCCGAGCAGAGTTCGGACCTCGGTAAGAGCCTCCCCAGGACTTGGGGAAAAACTTCCTCGTATCCATAAGAGCATCAATCTCCCAGATGGTATCGATGGTGAACCTCGGAGTGTGAGGGCCCTTGGTCAGGACGGGATATCTGCCAATGCCGTGTCCTTCCTTGCCTTCCGAGTGTGACTTCAACTTCAATGCCTTTGCGAGTCGATGGACCGAAGCCCGCGTTGCCGAGTCCATCGGAGCCAACTTGAGGACATCCTCTTCCTGGACAAGGAACTGTCTGATCTCGGCCTTGATCACGACTGGGGCGTTGCGTCCAGAAGCCTCGAGCAGAGCAGCTTCACGTGCCTCCTGCTTCTCGCGTTTCCTAGAAGCCTTCTTCTCCCTATCCTTGCTCCAAGCATTTCGTATCTGCTCTGCCAATTCTTCATCTTCCAGCCCAAGCTCAAATGGTAAGTCAGACTTGCGTCCCTTCTTCTTAGGTCGGAGACTCGGTCGATCAAAATCCATTATGTCAAAAGCACCGTAGGGATCTTGCTCAAGAGCATCGGCAAATGCCTCGGCAGGCGGGAAGTTATCCCGATGTCGTCTATTGCGCTTCGACTTGCCACGGCTGGAAAGATGTGCCTTCGAGGAGAATGGGATAAAATCTTTGTCGCCGGCAAATTCATCTTCGTTGTCATCGTCGTCTCCAAATTCACCGTCAAAGAGCATCAGTTCGTCGCCGCCCAACCCAAGCTCTTCTTGCTTTGCGAGCGCCCGAGCAATCTGCTCGTCAGTCATACGAGAGGTGTGTTTCAGTATGCGGGCGTTCTCTTCATCCTCTGACTCGATATTCTCAACCAAGTCATCAAGAGCCTCGTCACTCTCTGACTCCGTATCCGAAGACTCCGTATCCTCAATGTCCATGGAGCGGATCTCTTCAAAAATGCGTATTTCTTTTAGCGCGGAGGCCGACTTCAGCTTCCCCTGTAATATCCAGCGAGCCTCACTTGTATCCTGTCCACTTGCAGTTACAAGGTATTGTGAGCCACTGGGTCGGACTCGATGTCTCAGTACCTGGGTAATCTCAACCACATCTTCGTCAGTGGTGCTCAAATCGTCAAAATCCTCCAAGTCTGCCGAATCCCAATCGATGGCTTGACCGACGGTTTCCTTGATGGCCGTTCCCGACGAGGTTTGAACTTTCTGGTTAGCCTGAACAGAGCCATCGAAGAATTTGTAATGTTCATTGCTCCTGCCTCCACGCCCTCCAGCGTCCTCTTCTTCGCTGTCATCATCAAATGCTAGATTTTCAATGTAGTCTCTCATGATGGCCTCTTCGTCCTCCCATTTTTGCCGATTTCGGAGACGTGCTCTTTCGCGACGGTCCAGGGGTCTGTTACGTGGGCGAGCTGTTTGAGGGTTGATAGCCTTAGGGATACTCTGGTTTTGTGGAACGGTGACTTTGATGTCTGTCTCAGGAGCTGGATGGACAATGGTATTTGGCTTCGGGTCGGGGTCGGCAGCACGGATAGGTATGGATATTGGTGTACGGGCTCTGGGCGTGTTCCTCGCCGGTGGATTTGATCGACCAAGAAAGACTATCTCCTCTGAAGACTGCGATGAGGTCGAATTTTTCCTGGACTGAGATTGAGGTGCGGCCGAGACCTCCACGGGTAGAAGGATCGGGGGAGCTGTAGAGTCTTCTTGACTGGGCTCAACGGTACCATCCTGAACTGGTTCCACAGGATCTTGTTCCGGAGTGTTTTCCTTGGGTGCGCTGTCTGTATCATCTTCCTGCCGCAGAGTGACCGGCTCTTCCCTGACCAGAGTGCCAGCACTGACAAAAGTAATGGCCTGCTCCCTCAACTTGGTAGCCCCCCAGCCTGTCGAATGACGTTCCGTGTTTCGAGCCTCTTGACTCATGCTTAACAGCCCATTTTGAGCATGCGGTGAAAATGAATCGGAGAAGTCTTGCCAATCTCGAACAGAAGTTCGGTGTCTGGTGAAAGCGCCTAGAACATGACTGTTAGAACTTGTTGTGGGCAATGCTGAGCTTCACGCTTGCCATACCGTTGTTGGATTGATTGACCTGATTTGAGGCCCGTGGGGAGCCTTTCTGCCCGCCATTTGCTCTCTTACCTCGCGCCTGAGCACGTTGTCGTGCCCCCATGGCGGGGCGAGATGATTGACCAAGCTGCCCCTCTGCGATGGATGAGAATGCCGCAGTAAGAAACGGGAGCTCAAAAATTGAAATGTGTGGAGGCCTTTTGCAGAATGTACAAATACAGGCACTCAGACGTTGTGTGACTCTTAACGCGGACTTGCCACTGTGAATCACTGCAGAACTGTCACATACGATGGGGTATGTATCAGAATGGCTTGCGTTACCTCTCCGGAGGATGCAGGGATGGAAATGAATAATGACGAACCAGCAAATAGAGTCGCAGCTGGACTCTCCGCCAGTCACACACGGTCCGGCAGAGTCGCCGCCACCGATCTGGCCCAAGGGCCCGCCTGACGCACTCTGTTTAGTCCCTCGCCCTTGCAAGGCTGACCGGTGTCTGGCTGCCTGCGGCCCCTCGATTGCTTTCACCGACCCTACGCAGTATGCAAACAGAACACCTTCATAGCAGCCCAGTATAGTACACGAGACCAAGTCAACATTCCCTTCCCGACATCCCATCATCAGCGATCCCTCTGCGGAGTACCGTTCTCTGTCACCCTCAAGCCCTTACAGTCCTGGAGATCCTTCGAGCTCTGTTTGCCTCCCGTTACAACCACGAGTATTCACGTCCTCGCCTTGGCTATATCGAGCCCGAACTTTCGTGGGAACCAGACTGCGCACCCAACCCACAACTCCCCCGAGTTCTGCCACCGGCGTGGGCATCATTCGGTCTGTTGCATGCGTTTTCCTCTACCCTTCAACATCTCCCTGGCCAGGGCGTCATGAATGGGGTCGACTACAAGCGCTTCGTGCGCTACTTCTACGACCCTCCGCCCAAGCACGATGATATGTCCGGGACATCAATATGGCTGTTAGGGAAAGAATACACAACCGCACCTCCTAAGCCCGTGACCACAACAGACCACGACGATGTGGTTGAGGTCGAGTCGTCGACGGACTCCCAGGATCCTTCAGACGCCAGCGTTTCGACAACACTGGACACACACTCTCATCCATTTCACAACACGAGTAGCTTTGATGACGCCCAGCATGTAACTGGAGAGAATATTCCTTCCCTTTCAAACGATCCCTCCGACGGTGGATGGCCCCATGCGTTCTTGGACGACTTCGAATCACGGATATGGATGACTTACCGGTGCAATTTTACACCAATTCCACGTGCACAGGACCCCTCGTCTAACGCCTCCATGTCTTTCTCCGTCCGCCTTCGTAATCTAACTGAGCGTGAGGGTTTCACCAGCGATACCGGCTGGGGTTGCATGATCCGATCAGGACAATCTCTTCTCGCAAACACCCTGATGATGCTCCATTTAGGCCGCGATTGGCGGCGAGATCAGATACCCACGTCTCCATCCACCAGTGGCTCCCCGTCAGAATCGACTCAGCGTGAAGCGGAGATTCTCTCGCTCTTCGCCGACTCCCCTGATGCTCCCTTCTCCATCCATCGTTTCGTTCAGCACGGCGCCTCAGCATGTGGAAAGCACCCAGGCCAATGGTTCGGCCCTTCAGCAACCGCATCGTGTATCAAAGAACTCTCGACGGAGTGCGCTGCAGCGGGCCTGCGAGTCTACGTCACGCCTTCAGCCTCAGAAGTGTATGAAGACCGGTTCCGGTCCATTGCGGCAGCTAGCCTCTCAGATCCTGCGATTAAGCCTACATTGATTCTACTGGGAATTAGGCTTGGGCTTGATAGAATCACGCCCGTGTACCATGAAGCACTGAAAAGTTCCCTGACCTACCCACAATCGATCGGGATAGCAGGAGGCCGGCCATCGTCGTCCCACTATTTTGTCGGTTGTCAGGGTGATCTCTTCTTCTACCTCGACCCTCATGAGACACGGCCAGCACTGCCATACCATGCCAGTGCGGCAGAATACTCCGAAGAGGAAATCGCGACGTGCCATACGCGCCGCCTCCGGGGGTTGCGGATTAGCGAGATGGATCCGAGCATGCTAATTGGGTTCCTGATCAAAGACGACGCAGACTGGGAGGATTGGAAGCGGAGGATCCGAGAGGTCAAAGGCAAGGCGATTGTCAATGTTTTTGACAAGGAGCCGCCTGTGCCTGGGGAGACCAAGGAGCGCAAGGAGGCAGTCGACGAGGTCGAGACCTTCGACGATGAGGACGATGACGAGACCGTGACCTTGACTGGGGAGGAGGGTGAGCTTGAACGTGATGCAGAGGCAGGGGGAGACGGAGTCAAGGTCGAATCACATCCAAACCAGGACGTTTCAGTCCACGTTTGACGACGACTCCCTCCGCTTCGGTCATAGTCAGGCGTGAGTCTTGGAGTCCGAGATCTTATATGCCCATGACGGTTTTATGCCAAACTGCCATTGGCAGTTGCTCGTTTTTTCACACAGTACGAAATGATTACACGATATAAGGATTAATGTGACATGCTACTCGATCGAATGCCTTTCCAAATCAGCGGGAGAGCGCGCTATTCCCAACATCTACCCTTGGTATCGTATCCGGTGCTGCTACTACTGGTATTGCCAGTGGTCTATAGAACCATGCAGTGCACCTGTCGGAAAGCTTGGAAGTCGCTACAGTGAGTACCTTACCTGAAGATAGGTAGTGTTTCACGAGCCAGACGCGATGGTCTGTGTTTCGCAGCTGCATTCTGTGCCGGTGTTGAGGAGGGTCTGACACCACTCTCCCTTATTCATGCATGTATTCGACAGCATCGATTGACACGAGCCTCGCTAGCGCGTATTGCCACAACGCGTTCCAAAACATTGGGAAAACTACAGCCACAGTACTGAGCATGTTGTGGCCAGATAGAAGGGGTTGGAATTATTCATCTCATGCTCTCATTTGGTTTCTGTATCTGCACTTCCAGTTCAAACGCGATTCAGCAAGTCCGCGCTGATATTTCACGCCATTGCGTGGTGAGTATTGTACACTGGTCATCCACCATGTCAATGAAACAGAAAGCTTTGGAAACCGTCAAGCATGACCGATTGCATTTGATGAGCAAGCAATTCGAAGCCTGACCCAAGCTCATCTCATTGATCCCCAGTTCCCATGACGCATCATAAAGTGTTGTAAAACCCATTCAACACCGTTGTCCATTGTGCCACAACCCCATTGCAGAGAAAAACACGTAAAACCCAAGACCCAAGAATCCATCTGCCCCTATGAATCCATTTACTTGCTTTGGGATGAGTATTTGGTCACAGCCTTGGTTCCTTCGGAAACGGCGTGCTTGGCAAGTTCACCCGGCAGGATGAGTCTGACAGAGGTCTGGATTTCTCGGGAGGAGATGGTGGACTTCTTGTTGTAGGCAGCAAGCTTGGAAGCTTCAGTGGCAACGCGCTCGAAGATATCTGAGTCGCGCATTAGAATCGGGCACATCAGGCTGGCATACAGTAGACAGGCTTACCGTTGACAAACGAGTTCAAGATGGACATGGCGCGGTTGGAGATACCGGTGTCGGGGTGGACTTGCTTGAGGACTGGATGACTTGTCAGTAATATTCCAGTAGCTGCGATTGCGACGCGACAGCGACGAGATGAGCAAACTAACCCTTGTAGATGTACGAGGAGTAGGTCTCCTTCCTGGTCTTGCCGCGCTTCTTCTTGTCACCTGAGGGAGCGGCGGCGGTCTTCTTGCCAGCTTCCTTCTTCTCAGCAGCTGGGGCCTTGCCAGCCGGGGCTTTGCCGCCAGTGGTGGGCTTCTTCTCGGCAGCTTTGGGGGCCATTTCTGATGAATTGGATCGCGAAAAAAGCGAGATTTAGTGGATGAAGTAGTATGTGAGATGAAATTGGTTGAGAAGGGTATGTGAGCGTGATGCAAAGGAGCTGGTGTGGATGGATGAAGAGGGAAGAAAGAGGAAGTCGCGAAGTGCGGATGATGGCGACTCTTATACCAGGCCCAAGTGCAGGAGGAGGGCGCGGGTTGATGCGAGGGAGCGCACGAGCAGGCAATGGCGGGCACTGGTTGATCTAGGTAACAGGATTGCGCGAATTATCAGTGTATTGTTATTCCTTCGTTTTTGAGGACTTTTTAGCCAGTCAGAGTGCAAGATCACGAGTCTTGGCGGAAAGATATGGTCACATACCGTACTGACCAGCCGTATTGTAAATCACAACAGAAAAGCCATTTTGATCAGTTGGCGCCGGGCCCGCTGATTGGCTGCACGAGCTGCCCGTGATCTAAACAACCCGCCCATGATCCATGATCCTCCCATCCACCACAAAAGCAGCTGCAGGTTGATCTGGAGCCGCGCCGTTGCTTTCCCACTGCCCGCATCACTGGCCTGCCCACGCCTTTATAAGTTCGCTTTCCCTCCTCCTCCGCCATCGCTTCCCCTTCTCCTTTCTCTTCATCCATCGTCAACTCAGCTCCCATCACACATCTTCTGCGCCAGTCGTAACCTTCTCTCAAACCAAATTCAACTTCCCAAACCCAAACCTCCCCCTTCAATCAATCAAAATGACTGGCGGCAAATCCGGTGGCAAGGCCTCTGGCTCCAAGAACGCACAATCGTAAGTCTTCACACAGTTCTCTTACGCAGTCCATCATGAGCCGTGGCACCTGGTCACATTGATGACGCGTTTTGCGCGTCTGCCTATCGCGAAACGTGTATACTGCTTTCCAGACCACCTACTGACAACACCTGCAGCCGATCCTCCAAGGCGGGTCTCGCGTTCCCCGTCGGTCGTGTCCACCGTCTCTTGAGAAAGGGCAACTACGCTCAGCGTGTCGGTGCTGGTGCTCCAGTCTACCTTGCCGCTGTTCTCGAGTACCTTGCGGCCGAAATTCTTGAGCTTGCTGGCAATGCCGCTCGTGACAACAAGAAGACGCGTATCATCCCTCGTCATCTCCAACTTGCCATCCGCAACGATGAAGAATTGAACAAGCTCCTTGGACACGTCACAATTGCCCAAGGTGGTGTCCTGCCCAACATTCACCAGAGTATGTTCAGCCGCATTCCGATTCATACAATCCATTTACTAATGTCTTCTCAGACTTGTTGCCAAAGAAGACCGCAAAGGGCAAGGGACCCAGTCAAGAGCTATAAGCTCTTCCTGTTTCTGGCTTGGTTTTCAAGGGAGTTTCATGACAAATGTGATCACGGGGTTCCGGGGTTGGGTCGGCCGGGTCAATGGGCCTTTTCAGAGTTTGCTTCCAGGGTTAAGGGCTGTACATTATGTCCATGCATGCCTATTATCATCATGATCATGGATAGGAATGCGACAGGGCATGAGAAATGCGAATGGCAAGGCAAGCGGCTTTGCAACGGAATGTGGTCATTAGAGTTGTCAATTCAATGATCCAAATCTATGGCGAATCCATCCTGTTCTGTCATAATTCTGTTGCCACTGTTTTGGGTTTCGCTGCTTTCATTTTGGGGAAAGAGTAGGAGCTCAGCTAAAATCGCGTCCACGTGGTGCCTACTTCCTAAGTCACAACATGGGCGCCAACCAGGGATCGTGTTCTGCGACAGGCTCGGATTCAGTATAGGCAGCAGTCAGACGGATTTGGCAAATGCTACTTGGAAGATGAGGTGACGCCTACTTCATTGTAGCGTGTTGCCCAATATCAAAAGCGCTGAAAGAGCACATCATCCGGACCATTTGCGAACTGGATAAGCTCGGCCTAGCTTCTCTTTCAACATCTTCACGGCAGTCCGAGTAATGTAGGAGCACTGTATCTGGCGCAGGAAATAATTTCAGGCTTTCTCTTGTGCTAGCAGACTGTATGTCTTGGAGTGCACCAAGTGCTGGTAATAACATATGTACAATGCAAAAGCAACATTACAGAATCCTCATAATCTCTTGACAAATTCTCTTGATGGCGGCGGAAGGTCTGGAGCCGGAACGTTTCTTTCGTATTTTGAACCTAGCAACGAGTCAGTTTTCTATTCGACCGGACGTCTTTTTGTACATTGCGTACCTCCAGGGGCGGTTGGTGGGCGATATGGATCAGGATGCTTCCACTTGCTCAGCAATTTCTCCGTCTCATTGAACAAAATCTGTGTGGTTTGGATGTTAGACATAGCTCTGGTAGCTGAGAGCCAGATTGTGTGGGGCTAAGCATACTCGCTGTTGTCTTGGATCTTTCACGTTTCTGTTCGCATCGAAGAGTGATCGGATATAGACCGCTTGGCCGCGCCAGAGGTTGCGTTGGACAGCCCAGTCGAGGGCGAGCTTCAGCGACCGCCGGTAGAGAGAGCTATTCCCAAGGTCAGCGAAGAATCATCCAAGATTTGACACCCGCGGGGATTGTTACCGAACTGCCTTGATGTGAGGATTGACCGTGGCCATTCTGAATGACACAGGCGCTCACGGGCGCTCGAAATCTCAGATGGAGTCTCCCTCGCTTCGATGTATGCTGAACTGTCCAGCTACACCTGGCCTTCCCTCGTCTCCTTGGAAGTCAGTTGTGGCCCGGTTGAGAGCAAGTGTCTTGAATCTGTAATTCGAGGATGTCGATTGGAAGTGCAATGCAGTTACTAGTTGCTTGGGCTTGGCAGGGAAGCTCTACGGAGCACTACAGTACAACGGAGTAGTACGGAGTAGCCCATACACTCCGCCCGCTACAATGCGCGACTTTCAGTGCTTGACGTTCTGTCGTATGCCCAGCCCCGTTAGCCAAAGCTCTCGGGCTATCTCCAAAGCTCCCCCGTCCCCGACAAAATCCTTGGATACAACTTTTCAGCATCCGTTGCTTGCTCTTTCTCAAATACCTTCATTCCTTGTTCCTTGAGTTGGCGGAGTTTCCGCCTCATATGCCGCTTCAATAAGCTCTTCGCTCCGTGGAGCATCGACCATCTTTCGTTGTAGAACGGCCGACGGGACAATTCGAGCATCATGGCCTCGCTGCGACTTCGACGGACACCAGCTTTGGGCTCTGCCCTTGCTGTTCCCAGGTGCAGCCCATCTCTTCGTGTTCGCACGTTTAGTGCTCTGAGAACCGGCTCTGCGCCCTACCCAGCCAGCCGGCTGAGCTCCCGCTCCCCGGCCTTGCCTGCGTACGCCTCCTTCTCTCGATACCAGCAATTCAGCACGTCTCCTGTTCAGTATGCAGAAGTGACCGTCAAAGTCCCCCAAATGGCCGAGTCAATTTCGGAAGGGACTTTAAGTACATTCACGAAACAGGTCGGGGATTACGTCGAGCAAGATGAAGAGATTGCCTCAATCGAAACAGACAAGATTGATGTGGCGGTCAACGCTCCTGAGGCTGGTACGATAAAGGAGCTCCTGGTCAGCGAGGGCGACACTGTTACCGTCGGACAAGAGATCGCAAAGATCGAGCCTGGCGAGGGCAGCGGTGGTGGTGCCAAGGAAGCAACGGAAGAGCCCAAAGAGCCTGCTTCGGAAAAGCAACCCACTAGCTCAGATCCAGAGCCAAAGAAGGAGGAATCAGCGAAGGAAGAGCCGCCTTCGCCTCCTCCGAAGAAGGAGGAAACGCCCGCTCCGCCAAAGGAAGAGAAGAAGCCTGCGCCACCCAAGGCAGAGAAGAAGCCTGCATCTGAGGAGCCGGAGGGAATTTCGTCGCCTTTCGGCCCAGGTAGCAGGAATGAGAACAGGGTAAGGGACTATCACGGCCTCCATCATGATGTACAGGGCGGCTAATTGAGACAGGTGAAAATGAATCGTATGCGTCTGAGAATCGCCGAGCGTCTCAAGCAGTCACAGAACACTGCCGCGTCATTGACGACGTTCAATGAGGTTGACATGTCCAACATCATGGAATTCCGCAAGAAATACAAAGAAGAGGTCTTGAAGAAAACCGGAGTCAAGCTTGGCTTTATGAGTGCATTCTCAAAGGCCGCGGTACTTGCAATGAAGGATATCCCCGCTGTCAATGCATCTATTGAGGGTCCAGGAGGTGGCGACACCATTGTGTACCGAGACTACGTAGACATCAGTGTCGCAGTTGCTACACCCAAGGGCCTGGTCACACCAGTGGTCCGAAATGCGGAGAGTCTGGACATGGTCGGCATCGAGAAGACTATTGCGGACCTAGGCAAGAAGGTATCATCATTCCGGGACAGAGCACCCTCAATCATTCAGCTAACTCACAAACCAGGCACGAGATGGAAAACTTACCATTGAAGACATGGCTGGAGGAACTTTCACTATCAGCAACGGCGGTGTTTTCGGTTCCATGATGGGCACCCCAATCATCAATCTACCTCAAACTGCTGTCCTTGGTCTTCACGCGATCAACGAAAGGGCGGTGGTGGTCAATGGCAAGATTGAAATCAGACCCGTACGTCGAACGCTTGCATCATTATCATATCACCGGTCTGGAGACTGACACCTCGCAGATGATGTACCTTGCACTAACGTACGACCATCGATTGTTGGATGGTAAAGAAGCCGTCACCTTCCTGGTGAAAATCAAGGTAAGCTGGAGAATCGATATCCACTCCGGTATGTAACTGCTCTAACGGATATGATAGGAGTACATAGAAGACCCCAGAAAGATGCTGCTGGCCTGATTTCTTTTGCGGCCGGAACCTTTTGTCGTGGGAAAATGGCAAGCATGGTTGATTGTACAAAATTCGGAATCCAGCATTCTCTAATTTTCGATGCATCTGACACCGGACGAGAGCATCCGATGCTTCATTATCCTCGTGCCCAGCAAACCTAGGGGCAACAGAGATCATTGATTTGTTCACTTCCTGTGCTTTGCCTCCTTTTCCTGCTCGCTGCCTTGCGCGTTTACAGTACGTTTTCGCCGCACGTACAGATTCATCAATCTCGAGAAGGGTTTGAGGCGGAACCCGGTGCCTTGAGAGCTTGGAGTACTGACACACCACCCCATTTTACCAGATCTGTGCTGCTCTCTGGCAAAGCAGCTACAACAGGCTTGTTGCAGATTGAGAGGTCAATCTTTGCCAATAGCCCAGGTACGCGCTTGCTGACGACTTGACAAACTGCTTCTCTTTGTATATGTTATATGTGTTACTTTTCTAGAGTAGGACAGAAGCAGGTGGCCTGGCCTTGGTCAAGTCACCGGGACGGTTTGATGATCCCTTTTCCTCCGACAAAGCTACGTACAGGAGGATTTCAAAGAGCCGCTTTTCCAGTGTCCATTCTGGCGTTGAACCCCGAAGGCGAAGGCAGGTTCTGAGTTGAATGGATCTCTGTCACCACTCTCGCTTTGTGGGTGGCCATTCCGGGAGGAAGAAATTCGACCCAAAGCAGCCAAGGCCGTCATTCACTTCTTCACTCCTACACGTGCATTGCTTGTTTTGTCTTGTCAGGGGCCGCAAGGGACAGGAAACATGCCACAACCTAAAGGTATGCTGCCGATTCGTGTATGGATACAGGTTTGTTCATTTGGGGTCACGCAAGGGATCTATCCTGTGCATCAGATTCACCGCACACCCGACCGACCTCGACCCAGACTGGAATGTGTCCACAAGTCTATTGCTGGTCAAGGGGCCGGTCACCCTTAAAAGGGGCAGTCGCTCATACCAGGCCGGCGAATACGCTTCATGAGAACAATGCGGTACAGGGTGCGCACTACCGTCCTGTTGTCCGGGTTGTCGCTCTTCCTGCTGATCAACACGGTCGGGTGGTTGCGAGCCCATCGTGATGACTCCAAGGGTCCTCGGTATGGCGGCGACGAACTCGCATACGCATACGCATACGTATTCTACGCCACAAGCAACCTGTACGCGTGTTCGGCGCTGGTGAATATGCACCGACTACGCCACCTCTTTCAGACCCAGCACCCGATCTATCTGCTCGTCTCGTCCAGGGTGTCGGCGAAGTACAGGCGACAGTTCCAGGAGCATTACAACGTGACGGTGATTGAACAGGAACCTCCGCCCTTGGCCACAGAGAGTGCGCCATACTACCGGGACGTGCTGCTCAAGCTGGTCAGCTTCAAGCTTCATCGATGGGCTCCGCAGCTGAAGAGAATCATCGTCTTAGACTCGGACCAGCTAGTTCTGCGATCACTAGACGAGCTCTTCACGCAGATTCCGCCGCATGTCGAGCTTGCCGCGCCACACGCATACTGGCTTCCCGGCGAGCCGGGGGCCACGTCGGCTATGATTGTCGTCTCGCCCTCGGAGCCGCTGTGGCGCAGAATGAACGACACGATGGCCAGCATCGCGGCGCGGCAGTATGATATGGACTTGCTCAATGCCGAGTTCCGACACGAGATGACCTTGTTGCCTGGCCAGTACGTCACTTTGAACAGTCACTGGGAAGTGGCCGAGATCCCTAGCTGGTCGAGGTTCAGCGCCGATCAAATCAAGTGGCCGCTGGATGGGAAGGGTCCGACATCTCTGGAGAAGGAGAAGTCGTCCCAGTCGAGGGATGATGGAGACGAAGATCAAACCAGCACCAGCACCAGCACCAGCAATGATCCAAACACCAACGCCAACTCCCACCCCAGCCTTACCAAAGGCTCAAAGGCAAGACCACCACCCCCGGCCTCGCCCTCGCCCTCGCCCTCCCGCTTGACCTCCACCGTCCCGTTGCGGTACGACCGGGCCCTCGTCGACCCTTTGACAGCCATCTTCCACCGCGACGTCCACGTCCTTCATTTCACCGCCCTGGCCAAGCCATGGTCCATCCGTGTGCGGACGGTGCATGAACTGCGGCCCGACGCTCACCCGCTGTTCGCCGAGCAGTTCCTCCTGTGGCGCACCGCGGCCAAGGCTCTGTGTCCTGCTCTCGATGTCGACGACGCCGGCGCCTACGCGGTTGCAGGGAAGACGTACGTCGCCGATGCTGACATTGGTACTGTTACTGATACTGATGCTGACGATCCGAGCACCGGTACGGCTACGGCTACGGCTACGGCTACCTTGACGAAGACAGTTTCGGACCGCTTCTTGGATGAGGTCTAGCTTACCTAGCTCCCAGTGCAGTGCAGTGCAGTTGGGCGGCAGTGCTGGTTTGGTAATCTACATAGCATACCAAAACACTGTCTGTCTGTCAGTCACCTTGGGTATCTATATGTATGAACGGAGTTCTGGGCTTGGTATACATCGGTAGGTAGTAGGTACGTACGTATATATATAATCCTACTGAGCCAAGCGAAGTAGTATAGTATATACTGCAAATGTCGTCGAGAAAGCCGCGATTTTAAGCCTTAGGTGACGGGATATATTGCCCAGAACCCAACGGGGATATATATACGGAGTATATATATATATACTGTGATCCGCAGATATACCACCACCACCACCACCTACTTACCAGTCGAGTACTATGTAGCGTTGAATATCATGTAAATACTGTATCGTATCATCTCGAGCTTGAAATACAATTTACCTATCTTACAGTGTGTTATACATCTGGTCATATATTGGTAATGTCTGTGCATAGTATAAGTAAATACCGTAGTACTCGTACGGAGTACTGGATGTTGGGTGTTGGGCTGGGCTGGGCTGGTCTCATGTATCAAATAATATATTAATTGATATTATACAGAAATCACCCACCAACACCAACTCACTCCATCCCATCCTGTCCATGTGTTTCACCATGGGTTTCCACGGCCTAGCGACGAGGTAGACTTGAGTCGTGAAATGGAAAATCTACCAGCCTCACTGTCCCGTACTGGTATCAACCTATACTTATTAATACTAGAAATGTACAACATGGAAATTGAACTATATATTATATATCATGCACTACATCGATCGTGCTCGTGCTCGGCGTAGCGTATATCAACGCGAGATTGTACATGATACATGATACGATACATAAATAGACTAAGTATATATAGAGGTCTTGACATAAACACGACAAGCTCAATGTCTCTGGTACAGTACACACACTTGGACCATTGAGCCTCATCATCCACATTCTCATTCAGGGCTTCTCGGCCCCGTCGTTCCCTCTTCGAAACGACCCCCTTCGCGTTGCCTGTTCTGTGATTTACAACTTCCATGCTAGTACTGGCAAATGCAAAGGAAGCTGGCCGGTTGAGAAAAACCGTTCTGTCCATAATTGATATACAGCCGTGATTGCATTGTGATGCCCATCGTTATCCAGTCTCTCCTCTCCATCTGCCATATTCCAACAACAGACACCCGGCGGCAACGATATATCCCAACCCGTGCCCGCTGGAAGCGACTTTGCTTTGACTTCCACGTTTTATACAACACTGCCCCATCCCTGCTTCCATGTCTCCCACACGACACCAGAAGTGGTACATCACTCTTCCCTGTATACAGCCCAGCCGTCGTTCTCACCAAACCATGCTCTCGCTAGACCCGCCCCGCTCTCTGTCGGCTGGCTAAAAGCGACCTGCTGAGTTTCAATTTCCATTCCATAGATGAATTGACTCATCACACATTCCAAGAGATTGTTTGCAATGCCCTTGTGGCGGAATGCTCGGCTTGTCCAGATCCGACTCACCCCGACCACGGCCGGGTAAGTCTCTTCGGAGATGGTGATGCTGGAAGACGGAAATGACGCGGTCGGGCTGGCTATCGGAGTCGGGATTTGTGGTTTCGGCGGTAGTTCGGTCGCCTCTTGGTGGCCTCCCTCCGTAGGTGGAGGCGTTGCAGGACCAGCGGTTCTCAGATGATCATTGAGAGGAATCGTTTCACTTGTCGCGGTTTCGCCTGGAAGAACTCGGTGTGCCTTGGTGATCCGTTCGGCAAGGCAAATGCCCACGCACTTGTCGTCGACAATGTGCAAGAAAGCCTTGTATCTGTCGCACTTGCGGCTGTGTGGATCGTCCTCCTTCTCACCCTCGAGGACGCGTTGGCTCCACAGTTCCTCCTCTTTGATGTCGACGCTTCCAAGCTCCTTGTTGACGATTTCCAGAACCCTTTGTACCGCTCGTCGCCCGGGCAGAGCAATCTTCCGATCCACAACGACAACACTTCCGGGAATATGGGGTACCTGATAGCACCAACGCATTGCCGACTTAAGGAATGGTCTTCCCATTTCGATTCCGGAGCTGTGGCGATTATGATACATGTCATGTAACTGCGTATCTTCGGCTTGTGAAGGCGTGTATGACATCTGACATTGGGGGCATGTTGTGGGGACCAGAGATTGACCAAGGTCGAGAACGGTTTGGACAAGATTTTGTTTGGGCGCGGTCAACCTGGGGGCCTGTGTTATTTGTCGTGGCGTTTGGTCGAGCTCCTGCGCATTGGACGCGTCGTTGCTCGATGGCTGCACAGCCTGGGCTCGTGCACTCAGATTGAGAACCTCAGACAGAGGCTCGGAGTCGTTACGCGTCTTTGTCAAACTATCCGGACCAGTCGATGGTCCAGCGCGTTTCCTCTTCGCGTTTTTCTCTTTCTTTTCCTTCTTGGCCTTGTCGAGGAACGAAAACGTAGGTTTCCTGGCCTTGATGTTGGGAGGAGTAAGTTGTAATTCTGGGGGAGGGGAGGATGGAGGTGTGATCGTGCTGGAGCCCAAATCATCCTCTTGAGATTCTGCCGAAAAAATGGTACTGTTCTTGCGCGATGGCGACGAGGACACGGCGGCGACACTGGTTTCGCGAATTGCTCGCTCGAGACTGTCTTCCAGGTCGACATCATTGATAGTATTCTCGTTGGCGCCGGCGGCAGAGGAAGAGGATGGCGCGTTCCACGCATCGTTTAGGCGCTGGCGTTTTGGAGGATGATAGTCTTCGCCATCCCAAGCGCGTCGAACATTGCGGCTGTAGGTACGCATGAAGAGACCTCTGAACGTGGAGAGAAGGTTAGCCTATTCAGTTGCAGGGGTGTAGAGAAGACAGCTGCGGGATGCATAGGATGAGGTGAACCACATACCCTTTGTAGCTATTGGTGACGGTGTAAGGATAGACAACGGATGGCATCGTCGCGTGGTCGAGGTTAAGTTGGAAGTCAGGTTGTTGTGAAGGTGAACCTCTGTTAGGAGAGAAATATGGAAAGTTATGGAGCGTGCCGATGTTTGGAACCAGGTGGGAACGCGTCGTGGGTTGGGTTGAGTTTAGTTGAGAGCGACGTGCTGGTTAGCGGGTGACGGCGACGGTCTCGGGCTGACGATGCGAGCCGGGGGGGAGCGGACAGGGAGGGATGTTATGGTGGTGGTCCTGAGTCCTGTAATGAAGAAAGCTCGGGGTCCAGGGCCCCTTGCAGTTCGGCAACAACGGCGCGTTAGGGGGGGCAAAACCGGGCTGGGTAGGCTGGCTGAACTGTGAACTCTGGGGCACTGGCACCTGCAACTGACACCCCTGGCACTGGGCGGCTGCCAACAACGGGGGCACTGCAAGACTCGAGCCTGAGTGCAAGCTGAGCCGAGGGGGGCGCAGCCAAGATGCCGTGATCGATCCCTCACTGGCAGCGTCACCTGCAGGTTCAACGTTCGGCTTCGCGTTGGCTTTGTGCTTCAAGCTTCCCTGCTCGCTTATTCTCCCAACCCGGATTTCCACTCTTCCTGCTTTGGTCGAAGAAGGCTGACCGGGGGGATGCAACCGGAGGCGTCGGGCGCAAGAGCCGTCGGAATCTGGGGTTGGTTGACAGGCACAGTACGCAGTACCAGGCACCTAGCAGGTAGGACACAATACTATAACTCTGCACTGCGGATAGTAACCTGGAGAGGGTCTTGATAACGGCTCGAAAGAGCTGGAGTCGACAGAAGGGATGACTATGTTTTTATCGTACCAGTATGGTCAATGACGGCGTCGAGATGAGAACAAAGGCTTTGTGGTGGATCGGGTGACACTATCGTGATCGATCACCAACTCCTTCCAGCTTCATCGACAAGAGATGATCAGAATGACGGGGATGAATGATGATATGGACCCGTTTCGTGAGAGACACAGGCGCGGTTGAAATATGATGATGGATGACGGTTGTCCGTGAGCTCCCCGATCCCTCGAGATTCCTTATGAGAGCCTTCCCTGACTCTACTAGTAGTAATATCCGTACTCCGTAGATACGAACACTGTCCTTCCTCCCGGTTGGGCTGTGGTTGTTATGGGTTGTTATGTTGCTCGACCGGGGGTCTCGCCCTGTTTGGGCCCTTTTCTGGAGTCACTTTTGCCTGCGCTAAAGCGGGCATGCTCTCGTCTTTGTTCCCACAAGCCGGCCATCCTGCTTCCTTCTCAGACACGCAATGCCTCGTGTTGGCCTTTCCTGCTCCATCTGTCCTTGACCAAATCAGGGGTCTTGGTCTCTCCAATCGAACGGTCCAGTCCTGACGCCCGAAAGTCGCTCAGGCCCAATCCCAGCCCACCTTAGGCCCCTTGAACTGACCCGTTTGCAGGCGTCGCGAATCACGGGCATCTGTCGCAGGATCCTGCCCGCCCCCCCTAAATAATAATCACGGCAGCGAGAGAGGAGAGCTCGCCACCTGTGCTTCCTGCTCGAGCACCGATCATCTACACATACGTACAGCACGACTAGACCGGGGATCGAGATCATTCTTGCCAACCAATCCGTTCATCACTCACCCGGAAGGATCGACTAATCTTGCCCACCGACTACTCCACCAATCAAGACCTGTCAACCAAGCTCCGTGCTGGGAAATGCTCGCGGTCGTGCACATGCCTGAGAGAACAAGAGAATAGGATGGAAGAACAAAGAGTCGAATGGTAGGGACAGGCATCTCTGAAAGCAATCACTTGAACAGGTAATACTCGTACAGAGTAGTCATACTACTAGGCAAGCGCCCCCATTTTTCGCCCCTTTGTCATCTGCTGAGCCTTCCAAATCCGAAGAGTGCTTCCCTGGTCTCTCCGCCCCATTCCTGTAAGGCTTACAACGCTGCATGGACAGCACAGGCACCAACCAAAAGATGGTTCAATGTGCAACACACTCAAATCCCCTCAGTGTGTTGCTCAGACAGAGCAACCAATTGCACATCAGAAACTGCCATACACTTCGGGGAATCTGGTGACACGTCACTCAGCCATAGGTCGGCCAGCTGCGCGAACCGGTCGGTCATCATTGGACAGTGAGTCATATCCTTTGGGCAGAGTGCCAGAAAGAAAGCGTGTGCGTTGGACAGGATGAACAAGAAGGTCTGTGGCAGTAGCATTTGTTGCTTCTTTGTTATTGATGGCTCAAGCAACCAATGGTGTCTAAAAATGGTAGTCTTGACCAGCAGCACAGAGCGGCTGGCAAGGCATAAATGGCCTTTCAGCGCTGGAAATTCTGCACAAGTTTTCTTTCTTTTGCTGTATACAACCTACACGCAGTGGAATGCGTCCCAATGGCCCCAGCTGAACCGGAGCGGCCGGGCTCACTCATCAGTACGTAAATACAAATTGCGGGTTTTCGTCGCCCATTTCCGCAATTGCTTCTTGTGACTTTCCAGCTACACTCTCATCCTCCTTCCCGGCCTGACGGCTCCTGTTCCGAGCAACGAAATACATCGACATGAGCGTATATATCGCTGCGGCCATTGCGACCATGGACAGAGATACTGCATGGCCTTGGATATATCGGGGCGCGTCCTTGGTCTTGTAGAGCTGTCATCTCTCATCAGTGGTTGAAGCATAGAGTGGAGAGGCATCTTGCACTCATGAATGGCGCTGAAATCCCTGCGGCGTTGCCGATAGTTAGCTGGATTCCTGATGCCGTAGTGCGCTTGCCGTAGCGAGGAAGGTCTTTGACACGTTAGCCCGTTTCCCATACAGAAGCTTAATAGACAGGATGTCACTCACTTGATGGCAGCCACGCCAACGGAATACCAACAGTGACATAGAGTCCCATGGAGACCAAGAAGCAACCGAAAAATCGAGCACCTACGCTGACGGGAGTCAAGAGGATGGTGTACCCAACTATGCTGATCACTGCAAAGGCCACTGCTGGGAGTGCCCGGTGCTGGAATCTGTCCGAGAAACGGGCTACGATAAGGTACGTGATGGCACCGAGGGCGTAGCATGGAACCGTAAGTGCTTGTGTTTCTGCTGTTGACCATTTGCCCAAGCCCTTGATAATGGTAGGAAGAAAGGTTGAGTACCCGTAAAGCATGGTATCGGCGCCAAACTGGTTCGCAGTCAGAGGAGGTATTGCTGGTGTCGCAGGTGTTGCACGATCAGCTTACCTGGCCAACAGCAAACATCCACACTTTCCAGTCCATGAAGGCTTTGATCACGTCTTGCTTATGTAGCAGGTCCGCAGACGACGTGTGGCCTATCTGGCGACGTTTTCGGACCAACATCAAATTCCTCTCCTCCTGGCTAAGGTAATAAGCTGTCTCTGGTGCGTCGGCCAGCCAGAAGTAGACTGCAATTCCCAACACGAAGCTGGGGAGGCCTTCGATGATCATTATCCAACGCCATCCCCTCTGTCCTTCCACGCCGTCCATGAACCCGATGCCATAGGCGAGCAGGCCGCCGACACTTCCAGCCAAGGCAGCAGATACGAAGAGGTAGCCTACCCGAAGAGCAAGCTCCTTCTTGGTGTAAAACAGCGTGAGATAGATGGTCATTCCTTGAGAAGAGTCAGATCTTGGGGTCGGGATCAACGATACTGAGCCAGAGCGATCTGCCTACCCGGGAAGAGGCCCGCTTCAACGGCTCCCAGAAGGAGACGACAAACAATCAATCCCCCATAGTTTTGCACCAGGCCTGTCAATGTTGCTATCACGCCCCAGAAAGTGGTGATAAATGCAATCCACCGAGAAGGGTGCAGTTTTTTGAGAAGGAGGTTGCTGGGTGTTTCTGCGAGTACGTATGTTACGAATAACAGACTCACCGCGGTCTGGTATTGCGATCCATGCAGGCCCAGATCCTCTTCCATGCCATACAGTCTTGCATTGCCCACGTTGACACGATCGAGAAATGAGAACAAATAGAGAAACATGGTTGGAGGGATTATATAGAGATCGAGTTTGCGAATCAGGCGGGCTTCAGCTGCATGATCGATCACCGGCAGGGTTTCGATGTCTCTCTGGGACGGGGGGACAACGTCAGAGGATGACGGCTCTTCCAGCTGTGTCTCTCTACCCTTCTCGTCGATGTCGGTGACTGACATATCGAATCGCCGGGTGGGACTGGAATGATTGCTGGGCGCGTGGAAGACACAACGATGGTTTAGTGTGACAACAGAACAACAAGATCTCAACAGAGGGTAGCTGAGCGATCAGATTTGTGATAGTTGATTCTATTCACCGCCTCACATTTATGTTCAACAGAATCTGTGATGGAAGGACTGGTTGCAGCGTGGCTACGGCCAGCTGAAGTTGTGTAAGGGAAGTAGCTGTGGCAACGACATCCTGATCATTTTCTTCTCCGACAACTGAATAACATCCCGTCTTGGTAGGCAGGATATCCGAGCGATGCTGCTACGTAGAAACATGCTGACTGGACCGTTTCGCACGAAGTCAGAGAACGTTAGAGTGTCACGCACGACCCAGATGACGCTTGCCCAGGGATGTGGCTTGTCGAACTCGAGGCGTGTTTGGTGGATTCCTGGACGAGAAAAGATGATCGACGGTGGCAGGGTGGGGAGACGAGGGTCATATCTCTGACTCTGTCGTTGTGTACGGGGCAAATACATACTCAAGGCTAACGGGCAAGAATCTTTAAAGATCACGCGAAATAGATCACAACTTGCATTGTCAACTTCCCAAGAACATTGGGGAAGGATAGTACCATACTCCGTCCGTATCTCGACCACGAAGGATTGATAGTCAGGGTCAAAAAGCAGGCCTTACTGCCATGTGCACCTACTATACGAATATATATATATCTATCATGGTTCATATACTCCGTACATACGTAGCGCCTATCTGGTGTATACTCCAGCATTTTTAGTTACTAAAGGCTGCGCCACAGATTCGGCATCAGCACTCAATAATTACTACCCAACTAGATCGGGGCTTAGGAGGCCGCTGCATACTATCATGTAGGCACCAGCAGGCCTAAGGCTTCCAAGTTTTGGTTCGTTCTGCTCCCAACCACTTTCAAACTCCGTAACGGAAACACCATCTGTGCTGGTGACGCAGAGCTCTTGTTGCTCCAGATGTAGGCAACCTCATCATGCTGAGTCTGCCGTTCTTGTGGTAGCACCCACGCATATTGACATTCGGACTCTCCTCTGCTACGCAGTTACGCACTGAACCCCCAAAGCTGGGGCCATCGCCGTTCCGCTGCTCTTTCTCATCGAATCAACGTGGACCCCGACCTTTCACATGAGTGCACCTGTTGAAGCTCGGTCGATATCTTCGCTCAGTACTCTCCTCTCAAATCCTCCCCGATACCCGCGAAATCCCACCCATCAAATCCATGAATCCCTCGTCCTCTACATTGTTCGGGTGCCGGGCAGCAAAGGTGAGATGAGATATTCGCGCAAGAGATGGACACCCGTTAAGTCTGGTAGATGTGTTCCTCACACCGCTCAAGCCGCCTACCAAGACCTCCATAAGCATCGAGGCCGTCCAGTCAAGTCTGTATTTTCTTCACGTCGAAAGGCCCGAAGATGAAGAGCTGCGGATGTCTCTGGAGGCCACCAAGATAGCCGAAAGTCGCAACAACGAGAACATCCCCATCCAGAGGAAGCCTCTGCCTCCTGCACCCTATGCCAACTATCCCGCCGCTCAGCGGCCTCTCACTCCGCCCAAGAGCTACCCACACTACCAGCCCCCATTGACGGACTCTCCAACGGCGACCCAAGTCGAGCGACATGCGGCTAGAGGAGCCCATCTAAGACTCAACACTTCTGAGGCAATCAATCCCTCGGGTATCCCACGCAAGCCAGTTGTTCCACGGCATATGCCGCCGCGCTCATTTGCCGAGTCGTCATCTGTCAGGACTGACCGGACAAGTGGTGAGCCCCTCAGCGGTCTTGATGACGAACAGAGAAAGTCCAGCCTGGCCAGGAAACCCGTTCAGCCGGCATCCCCAGCCGGCGCATACGTGAAAAGTGATGCAGGCTGTGATGGTGCATCTTCGATAGTTGACATCCCACAACGAGCTTTCCCCAACCCAAGCCTCTCTGGTTATGGTGCGACCAAGACAGTCGAACATCTGTCACCTCACACCTTGCGGATCACCTTAATTCGCAGGGATCCTGCGTCTGGCAGCCAGTGGAATGTGGGAAGCATAACCTATCGAGACTCGACGGCACAGGAAAATCCCTTAAGGGGATTCGAGGTTGATCTTACCTCTCCAGGATATGTCAAGTTCGCCCAATTGGAAGGCAGCTCAGCCAATGGCTTAAATAGGAGAGTGGCTTATATGTTTGTTCCTAACAACGAAGGATCACCTACGACCAGGAAAAGAAGTAACTCTTCTGAACTGTTTTCGAGCAATGGTACCTCCAGCAGAAAGCCGCGTCAAGCCCTTTCATTCATCTCACCATGGCAGGGCATGTGCTCTTTCAGTAATGGATTAGATGGCAAAAGCATACGATGTCGACATACATTACCAACTGCAAATCCATCCATGTCGGCTGGTGCTGCCGACGTTGCAGAATTACGCTTCAATCTGCCTTGGTCCATTCTTCGCCTCAAAGATCCCAACAAGCAAGGGAAAGAGGCATCAGCAGTGTTACCCAGCATGCCTTCATCGCGTCCGGCGAATGCGTCCAACCGAGAACAGTGGAGACGAAGTTTCCAAGCACTGACTCACAAAGCGCGGATGCAAGTTTCCCATCTTGAAAGCAGCACTGACAGTCCACGGATTGTACACTCCAAGAGGGATTCAACTCAGCCTCCCGAGGCGGGCGAAGAAGATCGCATGAACTTGGCTCTCGGGCGGGAGAGAGCCGGAGGCGGTTTCAAAGGCCAGAGTGCCAAACTGGGCAAGCTGATCATCGACGATGAAGGCTTGAAGATGTGTGATCTGGTCGTGGCAGCAAGTATGGGAGTTTGGTGGCAGCATTACTCTGGGGACCGGTCGCATTAAGCGGATCCTTGGCCGCAAAGTTTTCAGGGTAGTTGTGAACTCTGAGGGAGGGTTGTAAAGCAACACGTATACTGACTAGTCTATAATACTCATGATACTCTGGAAAGAGTCGAATTAGTTTCTCTTCATTGCCACATTCGACGCATGCCGCAGCCTTGCGGTGGCTAAGGGGCCCTAGGCTCCCAAGGCTCCCGAGGCTCCCCTTTGCAACCTAATCACCTGCAATCTCCGTGCGGGTGACGTGCCTGTGGGGGGCGTCAAGTCCGCGTCTTGGCCTTAGAGCCCGCCACGGTCACGGTCTCCACCCTCGATCGGGGCGCAAGGAGGGCTCCTTGGCTTGTTTAGACGGTACCTACCTCAAGGTAGGAGTTGGTAGAGATCTGTCTAACAGGGTATTCATCCACCGCCTGTACCAGAACCGTTCTCTTCCACTGCAGAGCCCGGAACGCCTGGCCCGACGACTGCTCGTTGCCTCGAACGACCCCTCATACCGTCCTCCCGAATCCCAACCCCGTCGACGAGACTCTTTCCCGGCTTTCCGCTCATCACGAGACTCCCACGTTCACACGATCTGTTCGCTCTCTGCCCAGTCCCTGAGACAGAGGAAAGGCTTTATATACAGGAGACGCAACGTACAGGGACAATGGCTGTCTCTGTCTAAGTGCAGTGGGTGGCCGGCACGGGTGCGGCAGCCAACGTAGGCCTGCTCCTGCTGTCTAGCCCTTCCGCGTTGAAGCTGGCATCATGGCCGAAATTGCTGAGATGAGCCAGAGCCCTCTCATGTTGGATTTGGAGAAATCGGAAGGACATTCAAGAAGTGCACACAGCGAGACTAGTCTTCCCAGACTCCAAGTGAATGGAGGCCCTGGACCAGCGCTGGAAACCAATAAAAGAGCAGACGAGGGATTGGCAGCTGGACCGACACCTCCAAACGGGACTCCCTGGGAGAGTTCGTCGGACAAGACAGCACCATTTTCACCCACGTCCAAGATGGCTGGCGTCCTGAAGAGAAACGTTCCACCTGGCGCTCAGATCACAAGTACGAGAACGAACGACCAGTCGCCAAGGGCCACTGAGCTTGGGGAATCGGACAATGCAACGAATGGCAACGGCGCACAACCAGCTGGAAGAAAGAGTGTGCAGTTTTCACGAGACACACAAGAGATCGATCCCTACGCAAGTGGCCAGAATACACCGCCAGTTGAAGGAGGCGAAAGCTCAGAGCAGGACAAGCCTCAGTCGTTATATGCCAGGTTAAGAGCTATTGCAACGTCTCAGGGGTTCAGTCACGCTCGCTCTCCGAGCAATTTGTCCCTGAGTGCCCGCTCAACGGACGGTAAAGATTTGGATGGTTTCTTGTCCGTACCGTCCAGTCGCAATGAGCCTGGACTTGCTGCCACCCTGGAAGAGGACAGTGAGGTGGAAGCCGATGCGGACGCGGAAGAAAGCGCTGCCGAAAACGGCGCCGTTCAGTCTACACCTCGTAAACGTCGGCGAAGAGCCCGCCGGTTTGATAATGTCGAGACAGCACCCTCTTCTCCCCACAGCTCGATGCGACATGGCTCTTCGAGCGTGCTGCCAAATTCTGAGCAGGACAGGCCTCGTCTGCTAGCTCGGAGGGCCACTGATACAGACATGGCTCATCAAGGATTGTCCGAAGATGAAGGACGCCAACAATTGGTGGGTGCTGGTGGTTGGACACCTCGTCACCCCCTGCGCGGCCTGAGCTATGGTGGACAAAGAAAGGCCGGCGACACTACGCCCGATGGGCAAAGACGGCCAACGACTCTGTTGGGGTTTGCAAACACGAATTCTTCGCGTGAAGTAGGTTCGGGTGACATCCATACTCCAAAGACACCATCACGCCGGAAAATGATGGCAGAGCGTGGGTCTACGTTGAGTGCAGCAAAGTGGAGGCAAATCAAAAACAGTTTGCGAATGCTGGGTCAAAGCAAGAAGAAAGAGCGGACGCCAGATCATGAAAAGTCGGCAGAGCTGTTAGCTGAACTTGCAGCAGCTACCCCTGCAGCGCTAATGCTTGCAAGCATGTTCCAACGGGACGAACACGACCATCGAAGAATACCAGTTCTCATGGAACAGCTCAAGTTGCAGATAACTGACAGCGAGGTCGACAAGTACAGAGAATCAGACGCCACACAGGCAGATCGCCATTTGATCTTCCGGATCGAGCTCGAATATGGGAATGGAGTCAACCGAATGAACTGGGTTGTGAAAAGATCGCTTCGAGACTTTGCGAACTTGCACCTCAAGTACAAACTACACTACAGCTCGGAAAAGCTTCTGGGCCGTGGTGACGCGAGCAAACAGATGCCAAAGTTCCCCAAAAGTGCGTTTCCGTATTTGAAATCGTTCCGAGGACTCGAAGACGAAGATGAAGAGGACGACCTCGTCAATGACAATGACCCTGGCGCTGTGACAGATCCCGAACGAGCGGTGCCGAAAATCCAGCACCGTTCCTCATTTCCCCCGGGTCGGCGGAAGTCAAGTATAGCAGGGGCCCAGGAAGCTGGGACCGCAGGAGTCGGGCGGCGAGACATTCGCTTTGCTGAACGGCAACGGAAAAAGCTAGAGGCTTACCTCCAGAAGATGATCATGTTCATGCTCTTTCGTCCGGAGAGTAATCGACTATGCAAATTTCTGGAAGTGTCGGCCTTGGGCATGCGCCTGGCTGCAGAGGGCAGTTATCATGGTAAGGAGGGCTTCCTCCTGATAAAATCTGCCAAAGGTCTCGATTTTAGAAAAGCGTTGACCCCTCACAATTTCGCCCGGCGGCATGCACCAAAGTGGTTTCTCGTCAGACACAGTTACGTTGTCTGCGTCGACTCGCCCGAAGAGATGCACATCTACGACGTGTTTTTGTTTGATTCCGACTTTAGGATCCAGTCCACGAAGCTCCGACAAGGAGAGCAACGAGGCGCCAAAGAGTTGGCCGAAGCTGCGAAGGAGTCTGCAAAGCATCCACAACATCACCGTCTGAAATTGGCCAATTCGGAGAGAAGGCTCAAACTCCTGGCCCGGAATGAGAGACAGCTACACCAGTTCGAAGAATCGATTCGGCTGACGATTCAAAGCTCTCCGTGGGCCAAGAAGAACAGGTTCGACAGCTTTGCTCCGGTCAGGCCCAACTGCTTTGCTCAATGGCTTGTCGATGGACGAGATCACATGTGGGTTGTTTCCCGGGCACTGAATCAAGCCAAGGATGTCATCTACATTCACGATTGGTGGTTGAGCCCCGAGCTGTACATGAGACGCCCTCCCGCTATCAGCCAGAAATGGCGTCTAGATCGACTGCTCAAGAGAAAGGCGGAGGAAGGGGTCAAGATCTTCGTGATCGTGTACCGCAACATTGAATCCGCCATTCCCATCGACTCACAGTACACCAAGTTCTCCTTGTTAGACCTGCACCCCAACATCTTTGTCCAAAGATCGCCCAACCAATTCCGACAGAATACATTCTTCTGGGCACATCACGAAAAATTGTGCATCGTGGACCACACCCTGGCTTTTGTGGGCGGGATAGACTTGTGCTTTGGTAGATGGGACACTCCCCAGCATACACTCGTTGACGACAAGTCGACCGGTTTCGAGCCCAGCGACTTGCCCAAAGACGCCGACCACTGTCAATTGTGGCCCGGCAAAGATTATTCCAATCCTCGGATCCAGGATTTCTACGCTCTCAACAAACCTTACGAAGAAATGTACGACCGGACGCGAGTTGCTCGAATGCCGTGGCATGACATTTCAATGCAGGTTGTCGGCCAACCGGCTCGCGACCTGACGAGACATTTTGTGCAGAGATGGAATTACATCCTAAGACAGCGAAAGCCTACGCGGCCAACCCCTTTCCTGTTGCCGCCACCGGATTTCAATTCGGCTGACCTGGAGGCTCTTGGCCTTGACGGCACATGTGAAGTCCAAATCCTTCGCTCCGCCGGGCCGTGGTCGATGGGCACTCCCGATAAGACCGAGCACAGCATCATGAACGCTTATGTCAAGCTGATTGAGGAATCCGAGCACTTTGTCTACATCGAGAATCAGTTCTTCATCTCGAGTTGTGAGACGGAAGGCGCAATCGTCCACAACAAAATCAACGACGCCCTTGTTGAACGCATCACTCGGGCCGCCAAAAATGACGAGGCCTGGAGAGCCGTCATCCTCATCCCATTGATTCCAGGTTTCCAGAATACCGTGGAGCAGGAAGGGGGCACCAGTGTGCGGCTGATCATGCAGTATCAATACCGCAGCATCTGTCGTGGAGAGTCATCCATGTTCGGCCGGTTGAAGTCGCTGGGAATTGACCCAGAAGACTATATCCAATTCTACAGCTTGCGTCAATGGGGCAGGATTGGCCCGCGCAAGTCACTGGTGACAGAGCAACTATACATCCATGCCAAGTGTATGGTGGTTGATGACAGGGTCGCCATCATTGGATCAGCCAACATCAACGAGCGTTCAATGTTGGGAAACCGTGACTCTGAATGCGCATCCGTGGTTCGAGATACAGACATGGTCTGGTCACGAATGAACGGCCAGCCTTATCAGGTTGGCCGCTTTCCCCATACGCTTCGTATGCGGCTAATGCGAGAACACCTGGGCCTGGATGTCGATCAGATCATGGAGGATGCTCAGGCCATGGAGGCGGAACACCACCGGTCGGAAATGGTCGGGAAATCCGCACAACCGAGCTCGCCAGACGAGGGACCCAGCGATGCTGTTTTGGAAACTGGCGAGGAGCTGAATATCCACGACGACCGGGCGCGAGAACTACGTGAAGAACTGCTGCACCGCGCCGAGGTCTTGAAGAGCTTCAATCACGACGTGGACTGGGAGCAAGAAGGCAACCCCAACCTCAAGAGCTTTCGAAAGCTGACCGAAGACGCCCGAGTGACTGGAAATGCACAGCACAAACAGGATGTCGAGGGCCACGGGTTGGACAAAATGGCCGATATTGAAGCCGCCGGTCTGGGTGACGGCCGAGACAGCATCCTTTTCGCGGGGAAGAAGGAGGTGCTGATTTCGGATGCTGATCCCGAAGGTCACGCCCCGCTACAACATCCCAGGAAACGTGGTGAGGGAAAGCGGTTACCGTCGTATGTGGTCAATTTGGACGCACCAAATCCCCCGTTGCCTCCCAGGCCGAGCATGGAGCGGATGACGACGGAACAACTTGGTCTGCCTCTGGTCTCACAGTTGCCTGCCCTCCCACAACTGGATGATTCGGACATTGGTGGGCCATCTCTGGCGAAGAGTACATCCAAAGAATCGGTTGGGGTTCACCATCCGTTGATGAACGAGCTTAAGCGGCCCCTGGTCGACCGGGACTGCATGACAGACCCTATCCACGATGCCTTCTTGTATGATACCTGGCATGCGGTGGCGGAGAACAACACGAAAATCTATCGCGCCGTCTTCCGCTGTATGCCCGACAACCAAGTCCGGAACTGGGATGACTATCACCAGTATGTGGCGTATGCACAACGGTTCGACCAACTTCAAGGCAATGATGCTCCAGGAGAAGATAAAGTGCCTCATCCGGCTCGATCGGCGTCGGCCTCGAAGAGTGGCCCACCGGGAGCAGGTACAAGCGCGCCAGGGGCGCAAATCAAAGCTTTGAGTCATGTTCCGAGCGACATCGAGAAAGGTACGGGTGAAATCAGGGACAAGGTCAGAAGTGCCGTGGGCAAGGAGACCAAGAAAGAAAAAGGAGATGCCGAGAAAGCACAACTTCGTGCCTGGGCTGCCGATGCGAACGAAGCGCAGGCCGAGAGAGAAGTGACGCCGATTCTTCATCGCCAGGAAACCTTGACCGAAGAAAGGGCGGGGCTGTTGCCGGTGCCTGAGGGCGTCAATGAAGAAGCGGCCGGAGAGGGCCGGGACGACAACGTCAGTAGCGGACTGACTGACAGCGCCCCGAGCACGGCCACGGCTGTGGAGAAGGACAAGCCTATCACCAACGGAACACCTCCACTGGCGGCCGGGACGTTCGTAGGGTACTCGGATGCAGTGAACCAGAATGCGGCACAAGCGGCTGCCTCAGCAGCGTCTGGCGGCGGCACCGTGCGCCGACGAAGAAGGGGGACGACCAGGTCCAGCCGACGGGACTTTAGTGCCAGCGACGACATTGTCAGCATTGAAGAGGCAGAAGAGCTCATGAACTGTGTGCAGGGACATCTTGTGGTTTGGCCTTATGATTGGTGAGTCCGGTTTGGTTTTTGGTTCTTTGGTTTTTGGTTCTTGGTTTTTTCCTCCTATCTTGCTAACACTCCGTGTCTACCATCTAGGCTTGAGAAGGTCGAGGCTGGAAGTAATTGGCTATTCCCATTTGACCAGATCAGTCCGATTGAAATCTAGTAAGTCTTGTCAGGGGAGGTGCGGAGACAGATGTACTGGTGACTGACCATGGATGATTTGTAGTATCTGACCGACTTATATGTCTGGGTCCGAAGAGGGAAGAGCTGCATAGCAAGCATTGCGGCAAAACAGCATAGCATGACAAACACAAGACCACTTTAGATCTTGGGGTGCGCGATATGAATCTGTCGTTGGAGGCCAAGCAAGAATAAGTCCTGCGGTTTAGGGACTAGACTTGGTGATGGAGGCGGAGGGGGGATAAAAGGCCATCCTGGCGAGCGGCCGTTCGAGTATAAATTACAATTGTCTGTTATTGCATGGTGAGTATAGGGATAAGTACTGTAAGGCTAGGTCTAAGCCTCGTTCAGGCTTATGTTAGGTACGGAGTATGGAGCACACCAGCCCTTTCTTCCGAGTCGGTCAGGGTTTCCTACCTATAGCGATGAAGAATTGTATCTACTCAGTACCGTGAATCAGGTCACAGGTCTCAAGGGTCATTACGGCAATTCAAGTACCTACCTACTATGCATACCTAGTAGCTGTGTGCTATATGCTATATGCTGCTACAATATGCCAGACTGACTTGTGACTTGATCGATGACTTGAGACCTCCCGCCAGGAATCTACCTATAGGTATTGGGTTCGCGTCATCGCGAGGCTGAACATCTGACATGACCTGACTAACAAACTAGGTCTTGTCTGGTTCTGGTTCTGTCTACTACTCATACATACAGAGTACTACTACTACTACTACTACTACTACTACTACTACTACTACTACTACTACTACTACTACTACTACTACTACTACTACTACTACTACTACTACTA